AGATAACGGTCTAGTGGACAAGACAGTCACTTGACTTGACAACAGGAACTATGCAACTGTCGAAATCAGTTATATATTTTCTATATAGCTCTGAATATGTCAAATTATGTTCCATACATATCTAATTGATTATGATTTCAATTGTCTGTTGATTTCTTCTTGCCCGGAACTAGTACTGAATATAAAAACATGAAGGATTAGAGAAGAAGAAAAAAAGATAGACTGTCTATCTTATTTTGCGAAACTACATGGTTGACTTTTTATTATTAAAGAAACTAATGATGAAAAAGACAAGCGAAGTAAAAAATGATTAGGCTGAAAAAGCTAATTGAATTGGAAGAAGATGCAGTATTCGTTTTTGAACGTTGAGTAACTTTGGCTACCGGTGTTACAGTTCTGGCTGATGTCAGGCATCCAGTTCGATTCTTATACACGCCCCAACACGCTGCATAGGCCATTTTATGTGCAATAGTATGTTGTTCCATTGTTCCAATGAACAAATGACTCCATGGGCCCTGAGCAAACACCGGTACATCCTCGCCTCCATGTGTTTCGTCCTCCAGTGGTACGGCTGCCGGTGAGAGATAAGCTGATGAATTCGTATCCAACGAACTCAAATAAGTTGCATTACGCGGCGCCGGAAAATTCGGTCCATTCCCATAATTAATAATTGTCACAGGTAAATGATCGATTTCACTAACATTTAACGAGTTCGATGAAGCAAATCCTAAAATATTTGATCCGCGCCACGAGTAACCACCAAATGTAAATACATGCGAATGATCTGCAGTGACCACCATCAATGTGTCATCTAGCATACCTTTTTCTTTTAATGTATGTTTTGCTTGTCCAATAGCATTATCAAGTTCGACGTATTCGTCCAATGCATATCTTGCGCTAGTCATATGATGTCCATGATCGATTTTCCCACCTTCAATCAAAAGAAAGAAGCCATCTTTAGACATAGCTAGAAAATGTTCGATGGCAAATTTGGTCAATTCTGATAAAGGTGGATCGTCATTGTTGGTTTTGTTACGGTCAGTTTCATATAGCATATGGTTATATTCAAATAGTCCTAGTAACGGCGTTGGCGAACCTAAAGTCACTTGCTTCATTTGATTCCTATTCCAAATATATTGACCTTTCCAAAACTCATCAATCAGTGATCGATTGTCTGTACGATAACCTTTTTTATTTGGATATTCCACATCATTCACCGTATTCGGAAAGAATGATCGACGTCCACCGCCAAATATTAAATCAATAGCTGGTTTACGTGATAGAAGTTGATAAGCAATGTCAACGCAACCTTGTTTTGTTTCATTGGCACCAAAAGATTTCGAGTCATAAGTTTCCCAATCACGATTAGCCGAATGAGCATAGGCAGCCGATGGTGTTGCATGTGTTACACGCGTGGTTGTGATAATTCCAACTTTTTTTCCTAAATCAACTATAATAAAATGACTAGTTGTTCATTAAATTTTTACCAGCTTGTTGAGCCCAATCGAGTATACTCGATACGTTCGCACCGATTGAACTTCGGCAGTCACCTCGTGTAGTGCGTCCATCGACTCCAATTGTTCCTGATTGAGCTTTTACTCCACAAAGATATGCAGTTGCTGTTCCTGCGGAATCTGGTGTTTGAGCATCGATATTATATCTAAATAACATCATGATATGTTGAAAAAGCACGAGTTAGTAGATGAAACACACGTTTTCGCTAGACCTAAATGTTGGAACTGTTCCATTTCAGTAACGAAGTCCTCTCCTAATTGGCCTTTAATCTGACCCTTTCGAATTCTACCAGCTGTGACAGTGGACAAGCCCATACCATCACCGAGAAATAAGATGACATTTTTAGCCAGTCGAGTATTATCTCGACGTTGCAGCAATTCTTCAATAGATAATCGTGCTTGTTCGTTCCAAAAACCAGCATTCTTCTCCACTGACCAATCCGTACGACCAGCAAACACGAAATACTTGCTAACAAGAATAAGATTGAGCAATACTAAAACGACACACGTTTTCGGATGTGTGAGCTCATTAAACTTTACTTTGCAGTTTGATTAGCCGCATCATTTTAGTGGTTCCAACTACAAAAACACAACCTTCATATTTTATATACACTTGGATGTCGAAATGAGCTTTTGTGTCATTTGTTTATCTCGCTTGCATTTGAATGTCATTGATTAAGATCACATATCCTAATAATCGATCTTTTTCACTTGAAGGTCATTATAGCTTACAGAATAAAGTGCTCTTTATATTTGATAAATCTTTTAGTATCCAAAATTACCCCATGTACTGACGTTATCTTAACGTTGTACATTTGAAATAAATCAGTGAACTCTACAATTATAGATGAGATGATACTGAAAAGAAACATTCACGGTGAGGAATGTTTGTTCCACTTTTCTTTCAGTTTACAAGCCGGAAGTGAAAAGAATGGCGCGACCTCTCTTTTTCTTTTCTATAAAAATTAAACAGGAGGTTGTAAATGGAAAACTAGTAACATAGCAATGCTCTATTTTCCTTCTGTTATAGTAACGACAAATTTCTAATCAAACAGTATAAACATTGCCGTCATTATTCTAAGAAAAATAATGGCTGACAATGTTTACAAACTCAGTCTGGTATACTTAAATAGTTTGTTAATTTTGTAAATTTTCTGTGTTGATTTATAGTTTTCTGGACCGCGTAACAGTGATTGGACACGTACTGTTCGAGAAGGACTGGATATCCGACGACGAACATGCACGACATTTATTCCCGAGAAGTCGAAAGGAGACGATCGGTAGGTTTGAATTGTTTTCAAAATGTTCAAGATTCTACAGGAGAAATATTTAGCAACAATCGAAGTGAAATACGTTGTGGTTGTAAGCGGCTTCGTCGTGAGCACTCATCTGAGAACGTCGTTGAGGGAAATGAAACTGTCTGGGATAAAACTAAACATACGAAAGCAGAAGATAACAATGCTTACGGGTATCTTCCTAGTACTCGGGCTTATTTTATTCGTTGTGATATTGAAACCGAACCGCAAGCTCTTGCTCAATTTGTGTTCGAAGCTTGGAAAATTAAACCGCCTCGTTTGATCATGTCAATCGTAGGAGGTGCAAAATATTTTAAATTAAACGAACGACTAGAAAGAGAATTTATCAAAGGTATCATTCAAGCAGCATTGAAAGCAGGTAAGGATTGATACCGGATGGATTCTAAACGTTGGTTTGTTTGAATCTTCAAAATAGATGGTTGGATTGTCACGACAGGATTTAAAACCGGTGTTGTTCAATTAGTTGGTGAAGCTATCCATGATCATAAAGTAACCAATCCGCGAAGTCATATAACAGCTATTGGCTGTTCAAAATGGGGAGCAGTTCGCAATCGGGAAGCGTTGGTTTTGGTGAGTAGACTCGACAAGGAAACTTCTCTACATGTAAATTTGTCACCTTTCTTTTCAGAAAACATCTATGGTAAATCGTTGTGCTGATGTGGCACCGAAAGCTGAAAAAGGTCAGCAACACCTCGAACCAAACCATACACATTTTCTTCTTCTCGATGATGGAACGTATTATGGGTATGAAATTGGAGACTATCGTACGCGATTTGTCAACGAAATCGCTAAATACAAAGATGCGAATGGTACGCACATACTTCTTAGATTCTGTTCATTCATTTGTTTCTTTTTTAGTTCCAAACGTGACAATCGTAGTCGAAGGTGGTCCGGATACACTATTAACAATTTATAACGATCTCTGCAATGGTATTCCAGTTGTATTGATTGATGTACGAATGTTTTTGTGAATGATCGATTGTTAATTGAAGTTGACTGTACTTTAGGGAAGTGGCCGAGTGCCGAATCTCCTTGCGACTTTTTTGAAACGCACCGAAGGCGCCTCAAATCGGAAAGATGATGATTCAACTAATTGGGATGAAATCGTTGATATTGAACAAAGTGAAAAGTAAATGACATTAGAACTTGTCTGGAAATTCGATTGAGAAACTTTCAGATTGAGAAATTTGTTCGATCAGTACGAAGATGAAATTCGTCTCGGTCTAAAAGACATATCCAAGGGATCGAAATCGTCCGATGAAACAATCAATCATCTATTCAAATGTTTTCTCTTCTGTTTACAACCAGCCATTCGCTGTAAAATACAAGTGTACAGTCTCGATGGTGATCATGATCTCGATGATACGATATTCGAAGCGATTATTCAAAGTACGATTGTTCGACGTTGTTTCATTTGTTTGTTTGTAAATCTTTCTTTTTCTCTAGCAAAACAAAGAGAGAGTTTGAAAACAAAAGCGGGACTCAATCGCGAACAATTGTTACAGCTTGCATTAGCATGGGATGCAATCGAAGTTGCCAAGCAGCATATTATTAAAGATGATTTGAACGATCTTTCGGTGAGCGAGAGAAAGCTTTTTCGTAAATATCGATGAAGTTTTGGATTAATTTAGCCTGAAACAAAGGAAAAGTTATTTTTCGAGGCGTTGATACTCGATCGGCCACAATTTGTTCACACATTTATCAAGTTAAATTTCAATTTATGTGATATGTTCTATGAAAGACAGATCAATAATCCTTGGAGACTAAAATGGGATAAACTAGCGAGATTGTACAATGATAATGAGAAGAAAAAGGTAAAACAAAGTTTTCATGTCCATTTCCGTTATCCACGAATATTTTGTAGAAAGAACGTTTGTATCTATTCGAAAAATGTTCCGGCAAAGCTCACGTCGAATCGGAACACGATCTGGATCGTGTTCTACGCAAATTAGTTGGTGATTACGTGAAACCAATCTATACACGTGATAGTCTGAGTTTCTTTGAACGATTAAAGAGCTGCTGTCAGCGTCCAAACGTTGCCCGGGTGGGAGATAGTCGAGCGAGTTTATACGTTAACAACGACTCGGAAATACCCGACCCTGAAGATGCTCAAAAAGAAGTGCGAGAACTGGTCTTTCGTGATCTTTTCCTTTGGTCAATACTAACAAATCGAATTGAAATTTCCAAGGTTTTGTTGAATCACATGGAGACAAGAATATGTGGATTGTTAATCGCATCGAAAATCTTTCGATCATACCTTCATTTTGCATCGGATACCGAATCTAAAGAAGTACTCTCAAATCAAGCAAAGCAATTTGAAGAATATGCAAGTGAATGTTTGAAATGCTGTTATAATTTCGATGAAGAGAAAGCTTGTGAAATCGCCATTCGAAGAATCAATGTCTATGGTGGTGTATCTTGTCTGCAGGTACGGATGATTCAACTTTCAAAAGAAGATTTTCCCTATTCTTGACTTCTTCAGGTGGCAGTCGATGCGGATGACAAGAACTTTGTTGGACAACCATGTTGTGATCAATTGATGAACAACATCTGGTTTGATAAGATCGTTCCGTTTCGATCGACCTTATCCGATCGTCTGCGATTCATCTTAGCCATTAGCACATTTGGTTTATTGGCACAATTTGTAATACCATTTCGAACTGAACAGGAATTATCAAAGCATGATTTCGAGGATTATAATCAACAAAAACAGTTGAAGATCAATCAAGAGGACGACAGCAAAGACGAGATAAAACCATCGAAGCCCTATCGGTACGTAGTTATTAAATTCGATCATATCGATGATTTTCTCTTGTATAGATTGAATGACTATGGCATAAACTATTCGGATCATTACGTATGGCACTCGGATAAATACTCTCAACGATATGTAACATACTTTCGCCATTTGAAACACTTTCATGAATCACCAATTGTGAAATACTCATATAATATTATTAGTTATATCATATTTCTTCTCTTATTCTCCTATTATCTTCTATTTAATTTCAACATTCCCACTGACAACGTTCCGAGTATTCATTGGACAGAAATACTAGTCATTATCATAATCACAACAATGCTTGTCGAAGAAATTCGTCAAGTAAGTTTCAGATTTCTATGAGCGTCCAATGATTTCATCGATTATTTGTAGTTCCTCTGTCAAGATAATCGTTCGATGATCGGCAAACTATCGAACACATTCATCATCAATCCATTCTACAACGTCATTCGTGTTATATCCTATCTTTTATTTTACATTGGTCTCATTCTTCGTTTTACTAACACAACCAGTGACGAATCATTTTCAGCTGCCAAAATCATCCTCGCTTATGATTTAGAAGTCTGGTTCATTCGTTCGTTAACATTTCTTGGCATTTCACAAAAAATGGGTCCCAAACTCGTGATGATTCGTCGAATGGTATCTCGAAATCCTCCATCGTTCTCTTTTCTTTCGTATTCATATCTATTTTTAGATCATCGATCTATTTTTCTTCACATACATTATTCTAATTGCAATGATTGCGTACGGCGTCGTTTCGCGAACAATGTATACTTACAATAACGAAACAGTTCTATTCAACGGACGATCGATTTTCCGAAATATTATCTATCCGGTGTATTACTTGATGTACGGTAATGTTGGCGATGAACTAACGGCACTGGATGGTAAAGGATGAGGATAGACTTTATCGTAGGAAATATTCGATGATCATTTTCATAGAAAATCAAAGTGCTGGAACAGCAATTGCGACGCATGTTTTATTGGCTTTTCATATGTTGTTTGTCAATATTTTATTGATTAATCTTTTGATTGCAATGTTCAGGTACGAGGGAGAAAAACATGTGAATGATAATATGAATACTTTCATCTAGCTTTACATTCAATTCGGTTCAAGATCAAACGGATCTGGTATGGCGTTATGAGCGATATTCTTTAATACGGGAGTACTTCGATCGCCCACCGTTATTTCCTCCATTGATTATTATTACCCATATAATTGAATTGGTGAAATTATGTCATCGACATGCGAAAAAGAGATCAAACCAGACGCAAGCAAAGATATTTAGTGAGTGTTAACAGTTAGAAGCAACGACGTGTCTGTACACATTGAAGTTTTGTTTAGAAATGATAGCAGCACATCGACAGGTGGACAAAGATTGGTCGGAGTTCGAAAGTTATTCAACTAATCTCTACTTACAATCATTACTAACCAATCAACCGTTGAGTGCCTCAGTTCTCCTACCATCTCCGATACGAACAGATCAACAATCCTCATCGGATGCTTCAACTAATAATGCACAATATCAAACCAATGCTAGTTACTTAGATTTCAAAGCTATTAACGATGACATGGTATCAGTAAGAAAAACAATTTTAGATCTTCGCAATTGTGCACAGGAAGTAAGATGATATTGCATATGAAATGATTGGAGAAGATTGATCGTTTTGCTTGCAGATGAATAGATGTATGGGCTGGATGATGGACGCAATGGACCGTGTGAAAATGTCGAAAGATCCAAAACCATATGTAAAATCAAATAGTAAGCTAGTTTGAATGAAGTCTATTGGATCTGCATACTTTTTTTTTAGATATGAACTCGTCTGATTAAGATAAAAATATGTGATAATGTCTATGTATCTAGTTATGAATTATTCCTACATATTAAATTTGATCTATGAGTGAAATCAGTTCTTGTTTGAAATGCGGATTTGATTGATAGATAAGACGTTGTTTTCAAGTAGGGAATAAAGATAACATTTGAATTACAAGAAATACTTTTGCAAAAAAAATAGAATATTTAGTTTTAAACCTTTCTTCCTGGTTGAGTACACTTGATTGATTAGAACGTTTCACATTTGAGTTGAACCGTCATAATTTCTAGGCATTCGAGTTGTATTAGAAGATCTTGGCGTTCGCGTTCTTCTCGATTGTTCTCCATCGTGTGGAACTATCTGCGTTGAGTCAGACAAAGATATTCGGTTTTTATGCGAGTCATGATTGTTGGCATGACGGTCACTGCGTCTATGACCGCGCGTATGTTCATTATTGTTTATTTCATATGATGGATTTCTAATAATCGTGTCAGTATGATCACCGGATTGTCGTTTCGAATTGGATGAGGATGCCGATCGATTATTACGTTTCGAGTGATGAGTTTTTTCTGGTTCTGTGCTAGGAACGGGGATGCTATCTGTACCAGCTCGATAATCCGTTGCTACGGTTCGTTTAGTATGTCGGCGTACGACAGGAGGTTCCACTGTGAGTGTGCTGTACGCCATGGTTTCTGTGTTATAAGCTTGATGAAACAAATTTTGATTTGTACTTTCTACTAGTGGTGCACGATACTCATCCGAAGGACAATTGGTTAAAGTTTTGTGTGTGGTTGATAAATTAGAACGTTCTTCACCACGAGATTTTCTAGATCGCAGTTGACGTTTGTTGGATATTTCGTGGTCTACTACAGGGACATCGGCATTTGAATGTGTTCTGTTTGAAAGTACTCCATTCAGCGCTGCACCAGATTGATGTTGATCTATTTCGTACGAGCTTTCTACTAAGTTATTAGATGACCTTTGGCTTAGTGTCTGTGTGAGCTCATTGATGACAGATTTGTTCGCATCAATCGGAATTAACCCACCAGCTAAGATTTCGTTCGTTGTTATGCCAGATGGAAATTGCGATGATAAATATTCTCTGGGTTGCCAGAGTGTTCCTTCATATGCAATCCACTTGCTCAAGTTTAGTATAAACTTTCTCGCATATACTTGACGAACCCATTCCTTGTCGAGACCTTTCAATCCATAATATGCACCCGCTAGTTGTCCATAGATCGCAGCTGTCGTATCAGTATCATCGCCCAGATTAACAGCATTAAGTGCGCCCTCTCTAAATGAATTGTTATCTGACCAAAATGCCCAAAGTGCTGCCTCGAGAGCATCTACGATGTACCCTTTACCACGTATTCCTCCATAGTATCCGTCGAGCTTCTTGAAAGATCCTTTAGCTATCTTTCGTATGTCAGAACATAATTCTTGTTTACCGAACCATGAGCGATTTTTCGAGTAGAAATCATCACCGAGAATATCATCTTTTTTTTGTCCCTGAATGGCGGCAACGATGAGAGCGCCGTAATATCGACATGCATCATACGCTTTGACATCACCGTGGGTAATTTGTCCACTAAGACCAGAATATTCTACTGCATATTCTGGATATTGATAGAAAAATAAAGGCACCGGGGCGAGGCGCATAAGCGCACCATTACCAGCAACTCCATCACAACTACAATTGACATCGAATGTTTGCAGCTGATCAGGATAGGAGAGTGAATCTACATCTCTCGAAATTTGTCGACTTTGATCGGCATATATTTTCTGACGTTCTTCAAACATTTCCAACGAGTCTCGTGTTGCTTTACCAATATCAAAACATTCACCAGTTGATGACATATATCCGTATCTGTACCACCACTTATAACGAACTAACTGATCATAAGGATTGAAACCTTTTTTCACTACGAGCGAGCTAGCTAAACACAATGCCATTGAAGTATCATCAGTGAACTGAAATAGTCATAGAAAGGAATAGAAGAACTATTTGACGGCGAAAAACAAAAGAAATGTTCTCATACTTGTCCCTTGGCCAGGCCCCACGTACCACCACTCTGCAAATCTCGTACAGGATTATTCTCAAGATATTCTCGTGGTCGAAATTCGACACTTGCTCCAAGAGCGTCACCAAGAGCCATTCCCACCATTGATCCTTGAACTCGCTTTAATAAATCTTCGTCAATCGCACCATCCGGTTCTCTCATTCGATCTTCGAGATCGGCAGGCTTTGTAATCGCTATTCCACTCGAATCATCAAAGCGAAGGTTTAGCCATGATTTATCCGAATAATCTACTCGTACACAATTCAAAATGCACAAGGATATCGTAAAACATCACTTACATATCACTGAGCTTTTTGATTTGGAAATTTCGCGTGAACTTCTGTCTAAAACGAATAAAGACATGATGAAATATAACACGCAGGCATATAAATGTTTCGAGATGTTGACTTTTTCAATCACGTAACGAATTACTAACCTCTTTTAAACTTGTCAGTTACTCGATGAATCGCCTTCTTCCAATTCATGATCAATTAAAATATCTAACCTATGATGATCGTGTTTTTTCTTTCGTCTTTTGACGTCGATCGAATGTTGATAATTAAAAAACTATTTTTTTTTCTTGCTGTTCTTTACACAGTATGACACATGATTTTCAGGGTAAACGAACCCCGTCATTCTTCTGTGTATAATATTTTTACCTGCGTTGGATGAGTTATTTCGTCGAACGCCTACGAAACCTGTGTACACGTCGTAAAACAGAACGAATGTGTTATCGAGAAACGACATTTCTATTAAACATCACTGAGAAGTAACTTCGTCCGTAGGCAATGGATTCTTTCAAAATGACAAATAAATGCAGTTCCTTCTCAATCAAAATTCGTGATTTTAGTCATGCATTATTAATACAAAAAAAAAGAAACGTTTTCGACGATTTGTGCCAAACAGTATCGTACTCAAAGCTCGACAGAACGAACGAACGACTAATCATAACCTATACGTTGTAATTCGAGAAATCAGCGATGTTTTGAGTATCATCAACGTGAATGTATGAATCACTGAAATCTGTTCATGTATCTAAAAATCAATAATTTGACCCTGTCGTGTTGTCTCTTTTTCGAAAACTGTCTATATTCGACAGACAGGCTTTTAAACATCGATCAGAATCAATCGAAAGCCCGTCAAGTACTCTTGGGCAAATGTTCTTAAGTAATTAATTTATTCGATCATGACTTGATTGATATATTTCCATTCTCTGATTTCCTATTCTACCTTGATACGATAATTGCATATATATTGACCTGACAAATTTTCGTTTCATCGATATAGATCTTGGAAAAAGAAAGTTTCAAGGAGACAAATTCATCAGAACGATTTTTCTTTTTCTTTTTCTTTTTATTCGATATTGTTCATGTTCATCGATGGTGTGAAAGACCTTCAATTGTAGATGAACTACACACATATGTTCATCATTTTTCTCTCTTCTAGATGAACAGTCAATCGACCAATAGGAAATTTTGAGCTCCGATCTGATTGAAAAAAAAACCTGTCAGCGTCCTTATTGTTGTACGTGTAGAACAGAGAAATTACCTTTTTCTTGGTTCACACTTAATTTGTCTGTTTGCAAATTTCCAACCTTCTCTCCCTCTCCCTTCCTATATATGTAGACATGTAGCCATGAATTACATACAATAATCAAAATACATATTAACGCACACGCAATTTTACCTCTTCTACGTGTGTCTAGTGCATTTCGTTGTGTCGTTTGACATGGAATAATTCGACAAATTCGTAAGGTTTCATCATGAATACGTATCGAAATGCTTCATCACCGTTTTGTTCAACTCCGATATCATTTTCGGAAATCCTTACACCTGGTCAACAGCAACCGCAACCATCTTTACAACAATCGCAACATTATAGCTTGTTGAATTTACATTCGCCGACACGAGTCGGATCGATCACTCCAACATTGAATCATAGTCCCATTCCGAATGCTCCTAATCAAAGCGTGTCGAAACGCAAAGACTCCTCTCAACTTCAACAAACCTTCTTGGAAAATCTGTACAAAACTGTTGCACTTCGAGAAAAAAATTCCAATCAATTGCATGAAATACGCAAAACCCGGAAACGTCTATCCGACTCACTTCTCATTCAACAAACGCAATTATCATTGATTGGAAGCATTCATTCGCATTTACAACAGCAACAACTACAACAACAACTTCAGCAACAGCATCAGCATATTCCAAACAGTCTCACATATCAACATGATCAAAATACCAATACCAATAATAACAACAGCAATAATAATAACAATAATAATAATAATAATAACAACAACAACAATATTAGTAATAATAATAATAATAGTAACAGCAGTAGTAGTGGTAGTACATTTGTTCGTCGTCGTTCGACCCGTTTCCACAAAATTCCACCTATTCTCCAAACGATCTATCAAGGAACGTCTTTATTCACTCCCAGTGAACCACAAAAGATTTTTGTTATTCGCCATGGTGAACGCGTCGATTCAACATTCGGTGCCAACTGGCTTGACCAAGTATTCGATAAAGCAGGCACTTACCAACGATTTAATCTCAATCTACCCAAGAAAATGGTTACACGAAACGACATCAAAGATTTCCTCTTCGATCCTCCACTAACGGAACTGGGTTTACACGAATGTCAAATGGTTGGCGAAGAACTTGCTGCTCAAGGTGTGAAAATTTCTCATGTTTATTCATCACCAGCATTGCGATGTATTCAAACAGCTGATAAAATTCTCGAAGGTCTACAAATGAAAGAGAGAATACCGATTCGTGTTGAACCATGTCTGTTCGAGTTTCTCAAATGGTATCCTGTTGTTCCGGTGAAATGGCCATTTCTGGACGTCGATGAGTTAACTGAAAATGGATATCATGTCGACAAAGCCTACGTTCCATTCTATCCAATCGAATCGCTTCGAAAGGATGAAGACGAGCTCATGTTTTACACAAGAAGTCATTTCATAACAACATCTATTTTGAAAAATCATGAAGTTCAAGAAGGAAACATACTCCTCATCGGACATGTAAGTATCTCTTCTATGGATTGATCTTTACTCTTGCCAAATTCCATTATGTATAGGCATCGACCATCGAAGTATGTACTCGACAGCTGATCGGTGGTCAACCACGGGTCAATGATCTCAAGTTTCTTGTTTTACGTGTACCATTTCTATCGATGCATTGCGTCACCAAACAGCCGGATGGCACGTGGCGTGCAGCGAAACCACCCATTTCACCAAATAAACATGCAGCAGTCGAACCATTCGATTGGAGATTTTTCAGATGAAGAAGACAGAATAGTTTTTTTTGCGGATTGGATTGAAAAGCTCCTGTATATTTCGTTTTGTTGTGTATTATGGATAGATTTGTTAGCGCTTGATGAATAAAATACAACGAATTGTATCCTAGTGTTTAGAAATGTGATTCGAAGGGTCTACGACACAGTGATTATTACATTTCATATATTCTCAAGTAATACAATGATGTTTATCTAATTCATTTATCTTCGTCTATTATTTCGATCCCTCGTCAATAACAAAGCCGAATGTGTCTCCTTATACAGTCATCCCTTACACTCTTGAACTTCAATCAACACTGCAATTTAAGTAATGCTACAGCCTGATAGATTCACTATTTTTCTAGTCTCATATCTTTGGTATACCTACTTCTTTTCAAACATCTGTGTATGGATATACAATCACACACATTATATTGAACTAGGAGTTTATATGGAATTCATCAGTATGAAGCTAGCACCACGAAACAAAAAATCACATAAAATCTTATGTTCAAATGAAATCCTATGCATACAAATGAGTTTATTCGATCCCAGGTTGTCCAGATGAAATTTCTCTCAATCGTTCTTTAGTCAATAAAAGTGTCAGTATTTGATGCAGAATCAAATCTGGTATCAAATGAATTCATTTATATGCATAGGATTTCATTCGAACATAAGATTTTATTATGACGGTTTGTTTCTTCGATACAGCATGAAAAATGGTTGCTTGCTGATGTCTATAGCGCGTTCAGTAGATGAATTGAGCTTCGAAAATGTTTTCTTAACTTTCCAATTTCACTATCAAAAACAAAGAACTGAGATTTAATTGATAGAAAATGTATTTCGATCGAACATTCTCTCTGATTTTATCGATGGGGCTTTTGGTATACAGACGTTTTTTAGTCAGCCGAATTATTCAAGAACGAGAAAAACTTTAAAGTAGACGATATTTTCGTAATAGAGTTTTTATCTGCAAAACTGATTTTTACTTATCTAACTGAGAAAATAATATAATTCAAGAACTCAATAATCCTCTTCTTACAGTATATATGTATGTAATAGTTTTATTTCTTTTTCAAACTAACAGGTGATGGGTAATCATCTTTATCGAACGAGCGATATTATATTTAAACTAACCATCCATAGAACTTCAAGTCTTATCATCTAGATATTCATATACTGTCAAGTACTAGTAAAAAAATAGGAAGAAAAGAAAATCAATCCTTTAATAGATTTAATTATCATACATTTATTTTTTATTGATAATAAATAAACGATTTATATTTCAACTCTAAAGTGTAATTGTGTAACGTGAAATGAAAACAACTTGTAAATGATCTAGATTTTAGTTCTGAAACATGTAGAATCACATTGGCATTCACAGCTCTGCATCGAATTTGCGCTTAGGATTGTGATAGTGACATATCATGTCACTAACGAGGGAAAGTCACCAACTTTAAAATCGCTTTGGACTTGAAACCTAGGTCACTATAAGTAATCGACCATGTTAAGTCCGAAAATCATGATCTCGACGGCTAATGCTTTTCCAAAGACTAGGTTTTCTGAAGGCCGAACTTCTAGAAGACCAAAAAGTTTTCAAATATCATAGTTTTGTCAGCTCAGGTTGTAGAACACATGAAGTTGTCCACGAAACAAAATTTGTTTCTGTTTCGCCTAGATTCTTTCTAAGATATATATTCGTTGGTATTCAGATGAAGGATGCAAAGCATATCATTTTTGTATAGGAACACAGAACTTACTTTTCTTTTTCCATAGTCCACTATTACAAGGCAGAAATCTATTATAATTCATGGACAACTCGATGTGCTCTATCACTTAAGCTAATGAAAAAGAAGACCTGGAAACTTTTTGGTCTTCTAGAAGCCCGGTCTTCAGAAAACCTAGTCTTTGGAAAAGCATCATCCGTCGAGATCATGATTTTCGGGCTCAACATGGCCGATTACCCATACTGACCTATGCTTCAAGTCCAAAGCGGTTTTTAAGTTGGTGACCTTCCCTCGTAAGTAGATTTGTTCTTTTTTGTAGCGGACAGTGCACAATGATTTTGTTTCTCAGCTCGCCGATCTAACTACTTCTATTCGAACGAGTATTGCTCGATATTCCTCATTACACTCTGATGTCACACAGTTGGTATTTCATTCCACCGAAGTTTATCAAGAATTTTCTCTTTCTATAATTGAGTACAATCTGTTTGCTCAATTTAGCCTAATGACTAATTGAATTTAAATAACAGGAACACTTCTATTGACTTCAATCATATTTTGTTGCCCAATTAATCGATCACTTGTACGTTCAATGACGTTTACTGTTTTCTTCTATAGTCTGTTTCGTGCTTGATATTCTAGTCAACTGCTTCTTATTTGACTACATTGAATATCTACGAAATGGTATGGATATACATCCAGTTTTAATGTTGGACTGACATCATTGAATAAACTACGAGAAAAATGTAGCGTTGCACTTGCTGCAAGTGCTCTCATGAAAAAAAAGAAAGGGGTAAGATGAAAATAACTTGTGGGAAAGCCATCTCGTCTTTGTCGCGTATACCTATCGAATAACTGAATAAGATATATATCACAATATTGAAATCGCTACAAACGTCATGAAGTGTTCTCGTTCTATCTAATACTATAATCAAAACTTTAATGGAATTTCCGATTAATTCTCAATAATTAATTTGTTTATTGTGCAATTAGCAACTGAGCACCATATTCGTTTTACGAAAGAACGTATGTGTACTGTAGTCTGATTGCACTCGTACTTGTAACCAACTCGTGAAACACCCTAAACAGTTGGAAGAAAGTAAAGTCGTTTTTTTACTTCGTTTCACTGACAGTTGATTGGGTTACGTCACGTCATATCGATGTTCCCGTAAATAACTTAACATTGGACATTAACACGAAAAAGAGAGGGAAAAGTCAAGTGTATGTGATAGTTATGTGTTTTATATGGGCATTTTTCTTGCGAGTAGCTTAATCATGATGAGAGAAAGTATTGCAGTCATTATGTTTGACTATCGAACAAAGCAACAGACAGTATTCATCTAAAAAGATTTTAATTCAAATGGGCGACAGAATAATTCGGGAATAATTCAAGACTATCAGTTAATATTTCGTGACAAGAGCAATATACTCGCTCGTTCAGTCAGATTCAGCCTATTATCAAAGCTTTCGGATAAATGGTTGATTGAATACACACTTATATGTGATCTGAACATAATCATTTAAATGTACTTCCGACATGTACATATAATGAGGACGGTAAAATGAATGTTGAACTGACCAAAGATCAACGAGAATAACTATCTAACGAAATAAACTACAAAAATATTTCACAATCCGCATTCCTATCACTTGCTCTGTTTGTGCATTTCGAATACTACGCATTTTGCGTATCAATTCTTCGTACCCGGCTGAGTCTAATTACTTGTGGTATTAATCATCGTATCCTTGTGTACGCTCGTATTCTCCTGCACAATATTTTGCTGAAGTATGATGCGTCGATGTGATTTGCCTTTAGGCAGGCAATAGTATACCTCACCTATCGTTAAGCAACAAACTACCTTTTCGTTTGATGCATATTTCTTCATTTCTTTCGTTCGCCTACCGAAAATTTAGGTATCAGGTCAAAATGACAACTGACATAGTTATTGATATGTATTTCTATTTCGATTATTAGCAGGATCGTTCATTGTCTATTTTTAAACATTGGACATACTTTTTCGTTATTGAAAATAAGCAGATCGGTATATAATCATATACTTGTATAACCATGCACTAAAACATTGTATTACGACTTAATTGGTAACTGATTTCCAGTGTCAATAGTACATCTTTTCGCACAACATCTCGTCCTCATTCGTCTCTGCAAGATTATTGGTAAAAGTCAACGAACTGCATGACAACTCTCAACTTCAGATAAATTGTATGAATATATTATGTACTTCACAATTATTTCCTAAATTCATCGTTCTCACCTGTGTATACTTTTATGAATATGCGAGCATAAATCATATAGCCGTCTCTCTCTCTCTCGATTTTCTGTGATTGAAGCCAATCAACCATATTATTATTTATGCATCTACACGAAAATATTTTGATATAGGCGGTATGATATTCGAAGCAAATATATAACGCATCAGTGTTGTTTTTATTTCGAAATAATATTTTCGAATAGGTGATCCATTTCTCTCAGGCTTTCTTTTACCCTATCTTTTAGACCGACATTGCCGATCAAATGAATAACAAAGTAACCACCGTTTATGTGCGACTCATCTTTCTCAGAATAGGTAATCTCTTCACACACACACACATATTCATCTTACCTACATCTTTTTTTCACTTCTATAGGTGAAATCGATACTCTCAATGAAAAGTATCAAGCTCAAGCATCCATCGAGAGTCGGTGGGCTGTCGACTCTGAACAACTTCTCGCAGAACTTTCAGCTGATGATCAGCAATCCTTGGCAGATGGAAAGTCAGTTTCACTTCAAAAATATACAGAATCACACTGGCATCCACAGATCTACATCGAAAATGCTCTTGGTGATCTGAAAGAACAGATCAGATACACCGCCAAAATATCCAAGCACGACAACAGACTATACATCTGCGAGCAACGCGATATAAAAGGGCTGTTCTGGGAGAAACTTGAGCTGCAGTATTTTCCATCTGATGTTCAAGATCTGTCTATCTCAGTTGCATCGATGTTGTACAACGACCGAGTTATTCTGCTTCCTGATGGTGATCGGAAGAGTGGAGTGAATCGAGAAGCATTTGTTGATCAACAAGAGTGGAATCTGTATGCACACGTTGATGCTGAACAGAGAACAACGGCTGAGTTCGATTTCGATTCAACGGATCAAGACGATCGTCCAACGACAAACATCGTTGGAGAACGGAAGCGAACGATAGTGACGGTGACATGCCATGTGGGTGTGTAAACTTATTCTATTTTCTAACGAATAGTGCATGGTGATTTTGCTTTTCAGCTCGACGATCTAGTTATTTCTACTGGAATGGATATTGCTTGATTTTTCTCATTACTCTGGTTTCATATACTTGTTTCTTCATTCCACCGAGGTTTGTTAGAAATTTCTTTCTTCTTATCTACTTTCGGTATTCAGTCAAATGTATAATCGGATTCAAGTAACGTGCACACTTCTTCTGACCTCGATCACTTTTCGTTGGACCGTGAACCGATCACTAGTACGTTCAATTAAATATGCGATTATTTAGCAATAGTTTGTTTCGCTCTTGATCTTTTAGCCAACTATTTCGTATTTGACTACACTGGACACCTATGGAATAGTGTGTATATTCGCTCTGGTTGTTAGTGGAATCTGGCACACTCTTGCTGGCTATCTGACGTTTGAATACACAGCTAATTTTGTTGTTACACCAAGATCATGGCAAGTGAAATACGATCGAATAGCTTTCTGTGTCCAGTTTGGTTTATTCGTATTCGGTAATATAGCATTTCTCATCTGGTTACATTTTGTTCCACTGAAACAACGTCGAATAATGAATGAAAAAGATGCGGCGTTGCACGTGCAAAAGCCCGGATCAAAAAGAAAGATTAGTAAGGCGGAAGCAGCAAATAGCAAAGCCACGTCGAACTACTCACGTATACCTATCGAATAACTGAACAACTTTATAATATAATATTGACGTTACTATAACCTCTATGAATTGTTTCTCGCTATCCAATTCTAAAATCAAATTTTTTGTAAACTTTTTCATATTACAACTAACAACTGATCATGACATTTGTTTTCGACAAGGAAGATATCTGTACTGAAAGTTCGCTCGTTTTTTAAGCACCCTAGTGTTCGTAGAAATTGCTACACAATTCGAAATCTGCCAAGTAAAGTCCTTCGAATATAGTCTGTATTATGATGAACGTGAGCATGACATTTTTAAATATAATATTCAATAGAAGCCATTTAGCACGCAGTATGCATGTATTAAATGTAATTGTCGAAAAGAAACTTGTTCACTATCGAAATCAATCAGACGCATTTTTAGCAGAAATTATGTCACAAGGTCAGTCTTTCTTTGATATACGCAACATTGAAGTATGTATTTTGTGATTACTTAGACTGATTGCAAATGATAGCTCTACTTCGTTCGATCGAAGGTCGATAAAAAGGACGATTTGTTCCTACAATTTACCTGAACGTCGCATAACAAGACGTATTCAGACGTGTTCACGCCTCTCAAAGATAACATCGTCAGTAGGAATGAATTATTACCTAAATATAAAATTTCATCTATATAATGCATCATTATTTACCTGCTAGCACCACAGAGTGCGGCCTTGTTCATCTTTGAGTAAAAAAAAGCACACCGTATTACATTTTCTTTAGGAAGAAAGACAGACCGACATTGCCGATCAAATGAATAACAAAGTAACCACCGTTTATGTGCGACTCATCTTTCTCAGAATAGGTAATCTCTTCACACACACACACACATATTCATCTTACCTACATCTTTTTTTCACTTCTATAGGTGAAATCGATACTCTCAATGAAAAGTATCAAGCTCAAGCATCCATCGAGAGTCGGTGGGCTGTCGACTCTGAACAACTTCTCGCAGAACTTTCAGCTGATGATCAGCAATCCTTGGCAGATGGAAAGTCAGTTTCACTTCTCAAATACACAGAATCACACTGGCATCCACAGCTCTACATCGAAAACGCTCTTGGTGATCTGAAAGAACAGATCAGATACACAGCCAAAATATCCAAGGATGATACTAAAATAGACATCTGCGAACAACGTGATATCAAAGGGCTGTTCTGGGAGAAACTCGAGCTGTACCATTTTCCAACTGATGTTCAAGATCTGTCTATCTCAGTTGCATCGATGTTGTACAATGACCGCGTCGTTCTCCTTCCTGATGGTGATCGAAAGAGTGGAGTGAACCGAGAAGCATTTGTTGATCAACAAGAGTGGAATCTGTATGCACACGTTGATGCTGAACAGAGAACGACGGATGAGTTCGATTTCGAATCAATAGATCAAGACGATCGTCCAACGACAAACATCGTTGGAGCACGAAAACGAACGATAGTGACAGTAACCTGCCATGCTGGTTCGTTCAACTCTTTCGTTTTCTGAAGAACAGTATGCTTTAATTCTGACTTTTAGCTCGAGAATCTAGCTACTTCTACTGGAACGGATTCTGCTTGATCTTCTTGATTACCCTGATCTCATACACTTGTTACTTCATTCCACCACAGTATGCGCTGATTGCTGCTTATTTTTTTACATATTATGTTATATTTTATTATCTAGTCAAATGGTCAATCGAATTCAAACATCTTCCACACTGCTGTTAACATCGATTACATTTCGTTGGACAGTGAACCGATCACTTGTAAGCTAGACAAACCGTGCACGAGTACTTCTTATCCTTTGAAACACACTTTCTATTCTAGCCAACTATTTCCTATCTAACAACTATGGATAAATACGGTATTGCATGCATATTCTCTCTAGTTGGCAACGTAATATGGCATACATTTATTGGTTATCTAACATTTGAATACACGCCTAACTTCAGTTCGAATCCGCATATGTGGCAAGTAAAAACGGATCGGATAGCGTTTTGCGTGAGTTTCTCGATTTTCATCCTGGCTCACATGTTCTTCGTCATTTGGTTACTCGCCGTTCCACTCAATCACCGTCGAAAAATGAATAAAAAAGATGCAGCTTTGAATTTAACAAAACCCAAAGGAAAACGCAGTTTACGTGTCACTGACATTGAAATCGAACGCAGTTCGTCATCGGCTCGAATAGCAGATGATGCCATGAATTTACAAACAATATAATCTACTCTTTACCTATAGTTAAACTTGAGAGCGGTTTTCACTCTTTATTTTACTTTGTAATCAATCCTCAATAAAATAGATTATCTTGCTTTTAACAACTAACTTGACGACATACTTGAAATAAACATTAGAATAAAGAAAAAGATAGATAAGCTTTTATAAAGGCCAAGCACATTGTATAATGAATTTCGCACGAATCTGTCTTAACACAGAACGACCTTCTTCCTTGTTCTGCAGTTTCAATATGTTGATGTGGAACTAAATCTCGCAATGAATAACAACGTATTGCTTGATCTATACCAGTACAGTCAAACTCCTTACTGCTGTACAATACATTAATACCGAGTGAAATACTCATTCAACCAAGGTTTAAGAAAGAGAACGACATCAAACAATTACGAGCACGCATTATCGTGACGCTAGTTCATTCTATTGCAACGAAAACAAAGAATATCTGTCTCAATGGAATTACCGACGTTCATCGTATTCGATATTTTCTTCTCTTTCTCACCTCGCTTTCACCCCATTCGGTCAAATCGAGGCACACCTAGACAATATGTATATTTATTTTTATTATCACATGACAAAAAGTCAATTGTTATTGATTAAAACTGCATTTTATCGATAACAAGCATTTATAACCACTACCATAAACACAATAACTGGTACGCGATTAAATTTCATCGCCGATCGACGTGTGCATACAATGTCAACCATCGAAAAAGGATTGTCAGGTTGGATATCAAACTTAAAAATCTCATACTAAAGTATAAGTTCATCTGATGATTGTTTTCAGTGTTTCGGAACAAAAATGACGATGAAGATAATCTTTTGGCAAATAAAGCTGTCAAAGTTTATGTTCGGCTTATGTTTCTTCGTATAGGTATTTGATTTTTCAAAGCATTCGAAACAAAACTTGACATGTTGTATTCATTTAGGTGAAATCGATACTTTGAATGAAAAGTACCAAGCTCAAGCATCTATCGAAGCACGTTGGACAGTTGAAACGAATCGAATACTATCAATTCTTTCATCGGACGAGCAAAAACGTTTAACAGAGGGAAAGTCAGTTTCACTTCTCAAATATGCAGAATTACACTGGCATCCACAGCTCTACATCGAAAACGCACTTGGCGATTTGAAAGAACAGATCAGGTATACTGCCAAGAAACCGAAGGAAGATAATCAAATCTACGTCTGTGAACATCGTGATATCAAAGGGCTGTTCTGGGAGAAACTTGAATTGCATCATTTTCCATCTGATGTTCAAGATCTGTCTATCTCAGTTGCATCGATGTTGTACAATGACCGAGTTATTCTGCTTCCTGATGGTGATCGGAAGAGTGGAGTGAATCGGGAAGCGTTTGTCGATCAGCAGGAATGGAATTTATATTCCCATGTTGATACACAACAAAGATATGTAACAGAATTTCTTCTTCACGATAGTGACGATGAGGATGATGACAACGATCGAAGACAATGCTTCCACAATTCGGAAGATCGAAAACGATCCATATTAACAGTAACTTGCCATGCAGGTTTGTTTTACATTAAAAGATCGAGAAGTAATACTTCAGTTCATTTAAAGCTCGTCAATCGAACTATTTCTATTGGAACGGTTATTGTCTCATCTTACTAATCACTCTAATGTCATTCTGTATATTTGCAGTTCCACCAGAGTAAGTTGTACAAATCCGCATTATTGTTCGATCGATAAATATATTTTTTGTCAGTCTAACAGCCAATCGCATTCAAACATCATGCACGTTGCTTTTAACATCCATTACATTCCGTTGGACCGTCAATCGATCACTTGTAAGTCATATGAAATCAAGCACAACACCTCTCTGTCTCATCTCATGTTTATGTTTAGCCAACGATTTCCTATCTGACTTCAATGGATAAATATGCAATTTTATGTATTTTTATTCTGGTCACTCTTTGTATTTGGCATGCTTGTTTGGGCTCATGGATATTTGTCTACACGCCTAATTTTCGTACGACCCAAGATCTATGGCTTATTCATCTTGATCACTGTGTGTTTCTCGGCGCAATTAGTGTCTTGATAATCATTCATATAGTTCTCCTAACATGGCTTTATTACGTTCCATTGAAATGTCGTCGGCAAATGGCCGAGAAAGACATCGAGTATCGACAATCGATTCGTAAGGAGGGAAACAATATGAAATATTCGCCTTTAGTCATATAAACTAGGTCGTTTTGGTGATGTGTATGTGTGCGCTCTATCCTTTTTGTTTGTCTGTGCTGTTTTATTAAATAATTAGAGCTAAAAGAAGAAGTTTGAATATGTATTGCATATGAAAAGAGAGAGAGAGAGAGAAAGGGTAAAGAAAAACCGTTTGAGAGTATGTCCATATGTCTTAAGAACAAGCTTAAGCTTCTTCTTCTCGGTGTTCTTTGGCTGATTTCAGTTGAATTTGATCACGAAAATTGATTTTTTCCTCTTCTTTTTGTTCTTCTTTGAGAGCAAACTTATTGGTGGTTTGTTTCAGATTAGCCATGTTAATGAAGTTAGGTTCGTCTTCTTTGGGCTTTTTGATTTTGTTCAATCTAGGAGAGAGTGCAGTTCGACATATAAGAAATTCTTGATTATTAGAGTACAACATACTTTTGCTCCGTCTTCGAGACTTTCTTGAGTGATGGTTTAACAAATTTACCTTTGATATCGTTGATTTTGATGTTCAATTCGTTGATCTAAATACTCGAAAGATGATTCAGTTGGATGAGAAAGAGAAGTTCGCTTACATCGTAATCTTGTTTTCGAATCTTGACTTCGAAATCGTAACGACTTTCTTCCGTTGTTTTCAATTGGTTATGAAGTTCTTGGCAGAGTGCTTTCAATTGAGCTGCAAAAAAAGAACGAATTCGCAAATGGTTTTTTTTCGAAGAAACGATCAATTACATTCGCTCATTGACGAAAGATCGTCAAGTGGTTTCAAGCGTTGTTCGATATAGTTTTTACGTGCTTCTAAACGACGTTGTTGTTCGCCTTTAAGATTGTCTGTAGCCATTTTCATGATAAGAAGCTAAATGAAGAAGTCGCTGCCGAAATGAAGATATCGAACGAATCGAAATACTTACACGAAGTTTTCTCTTCTTTTCAGGTGTTAAACCGAATCGTTTCTTCTTTTCCGCCGCATCACGAGCTTCTTGACGTTTACGTTCTCGATCGGCTTTCTTGCGTGCTCGTTTCTCATCTTCGGTAAGCGCTCGGTCCTAATCGAACAAAACATATACGTTCTTCGATTCTTGTCTCACACGCCATGCAATTTCATAGTTACACTTGGCTCCGAACAATAATATTTGTGCTCAGCCTTTGAGAAACATCTCATGCATATTTGAATGTAGCAAGAAATCAATAAGACGAATCATAATCATGCAAAACAAGATAACATGCGAATTGATTCAATATTGAACATGATTCAGACGTGTTTCGTCAATTTTTACCTCGTCAGCCATTTTTGTCCTCTTTTGCTAGTTAACTAGAAGTCGATTTGTTGATTTAGTTTCTGTCCTTCGTTGATCTCAGAAAGAAGCAAAAGCAAGATAGACGCTGGATGATGATGATGTTAGTATCAAACGTTTATTCCTTTTTTTTCCTCTTCTTGGTAATATCTACCCACGTCTAAGCCACAAAACAGCAGAACGATGCGGCCGAAAACGATGCAGCGCGCGCGAGAGAGAGAGAGGAAAAAACGTCGATATTGTCCTATTCCTAAAATATCTGTTTATACGATCGTACGAGGAAATTCTCGCGTAGAAGAGGAAAAGAAAGAGAAATGAGGCTCTCGTTACATATCCTGTTCGGGTGTATGGCTGGATGTTTATATGGGATATCGACGACAAACAAGAAAGCTCGTTATTGTTCCCTTCCGTCTCGCGCATTTATGCGCATCAGTACGCATATGTAGATACATATGGATATAGAAATGGATAAGCAGAGAAATACGAATGGGCCAATATTTTTATCTCTCTTCATTGTATTGGAAGATGATAGATTGCAGGAGAAAAGGAAAAGGCCGATTTTCAGTACCAAAATATCGATCGTTACTAGAATCAAATGAAAAACTTATGTATGACATCTAGATAAATCGAAATCATTTATATGTTTTATTTGTTTTCTACGAAAACTAGGACTAAAAGAAAAAAAATTGTCTCCTGCTTATTCATCTTCGTGATGATGTTCGCCTTTGGTTGATTTCAGTTGAATTTGCTCACGAAAATTCACTTTATCTTCATGTTCTTCTTTCAATGCGAATTTATTCGTTGATTGTTTCAAATGAGCACGAAAATCGATTTCTTCTTCTTTGGGCTTTTGTAATTTTTGAATTCTAAGGTCGATCGAATAGAAATCATCATGTTCCGTGACAAATTCACTTACTTTTGAGTTGTTTTCGAAACTTTTTTCAATGTTGGCTTGATGAACTTACCTTTTGCATCGTTCACTTTTATAGTCAATTCGTTAATCTAAAAACACAACCGACTAAATCAAGACTCCGCTGTACTGTTCGATTTACTTCATAATCCTGTCGACGAATTTTCATTTCGAGATCGTAGCACGATTCTTCACCAGTATTCAATTGTCTATGAAGATCTTTCACTAATGAAACAAGACTTGCTTCATTGAGAGCATTCAGATCACTCGGTATGGCTTTCACACGTTCTTCAATGTAGTTTTTACGAGCGAGAGAACGTTGTTCGGCCGCATTCTTCAGATTATCCGTGGCCATTTTCATGATAAGAAGCTAAATTGACAATGGTCGTCCGGCTAAAAAATTCGAAATCTCACTCACACGAAGTTTTCGCTTCTTTTCGGGTGTTAAAGCAAAGCGTTTCTTCTTCTCCGCCGCATCACGAGCTTCTTGCCGTTTTCGCTCGCGGTCAGCTTTCTTTCGTGCTTTCTTTTCAGCTTCAGTTAATTCACGCTCCTACAATGAACATATGAATACACTTCTTCTCCGCATATACTGTACCTCGTCGACCATGTTGCTTCTCCTTGGTACTTGTTGCCGAAGATCTTATCCTTCCAGCTCAAAGCAATAGAAAACAATGAATGCTAATCACATCTTTTCTTCTCTTATTTATCTCGTCTTCTAAAGATCACCTCGCGCTTTTCTATATGATTAAAACCAAACCAGACACAAATATGTCATTCACGTCTTCTCTCTCCCTCTCTCATTTGTCTCACAGCCATTGTGATCATTTGCACACATCAATGCCTTTCGCCAGATGTATATTGTTAGTGTATAACCATGATTTTTACACGTATGTATATATATATATAGATAGATTTATCGCAAAAAAATAGACTATCTACTAGTCTAAAAAACAAAGATGGAATGAGAAAAAAACAAGAATAACAAAAAACGAGAAGAAGAAGAGGATCTTATAGACAAAAAATGATTTCAGGTATCTGTCCATCGTCAACATTTGAGCCGTTATTTTCGCCCGAAGCTAGAAAAAACAGAATGAAACTCCTAATATTTTTCTTCCACAAAAAAAGAGTAACAAACCGTATGCAAAATTGAATGTCACTTTTCCATCGAGACCACAATCATGAGTTATACGGCGTAAGCCACTAATCCCATAGAAGGAATCGGGTCCCTAAAATAGAACAATAGTCACTGTAAGCAAACGGAGAAGAGAATGTCTTCGAGAACAAACTTTGAGTTTAGCACTAGCAACGTAATATTCTCCTTGTTGAATTTCTAGTGGTTCTTTGAATGAGACTCGAAATGTTGACGATGATCCATCAGCCATGAACGTTGTTTCGTTTTCACCTAGTATTCGACCCGAATCCAAGTGATGTAACTAAAAGAAATTTAGTTTGACGTTTTCTTAGGAGGAAACGGTTTACCTGTATATGAACATTGTATTCGAATGGCTCGCGTATACTTCCATAAAGTCCATAGCCAGCGATAAACAGTCTTCGATCACATTTAAAACGAATTCGATCGAATGCATCCGAGTACGACCAACGATGCTCAACTTCTCCTTCACGAAATCGATTAATAGTGTATTCTTTGAATGTACTTCGTGGTTCATCGTCAAATTCGCATAATTTATAAGATTTGGCTGGTAAATTAAAATATAAAAATATCGAAATGATTTCTTTATCGGTTAAAATTCCTGATTGTGCTGGACCTTGGGCGAATTCTTCTTGCGTCATTAGCGGAAATCGAATCAATTTCAGAGCACCACCTAATGTCTGCCGAATCATATCAGGTGTAACAATTTGATTTCTACTATGACATTTATTCTTCGCCCATGCTATACACGTTTGCCAAAGTTTAATCTCTCTAACACCCAATGTATCACGTTTTAAAATAGCCATCAACGTATCTAAATCAACATCGAGTAATTCAGGTGCTTGCAGCATATGCGTGGCATTTTTGTCAATCACTTCTAAGCATTGAGCAGCTAGTTGTGCTTCGTCGAACAGACGAGCTTGACTCAAGAGAATCAAAGCATTTTCAATTGAAATATTCTTCTTTAGAAAATCTACACAAAGACGTTCGAGACCAAGTATACAATATTTCTTTGCACCATATAATATCGACATAACTGTATCGTGTGTTATTGACGATGATGGATTGTGGTAATCTCCATATAGGAAGCGTAGTAGAGTACGAAATGCATGAGTTTCCATATCAGGTACACGAATAATTGATGAAAGAGTTTCGTTATTTCGTTGGAACATCGCTTCGAATACGCATGAGCCGACACTTAATACAAATTTATGTGCAGGAAGTAGTTCGTCACTGTCATTGAGTTCGAAATGTATATCGGACATGTATTCATTTAGACACAGGGCAGATATACGGTCATTGAGGGATGTTTTCGATGCCTGAAAATCGAATGGAAATGTTTGGTTTGTTTCGAAAAAAAGAAAGATCGAAACATTTTGATTGTTACCTGCCAATTGAAGGGCAAACTAATTATTTGTTTATTTTGATTATCGTCATTTTCATGTTCGATGTGGGTGTTCGAGGACACGGCATTGGCTGGTGGAGGAAGACTTGATGCTTCATTAAATGTTGTCGAAGAACGACGTTGGACGGGATGATTATGATGGTCAGGTAGTGGTATCGGAGGATGAGGAGACGTGAATGATGATGACGGATTGGCTTTGGGCATGATCAATGCGCAGTACTCACTGCACGAAAGATCGTTTTCTACCTGGTCAATAATAAATCATGTATATTGAATGAGTCGAGGTCTTACCAACAAACATGCGATTCGAGTTTGATCTCCACCATCCAGATTGGTTTTGTCTACTTAAATGAATATATACGAAGAAATATTGACAAAAAAAACCTCAAATCTCATATGAAGAAAGAAGAAAAAATAATCAGAAATTTGAGAGAAGAATATTTCTTTCGCGATAGATGGGGCTAGATTGTTAATCAATACAAACAATTACTTGAGAACTTGATTTCTCATGTATGCATACATTGCACAAAGGAGGTGTAGAGTTCGATTGTTTTCCTCTCTCTCTCTGTCTCTGACGGATCACAGCAGGAAGTAACATTTTCGATCTTTTCACGGGGTCATCATCATCACAGTAATTCAATCACTCGTATCAACATTCACAATAACACACCGATTCATGGCCGATATCAATATCTTCTCATACTGATATCATTGTTATTATTTGCGCTGATATCGATATGAAGATGTTGATCGAAAAAAAGGTCGATAGTTCTACTTATCACTATAGGCTTTTTGCTTCTTTTCAAGTAGAAGATCCTTCCCGCGTGCATTCGAGGTCTACATAAGTGGATGATTTTGTACCCACTGAACATTGTCGAAAAAAAGAGAAGAAGAAAAAAAAAAAGAATGACCCATTTTCGTTCGCTATAGTTGTGTAATTCTCTCCTTGATTACACAAATGTAATATTGAAGAATCTCGAGAATTTCGTCCACACCTTCCTCCTTAGATGAAGTGTGGCCAAGTTCTCTCTACACTGTCCTTTATATACATATTCATCTATTTTATACACGAAGTTACTTAACTTATTCACACTTCTTACTCTTATCATAACGTCACATTTTCGACGTCACGCAGTGTCAAACTGTCATACACTATATTACTGTTTTTATACGTATTCGATTGAATTGTAATCATAGTTTCAAGTAGCTTTATTCTTCGATGATGATTGAAATGACCTCTTTTTTTTCTACCTTCATTTCAATCATCATTGGAGAACTTTCAAATAACGAATTAGCTTTTGGTTAAGCTAAGTCCTCATTCAATTTGTTAATTAGAAAAAAACAATTTCTATTCATAAACACATTCAATGTTTATACACAAGAAAACACTTCTTTTCTATGTACAAGAAGTTTGTTTATCTAACAGCTTTGCACGAAGAATATAGATTGTGATAATCTCATCTTCGTCAATAACTGAGCAGAATGAAAAGAACTTCGTTTTCTTTCTTCATGAAATTCAATACCTTTTGATCCACGGGAAAAACATCAGTTACTTGTGAAAATAGAACTGAAACTCTCTGATTATTTTGATCGAATTCACAGAGTGGAACTAATTAGAAAGAAAATCTTCAACAGTTTTTGTTCAATGAATATATTAAAGGTCGAGTAGAGTCAGACATTTCCTGTCCGGTCATTGTTATTTTTTTTTGCGGTATCTTGCATACATGTCTAAAGGCAATCCGGTATTGAGTTCATTGATCTAGACGCGTCCCATAGGCAAATAAGAGAAAAAGAAAGTGATCACACCGCGATTGATGAATATTTCATATCGAACAAATTTCTTTGATTCATTCATCTATTAAATAACCAAGTCGATCGAAAGACAATAACCACAAGGCATAGTCACCGATCTTGAAAACTGTCACAAAGGAAAAGCTATCGAACAAACATTCGCGCTTGGAAAAAGACAAACTCGCGTGTAAATAACATAATGAAATCATAAGACAGGATTATCGAGTGAGTCGAAAGTCGTGCGAATTATTCGCATGAGAGATCGATTTTTCAATATTTCGATCCGTTGGGATGATCATCGATCAAAACCTTCAAGTCATTAATGTTATGACATACTGATGGTAAACTCAATTTTCTGCTCAAATGAATCACCTGGCCATCTGCTCTAATTGCCTCCTGTTGTTTCTTCCTTCTGTTTTTTTTTCTCTTTTCTTTTCGTTCTTCGATGACCGACACACACATACACGCAGAAAAGAAAAATCCTAGTGGACGACGACAAGACAATCACACTACTCTCTTTGCATAGTATAGTCATACAACTTCATTTCTTTTCTTTTTCTTTTTTTGACAAGCTCAAGCGTGAGAAAGGGAAGGTGAGTGACAGACTAGTTTAATACCGGATGTGAATATTTGAACGTTGAATCGAGTAAGTAATTCAACAGTGAACGATAATCTTTCAATCATCTCAGTTTACATGACATTCTTAAGACAATTCGATTAAGATTCTTTCTTCTCTTTTTCTAGCATGTTTTCTATCTTTGTATTATTAACTTATTCGCTCTTAGTAAGTTCAACTTTGACTTTCGATATTCTCGAAAGAGATCTCGGCGATGCCATCGGAAAACTTCTTCTAATTAATGACAATCTCTATCTTGGTACAAGCCATTCACTATCTCGTCTATCATCATTAACATTGAACCGAACATTAAATGCATTCGAATTCGATGCCAATTCTCATTTGAAAGTTTTATTATCCTTACCGAACGAACGCATTCTTCTATGTGGAACGTCCGATCAAGGTTTCTGTCAAATTCTCGATAAAAATTTCCAGATCATTATCAATTCATCATTACCTATCGTTGCTAATGATCCAGTGAATAGTACAATGGCATTAATTATTCCGGAAAAGAATCTTGTCTACTTCGGCGTAACATACACAAATGAAGGAATTCAACGTTGGCAAATTCCAAACATATCCGGCCGTTCGTTGAATACATCGCGTTTCATGAAGATTGTTTCCATCAATGATAACGATGACATGATCTCACGTGATGATTTAGCATTACGTTTCATGTCGAGACAACAGACGACATTCATCGTTCAGTATGTTTATTCGTTTTATACAAAGAATTACATTTACTTTCTCACAAATCAACCCAATGATCTTGAACAGAAGACTTTATTAACGAAAATCGTTCGCTTTTGTCGCGATAGTACATATTCAATTATCCGAACGTATACAGAACTTCCATTAGTGTGTGTAAATTCAGATTGGATATTGAAAACTGCAGATATTAGTTACGATAAGAATAATAAACAAATTTTAATTGGTCATTTTACAAGGAAAGATGGAACAGGAGGAACAAATATTTGTTCATGGAATATCGAAAACGAGATTGATCAGGCATTTGAAGATAATTATCGGACATGTTATTCGATGGGCATCGGACAACGTGGTTTGGCATTTATTAAGCCAAACGAGCCGTGTCGTAAAGATGAGGTAAAACATTCTTTTGTTTTCTTCGAAAAGAAATTTCGACATGTATTCTCTATAGACATGGTCAGTGCCACTGAACGATGAGAACATTTGTCCTTGGATAATTAGTGATCGTTTACCATATCCAGTTGGTGGTGCGACACCTGTTCTCGGTCGAATACTTTATGAGAGTTTAATTGAAAGTTCTTCTGTTGTAAAGATATACTCATTCGACTCATCGACAATGCTTGTTTTTCAAGGCTTGACTAATGGTACTTTTAAATTGGTAAGTATATTTCATCGATCAAGGCATGTTTTAGAAAATGCCTTAAGACATTTATTCTTTTCATTTGCAACAAAAGTATACCGAATAGACAAAAGGTCAGATGACATGCTACTTTTGATTCAAACAAAGCATGTCACGCATTGACTACCCATCTGGCTTTTTCTTATTATTGTTTGATGATAAAGCATTGAACAAACATATACTTGAAAAGATAAAATCGACGTTTCTTGCTTTTGCTTTCCAAGGGCTCGCTCGATGTTGGTCGAAATCTCGATTGGTTTTATTCGTATCAATTATCATCGACAACACCGATTCTTTCCGATGTGATCTACGACAAGAAATCCGCCACGTTCTTTCTCGCATCAGGCTCCAAGGTTCATTATAAATCCAAACAACACCATTTTCATCAAATTGAAATGCATATTTTCATTTAGATCTATCGTCTATCATTCTCAAGTGATTGTACATCACGTTTGTCATGTGACGAATGTTTATCTTCATCAAATAATCCATTGTGTGGTTGGTGTACAATAAATGAACGGTAAGATGATCATTGAGATTGACATACATGCACATTAGACAAAGGAAAGAAAAACGAAAACTTCTCATGTCAATTTTAACAAAGATAAATGCTTTTAACCGATGAATATTGACACATCAAATGTGCACTTCTTAGTAATTAAAATGACACATGGATGTTGTCGTGCGACAAATTTGCAGCCGAGTACACATCTAACCGTTTGTTTTCGTTCGCATTTTCAGGTGCACATTGATCAATAATTGTCCTTCGAATTCTTGGCAACAGGACAGTCAACAGTGTACACATATTGTTAACGTTCAACCATTGAAAGCTTCAGTTGATTATATTCAATGGGTTTGTCTCATTAAAATCGCATTCGAATGTACATGTCATGTTTTTCTTTCCTTGAAGATTAACCTAACGTTATCAAAATTACCGCAATTAGAGCATAATGAAATCTATCAATGTATTTTCGGGAATAAAATCATGTCGGCATATACACAAGCAATTAAATTAGATCATAATCGTCTTTCGTGTCCCACGCCATCAAACCAAAATCTTCAGCTATATACAGGTAAGAGATTAGATCACTTAACACATGCGATCGTATTGGGAACGAAATGTCAATTAACGTAGTTTGGCTTTTTATCTTAATGATCTTTTCAATTTGTATATAAATAGAGACGAGGAATTCATTCATAAATCAAGTGATCATTTATGTGAAAGGAAATTTGTTTCTGTCTTTGATAAGAAGATAAGATTAAAACGTTGATATGACCTTTGTGTCTTTTGAGAATGTTTTTTTTGTTCCTGTTATTTGTTTGACCTCTCTTCCGTCGGATATAATTATATATTTTGACACTTCACTTTCGTCTTCTTTCGCTTCAGGAAAGATAGTTTCTTCAAGCTTAATTAATTCGCTTCTTAAACGAACTTGAAATATGGACACATTCGCTGATAACACATAGCAAAAAAAGGCGCAGCAGGAGGGAGAAGCTAATTAGCGGAAGAAGAAGGAGAAGACCTTTGATAAGCGAAATGCTCGCATAACTTACGGGTAATTCTTACTTTTTTAGGATCTTCATCGAAAGTTCGCTTATCGGTGGTAAAATGGCCATCGAATACAAGTGTGGCAACCGTACCTGAATTCACATTCTATAATTGTTCATCCTATTTGTCATGTGCCTCGTGTCGCTCGCAGATCGGATGTCAGTGGTGTTCTCAACGTTGTTCCTCGATGTGTACTGAATCGAGCGGACAATGTCCAACATTCAAGCTTGTCGATCCTGCAAATATTTTTCTTGAAGCTGGTCAACCGGCGACTATTCCATTGAAATTCGACTCGTTCCAGTTAGATAATTCCATTGAATGTCGTCTCAATGGAACAATTCACGGTTTCCTCACCTCCGATGGTGTTTGCCAAATAACGAAAGTTCCCGACGTAACTCTAGAGAACAATGGTAAAGTTTATCTAAATCTATATCAAAATGATGTCTTGATCGGTATGCCAATTGAAATGTTTATCTACCGTTGCGATCTTTATGATTCCTGTGACCGATGTAATACACGTTCCAGATGTTCTTGGTGTCAAGGTGAATGTTCATCGCAATCAACGAACAAATGTCTAACGAATGAACAATGTACATCGTTGTATATCAAAGATTTTTCACCGAAAGTCATTCCACTTCATGGACAAACAATTCTTCGCATTGAGCTCAATGAAGATGCGAAAGATGCAGTGCAAGAGATTTCACTTGCTGATATTCCTTGTTTATTGATCAACTCTTCGAATGTCATCCAATGTCAAGCACAACCATCGAATTCAACACGAAAGGGACGAATAAGTATTCGTTTTTCGAATGCAATTTATATATTATCAAAAGAAATAATTGAATATCGACAACCAGCGATTGTCTCAATAAATCCTTCGATTGCCTATCAATTTGGTGGACAAATACTTCACATTAATGGACAAAATTTAATCAGCGGGAATGAACAAAACATCCTCATCGGTAATTACCATTGTAAGAAGATCCAACAGACTCTACGAAACACTTTATCGTGTCGTTTGCCATCGATTCCATCAGGACTTTACAACATAACAGTGAAAATCGATGATCAAATGATCAGTACAGAACAACAGCTGAAAATCACGCCGAATCCAATTGTTCAAGACATCGATCCCACGATAAGTTTTGCAAGGTAAAAGAAAGCAGATTGAATAACGATGCTCATTCATGATTTTATTTCAGTGGTGGGCGATTAATAACCGTACGCGGAATGTACTTCAAATCGATTCAAATTATAACCGTGAAATTTTCGTACAAAAAATGGAATGCAAAACTAAAAGTTTGCTACGTGAAAAATCTCGTCCCTAAAACGATCTTTCGTTTCATATTTAGATCAATTCCAATGATTTGGTATCTTCAGATGGTGGATTGGTTTCCTCATTCAATTTTCGTACACCGGGAATCCCATCTGCATCAGAAGAGTTTCCATTACCACCACTCGATGTGAATTTCTCGTTGGACTTTGATGATTCAATCATCTCGCTTCCAAACATTATCCAGTTTCGCTACATTCCCGATGTTTTACTCAATGTCTCATCGACACCGCAAACACTACCATACACGGGTGAAGAATTGAAATTACAAGTCGAAAATCTAACTGAAGCGGCTTCCATGTCTGATATCCAGCTGTTTATCGGCTGTTCGGAATGTAAATTGAAGACATTCACATCGAAAGGCATCACTTGTCAACCACCGACGAAATTAGCCATCAATACGGCCATTGTTCTTAACAGTCCACAGCAACCAGACGATTGCACATTGTTTAACTCATCTATCGGCCCTATTCGATTTCGTATTGGTTATCGAGAATACTTAATCGGTTATTTATCATACTCTCGTTCATTCACGTCGAAATATTCATTTCTGACAATCATCGCACTGATTTGCAGCAGCTGTTTAGTAACAATTGCGCTGCTTATTCTTGGTCTATACCTCTTCTACAAATTTCGTAAAACCAAATCACCGCCGAGTTCTTTGACAAATATCGAGCGAAATGATAAACAATGCTGGTCAACAGATACATCAGCATCCACAGGTCCATACTACCAAGTCTACGAACAAATCTCCTGTTTATCATCCCATGAAAATACTTTGACTCGTGGTACACTTTTATCGTCATGTCCCTATCATCAAGAAAAACGTCTCACACCGCCAATTATGGAACAATTACAAATGAGTCTGTCTTTTCTAACAACACTGTCAGTCGATGATGAACAATTGAAAAAACTACTGTTCCCAGCAGAGAACACGTACGTTGCTGATATCTTCTCTAGACTGTCGTTTCTAATATTTTTTCTTCTAGATTTCCGTCAAGGCATTACCGTCCATCGATGGAATTGTTTTATGATCTGCTTCACATGGCACCATTTTCTCAAGCATTTCTTGACAAATTACTCGAAAATGATTCATTCGATCTACTCGAAGCATATGTTTATCTCTTTCGTTACATGCCTGCGAATCTTCACTCGTTCAACAATTTCTTTCAATTCTTCTCCACATTATTCTTTCAAAACAAGAAAGATTTAATCAACAAATTCCATTTTTTCGATGATTTCCTACGAATTCTAATCGATCTGATTGATTCCTCACCATCCGATGAAATCCTACATCGTTCATCTCGTTCCATCTGTCCGTCAACTCTGCTAATAAACAACATTCAACATTGTTCGTACCAACTGACAATCGATTACGAAAATTTCCTTCGTTTTCATCTATCTGTTCTGGATTGCGACACAATCAATCAAGTGAAACAAAAAATCATTCGATATTTAAATTCCCACGAAAATACCTATCGGCTAATTGACTGCGATCAATTAGACTTGCTGTTACCAACCTTGAATCATTGCACATGCATGTCTCAAGTTCCCATGATAAAAGATTATTTGATTAATTCAATAATTTATTGTCAAAAACGATCGTCGATGAAAAGTGCGAAAACTTCGTATGCGTATCATCTATGTCCGGAGAGTCAAATGATTATGGAAAGGAAATTAATCGAAGAGAAGTTATTAGAAAACAAGAATCGTTTACAGCAAATTTTCATTTATTTTTACCAACAAATTGCCAATGGTTTGGATCTCTTTGACATCTGGACCAATGACTTTCAACGTGATCTTCTTTTTCCACAGTGAGTTTTTTTGCTCTGCAAAAACAGAGTTAAGTAATGAAAATCATCTGTTTAGATACATTCGATTAGTCAGTGAACTTATCCGACGGTTGAACCGTTTGATCTTATGTCGTTCAACATGTCCGATCATTGAATCGTGTTTGAATGTCATTGCTGATGGCTTAGAATTCATCTTTGAAACAAAAACAGAGGTAAGATTTTGCTATATGGAAGACAATCGTTTGCTTATTCATTTGGATTCTTTGCAGTTTTCCTCGGAGATCGAATTGTTGTTCACGGACGAGAAAAAACACTTCGCATCGTTCGACCGAAGCAGTTTTCATATACGTTCATCGAATCAATACAATCCAAAATTCTCCTCGAACGATATTCGTTCGTTGACTCTCAATGATGATCGTGCGATTGAATGTCTTTTTAAACTTTATGAATTTTATGAATCAAATAGTGAACCAGTAAGTGAAGATTGACAATTCGATCGGAACAATGTGGTTTTTTTTCCTTAGATCAACCAACATATTGGCGAAAATCATGTCAGTGTGCTACTGCCTGTTCATCATCTACTTGTTCGAATACGACAATTGCTTCAATCCGACAGCCAGACACTGATTTGAGATGAAGAGTATCTCAGGAACGAATTGATCTAGTTGCTTTTTTTGTACAGAATATGTTTTGTTTTAAATATATACAGAATGCTATCGTTCACTGCTCATTTCGATATCTTTCTTTGGCATCGCTTCATGCTCGATGAAAAATGAGTTGTTATCAATGATATATTGATCAAGGTTTACAGATGATGACAAGAAATTTCACTGGTACTCGTTTGCTCACAAGATCAGTTCAGTGATAGATGCTTCGCGACTCACGAGTGGTTCCTGGTGAATACTGACATGTTTGGAATGGTCGGTCACATGAGGATTTGGAAGAATCTTGGCTGTGACAATCGCATGAGGCAAATCGATCTAAAACAAGAGAGTGTATCGAAAAGAGAGATAATGCGAGCTTTACGCGAAAATAACAGTTGCTGTGCGATTCGATTTGCCGGGCGATGCTTGTAGGCACGAATTCGAAATCATCCGGGAATTCCCACTCAGTCTCTTCACGAATCTTCTTTGCTATGATTTCACGGTACTAAGTAAATATGCGCGAAACCATACACAAAACGAATGAGCATGAGAAAATTACTTGATTGAATATATGCCGATCTTCGGTAGTCAAATCAGCAAACGATGTCAGTCCGGCTGATTCAAGATCTCGACTAAATCGAACACGATGAGAATTTTTCGTACGAACAATCTTACCCGGGAATGGGTAAACACTGTGATTGCAATTGTATTTTATCGTCTTCCCACATCGCTCGTTTCCTTGCACGTGTATTTCTGCACTGGATGTTTGCCTCACCTATATATAATCAAAATCAGTTTCATGTTTATTACGTAGACGCAAAAAGAAACCTAATTAGTATGAAATAAGTTTTTGCTTCGATTGTCCCTTGATAGGCATAGTATCATCATTAATTGGTTATATGTCGAGTTGTTCATGCTGATAGGTCGGTAGATGAACGAACAAGATACACATCACAGATTGTTTCATAATCGAGAAGGTTGGTTGTTATATGGAAAAATGTAATTCAATCATGTTCAATATTTGTCAAGGCGTTTGCGTGCATGTTGGAGAAAATTGATCAGTGGTTGAGATAAAAGAAGACAACGCTTCGACCGGTATATAAATAGGGTGTGAATGTTCAGTTGTGTAGATATATTGCAATACATTTTTTTCTTATTCTTGTGTACAATACATTTAGAAACAAGCAATCAATATGTTCGGCGGTCACCTTCTTCATCACCATCACAGTAAGGATTGCTTTTTTTCCACTTTCATTCGATTGTATTGATCTTCGTTTCAAGTTCCCCATGCTGGATATGGCGGCTTCAGTGGAGGAAATTTCGCTGCACCAACGACGTTCGCTGGAAGCTTTCCTCAACAGACCGGATTTAGTGGTGCGTTTACTGCCCCGAATGCCTTTACTGGAGCTTTTGCTGCTCCAACGGCGTTCGGTGGCTTAGGTTTCAGTGGACCAAGCTTCGCTGGCGGTGGTGGTAGCTCAAGCTTCCCAGCTGGTTTTGGTTCACCATACGGTTACAGTCCTTTCTAGCGCAACAAACGAAGACCATGACTACAGTTCAATCGCTAATTCAATTATGATGAACTTAAAAAACATGTCATTCACCGAATTTTCGATAAGTGCTACGTTTACAAACGTTTTTCCTTCAATTTTAATCACTATACCAATAAAAACCCTTAGATGCTAGCATCAACTGTCTCTTTTCATTCATTTAACTACAGTCAAGCCATTCATTTGCGAAGAAAAAAAAAGAGACGTGCGTGTTCGACAGGAGAACATCGTCAGTCGCACCTGCTCTTGATCAATCTAACACAATTCGTTATCAATAGTCGATCTCAAATATTCTCTCCTAGTCATCTTATAAGTAGTAGAAGTTGATCGTCTGCATGGAATATTATAATAATGAAAAAAGAAAGCAAATCTGGAATATAAAATAAAATTAATATCTAGTTCGAAAATAAAAGCAGTTCTTAAACGATATGTATATCTTTATCCAGTGATGCTTTTGATCCAATTGAGGTAGGCTGTGACACGAGTGAATCCGTTTGGATTGGCGCCAGTGCCAGTCTTGCAACCTTGTATAAAACTAGTAATACCCGACACAACATATCGTCCTTGATATTTAGCCAAAAGAGGACCACCGGCATCACCCCCACATACGGAGCTACTACCAATATAATCTGCCACACACATCTGACGCGAGCTATCAACAAATGTCCACCATCGTTCACAATCACCTAGAACTTTAGCATATGTTTGTTGCAATATATTGGTAACTGGACCACCTTGAACTGTTGCTCCCCATCCGACAGTGACAACATCGTCGCCGACTTGTGGTTCACCACCTGGCAAACATGCAGGCTGAACATAAGTGTTGAACACAAATGACTCATTTACACGAATCACAGCAATATCATTGGCGAATACGAGTGAATCGTATTGAGGATGGATAGTTATTGATTTTGCTGTACGAGCTTGTCTCGTGTTACCTTCGGTTGAAGACGAGAGATCATGCATACCAGCGAAGAGAGTGATATCAGCTGGGTTTTGGGTTCCAATGCATTGGGCTGCGGTAATTGCATAATCTTTGCTGATCAACGTCGCACCGCAAACACCATAATAAACACTAGTACCTTGAGTTCGTCTCTCTTGATAGTAAAGCATCTGTATGAAAGAGGAAAATAAATGCAATGAGATTTTGGAGAATATTTGATTTGTCTAATAACTCACCCAAGGCCACGAATTGGGAATGACGTTCGTTCCACTAACGATACGACTTATGGCTTTGCCGCGTGGTGTAGTACTCTGCTGACCACAGGCTGAACTGCTCAAGGGTGCTGGTGTGGTTGTGGTTGTGACAGGAGCAACAAATGAACCTACGGGACAACAATATCGAACACGATAATCGATACCGAGTGGGGTGGCAGATTTGAATGAGAGAAGGTAGAGACTGCTGTTCGGATAGCTCCAATACCATTGACCTGATCCTTGGTTGGTTGGAGAATTGATTGCTTGAGCCTGGATGCTCTTTGGAACACGACACATGGCTGTTGGATTTCGTGCGAGGATCACACTCATGTCTTCTGTGTCAACCGAATTAGAGTTGGCTGGTTTGCCTTCATTGAACCATGCTGTCCAGGTGTAGTTAGTTGGACAGATTGATTGAGTGACATCCGATGGATAGAAAAAGTTGATGGGTCGGACAGAACCTAGTGATAAAAGAATGAATTAGAAACACGATGTGTTTTACCAACACCGATCATATCTGCTTGGAAGATTTTCAACTCAGGATAGTTTATATTCTGAATGTACTCACCGGTGTAGACAGTTGTAGTGATGGCTGCGAGAGTGGCGGTAGTTGTTGTTGTTGGAGCTTTAGTTGTTGTTGTTGTGCTGGTAGTTGAGGTGGTCTTAGTTGTAGTAGTGGTAGTTGTAGTGGATGTAGTAGTAGTTGATGTAGTCTTTGTTGTAGTGGTTGTGCTGGTAGTTGATGTGGTCTTTGTTGTAGTGGTTGTGCTAGTAGTTGATGTGGTCTTTGTTGTAGTGGTTGTGCTAGTAGTTGATGTGGTCTTTGTTGTAGTGGTTGTGCTGGTAGTTGTTGTTGTTGTTGGAGCCTTGGTTGTGGTAGTAGAGCTTGCCGTTGTTATATAGGAACTCAATCGAGCAAACGTGGCTGAGGCAGGTCCAGTAACAATAACTGAAATGGGACCTGTAAGATTTGCATTATAGGTTGTTACGACAATAGTTAAAGTATAGGCAGATCCAAAATTAATGTTGAAGCTAAACTGTCCATCGCCACTGCCGTCATCATTTTGTAAGAATAGATTTACTGATGGGTTGACAGGATCGAAAGTACCAGTATATAGAAAGCCATAGGAATCTAAACTGCTACTTCCTTTGATGTTATAAATGCCAGGCGTTGTGATACGTAGTTGTACAGTTTCATAATAATAATTTGATGATGTACCATTCACACGAGCATATTGTGGACTATTGGCAGTTAGAAGCGCAGAATAGGTCGAAGTAATAATACTGGGATTAGCTATTAAAAAAAATGAAACGTTATCATTCACACAGGAATCCAAAATCTTGTTTTAGCTCAAACGCAACTTTCTCCGCAGAGATAAGCAAAATCAATGATATTTACTTGTTGTAGCTGCTGTGGTAGTTGGTGGTAAAGTAGGTGTATTTGCCGAACAGTTGTAATACATTCGTACTTCTTGTATATCGGTGGCACTCAAATAATACCGCTGTCCAATTTTAACGCCCGATTGAAGTGGCTCAATTGACGGGAGGCCGTTCTTCGAGAATGCAGTTGTTTCATAGTGCATCACTGATTCATAATCATATGATGTATTGAGAGTATCAACATCAGTACTTGACATCTTGTCGAAATTGAACAGCATAGCTAAAAAATATCAAAGAATCAAGTCATCATTATTGACTTCAACCAGTATATTAACGATATCGCACTTACTGGAATCGATATTAGCTGTATTAACTCGAACGTATGAGTCTCGGTCGGGTCGCGATTGCTCATGAAAGAATCCTGAAAGACAGATACATACGTATATCTGAAGAACGTTATATTAGTGCTTACCTAATGTGTGTAAGAGTTCATGCATGATTCGTCCGTTATCAATGCATCCTGAACTTTGAAGTATAACTGTGTGATTGAAATTTGGTGTCGACGGCATTCCGACCTAGAAGTGAGAAAGAGGTTGCAAAACAATAGTTTTGTCAATGCCTATTAAATATTATTCGTACATTTGATGAACAACCAGTTCCATTCATAATCGAGATGTAGTATAAATCTGATGCTACCTTTGGCCGAAATTGGATGCAGCGTGCGTTGTTTATGGCAAAGGTGTTCTCCATTTTGCGCATAACAGCAACAATAAACGCCTGTTGATCCGCAGCTACAAAATAAAATGTGTGTTGTCATTTTTATTGTATAGAGTATGTATGCGATCATTCAGATTCTCAACAAATACGTACTGTGTCCTGGTATGAACTGGTAGGGGACAATACCATTGGTCCACCGTGCCGCAGCTTTCCGTATGCCCACACCGCGCTATAATAGAAAGAGCAGTCAGATGAGAACTCTTGATAATCGTCATTGTTATTATAAGCTTACGGATATTTTTGTTGAAAAGCGCATGTCGCCCTCAAATGTATTTTCTTAAAAACAGAGAAGAAGTAAGTTTCAATTCGCGTCCAATAGACAGTTTATCAAAACGTGTAACTCACCTCCCATCTGTTCTACTCCGAGCACCCCAATCGGAACAACCTGAAAGATGAGAGTAAATCATATTGTTGTTTATGCCAATCTTTATATTATTTGTACTGACTGAGGGTGTTGTTGCTGCATAAGCATGGGATGCGATAAGAAGAAAGCTTATCACATTGATGATGGAGACAACCATTGCTTGTCTGTATAGAATTGAACAATATACAAAGCATCCATATAAAATCAACGTCTTTTATATAGTCATTCAGGTGACAAACTAATAAATGCGTAATGCAGTACTTATGATTTTTCATTTGACCGTACTTCCTCAAAAACAATCATGATTTAATCGACAGGGTCATGTAAACAACCGAATACAGTTTTCGTTAACTGCCACACAATGATGTGCATTTACGTCACAACATGAAGGACCGAACTAAAATGCAATGAAACGTGAAGTTTATACATATGATTTTCTTGCAATTGCTCCCAATTGATAGGCGTATATGACGAAAACTATTTCTATTTCGAATGTGAATATGCTACGGTAGTTTCCCATTTGCAATTTGGTGTTTGAATTTATTCGCATTCGATACAGTTTGCCTAGAATGTCAACAAAAGGTCAAAGACTCAATTTTCAATGAGTCATCTGTGCCTTTATTTTTCCATACGTCATGTTATTTACGTCATTTATTAAGGTTTGATAGATGGTTAAGCCGAGAAATCGATTTTTGTTTTCGCAATTAAAAATGATTTTAAACGTTCGTAGGCGAAATATCTCGCATGTCAAAACATATTACACAGGCGCTTCTTTTATTATGCATTAAAATAGCAATAAAAAATGAAATATTATTATCGATATTGATTTTTCTGAATATGTCATATATTCGGTCAATCAGTGTCGAAATCAAACAGTAATGGATCTTTCCAGTTAATTATCCTAATGAAGTGCTGAGGCGCATGAAAAATGAAAATACATTGAAACCTCTCGTTTTCAATTCGATACATTGTTCGATACAGAATTTCATGCATTGCCAGAACATTTGTACTTCCTTTTTTCTTCGGTTGCCAGACGGTTCACTTCACAATCGACCCATGGCTTCTGTTTTCCTCCAACTTGGTGTTTGAGAAAGATTGGCTGATGATGAGTAGTGCCCGAGTTTGAAATTAGTTCTGGTGGAAACGATCGCCCTACAAAATGAAGTTTTGAGTTCCGTGCTTGAAAATCCGAAGCTGTTGTTCTAAGTTCATCTCGTTTTCAGCTCGATGTATTGGTTAGATGCGTGGCCAATACCCTATGAACATGTTTTTGTGAAAACTTGATTTTTTCTAGAGTATAAACAAAACATACAGAATCTTGTTTACTTTTCATTGAGATCGTGACCGAACAATTTTCAGAAGAACCTTGATTTACTGCCAATGGATCAAAGCCGTTCAAGTTACGCATGTGTATCGAAGAACAGACGTGCATGTACTACAGGAGGATATCATTAGTCGAATCCATTCGTTATTAATCTAACACAGTTAATCGTCAATAGTCAATCTCAAAAATTTCTTCCCAGTCATCTCATGAGTAACAGAAACTGATCGTCTGTATAGAATATAATAATAATAAAGGAAAACGAAGACAAATCCGGAATATAAAGTAAAATAAATATCTAGTTCGAGAATAAAAATAGTTCTTAAAAGATGTGTATGTCTTTATCCAGTGATGCTTTTGATCCAATTGTGGTAGACGGCGACACGAGTGAACCCGTTCGGATTGATACTAATACCACTTTTACAGAATTCCGTAAAGCTATTGTCCTTGGTATTTAGCTAAAAAGGGGCTATCACTGACATTATCAGTAACCACCCTTGCTCATTATCGTTCGGAACTTTAGCATGGATTTGCCGCAAAACATTAGCATTCGATCCATTTAAAGCTCCACGAACTTGTGTCGTGTATTCTTCGGTTGAAGACAAGAGATCATGCATACCAGCGAACAGAGTGATATCAGTTGGGTTTTGACCTCCAATACATTGAGCTACAGTAATTGCATAATCTTTGATGGTCAGCGTCGCATCGCGAACACCATAATAAAAGCATCTGTATCGAAGAGAAAAATAAATGTTATGAGATTTTGGAGAATATTTGATTTGTCTAATAACTCACCCAAGGCCACGAATTGGGAATGACGTTCGTTCCACTAACGATACGACTTATGGCTTTGCCGCGTGGTGTAGTACTCTGCTGACCACAGGCTGAACTGCTCAAGGGTGCTGGTGTGGTTGTGGTTGTGACAGGAGCAACAAATGAACCTACGGGACAACAATATCGAACACGATAATCGATACCGAGTGGAGTGGCAGATTTGAATGAGAGAAGGTAGAGACTGCTGTTCGGATAACTCCAATACCATTGATGTAATCCTCGGTTGGTTTTTTTGCCTCCATTGAATCATGTTCAAAGTATCGTTTATTGTTTGAATAGATTCATACTCGGTATGGTTGATCTAGAATCCAGAGAAAAGCAAAAAACTCAGTTCACAATGAGTTATTTGTATTTTTCTTCCGTTACTATACTGCATACAACACAGTTCGATAGACTGTTAGTCTATCTGATTTGTTGTTACTAAGCTCATTACTTTTTATTTGAAATAGAAAATGTTCAGTCTAGCTTTAAATCTTCAATATCAACTTCATCTGATTCATTCAAAGTTGTCTTTATTGTCGCCCATGCACCTTTCTTCACATATATTGTTTCATATTTCATCAACGCACGTGTATGATATCGACGAAATGCTTTGATAGGTGCATCTGCTGATACGGTCGTACCCAAAGGTTTTGCTCCCATTTCTCTAATGTTTCGATCAACATCATTAAGTAAACGTATATCCTGATCGACAATTTTCGTCACCATTCTATCGATCAGATAATCATAACCAGGTATGTATTCTATCCATTTGTAGCAGAAGAAATTACGATAAAATTGTGATAGAAGACGCATCTTCTTCTCTGCACTTGGTATTATCAGAAAGATTTGTGCAAGGATTCTACCCTTATCAGGCGTGTTGTGTTCCAAGCGAACAAAACACGGCGGTACGAAATGAAAATAGGAGAACTCCGTGGATGGGAATGGTCGTTCGTGGCGTTGAAGTTTAAACGAACACGATTCCGTGTTGGTTGAATAATAAGGCGATGGCGTAATACGTTCAGATCGAATCCAGCTCGCTTGAGAACGTTTACCAATAGTACCATCGTGTGTAAAATCAATATGTGCTAAGTCCAAGAGGTTGTCAACCATTAAATCATAGGGTATATCGAGATCAAATGTATTTTCTGGTGCCAATAGGAATGTACTATTCTCAGCTTGTAGATCAGCAAATAATTGATGAGGAATAAATCGACTATCGGCTAGTTCATATTTACCAGGCCAGATCCATATGTATCCGTATTGTTCATGAACAGGTACAGTACGAGCACAGATTAACGAAGGCGTTTTCGAGTTTTTCGATACCGATGGAATATGTACACATTGACCATGAGCACCAAACTGCCATCCATGGTAGAAACATTCGAGATTGCCATCTTTCGTTATTTGACCTAAGCTTAGACGTGCCGATCGATGCGGGCATAGATCAAGTACGCAAATGAGCTCTCCATCATTTCGACGATACAAGCATAGAGGTTCGTTAAGTAGATAAAAACCAAAAGGTCGATTTGACCCACAAGGAACTTCTCGTGAAAACGCTACTGGGTACCAGTAAAGTGAATGATCAAGTGGATCAAGTTCTTTTGACGATATCGTTGTCTTTGATGTGTGCGTTTGTACTCGATCACGAGCTGTATCGCGTTTTTTAACTCGACGATACTGGCGTAAAGAAAGACACACCAAAATAACAACTACAAATATCGCCGACAGAACGCAAGAGAAACCAAACATCATACAGGAATATAAGCAAGGCAGCGTGCGCGCATGTCTTTATATAGAGAAAAATACATCGGTTATATAATCAGCTACTGTGAGGAAAAAAAACAACAATGCTGGCGAACTCTCAAAATAAATGTGTGTCAGATGTTGTGCAACATTGAATATTGAAATATGTTTTCACAAAGAAAGTAAACCAATGATCACCGGTGTGTATGGGTATATTGTCTGCTTGTGTGAAGCGAAAATATATTAAAAAATGGAATATTCTTTATTTCGATTGTAAAAGCAATCGTTTCAATAAATAAATGAGAAAATTACAACACCGGTTCGTGAAAGAAGAGATCACCGTCGGAATCCAAGGTACTTTCAACCTCGTGGAACTGTTCTAACAATTTTTATCGACGAATTCTTCGAAGCATCACGAAGAATCTATGTAAAGAAAGAAAAACCAAAAACTACGTAGTCTTTGTACGAATAGATTATTCAATTTTTACCCTGGGAGATAGACGAATAGAATGTAATTCGCGAATATGAGAACGATTTGGTACATTCAGGCAATACTCGTATTCATATGACCAAAATGGACGTGAAACATACTGAAAACGATCGATAATTATACTTGTGCTTTCATTGCGCTCAATGCCTACATACCGGCCTGTCTCGACAAGCTTTTCTCGATGATTGACCCACGCATGAAGAAAAACTATTCGTCGTATTGCCCATTTTTGCGATCGATACTTATTCTAATAATTCCCATCTAAAAAAACGTTCGTACATGTGAGAGAATTAGATTGTAAACAAAGAAAAAAAAACGAGATGAATCACAGCAAAAAAGAGAGAGAGAGAGAGAAAAAAGAGCTCTTGAAGTTTCGATTTAATTGATTTGCCACTAAAGAAAAACATTTAATCAAAATCATGAATTGAAAATGTTACTGATTTCCTTACTCGAAGACCATCGGTAGCACCTTGTTTAGACAACTTGTCATGTTGTTGTTGTAAACGTTCCTGCTCGGCTTGTCGTTGTTTCAATCGTTGAAATTCGTCTGTATTGACTCCTCGTGATTCCATTTGTTCAAGACGACGATTTGCGGCTTCAGCAGCTGCTTGTCGACGAGAATCCTAGAGGAAAATATTTTTATGAGATGACATGATCGAAATAACCTTACGAGATCAGGTGTTGGTATATTCTGTGGACGATGGTTTTGTTGTGCATTTGAACCGCGAAAACAATCCAGGAGAGAACCCATTATTATATCACATATAGGTCTTTAATAAGGATGATTTGATTGATTGAAAGTACTTGATTTGAGATGAATCATTTTCGAATCGAATCAACGTATCAATAGTAATGACAAAAACGAGTTTTCTCCTTGATAAATAGTCCAACGACATCTGTCCAGTCAATTTTCTCCTTTTTTGTTGACACTGAAAAGAACGGCAGGCAAGAAACATGCGCGTGCATACATGATTTTCACTTCGAACGATTTGACGCATAATAAGAAGAAGAAAAACAAAGTTCCGTTACTGACTTTGTCGATACGAAACAGAACTATTTTCATTTTTTTTTTTGTCGCGCCGAGTGTGCATTGCAAAAGACTTCAGATATGGCTGAAGCAACTCATGATGATTGTTCACTTTTGGAAAAACCTTCTGTTGAAATCGATCCACTTGCTGTTAATGACGTTCCATCGGATAAAGCCGCAAATGGAGATGGAGACAGCCAAATTATTGCAACCTGTTGTTTATCTAAACGAGGAAAGCAAGTTTGGGTCTTTAGCAAATGTGCTGCTCCAGCATATGCTCGTGCCATCGAACATGATTGTGTTAAAAATCGCGGTGTGAAAAGAACTGTCGACAAAATCGTGGAAGCAGGCATTATTCCTAATGATCAAAGTGAAGGAACTAAATTACTACGATATTATATGAATCTAGCAAGAGAAACGAACAATCCTGTACATTTATTAAAAGCTTACACACTGGAGTCATCATTTTACAGACATATCAACGATTATATGTCGGAAGGTGATGATAACGAAGTTTTTAAGAAATTGTGCGGTGGATGGAGTGGCTATTACACAGGAGCTTTGATGAGACATCCTGCCTTGAGTTCCTATCGATGGCGTGGATCAGTATTTCGAGGTTTTGTCATAGATAAGGAAGATTTCGATAAAAGTTATAAAATGAATTATCTTATATCGAACAAAGCATTCCAGTCAACATCGAAGTTGGCAGCTGTGGCCAGACGTTTTGCCTACCATCGCGAGTCAATAAACATAGGAGACATTCGCGTGATGATCAGTTATAATATCTTGGATAACCGAGCGGCGCTTGACATCGAAAATATTTCACGGTATCCAGCTGAAAAAGAAGTTCTCATGATGCCTGGTTGTTTATTTAAAATCTCGAGTCTAGTGCTAGGTAAATCGAAGAATGACTTAACTGTAGTGACGGTTGACCAATTGCTAACGATGAATGCTTGAAAAGTTCTTCTCTCAGAATATAATCTCTATTATAAAATGAGTTCTTAGATTTTCTTTTTATTCATTTTTAAATAAATCGAAATAAACATAGAAATGAAAGCAAAACGATAAGTTTATTTTGTCCAACGACTCAGCCAGTCGAAAACCTCTTGATACCAAATTAATGAATTGAATGGATTTAGTGTCCAGTGATTTTCATTTGGTAAATATAACATACGACTCGGAATATTACGACGTTGTAAAGCTGTAAATGCACTGATGCCTTGCGTATCAGGCACACGATAATCTCGACCGCCATGAATAACTAACATCGGTTGACTCCAGTTAGCTACATGATTAACTGGATTGAATTGTTCGAAAGCAGTGCTATTTTCATACGGAGTAAAACCACCAGCATCATGTTCACTAAACCATAGTTCTTCTGTTGAATAGCCCATACCCCGCATATCGAACAATCCGTCATGGCAAACAAGCGTGTTAAAACGCGTACTCATCTCTGGATGACCAGCAATCCAATTGATCATAAATCCGCCATAACTAGCGCCCAATGCAGCGGTTCGTTTATCATCGATATAAGTATATTTATTTATAGCAGCAGTCAGACCTAATTTTAAATCTTCGAATGGTAATGTACCGTACTGACCTGTAATGCTATCGGTAAATTTTTGACCATAGGAATCCGAACCATGAAAATTGATGGCAATAACAGCATAGCCTTTTGAGGCAAAGACCTGATAATTCCAACGGTAACTCCACGCATCGTACCAGCTACTCTGTGGACCACCATGGATAAGAAAAGCTAATGGAGCTTTTGCACCCTGACCATTGACGGATTCTACATGCCATCCCCATACACTTTCATTGTTAGCACCTGTGAAATTAAATGTTTCGGCGGTTTTACCCATTCGGACTTTGGCCAAGAGATTATCATTATGGTTTGTCACGGGTCGTACCGATTCAACTGATGAAAATAGATAGATATTTGGCGGGGCAGAAATTCTATCATGAACAAAAACGAACATGTCATTGTTGATCGGATGGTTATTAACATCATGAGATGACCCAGTGCTTAATATGCGTGTTGGAAGCGATGATGGAGAAGTAAAATTAGGAAATTTATAAATTACATTTCGTGCTTCTTCGCCTATTTCCAAATACAACGATTGATGATCCAATGGCCAAGCAACTGCTTGAATACTACGATCCCAATTATCGAGTAAAGTTTTCGCTGGGCCAGTTCCTGTGAAGTCATAAGTTATCAACCTTCTTCTGAAAAAATGCAAAACTTACCATCGTATAATTTTAGTTTGAATTGATCTGATTCATAACCAGGTACTGCTTGCGCTCGATAGACAAGAACATTTTCATCAGTTGGCGAATACGATGGATCTGTATCAGCTGCTTTATTATCGCATGTGATACAAGCAGGTTGAGCAGTCGGCTGCGCTGAATCATAGACGAATATGTCCAAATTTGTTGACCAGGCTACTTCACTTGTTTCATCATGTTGTCGAGTGAATGCAAATTTCTTTCCACTCGCGCTAAACGACCATTGAGTCTTGCCATCACCGAATGGTCGTGTCGGAGAATCACTATCAACGTTGAAGAGAACATCGACTGGTGTATCGGTGAAATTCATGATACCATTCGCTTGCCGTTGAATTGACACAACGAACGGATGATGACGTGGACCGAGCATATATTCATCCCAATGGCGAATAAATAATTTATCGAATTTATAGACTAAACTACCACTGGCTTTGTTGGCTGCTAACCGATCAGCTGTTTGTCGAATAGTTAAATTGGAAAAGACTTGGCAGCTGAAAGCTAGCCGAGTTCCTTGACGATTCACTAGTAAGTTATCGATATCAAGTGGATAGTCGGTAATTTGCGTTGGTTCAATAAAGTTGCCGAGTGCGGATACATCATCGGGGAGGTCCAATTGAAAAAGCTGGTTGAGACCAGATGACGCACGATTTGATAAGAAAAGAATTGTTTTCTTATCAATCCAATAGAACTGAAAGAAAAATCGAATGAAGACCGAGTGCAATGTAAGCTTTGAAATTTGTACTCACTTGTTGATCGCTAGTGCCCCAGATAGGTCGTGTCAATTGAACGGATTTATTTGTTTCTAAACTAATCCAATGCAGAGTTGTCGAAGAACCTTTCAAATCAGGCATGTGATATTGTCTTCGAAGATAGATCACTGCTTTGCCATCGACTGGATCAAATCGCGGCGATGAAAGACGATCCAAACGAAGGTTGTCCAATTGAGTGAAAGCATTTCCTCCGGGTAATTGGCTGTAATAATCACTATTCGATAGGTAATCACTACCATTCCAGGCTGGAGGGCCAGGTGGTGCCGGAGGACTAGGCGTATCTGGACAATTCACTTTACGTAAAATAAGCACTAAAGCTGGTATTAAGATCACAACAACGCCCAATAGAAAGAAGGCAGCTGAAATTAGAAACTGAAAAAAAAAATCAACGATATAGACAAAGAAGAACACATTTCGAATAACTTACTGTTTTCGATTTCGCTTTCGACATGCGCTTGTCGTCTTCTGGTAGAATATAGTTTCCACTTCGGGACGTCATATTGATGATTTATATAGGTATAAGAAAAGTAAGAATACGAAAGGGAAGAAAAAGCACTTTTATAGTCCTATGATAAGAACGAGCAACAGAATGATCAAGCAAAAGATAATAAAAATTCGAGATGTCGTGGACTTTTAACTAACGAAAGAAGATAAAAAAAAACATTATTTATTTGACAATATCAAGAGACGATATCTTTAGACATATTCGGAATATGAATCAAAATGTCGATGGAAGGGTCTGGAGATTTTGAATCGTTCTACAAGAGAAATTAAAGAACAACAAAGTCAATTTCGTAGATTTTCAGTCTGAAAAACTTCGAAGTATCCGAATCTACTTCAATGAATGAGTATTAATCCGATTGAAGAGCGTTGATTTTTTTTTGTTTCATCTTAAAGCACATATCTATACTTGTCGGAGGAAAAGGCCATGTTACAAGCATCAAAACGAAAATGTTTTAAGAGATTAGCTGATAAAATGTCTTGTTCATGTCATTGAATTGATATATAAAGTTTGAAAGATTCATAACACATTTCTATTTCAAAAGAGAATTCTTTTTTGTTCAGTTTTTCGCATTAAAGACAACACCCATCTGATTGATTCAGCGAGGAATAAGTAATAGCATTCGTCTGTTTTGGATGCATATTAACCACTGAATGAGATTCACACTTAGAAAATCTTTTCTAACAAAAAATTGATTGTATTTTCACATTTCATATATAAAAAACGAAATATAGTATTTAGCGAACAGATTTTTCTCATTACTGACGACATGTGAGAATCACTAGCGGGAATATCCGTATCATTGCTGATGAATATTGAGTCTACACCATTGTTTCTAATTTTCTACAATTGAATGATTTTGCTAATAGAACATGGAGATGTGGTGCATAATACGTATGAACGACTGTCATTCCGGTAAATGAAGAGATAAACGTTAACCATGTTATATGATTCGCCCACCAACCAATATAACCGAATAGATGATAGACAATCGGTGTGCTACATGCAGGTGTACCAAATAGAATAATAAAAACAACTAACCAAAGAATACGTCTGATGACAATAAAATCACGTTTGATTCGCTTTTTCTGTCGCATGGTGAATTTCGATAGATTCCGACGAATAAACGATACAGTACAGACGTAGATAATAATAGTTAAGATCACAGGCGGTAACCATACACAGGATGCTCCTATCAAGATACCACGCCAGTTGGTGAGGTAAACTTGGCAATGGTAATCTTCATAATCATAATGACCAGGTAAGAGAACAGGCAATTGTAAAAGTGCACCGAGATGAATTTCGACTACAATACCAAACATATATAAATAAATATTCCGATAGAAAAACGGACGATGATGGTAGACAATACGAAACAGTCGATGAAGTGCTTGAAGAGTGTTTGAGTACAAAGCAGATATCAATGCTATCGTTGAGACATAGATCTTCAAACGACATCGGAGTGTATTATCATGCAAATCTGTTCTGTCCGGATTCATATGTCCCAAAAGCATGGAGATGAACATATTCAAAGTAAAACATGCAAATATCAAAACATTCATGAACATATTTAAACTGAGAAGAAACAAAACTCGCTCTTTTGGTTTAATCAATTGACGACGAGCAAAAATTAATAATATCATAAAAGTCATTTTGCATATAGCGATGATACTGATGCCAATACCCAACCAATCGAGAATAACTGGTTTTAGAAATGAATTACTAAAAGAAAGTGTCGTTGTACTTGCATTGTTATTGTTCATGACAAAACTTTGCAAAAAGAAAGTATCTGTGTTCTTTCTGAAAAGAAAAATGCACTCTACATTGTAAGAAATCTAGTTAATAAACGAAAGACACCACTGTCAGTAGATCAAGTGTATTAATTATTTTATTATATAAATTCAAAAGCCTATTTGTAATTAGGAAAGATGAAGAGTATGTCTGGATTATAAATGACGCCCTTTCTTCAATGACACGTCATAAAGCAGAACCTAGATCCGATGGTTAAATACTTCTCAGTACGTCATCACTTCTAATTTCTAAGCAAGCATGTATTGAAATATGTAATTATCATTTATTTCAGGTTTAACTAATTTATTCGTGAATGTCAAACTCACAGCGGGTCAGCGAGGTAACCATTGACTGTTCTATTTCGACCAATCGTAAGGTAACTCACAGCAACGTTGTATCTCCCGTGGTGTATGAAATGTTGAAGCGTCTTTATACTTAAAGCTTCTTCTGTGTAAAACCCTTTTACTGCAATGAATTTGTGTGACACATATTGTTAGGCGAGACTCCTGATATTTCTCATTTAGTTAAACTAGTAGAGAATATTAATCCGTCCGGAAAGCCATGTCTTCACGTACAAGTCGTAGGAATAGTAAAACAGAAGAATAGGCCAACATAATCTAAGTATATCACCGTTAAGGCTAACTACAATTTCAAAAAAAAAACAGCGAAGATTTTCATAAGTCTGCCCACAGGGAATCCTGTCGAGTTTATTTAGTTTACGACTTATGTTATCTAATATGAAACTTCTCGTAACTATACCATTCTAATCCGTTCTTTGTTGTCATCTTTCTGAATCTGTAACTGATACATTCATTTATTTAACTACCAAGCATGCCTTAGATTGAGAAATGCATGACTACTGCGTCTAGCAAAAACAGCTGTGATATAACGGTATAAATAGTTGAATATATTAATTTAATTCAGGATGTCGGGAAAAAGACGTCTGAGAGAGAAAGAAAGACGATGATGCTTGGTTGAGAATCATTCTTAAGAAAAAGGATTTTACACGTATGTTTAAAAGATTATCAAGTTAGTTCAGTTGTAAGTAATCTATTTGTATGGCACGCATGATATAAAATAGTTACACTATCCTGTAGGACACGGCTTAAACGCACTGATTATGTCTTTTTTTCTGTATCTTCAATCGTCCGAGAAGAAAATATTTTAAAAAGTACTGAAAATTTTATGTTCCTTATTTTGTTGATATATTTGCTAGTTCTCAGAAAAGGAAATAGAAGCGTGAAGTGTGTCAGAAGTGCATTGAGTTTATAGAGGCGGAAACAAACGACAGTCGTAATTCATAAAAGAATTCTTTCATAGTTCAGCTCCTTTGTGATTTGTCGTTTTTTCTAATGGATCACGTAAAAGGAGAATAGCGAACAGAGAAAAAACACGAAGTAGGTAAATAAGTGTAAGCTTGTCTAAATTTAATTAGGAGGCTTAAAATTTCAAAACAATAGCGAGAATGCTGTTGAAGGAGAGAAACAACATTTACATTCACAGTCGTTCTCGATAGTGTTCGCTAATTTTGACAGAGTTTTTCAATTACTAGATTCTGTTATAACTAATACAAACATGTTATCTTATATTATGTATTCCGAACCTCATTTCTCCACTGTTGCCATGTTCCTGCTGATGGCGGCTGAGACTGTCTTTATTAGTTCAGAATTCGATACTAATGAAAAAGAATATTCGATCTATTTGGGTATCTCTCTTTTGGAAATAGTCTGTTTGGAAAGAATGAAGTACATTCTTTAGAAAATAACGGTATAGAACGTGTCAAGAAACTCCTATTTTGTGTAATCATAACCAATACGTTGTTATCTAAGACAAAGATAATATATATTCAGGTGCAACTAACGTGTGATATAATCAATGCGCCGAGTGCGAATAGATACCTGTCATTTGTTTATTTTCTTACCATAAAGTAGTCTGTTTCGAGAATTTGCGTTGTCAATAGATTTCATAATGAAACCGACTAAGAGTCCAGGTGTAAATATTCTCAATCGTATATTTTGGCTTATCTTAAACTTACTTTTCGGTGGTTTTACTGCACTCACTCTGTTGATTTGGGTTAGTTGTGATATGGAAATGCCTACATTCTTCTTTCCTCTTCTAACGTCATCTCCATTCCTACAGTCGGTCTTTCATTTACGATGGTTTGATCTGCAACTGACATTATTCCATAAAATTCTATTCAATGTCTGTTTATTCGGTCTGTTCGGTTTCGTTCACACATTTTTCGCTCGAGACGATGTTCAACGTTATTTTATTACTAAATTCTTGTTTCCGTCAATTGGATTAAGAACGTTTTATCTGATTCTAACAAATCTAACCGCATGGATAATGATGGGATTCTGGCAGCACACATCGATTCAACTATGGGATTTTCTAAGCAATCCTATATTTGAAATTGAGTACAGAAAACATAAAATATTGTTAACATTATTCTCCATAATCAATCTCCCAGGTACGAAGCGTTTATCCAAAATGATCTGTTTGTATGAATTTTCTTTCCCTTAGGTATGCTGGTAATTAAACAATTCAGCATATTGCAATTCTTTGGCGTCAAGCAAATTTTTCAGCCTTCCAGCTGTCTGATGAATTTCCGAACCACAGGAATGAATAAATTAGTCACCGATGGCATGTTTCATTATTGTCGTCATCCGATGTACTTGTTCTTGTTAGTTGGTTATATTCTTTCGCCATGTGTTTCGTTAGACAAGTTTTTATTTATTATCTATGCCATTGGTTATCTCTACATCGCCATTCCAATCGAAGAAAAGAAGTTAGAAGTTATTTTTGGACCAGCGTATATCGCATATAAAAAATGTGTACCAGCTGTGTTACCAAGATTTGAGAAGAAAAACAAACTTGTTTAGGATATTCGCGTGTTGTGAGAATTTTACGAAATATAATTCATTTGTTCTGTTCTCTATTTGTCTACCTTGCTAAAGAAAACTTGATGTCAACAGCTTCGTCTCGGAAGTCACATGTGTTTGTTTGTTTGTGTGAATAGGTAACAGATTTTGCTATTAAAATTCGGAAGTGAAATTAAAATGAAACGATTATTCGAAGATGACACAGCACCATCCGAGATGCCAAAATTTGTTAGAATTGATGACATCACTCAGGTTGTAAACACCGAAAACATCGAAGATTTCACAAATATTCATTTGAAGCCTTTCGAAACAAGTTCGACTTGGTCGGATCAATATCTTTCGTCTCTAAACATTCATCGTCGTCCTTTTAACTTTCAAATCGAACTCGTTCAATCAGCTATCCAAAGTGGTAATTCGATCATTTGTCTAAGAACTGGTGCAGGAAAAACTTACACATGTGCTTTGCTGATCAAATATTATTATTTGAAGAAAAAGCAGGAGCATCCCGATGAACACTTTTCAACGTTTTTCTTCGTTCCGAATCGTTCCATTCGCGAACAGCAAGTAGAAGCGATACGAAGCGTCGGTGATCTTCAAGTTATCGGCTGTGATGATGATTCAACTGCTGATGCATTCGCCGCATTCTACAACGTTGTGGTGTGTACACCGCAGAAATTTCTCAATTGTCTCATGGATAAAACCGTTCATTTCAATGAAATTGACCTGATTGTATTTGATGAATGCCACCATTGTATCGGTCGACATCCATATTCGCAAGTCATGGAACAGTATCTAGTTTATCATTCATCAGAAGAAAAACGTCCGAGAATTCTCGGTCTCACCGCATCTTGCGGGACAAAATTGACCAATCCAAAAGCGATTATAGACGAACTGGCACAGGGAAAAAACAATCCGTTGGGGAAACTGTATGAGTTATGTGCAACATTGAATTGTTATGATGTTGTTACGGTTGTCATCAGTGAACATCAAAAAGAATTAGATTCAACGATTCCTCAACCAACTCAAAATCAAATTCTCACTGTCCAACAGAATTCCTTCGAACTATACTTAGAGTCGTTAAAGAACAAATTCTGTTCGTTATTACAGTACATTGGTAGCCGTTGTTCTCCAGAAATTTCAGCGTATCTGAATGAGCAGCAATTAATAGAAGAAAAGATCGAAGCAGAAAAGAAAAATAACTTTACGAATATCGTCTTAGTTAAGTACATGATCATGTTTGTCAAACGATTCGATGCACTGAGTGATTTACCACTCAAAGCGGTTATGATGGATATAAAAAAGAAATTAGATTCGTTCTATAGGTAATCTTTTCACATCGTCGAGTTCGATTTACATAACTGTTTGTTATTTAGTAAAAAGGAAACACCAATGCCAGTCGAAAGTGATGTATATAACTATTGTTTAAACACCATCGGTAATATTAATGAAGAAATAAAACATGGAGAGTACTATTCAACAAATCCTAAGCTCGATTTTCTTACCGACCAGTTGAAAGAGCAAATTAAGAAGCGGAATGCAAATGCGCGCGGTAATCTCTTCTTTTGCAATTCTTATGCGTAAATGCGTCAATTCGCTTTAGGGTTAATATTAGTCTCGCGTACATTGTATGCAAAACTTATCTTAGATTATTTGAAAGAACGGCAAGATATTCAAGTAAGTAAAGATTCGATTTTGAATTAGCTAAGAGAGAAGTGTACTATAGAATATGATAAAACCGTGTTGGCTTGTTGGTCAAAGCGGCGTTGATTATCAGAATAGTCTTAGTGAACAAGACAGAACATTGAAGGAATTCCGTCAAGGATTAGCCAATGTGATGATCGCAACAGATATTGTACAAGAAGGTTTGGATGTTGCCGAATGTTCATTCATGATGCGATATGAGTTCGTGTCGGGTGTCATCGGAACAGTTCAATCAAGAGGACGTGCGCGAGCAGATAAAAGTGCCTGTTTTCTAATTGTTGGTTTCAGTTCGATTAATCATACAAAAGAAATAACAAATCGAATGAGAGAAAAAGAAATGTTAGCAGCACTGAATCGTTGGAGAGAAGTACCACGTGATAAATCGAACCAAGATATTCAACGAGTACAAGTGAGTTAGATCGTTCTTTTCCCGGTGGTTTTTACTTTTCAAAATATGAATACTTTAGAATATCGTCATCCAAGAATGGCAAGATCAAGCGAAAAATGCCGAATTTCTTCGTAACAGTTTGATCGATTCGACGGCAATGGATGGTAAAGTTTCATGCCGATCTTGCAATTCGTATTTAGGAAATATTTCATGGTTGAGAAAACTTGGTATGAATCATTTCATTCCCGAACGACAACTTGTTACGCAAGTTGAAATCGAACGATTTGAAAAACCTGAAATTCACAAAGAGATACAAGTGACTGGTAAAGTCATATGTGGAAATCAGCAGTGTCGAGAAGACTTAGGTGGTACCCAACAGATCTCCAATCGAACTGATCTCAAAGAAATGTGCACATTGAAATGTAAACAGTTGAAATTTTCTTACAAAGACAACAAAGGCGAAGAGAGAACTTATACTTTTAAAAAATGGAGTGATATAACGTTTAAAATAGTTGAAATCGAACCTACGCAACGATGATTTGATTAGTTTTTCATGCAAGTAGTTGTTTCGTTTTATCAATGGAGTTTTTCAAATTATCAATAAACGAATGATCCACCTGCTGTTTGCTTTGATTGTTGACCAATTGAATACTTCTCTCATAGTGTTGCAATGCTTGTGCGTAATTTTGGTTATTGAAACAACTGTCGCCCATTAATTTGTAAATCGGCGCCAGATCGGGGTGATCTGGCGTCATATAATCTAAACTTGTTTTCAGCGATGTTTCGTAATGTGCAAGTGCTTTCAAATGTTCGCCCTTGAATGTAAAAATCACTCCAAGGCCATTATGTAAACGTGCAAGACGACGCGGTTGACCGTACACGGACGGATCACTCAATAAATCAAGATAGAATCGTTCAGCACGGTCGCATGCACCCATTTCAATGAGTAGTTTGCCCAAGTAGGAAAGCGGATTCGTTTCTACATCGTTACTTCGTAGAGGTTCGGTCAATCGACAGAAATACTGATCACTATCATCAACAAACGTCAATCGAACGATCCATATATTCATCGACTGATCGAGAGTTTCTTCAACGATTGATTTAATACGAAAGACAGTACCCATAGTAAAACAGATCGTTTCATCTTCAGGTTCGATGATTGAGTTTGAATTATTCAGTACAGCACATACATTTCCCGCACTACGGTCGGTTGCCTCGAAGTATATTTCAAAAAGTACAGCAATCATTTTCGGATGTGCCATCACCCGGTGTCGGAGAAAGTCGACCGCTTTTTCCCTATGAATCGTCGCGGTAATAAAATTCGAAAATGACAGAAGTCCATCACAATTCTTCTTTATCAACGTATCGAATTCAGCATTCGACAGGGATTTACTACGATACACAGCAATATTATTTTTCAGTACTGCCGGTATATTCTCATGTAAAAGAGTAAGTTGAGTATGAATATGTTTGATTATAAATCCCATTTTGTAGATAACATCTATTTCGTAGGTACGTAAAACGCGGTGAAGCATGCGGGAAACAAAACTTGGCTTTGTCATCCATAAGAGGACACTTTTTGGCCGGTAATTCTTATCGAAATCATCGATATCATTCATCTGCTCGTTCATTTGCTCATAATGGGTACGACAGAAATCGACAAACACGCTTTTATGATTATTTTCGAACTTAATGCGAACTGCGATTTGTTTGACCAATTGGGTACATAAAAACATAGCCACTTGTTTTCGAGAAGTTGAATCTGGACTAATCTGTTGTGCTTCGGCTGGAACAACAATAATGTTCAAAAGATCCAGTGAACAAAGTTTCACATCTCGTTCAAGTTGTTCGCAGAGTTTATCGATATTTGAGAAGTTCTTCTTTTGTATATTCTCATCATCAGTACCTATCATATGCGACGGCGATCCGTAGAAAGCATAGATCCTCTCCAACTGCGATAGATAATAAACACTTCGAATGGCTGGATCCATTTCCGGTGTGATGATCAGAAATATTTTTTCTTCTGTTATACTTTCGATAAATTTCATACATTTATTCGCGTCGGAAAAGATTTTTATGGTGCAGATAATCTGACGTAAGTTCTTGGCGATATTCTTGATCATTGCTGACGTTGATGCATTGACAAGGCAAATGAGAATATGATTTTCGATAGGACGTAGTTCACGTGAATTTTCCATAGAAGAAACTTGTTCAATTGTTGATACGCTCTTCGTCTCCGAACAGCCCATTATACTTCCAGCAAAAACGAGTAGAGGTAGAAGATTTTATACAACAATCTAAAATGAAGAAAAACATGATGAGTAACTAAATTTTCTACTCAATTATCAATGAACATCTTACGAGCTTAAAATAAACAAGACAAAACTTCCTTTAAAAGATTCTAAACTATGCTTATTTATTCACATGAAAAGCACGTGTAAGTTCATAGTCCTCGTTATGTTGCAAAAAGTCCATTCTTTATATACAGCTTGACGTGTCATGTTACTAATCGTCCATGAGTACAATTCAACAAAATGTCATGTTGCCAACTGATGAATATCAAATATCTTGTATTTTCGTATGCGGAAATCGGAGTTGACTGACTTGACTTTGTTCTAGTTGAATTTGGCGAGTAAATATGATGATAATCGCAAAATGAGATGCTAAATCTTCGAGAGAAACAAGTTACCAACGCATGAAAAGTCTGTTTTATCATGCTTAAGCGATCTCGGTTTCTTTTTCTTTTGAGCGAATAGAATTTTACAAAGACGTCATCTATTTTCATTGCCAGAAAGAGATTTGGTTATTGAAAAAACTTCAATTATTTTTCTACTCGCCTTCAATGTCAACCATGTGCATGACACTACCGAACGTGTATGTCGGAAATCTCACTCCTAGACATCTTTACAAGTACAATCCTTCGAGGCTTTTGTCAACATCAATAAACAAGCTTAGCTATGCAAATTTCCTCCATGCACACTTGCTTTCCACTAACAATTCTCACGCTATTTCGTATTTCATTGTTCAGTATTAATTGATTCATTCATACGCTATAAATACCTTGGCATTTTATTTTATAGAACGATTTTCTACATTGGAATACGATATAATGCCTTCTAAAAACATTGACACATTTATTCCGCAAGATGGCCTATTCATTCAGGGTCAATAACAATCTATTCGAAGGCACCATTTTGCGCCTGTATTGTTTTGACACATTGATAATAGATTATTCATAATGAATTTGTTCACTTGTCGTCTGTTCGTTAGTAACTGACAGCAAATTGAAATATTTCTGACAAAAAAATTACTTTCTATGATGCGTTTAGATTTAAAGATTTTTTTTGACGAGGCCTTATGTTCTCATCCGCTAAATTAAACTGTCTTCATTATAATATTTTCAAAGCTCGAGGGATACGATGTCATCGACAGTTTCTATTGACGAAGATATATACTCTTTTCAAGAGCTTGATCAAGTTTGTACGGAGCAAACGGATTTTTATTTCATCATTAATAAGCTATGGGAGTATTTCTTTTTAATTTGCATTAGCATTTTTGTGAGATTGGTGCGAAAGGTGAGAATTTGATCAAGATTTAGATAAATCTCGCGTTTTTTTTTCCTTCTATTTTTGACGTCTACACAATGTCTTCTTTTTTTTTGTAAACATTTTGTGTGAGAATCGTCATGGGTGACGATACAACCAGTAATCAACGAGCGACAGTACTTCGTGATGCAGGTAATTGATATTCTTTGAAATTATATGAGAAAATTTCGTATGATTCTGTTAGAAATTGCCATACTGGCTGCAAATTCGAAACTTAATGAAAGAGGTAACGAGAATTACAATAAGATCGTCCTATAAAACTGCCTTTCGACTATTTTGTTCTTTAGAAATACGTGAGTTGTACGATGTAAGTGATCGTATTGCCGTCCGATGGGTCTTACCTATGTTTGATTTGTTAGGAATTTCTAACTGCAGATATGTCCGGTACGGGAAGAATCAATAAAGAGCAATTCTGTAGATATTATAAACAACTCGTGGGTAGTGAACATGGACTTGATGATATCGCTAAGTATGATAAATAACTGCAAAGATTTGACTTTCGTTATTGATAATTCAGAAATGTATTTACTGTTTTCGATGTGGATCACGATGGGACAATTGATTTCAGCGAATTCGTTTTAGCTAATGCTATTGAAATGAAGAACGATCCGGATAGTGTTTTAGAATTTTCATTTCACATGTAAATGCTTTGGACAAAAAGTTCTATTCGAACTCAAAGTCAATTTTCGTTTTCCAGGATCGATACATCAGGTGATGAACATGTTAACTTCGATGAAATTGTCGCGTTTGTCGAAAAAGGAGTAAGTTCAAATATGAAAACAATCGTCCGAATTCAATTGGTTTTTATTTTCTCTCAGTTGAAATTAGGTATTACGAATGAAGACAAAACTATAATTGATGCAAAGCAAATAACCAGAGACATATTCGCAATGTTTGGAATAAACAAAACACAGAAATTAAACAAACAACAATTCGTATCCGGGTACGAGCTTTAACATGTGTTATTCGATCGTTGGAATTTCATTGTCATTTAGATGTAAGAGAAATCAAGTTCTTTCTCACGTATTCGGAATGTGATAAATCCATCCGACGAAAGATTTACGTACTTAGCTTTGAATTATAGATCATTTCAAAAGCTGATGTGTTTCTTATTAATAAAACTTGCTTTTAATGACTTGCTATTGATAGTTGGTTTTCTCTTGTATGTGAAGAGAAGAGACGCGAGAGGAAACAACTTTCTTCATTCGTTAGGTTACATTTGCCGTATGAATAAGTAGAAGACACGGAAATTGAACGAGAAAATGAATTTTCGTTGGTTGCACATGTAGATTGCACGAGAAAAGAATATATGATTTATTTATAATTTTATAACCGAGACGCCCATTCAGAATGCTTCACTAGCTTCATATAGAAAGCTGCTACGTTTGATGATCGTTAACTATATCGTCAGTTTGTGCGCTAATGACTTTCCTCGTTCCGTTTTATTTGTTTGGTAGAAACATTAATAAATGATTCTATCTTATGCGCTCTTCATTTGTAGATGGTGAGTTTATTAAGAATTCATTTCATAATTCATACGCTTCTGAGTATGAAGGGAGAAAACGCACATAAGCCAAGTCTATTAACTTCATAGTAGGCCCCCTCTCTCATCAATACGCCTTAAAGTGCATTACTGTATATTAGCATCATTTCCGTTTGAAAAAATGTTGTTATACTTGATGCAAAAAGAAAAACAGCTTGGTGTTTTTCTCCTATTTTAGAGGAGAAAAGAACGGTATATTAAGTTAGAGAAACGACATTGACGTTCTAAATTTACTTTCATATAAATTCATTTAACATGAAAAAAGTAGGTTATGAGAAAATGATCGTTCATTTTGAGCATCGAATTCGTATGTTTTGTTAGATAAATATTCCAACTGAACCAGTCGGATCCATTCCACGTCCACATGAATTGATTCTTGCTCAACGAAATTATCATCAAGGTCGACTTGTTTTGGATCGATTACATGATTATTACATACGAGCTATCCAAATGACAATCCAAGGACTCGAAGAAACGGGTTCGCCTGTGATCACTGATGGTGAACAAACGAAACCGTCATTTCTCACATATCCCATATTTGTCCTATTTAATGATTATTATACATTCTCGACAGATTGTTTTTCATTGAAATTCACTGATGGTCATCAGAGATTATTGCCACGTTTGATCAAAGCACCTTTTCGCTATGCTGTTTATGCTCATACATATATCGATAATGCCAAACAAATCACACAATTACCAATCAAGTAACCGACTGTTTGTTGTTTGCAATGAATGTCGAACTTAATATATATGTTGTAGACAAGCGGTGATCACGGCATCGGCGTTATCGATGGTCTATCCGAAAGCAACGATTCGAGGCTATTCACATGAGCAATTCTTGGATGATTTAACAAATGAATGTGAAAAAGATATTCGGTTGTGTTTGGAAAGTGGTGCACATTGTGTACAACTTGATTTTACCGAAGCTCGTTTTGCATTAAAAGTGGATCCAAGCGGACAATTATTACGCGATTTTGTTCAATTGAACAATCAAGTTCTCGATCGTTTTGCTTTTCGAGAACAACATCGACTTGGTGTTCATATTTGTTCTGGTTAGTAAATCTATGTTTTCAAAATGAATTCATTTCTTATGATTAGGTGACGATGGGGATTGTTGTTCATCGTATGAAATCAATTACCTCGATATACTTCCTTCGTTATTTCAATTACATGTAGTAAATTTCTATTTACGAATAGCAAGTGAACCGAATCGTCAACGAGTGTTTGAGTGTATTCGTGATCATATGCAACCATGGCATCGCATATTTATCGGTGTGATCAATCCAGTTGATCCTCGGGTAGAGACTGGTGAGGAAGTGTGTGAACGTATCATGGAAGCATTGCAATACATTCCAGTTGAGCAGTTGGGCACAACTGATGATTGTGGTTTCTCTCCATTCGATGATGATCAATCTATTTCAAGACAGATCGCTTTTGATAAAATTCGAGCACGAATAGATGGAACTCGACTAGCAGAAGAACGATTGATGTTACAAGGACGAAAATTCACTCAATAATGTTTCACAACATCATCACTTGAACATAATTGTACTATTTTTGTAACGTATAAGTAGTATTTGAGATAATGACGATGAGAGACACATGTTTAATAATATTTTTTTCGATAATAAAGAATACTTCTCAACAATGGAAATCTTCATGACGTTTGTGACCTGCTTGATAGCTCATAATAGAACCGATGGCTGTTTGTAGGCTAAAATCGAATGCAGACAATACGCTGCAAAGTAAATACCTGATATGTGACATTTCTTATTTCCTACATATCATCCATGTACATTGATCAATTGACTGTTAAATTCTAAAAACAGCTTTAACATGCCCGTCTGTCCTTTAAGAAATCATCTGCAGTTAGTTATACTTTTCTCAATTTATTAGTTGAGTGAAATAAACTTAGAGAGAAACACTTTCATTCTACCCATTTCCAGCACAATAATGGAATAGAGAAGAAGAAGAAGAAAAAGAATAATGGTAATTAGAGTGTTCTCTTTTTCTTACTCATTATTTCTCATCACTTAACAACAAATGATGTTGTTGACTAAAAGTGAGGAAATTTTTTTACCTCAAGGATAAATATTTGCCAATGAAATAGAGAACTTTAGTTATTTCTTTTCCGTGAAGATTTGCCTTCTCTTCCTAGTTCAACAAATGTCGCTGAAACAAAATCAATCGAAATCAGATCCTCAACAAAAGTCTGATCCGGACATCAACCGTCCCAAAGCGAATGCACAGGTCTTGCGTACGATTCTATCCGATACAAAGCAGATGTCACTTGATGAAGTTCAAATTCGAAGAACAAACATTCCTCTAGCCCCAACTTCAAGTGCTCCGGCGGATAGTGTGAAACGAACATCATCGACTCCGACTGTGAACAAACCTGTTGGCTCATTCCGGTAAATTCGTGTTCAATTCGTTTCATTTGTCTTTTTTTTTGTCTTTCTTCCTGCAGGTTGTTCTCAACGTTCAGAAAATAATTTGCTTCATCGTTATAAACTCTACACATGTCATCATTCACACGATTCAGAGTGATGTTCAAGGTTTTTCTCGTCAAAGCTATTTTTCTGTAAATCGGCACGTATATTTTGTTGTGTTCTTCATAAATATTGATGAATGTACTTGCCGAGAGTTCATTTCAAAATGCTAAACAACACGCCCTTGATGGTCATCTTGAGAGAAACTCTGTTGTAGAAGCAATTTATCAATCACACAGACTCTTCTGACATTTATTATCGTAAGAAGTTCATCTCTCACTTGACCAATAAAAAATGCACTAACTTGACTTAGGAAAAAGATATCAGACAGATGAGTTTACTTTTTGGAAGATAAAATTCGGTAAGTAATCTGATCGAGATCCACACCTTTACTTCCCGGCGTCAGTTTCCATACTAAAAATCCATTTTTCAGGTATTTCTTAGCTGTAATTACATCGTAACCATGCTCATCGGCAAGATATTTCGCTGTAGTAATAAATTGCTGTCGTATTCCGGCTCCAAACATACTATTCATCGGTTTACCCACTTGTTCGTAACTTGTTTTCCAATCTTCGAAGAAATTATATATCATTTCACTCTTGCCAGTCATTCGATGAATGAAATTCTTCGGTAAATTTTGTTGAAATGTGACAATATCGAATTCATCACGAAAATTCGTGCTGAATACGAGTGCTTCGATTAACATTGACTGATCCGATTGTTTTCGAATGACATTTGCTACCCAAACACGTCCTAATGGATCGGAAGTTCCTTCGATCAGGATTCCATTTATATTCAAATAATTACACATCAGTATGTGAGAATCATGACAGTCACTTTCGAGGTCATATTGTCTGAGAACGTTGAATGCACGAATTAAATTGACACTTTCTCTCTGACCAGTGGTTGGGTTAGTTTGCAACGGTAAATTAAATCCTCCTTGGCGAAAATCCGTTATGTCATCTACAAATTTCTGAGCCTCTCGTACGCGTTTATTATCAATTTCTATGCCTAGAACGCGTAATTGTCTATTGTATTGTCTGAAGCGTCTTGCGCTTTCTAATGTTGTGACAGGTTTACGACCATACCCCAGATCAACATAGAGATGCTCCGTGCTTAGAATTAAATCATAACAGTACATCATCACGAAGTTATCAACTCGTCGGAGACGATTCTCGGTTGTTTTACCACGTGTTTCAGTACCCACAGCCAATTTGGAATATTTATGGAATGGTGTTGAACTCGACGCCATAATAGATAGAATAAATGTATCTATGAACCATAATGATGATGTTGTTTTTTATAGAAATAAGACTATATTCGATTGAAACTTACTAGCGTACCGGAGATGGGACACGGTTCTCGTTCTGGTTATCGCACTGAGCTTAAATAGTACAATCCTGCTTTTCTTTCCGTCAGAATTCTTGCAACATTACCATTCATAGAACCTTGACACGTATCGTATTTACGAAATTACACAGCCCAAAAATTCACCTTTTCAAAAGTAAGAAAATCTGTTGCGACGACTCTCTCACCCTGTAATTTCGTAACTTTGGTTGCTTTTGCTTTCCTTCGCCGCAACAGAAAGCAAATGGTCTTCCTTATCTGGCCCACATTTGATGAATCATTTGATCTAACTCCTTTAATTCGAAATTATTCAAAACTACTCAACATGTATTGTGCTATGGGTTCGATAAACCGTACTCGCGACGAATAGTAACGATGTTTTGATTTATCGTGCAGACGTACGAGCTTTGGTAAATACGAAGCAGAAAAAAAGGTGTTTAAAGATGTGTAAACAGTACAGGAGAGAAAAGTCGAAATATGAAATATAAGTGCCGGTAACGATTAACAAATAATCGAATATAATGGCTACTTCAATAAACATGATGCAGCCAGCTTATACTGATGCTGCTGTAAGTAAATTACTAAACTGAAAATCGAAATTGAAAAGAGTGTGTTGTTCGGATGTTTTTCAGGGCAAACCCATCGGTAATGATGTACACAGATGGTTTCAAAATGGAGTTAAACCAGTCGGAGTGTGAGTTATTCGTTATTCTTTTTCGTAATATGTGTATTATTTCAGAGGGGAAAAGACTGGACCTTGTACAACTCAAACAACGTGTTATATTTTTCTTGGAATAATATGTTTCCTTCTCCTGTGCATTATAATCATCGTTCCTCTGGTTCTTGCATCGGTATTATCAAAATCTTGATAGACAATGTGAATGAACAGAACTATATTTTCATGTAGAAGAATCTTTTTATCACGCACATATAAAAAGAAAGAGATTATTCAGATCACTGTGTTGCTTAGTCTACTACCATCCTTCCTATAAATTCAATGCCAATTGCATGAACTAAAAACAGAAGAAAAGCAACAACATTATCTTGAAATGCATACACTTACCTCATCGATTGAGAATGAACAAATGCTTCTCGGTGAACCGTTGCCTGATTTTTGATGCATCAAATCTAGAAGATGACATTCATTACTTTCCACTTGATTAGATTTGCATATATAAACAAATACCATTGAGAAGAGTTAATCGAGCGCATACTTGAATGTAGTGTTCAAAGGTAACTTTCGGCGAAGAATGTTCATCGGCTCGCGTCGAGTATCGTTTGACAACAGTCTCCAATGTCGATGGAGATAAATTGAATCCTAGAATGTTCGTACAACGTAAGATCATTAAAATGAAGTCTCGGATTGTGGTATTTACGAAGAGAATTGAGAATATTAACGAGAGCGTACGGTTCGATGATACCATTTCGATCGAGATCATGCCGACGAAAGAGATTTCTCCATGAATGTAAAAGATTGACTACAGTAACGAATTCTGGGTATGTTAATGTATTTTTTGACTAGAGGAAAGTCGATTCAAACGTTTTCAATGTATTGACAGACGAAACATACATGAGCAATTGCTGCGATCAAGAGTTTCGAATGATCGATGTTAAACGTCGAATTGCGATCAAATGTTCGAGACAATTCCGTATGATTCAAAATATACAGTAGGTCGTTCTCGTCAATTTCATTCTATTCAAGTGAAAATCGACTCGAGTTCGTCTCGTTGATGATAGGATATTACTTTCATTCGACTTTCGAAAATCTGTTGAAGAAATTGATTTGCTGATGATGACTCATCTCCAATCTAGCAGATAATCATCTGAACAATATCTTCTTAAATGCTAAGAACTCACTTGTTTTTGAACCGGCATAATTTTTAATGTCTATCGAATATTTTCACTAGTAACTGTGTCAATGATTTTCTACATTCGGTTGCTATGGTGATCATCGTTTGATAGAATTCGAAAGTTTTTTTTGGTTAAAAGCTAACATCTTTGGTCATTTATGTGAGTTTTTCGTGAGAAAACTGAATTTTTATTTTCCGGATGACACCACGATAGAGGTCAGGTGACCAAAATGGCGCCACCAATGATAACTACGATATGATCATATTGACTGACGCCAAAAGGGACAGGACAGGAAAGGAAGAGGAGAAAAATAGATTTATATTTTTTTATTAGTAACAAATAGAAAACGTAGCAGAACAATGTGGCAGTTCATATTGACTTACAAATGATTGTATAAGTTTGTCATGTATTCGGTGACAAAGCGCACGGCGAAAAGAAAACATCAAACATTGATAAACTATTCTATGTAAATGTTTATTTGACGAATGATTCATATTTTAGATAACAACTTTTTCGTATATTTTTGTTAAACGAAATGGATTTCAATGTAACAACAATGCCGATAGACGCCTCGACGACCACAACAATGACTACTACTCAATTAACTGCAAATCTTTCGACAACAACACACATTGTTTATGATGATCGTCTGTTCTTGCATACAGTCGCTTGTCAAGCGATCGCTGGTGCCTTTACATGGACAGCTATTTTTATAACCATTCATCATGTAAATTAAAAGGAGATTGAATTTCGAAATGCGGAATGCTTATCTATTTAGATTTACCTTCATTTACGTCATTACAATGTTCCATCGGAACAAAAATGGATCGTTCGATTGTTATTCATCGTTCCTATTTATTCGTTTGTGTCATGGCTTAGTTTAATACTTTTTACCAAAGACTCTTATTATGTCTATTTTCATGCCATTCGAGACTGTTATGAAGGTTAGCGAGTTTAGTTTTGTTTTGCAAGCTGCATGAAATTTGCATCTTTCAGCTTTTGTCATCTACAGCTTTCTCGCCCTTTGTTATGAATATCTGGGCGGTGAAGGCGCTATCATGGCCGAAATTCGTGGAAAATATATCCAGTAAATTTTCTACTACTCATTGAAGAAAAGTTCAAAATTTTTCTTTCGCTGTTTTTTAGACGAAGCTGGTGGACGTGCACGTGCTGTTTATCTAATCAGGAGTATACCATTACTTTCCTTCGATTTTGCAAACAAGTAAATAGCATTGTCTTTCGCAAGCTGAATGACAGGTTTTTATTTCTTTTCTAGGCTACACTTCAATTCTGTTTGGTTAAACCCCTCATGTCTATAGTTACACTTGTTTTGCAAGCATTTGATAAATACAAAGATGGAGATTTTTCCGTGACAGGTGGTTATCTTTACTTAACGTTGATTTACAATGTCTCAGTATCTGTTGCGCTGTATGGATTGTTCTTGTTCTATGCGGCAACGAAACATATCTTAGCTAAATATGAACCTGTTTTGAAGTTTTTAACCGTTAAATCAGTTATTTTTTTAACCTTTTGGCAAGGTAAGTTAAAATCGAATGAGATAGAACGGTACATCCCTTTTCTTTTCGCCCGTTCAGGTGTTCTCTTGGCTATTTTCGAACAAGTGGGCATCATACAAGCATTTCAAGGAAAAACAAATTTAAGTGTTGGCTCAGTTGCTGCTGGTAACCGATGGAAAAAAAAGTGCTTTCTTTTGTAGTTCATCCTTTCTTCTAGGTTGGCAAAGTTTTTTCATTTGTATTGAAATGTGTCTGGCTTCAATTGCACTACGATTTGCTTTCCCTCATCAACCCTACATCATTCGTGACAACTATCTCCCAACAGTAACAACCACTGTTGGTTCTCGAGACTCAACTGGTCCTAATGGACGTATCGTTACAATGCAAAGCATATCGAATAATCTCAAAGAAACAATGAATCCCAAAGATATTATGCATGGTAAATGCAAAAAATTCGAACTCTTAAGAAATTGCATCGTATACTTTAGATGCTATTCATAATTTTCATCCACAATATCGCGATTATACACAATACAATGCACATGTAAGGTTTTTCTTTTGTTTGTTTATTGTATTCATATATTATGTATGAAAATCGATCTCTCTCAGGCAACACATCTGGATACCGAATTACCTTCTGTGATTTTTCAGCTTCCTCGGGTATAAACTTAGTCTCTCATCTTTCTTTTCCTCTCTCGGTGTTGGCAATAACTTCTTCTTAAACTAATGCTTTTCATTTCATTCACGTCACTCGTTTTTCTTGTTATTCTCATACATTGGATGTTTTTCCTCATTTAGACAACCGAAGATCGACCATCCGTGACTTCACCTACAAACACTAATCAATTTACCACACAGAATGACGGACCGGCAACACTACCTATCGATGCGCCCATGCATACTCAAACTCACATTCTGCAAAACTTCCCGAATAAATTATTACCGAAGTCGTTAACTAAAAAAGATGCGGAAAAAGATATGCTATTAATTAATGATGATATTTAACAAGTTCTTGTATTTCCTGCTCTTGTAGAGATATCTAGTCATCACTTTTGATGATCGCTATGTTTCCTCTTCTCTATATTCAACACAAAACTAAGTACGCAAATCAAAAAAATCAATGCAGATTTTTCTATTTTCTTTTCGGATGATGCTGATGATAATCATACAACAATCCTTTCCGTTCTTTGTTTTCTCTCTCTCTCTTTCTCTCAATGTTTGTGTCTTGACTTCTGTTCTTTTCACTCATATGTGCAGATGTACAAAACAGACTATCCAAAGCGTTCAATTCAATCATTCATCGCATTTATTCGATTCTATTATAAACAGTTGTCTTTAACGTATTTATTCATATGTATATTGAAATAAATTATTGATTCATCGTTTGTTCTTTTCCAAATCTGTTTCAGATCATGTCACTTGTCGCATACAGCACTTTTCTCCTCTTATTAAAATTCATTACCTGTCTCGAACTAAAATCGACTGTATGCGCAGGAAAGAATGCCACGAGCACACGTATACGAGAATTCTGTGAGGAGCAAGGTGGTTCAATCATACATCGATGTTGTCTAGGACCTGATGATGCAACATTTATTGCTGTAGATTTAACAGAATCGAACTTAACAGCTGTCCCTGATTTTACCGACTATGCGAATTTTAATGTGAGTGTTATTGATCTTCGTTTAAATCCTCAACTCGAACCAACGCCTGACAATGATTTCCTTGGATTGACAAATCTCAATGAATTGATTCTTCCGCCACAATTTGACTGTCCAGGACACCACCATGTTTGGGAACTAATTGCGAATACCACTGACCCATTAGGAATCAATTGTACTCATCAGGTGGACTTCTGCGCAAATTCAACAGATGTTTGTGCTGAACAAGCATCGTATTGTAGTATCAATGGGCCAAATCATTTCCTTTGTTTATGCAAAGAAGAATATCACGGGTACAAATGTTTACGCAAAGGGACATTTCCATCGGGCGTATTTTACGGCACAACAGTCGCAGTCACTGTTGTAGCTAGCATTTTTCTCTATTGGACGCAACGACGACATGTGAAAAGTTGATTTGAGCTCTCTTGAAATGCAATGACTGTGATTTTTCTGCAATAAGTAATTATTTTCTTTCTATTCCAATAAATTATTGTTTTTACGTTCAAAAGACGTATTCAATTGATCTTTAAGTGCACTGATACTGAGAGTATGTTATTATTTATTCATTATTGATCGTACGGTCGTAGGTAAAACAAAGATACAGACAGCTTAAAATTTTGTTTTATATGAACTCGTGATCCGTAGAGCGGCTGAACAAGATTATTATAGTAAAATGGATCGAATACGGTCTTTTCGACAGTTCGTAGGAAGTATTGAAATGGGTGGAGCATATCCGTGACGAAGAATAAGTATTTTCAGTAGTAAATGTGAGTAATCAAGCTTCTGCGTGTAGCGGAAGATCTGGAATTGGGTTATTCCCTATTCAATTAGCTAAAAGTGTTGACGCACAAGTAACAACGACCTGTTAACAAAGAAGTTTTCTGTGCTTTTTTTTTTGATGAAATTGGTCTGTCGATAATATTTGTCGGACAAACTGGTACTGGTGCTTGGAAGGCGATGTTTAGTACAACAGCACAAACGTACGAATAGATTTGATCGAATGAGATTGTTCTAACAATCAGTAATGTAATGATTCCCAGTACGGCACGCGGAAAATTTCAAAGAGAATTGCGAGTCTGTTTTGGAGTATCTTCCAACACAGATCATATTAGATTATCTTTATTTGGCTTTGACAGAATCGAATAAAAACGTTCGTGCTATTGTTAGATTCCACCGGAGTCTCGTTTTGCCTTTCCAATTAGATTAGACCGTTCTTTCGATGTTCTGTCAACTGGAAAATATCTTGTCTACGCCAGACTACAAACTGTCAAGTAAAATTTTTGAAAAAGTTCATCATTAGTTTGAAGGAAGCTTGTAATAGAAACATTCGTGGAGAAACTCCGGAAATAACGATATTTTAGAACAGATTTTTCCGTCTATTCGACGTACGTCAGAGTTGAAACATTTTCTTTCTCTCCGCTTTCTTTTCACTTCCTTCCGTTTCACAAAGAAAGACTGACATCCTGAGAGCTTTCGCAAGCGTGGATAGAAATCATGTGCAAAATATACTTCTACAGATCTAATCTACATCGAAAGAATACAAACACAATAGATACGATGTCTCATCTTTTCTTTTATCTTTATTTATTTATTAAACAAAAGAAAGATTAATTATAGGAGTCTGTAATAAAAGCTCAACTATGCAACATAAGATAATCGAGTATGAAAATGTAACCATAAAAAAAATGAGAAAGAAAGGAATGACTTTGATTTTCTCTCTCTCTCTCTCTCCCTGTACTTATGATGTGCTTGTCAGCACACGAGTTGTTTTTTCGCCTTCGTCTCCTTGTGTCTCAGCTTACATAAAAAGAAAAGAAGAGAGCGAGAGAGAGAGAGAAACGTGACACACATGTCTACCAAATACCGAAGTAAATATTATGAAGAGGAAGAGTTTTAGATAGAACAGCGTAAGACAAGAGAAAGTGTTCGAAGATAAAGACAAACATATCTAATTTTTCAAAAACGACGAATGTTACATACAGGTATCGAAGCACTTTTCGGTCGAAACCGTGATGGTCATCGCACGCGACATATATTTCATTTACGCCGTCATCATCACGCTCAACATGAACACAAAGAAGAACAGGATCATCTAGCGAAATTCTTCTTAACTAAACCCAAATTAGAGAAAACCATTCTCCGCGGTCCGATATTCGCTTTCACGTCTATGCAGGGCTGGCGTTCGACAATGGAAGATTGTCATAAACATTTAATACCATTAGATAATCATTCCTGGAAACTATGGTCCTATTTCGCCATATTCGACGGTCATAACGGTAGGAAGATTGCACATTTGAAAGTGACAAATCGTTTTCTCTTGTTTGAAAGGCATTGACGCAGCAAAAAATGCATCCGAACAACTTGGTATTCACTTAATAAATGCATTAAATCATATGCTTGAAAAACAACACGATGACACTGTCTATCCTGATATACCGATTCATTCATATGAGCTCGATCTGGAACAATTACATGCTGCGATTAAGAAAACCTATTACGACTTAGATCAAGATCTACGGAAAGTTGTGAAAGATGAAAGCGGATGTGTTTGTGTAAGGCTTCTTTCCTGGAAAATTTGTACTGAGAAGATATTAGTGTTTTCCTTTAGATTACGTGTTTAATTGGTCCAGAGAAGATCTACTTGATCAACATCGGAGATTCGCGCGCGATTATTATTTCCAACGACGGGCTCGTTTTGGCGCATACGGAAGGTAAGACGATTACGAATGTTTATTTTGATGACGATTAGATTTTGTGTAGACCATAAACCGGATGATCCAGCTGAACGTGAACGCATTCATGAAGCTGGCGGTAAAATATCGAAATCGACGACCGGTGATGTCTTGCGTGTTGAAAATCAATTAGCTATGACACGTGTGCTAGGAGATTTTGCTATCGATAAACACATTGTTCCACCAATGGCAGATATTGTCGAATATCCACGAAATCTTCTCGCGTCATTTATTATTCTTGCTTGTGATGGAATTTGGGATGTGATGACGAACGAAGAAGTGGCACAATTTGTGATACATCGTGCATCAACAAATAAATTAGAAGAGATTACTTCACAATTATTAGACGAATGTATCCGTCGTCGGGGTACTGATAATATGAGTGTGTATATTGTTAAACTCTAAATACATTTGAATCGATGCTCGTTGTTTTTCAAGTCATATATCAATAGTATAGACATATCCTGTTGCACTATGCTACTTCAAATGTCACGCAGAAGGTTTCGAGACTTGTCTTTGTTTTTGAAAAAAAAGAAAGAAGGGAAACATGTTGGCGAGAATCAGAATGATAACATTTTCTCATATATCTTAATGAGATGTCATCAATCAATAAAAATAGCATCAAGGGGTTAACTTCAACTGAAGCGAACTTTCCTGCAGTCATCATTATTAATAGTCTTTTTTTAGAACAGAAGTACATATATATATATTTCTATACTCGTTCACACAAACAAAGTTCAACTGAAGCTGTAGTTTTCTGGACCATCGTATGTATAGTTCCAAGAGAGATCGACACCATCCAGATATGTCGGTAATCGTCCTAGTTGTTTCAGACGTCTTTGACGAATTAGTTTCGCTGGTGAAAGCATGGAAAATTGATTACTACTTGATAGGAACTGTGAAGTTTTCATGGAGGAATTCTTCTTCGAGAAAGCACCACTCGATTCAGCTAAATCCTAAAGAAATGCAAGTGTTGTAGGTATTAGTCATGATGTAGTCGACAAAAAAAGCATAGGAAGAATAGAGCACAAAACAACCTTAGAACGATTAGCGTGTTTTAATGACAAACGTGTTGTTTGACGAGTTTTCAGTGACTAGGTGAGTAATAACTAACAAATATTATAAACAGTCCAATCGCATACCTTGTCATCGATTGTAACTTTAGTAGAATTACCTAGAAACGAACGATTTGGTTAGAAATGGCTGGAAAACGACGGATTCCTACGTGATTGTTGAAGTAATTTACATTCTTCTTCGTGAAATGCATCCCATCCTGTTGTTCGACAAGCTTTCGAACAAAAATTAACCATTTCACATTGTTTACACGGTGTTAAACGAACGCCGGTACTTCGACCGCATGTGGCACAAAAATGAAATTCGGTATTTCCTCTGAAACTTGAATTAAAGAAACCAATTGGAAAGTTTTTCGATTTACTTCGAATTGGGGTTTTTAGTCTTCTCAGTAAATGAGGTACGAAGAGTGACACTTCGACGTGGTGAAGATGAATGTCGAGCAGTCGTTTGACTTAGATCTTCTGCGAAATATTCCAAATGAGAATGTCAATAAAGGAAAAGACATACCAACGGATGGCGAAGTCAAGAGATTTTCGTTCTTAGCGACTTCCTCACGAAATCGTTTGGCAAGATGAGCAAGTAATTCCTTGCGTTCTTTATAAATAACTCGTTCTTCAGGTGATAAAATATGGTATGGCGTTTGCGCGATTCGTGTGTCCTATAGTTGAGAAAAATTGTGACATGAAACGAAGAAGAATCAAGAAATCGTTCTACCGCAAAGAATGAATAATAAGCATAGTCAACAGTTGAACCTGTTAGATGCTTTTGACTAAAATGAACTGGATAGAGAACGCGAGGACTTTTAGCAATGATTCGTTCGATCTAAATGCGATTCATAGGTATAGAAATCATCTGATTACAGCTCCACTATGTTAACATAATTACTAATTCTATTCTTTTATCATAATTCCAACGAGATCCGTAGACTGTTGAAACAACTGTACACAAAGCATTTCCATTTCCTTCACCGAGTGAAATCGCCGGATCTATTGTTTCATGATTGAGGAGCATATCAACAACGGACTCATTGGCCATTGAGATGGCAAGAGAAAGTGGAGTTTGACCGTTGCAGACAATATTTGGATTTGCTTTATGTTTGAGAAGTAAACGGACAAGAGATGATGTCTCGTCAGTTGCTTCTCGTGCACAGGCAATATGTAATGGTGTACGCCCGTGACCTTGTGTTTCAGTCTAGAATTATTTGACAGAAGTTTGTTCTATCAATCAAGAAAGCTAATTTACTCGGTTACTGATATTACAAACTAATGGGTCAGCAAGTGAAAGATATTCTTGATTAACCGGAGACGTTTCAACATTTGTTTGTGCACCATGTTCTAACAGGAGTCGAACCATGCCGAACGCTGTTGGTTCTAAACTACCACAAGCAATATGTAATGGTGTAAGACTTGCATGACGAGCTGAATTTAATCGACAATTCACTTGTGCTTTCTTCTTCAATAGTAACTCAACCATTTCGAGATCACCTGCGCGTATTGCCAGTGCCAATACGGGCAGAGGCCAATCGCTCATTGAAGGATCTGCACCACGGCGAAGAAGGAGCCTACAATGAATAAAATACAATAGTAGTATGATTACGGATTTAACATACTTGATCGTTGTCAGAACAGTCTCTCGAAATTGTTCATGTCTCATGCGCTCACGAAGATCATCTGTCAACTCGTATCCATAGTTTTTTGCATCTTCTGTCGTATTTGTTTCTGCTGGAGTTTCTAATTCCTTCTTTTCTGCTGCAGTAACTCCACCTGATGATTTTCGTGATGCCACCTTCTCCTTCGAACTTGATTGTCTCGATTCAATAGTAGGACTTGGAACGACTAAATCAGCATGCTCAAAAGCTCTGTTGATTGTTTCATACGGATTATTTCCGTAATAGAATAGAAAAACAATTGACAAGGGCGTTAATCCGTCGTCTGTGAACTGATTCACATTAGCACCGAAATCCAAAAGGACGTTGATAGCGTCCAAATGAAGATTATAAGTAGCAAAATGAAGAGCAGTCAAGCCTCGAGAATCACACACATCTACATAAGTTTGGGTGTGCATGAGCAGATGACGAATTTGTTTGGTTTCACCATGAAATGCTAATTCGAATAGGAGTAACGAGGAATTTTCCAATGGACCAGGTTCAGGAAAAGTCGAACGTGCATCTATATAAACAGGAGAATATAGCATTTAGTACATCTTTATCACTTACTTGATAAAATTTCATCGATAGGAAATCTCGCTTGTTTCTTCAAAGGTAAAAATCGATTGGTATGATAAAATATCTGATGTTGTTCATCGGTTTGATTTGGTATCGGAACATGTGCAGTTCTCTCGTTGAAAATCATATCTTTCGAGACATCTTCATCATTAAAATCCGCTATTGAAGCTTCTAACTGAGCTCGTTTTTCACATAAAACTTTTTGTACTCGGTCCGCATGTTCAATTAAATATCGTGTGAAAGTTGATGAGCTTTGATCTTCGTGATTTTCACACAGCAGTGAGGCTGGCTTTTTGTTCAGAATAAAATCAAAATCCGGTACCGAGGAAAGCAATTGATAAGGTGAATACCATGCTGGTAAAATTTGAGACGATTCACCTCGAGGTTTGACATCCGTAATACGTATATCCAGCTGAAGCGTGGGATGAGGATAAAGGAGACGAATGAGATCATCACTTAACCAGAAGCCAACATCAACGTGTTGAGATTTTCGATAGGTTAGCATTCCAGGACCAAACCGTTCGTCATTTCGATATAAACCCTAAATGAACACATAGGGAATCCCTCTACTTTTTGACTCTCGAGATAGACTTACTTTGAATTCAAAGGTTTCCGGTTGTTGATACGTTCCAAAACCATGTCGTTTATCGGCATGAAAGGCTCCACTGTATGTCTGATCATCTGACCAGGACAATACTCCTGACCCATGTTTCTTCTCTGCATACATATCACCCACATATTTCTTTAGACAACACAGTTACAATAAGGAACAAAATTCAGCGAACTTACGCATTCTTGTCTTATCGTCGTACTTGATGCGCTAGGTTCAGTTTGCTTGATCGATGGTGATTCTTGAGGAACATGAGGTGACGTCTTTGGTAATTCATTATTATTTAAATTGACAGTCTTCACTGGATTTTCGGATGAGTCTTGAGTTTGACTACTGATTGATTTTCTCGTCGGCCGAGACATGTTTCTTCAACTAAAATGCAACGCGAAAAGATTACTAAACAAAAACAAACAGAAAGAGAAAAATGTCTCAAGTTTTATTGATAATCAAATACTTCAGATAAGTGAGTATTTCTCGAAAAAAATATAGTAGCCATTTGCAGCTTGTGATACCTAGGTAATCAAATCTCTGCTTTCGTTTGCTGCAGAGAATGAAACAATAGATGCCGCGAAGTTTTCGATTTCATTCAAATATGCTAATAGAGTTTCATTTTTCTCATATATCAGAATGAAACAATGTTGTTGTTATTCTCTGGAAGAGCTGGCATGTTAAACAAGTGTCACTATAAGTTAAATCAAGAAGACACTCCTCTCAAATATTCCGCCAAATTTATTTTTATAAAATATGAAGAAATGAAAATGTCTGTTTTAATTATCTCAAAGATGATCTTTAAGATCGGCCAACTAATTTTGTATTGATCACCGCTGTTGATATGTCGACTTGAGCGACAGGCATGTCTTCTTTCTTAATTCGTATAACTTCCGAACCAAATGATCCGAATACTTCTAGACATTTTGGTTTCGGACAGAAGACTCGGCGTACGGCGTAGCAAGGCCAAGCGCAGATTAGTGTGATCCATAGAAGAAAGAAAAACGTCGGCTGTTCACCCCGACATTCTCGCATTTGATCAATATCGTGCAAGAAGATCGCTGAATCCGTATGAGAAGGTTCCGAACATCCTGCACAGCACACGTATTCTTGATATCTCGTCAGGAGTCGGATATCGGTTAGAACGGTATAATAACCGTTGCTACAACAACATACATTATCTTTATAATCCCATTCGCGATAGACTTTTTCACTCGGTAACAAGCCAAAACTGTTGCTGATCGGACGGCCGAAAGCTGATGCTGGTTGTTGAGTATGAACACGAGTAGGTGCAATCGTCCTAAGTATTCAGTGAGGCAAAAGTCGTGATTCTTTTCTTTATGTTCACTTACATGTTTTTTGTTCGTGCGAAAGATTTAATACACTAGCAGGTTGTGTTTGACAAGGAAAATAATAAAGAGAAAATGAACATGGAATCGAATTGGAGAATGAATGGCTTCATTTTTTTTGTGATTCGCTTTCGTGGCATGATTCAAAAAAGAATGGGTGTAATGTTAAACTCACACAAGTGCAGTTGAAATTAGTTTTTTTTGCCTGAGGCTGATGCTTTATCTTGAATATGCAAATTTAGAACAAAGAAATACTACAAATCGAAAGATGTTTGCTGCAAGTCATGCGTATGACTAATGACAGTTCTGACAATTCGGTACACAAAGTTTACCGTTGTCTACTCGACATCGGCATCCCCCGGAAGTATCACCACGCCCTTTAGGACCCCAACGAGGACCTTGTGTTGGCCACTAAATCAAAACAAAACTAACTAAAAATCTTGTTCTACACAATAGAACAACACTACGAACACAAATCTCCATTTTGCATTGACTGCACTGAATCCAGTCACAACCAGACATCTTCTGGATGATGACACGACAGCCAGGACTAGAAGGAGCCTTCTATCGATTCATAATCATACAGATAAGGTGTGGCTCTTACCAATACATGGCTTCTTTATTTTTAATCATGGCCTATATGTTAAATAAACCGATAAATAAGACTATGGACATCATTTTAGTGTTTACTTCGAGATGTGCTGTATCATTACGTAGATTATCCTCGTTTGCTTGTTGTAATTTCTTCTCTTCTTGATACTCACGACCTACATATTCAATAAAGAAATCAACTATTGTAAAACTCCTATGAAACGCACAGGTTTGTCCTTCGTGTATCACTGAACACGCTAAACAAATCCAATGCTGACATCCCTGAAAAATCACATATTTGGAATGAGTTGATTAAACTTGAAGAAATACATCACAGAAGATGATATTATTATCTTGCTCTGGTTCTATGAACCACCAATGTGTACAATCAGGTGTGATACAATGAAATGTTTTATTTCGACTTTCAGCAAACCGCACGCTAACGTTATGGAGACGATCGAGTACTTTTTGATCAACTTTCAAATCGTTCACAACCTGAAATACGAGTAAAGTCTTCTCGAAGAAGTTCTTTCAAAAATCCTTACACCCCGAAGTTCCCTTTCTTCTATCAATTCTGTACAATTGTCATGTGGACATTTGATTGATGGTTCGTCGCTTGTTTCGATCAATCGTAATAGACACGATTTGCATAATAGATGGAGACAATTCCGGAATCGAATCCCATCATCTTTAGAAATCGTATCCAAGCAAACTATGCAATCAAATGGCTCATCATTTGTATAATAGGGTTTATCTTCTTGCAATGCCATTACATGAATGAATTCTCTGGAATGTGTTTTTGTAGAATTTTGATTAGTATCATTAACAATGAGAAATTCTTCTAAGCACGTCCGTAAGATTTCTTGAAATTGAGTTCGTGAAGTCGGATTCAACAATATTTGATAAGTATATTCTCGCCCATTGAACACATCAGGTTCTCTGCTTGATCTTGCAAACGTATATTGATCGCGGCGAATGAGTGGACAGTTGAAAAGTTCCTATGCAGAAAATTTACAATCAACACGTAACAACAAGCGATTCGTACATTTTTACTATTTTTCAAATCGATCGCTCGTAATGCATAATCGCCAATATCATATTGACGGAGTTCTATAAGACATCGCTCAAAATTGATCACTTTATCTTTTACACCGTTTACTTGGATACGACATTCACTATAAACCTCAACACTCATCTCTTTTTATCTACACAAACATCATGTAAAGTTCGTTTTGTTTTGCAATTACAATATCAACATACGGTTGATAAGTAGAGGACGCGTCTATGTGTTTGTATCGTTAAAAATACACCAATATGGTTGGCGTGCAATTCTACTACTGGATTTCAGACAGAACAGAACAGTTCGGTAAGAATTTATATAAAATGATTGGAATTTATTAATAAACTCACGAAAGAATAAAACAGCACTTGTAAGTTCTTTCTTATCAAGTAACACTATGAAGAGTATGCTGGAAGCATATTATTCTCTAAGTCATCATCTCCCTATATATTACCATTGTGAAAAAAATTCTCCTTTCAAAATACTGTCAACTATGGGTTGCGGCGCTTGCCGTCCAGCGAAGTTGCCTGTACAACTGTTTCCATCGAAAGCACAAAGTGTAGAAAATTATATTGCTGTATGGTACGATGGATTAAATAAAGGTGAAAAAACGAAAGCTTTGGAAAAACAGATACAAAACGTCGTTAAAGTCGTGGAGAAATTTAACGATCCTGTTCAAGGCCGTGATTTTATTGAGAAAGTAACACTAGAAAAGATCTTCCTCATTGTCTCGAACGATGACAACTCCAAGAACTTTCAAGCAAACGTTCAGCACTTCAAACAAATCTATAAGATCTATGTTTTCTGTCTGGAGAAGCAATCAAATGATCCCAATTCGGGTGCATACACATCCATGGAATCTCTGTGTAAAAGCTTAAAAGAAGATACAAAGCAATGCGATCATGATATGATTGGCTATCAGATTAAAGACCGTACAGCGAACAGTAACCGGCAGAAGGCTTCAGATACGCACACTCAGCTGCTCTGAGAAATCATCTTATCAACGAACGACGATCAAATGAAAGAATGATATCAATTCTGCCAGGATACGTATAAAAATAGCCACCGCGATATAGAATTCTTGAAAGATCTGCAGAAGAAATACCGGTCAGATAACGCAGTTCAATGGTACACAAAAGAAGGATTTCTTTACAGCATAGTTAACAAAGCTTTTCGTACACATGAATTTGAACAGCTTTACTACATGCGTGTTTTCATTCGCGACCTTGACAAACAAATTGACAAGTTGAAAATGAACACATCCAGTAAAACGCCACCATTATATCGAGGACAACAAAGAATTCGATGACATAAGAAAGAACGATAAAGAGCTGTATACTCTAGAGCAGCACTACAAAAACTCTATCATGGGTTCGAATTCTTGCTTAAATTTTGCTCGATTGACGTATCTGTTTGGAAAGTGGGAATTGTTGAAACATTTCTACAAAAAATGTCTCGAGATCGAAAAAGATCACGAACATCTTGCCATTATCCACAGTGATCTTGCCTTGGTCGAATTACAGCTGGGGCATTACGACGAAGCTTCGACGTATTTCAGGTCAATAGAACCGAAGCAAGTTACGAGCATCAAGGAAAATAAACCGACCGCTTTCACATATAATAATACGGGTATTATGCTCCATAGACGAAGATCTTTTAATGTAGCTGTGCAGAGTTTTCAAAATGCTTTAGCCGCATACGCTGCTGAATCCGGTAACAATAAAGGACTTCTTGGGACAATTTATCATAATATCACAGCTATTCACAATGAGAAGAGTAATTATAAAGAAGCACGTGATAATATTGAAAGATGTCTCGGAATCCGAGCGGCAATTTTGCCGAAACTACACCCAACGTTAGCGGTTACCTACAATTGCAAAGCAATTACTTATTATATCAATGGATCGTGTGACAAAGCCATCGAGTATGCTCAACGGGCAGTTGACATTGACAGGAATGTATTGGCAGAAGATCATCCTCAAACAATACTTCATACGCGAAATCTGAACTCATTCAAAAACAAAGTAGTGAGCAGCAACTAGTAACTGTTTTTCTGACCATCGTTTTTTCTCATACATTTTCTCCTACACGAATATCGGAATTTAAACAAAAAATATGTTTGCCATTTCTATGTATAAGCCATGTAATGCACATACAACACAAATAATGTGAATAGCACGTGCACAGCTTTTCGAGTTTCCTCTTCAATAGTGCACATATGATCAAGTGTATATTTTTCAGCATAGCACTATGATGGAACGGTTAGTTTTGATGCTATTATTCCTATCAATGAATTTCTATGGCGAACTTCAAGGATATCGATATGTGTGTTGGCAACTGCCGTGTTGGATACGTTGCAAATCAGTTGTTCACGTTTGTTCGACTCTGCCATGCTGGAATCGTTGTGGATCAAGTCCAAGAGTATGCTGGCGACTGCCGTGTCGGTTTTCGAGTTGAGTTACTCGATAGATCATTATACGCAGAAAAAACTCTATAGACGTTTTTTTGTTATACATACTTGTTAGACGCTTCTATATAGTCAATAAAAGCCCAGTCGGCGACACGGTTTGGATGATGTACGGCAATCACGCAAATAAAGTATCTATATTTTCCCTAATCACTTATCGATAGTGTATCATGATGACAAAAGTATACGTCATCATTGATTTTGTCAAGGATTAGATTTTGTGCCATATCACCGTGTGAGAAGAACGAATATAAAAGCCATGTGCGATAAATGCGAGCGCACTGAAAAAGATGCGACAAATTACGTGTGTTCTACTTTTGGTACTCTCGTTGAATCAATGTTTAGGTCAAAAAGGCTTTCCTAAGCAGTTTCAAGCAGTGTTTAACGTCACCGTGGTCCAATCGTCTGACCTAGTGACACAAGGCGTTCAATCTTTGTTGTACGATTATGTCAATCTGAGAGTTCGCTACGATTATCAAGGATGGCTATCAAAACAAAATGAAACAAATATGATCATATACAAACCTCAAGGTGCTGAACCGGATTCGGTAGGTCAAGTTCTCTGCCACTCACTGAAGGGATGAAATAATTGTAGTTCTTTAGCCGGCTGCGAATGACTATGTCATGTACAACTTCAGGCCTGATTATCCGGCAATCACAAAAGTAAGAACAGCATCCACTATGTCTTGTCGATATTTAGTTTCTCATAGAATGATTGTTGGTATTCATCAAATCCAATGAGAAGTATTGGCCCATTTCCATTCACGTGGTACAGTGAAACTGGAAACTATTATCAAATCAAAGAATGGTTTCCTTTACCAACTGGAATGGTTAACAAAGGTGAAGAATGGATACCTGAACTTCAAACCAATGCAGTAGTATGTGTTGTCGAGTTCGTTAAAATTTGAATAGAGAAAATCAAATACTTTTTCTAGCGATATGACTCAGAAAAAATCTGTTATCTAAGACGATCTGGTATTGGTAAAGTTCCATGTTTGAGCTATTTCGAGACAGACAATGGACCAGCTAAAATTATCACAGCACGTGCTGCTGTTGGCTCATATGATTCCGATTCGTATGTATAGATTTCGCATTGTTATTGAGCGACTTGTATTTATTCGTGTGTAGATATGTAATTACCGTCTATCTTTCGTTTATCAATGGTATTCCATCGGAAGCCGAACATCTATTCGACTTACCTGATCACTGGCCTGCTTACTGTGGTAATGCAAATACAGGTAAAAGGAACAATTCTGGTTATCCAGTCGACATTGTGCTATATTAGGTTTTACTGTCAATCCTGTTCGTGGTTTTGTCGTCACCCCTCAAGGTGGAGATGGTTTTGCCTTACAATTAAACACCCCACCAGTTCGTGAACTCGGTGATCAAGTGAAAATTGAATTCAAATTAAATCCATCGTGGTACTACAATGGAACCAAATGTACGACATTCAAACCAATAGTTTTCAATAAAGATAATTGGCAAACGCCACAGCAGGTCGATATGTCATTTACTGATTACGGTTGTTGCAGTTATATCATTGAAGCAAATGGCGGAGGATATGATTGGCAATATCAATCTTCATCATTTGTTGTTTATGGATGTGAAGGAGAAGCCGGATATGGTTGCACAGGCAAATATCCATGTGGAGGTTAAGAAATCATCCATTCTTCGACAATATAAACTATGTTCTTCATTCGTTGTTTGTACTACGGTTTTCAAATGAATGGTCAATCGAGAAGACAAACGATATGCTTGTTAACTTTTTTTTCTCATTTTACGCAAATTACCGGTATTTTCTTCGTAGAAATTGACACTTCTTGCTCAGAGATCAAATGAGATCAGTCACAGGTGGTTAGAAAAAGAAAGAAAACTTGTTTGCTCACGCCTGCCGTTATACGCTATGCTGTATATGATTACTTTTTTCTTAGCTATGTTGTCACGCTCGAAGGCACTTTCCATTGACTAATATTCGTAATTGCTTGTATATGTAATGGTGAACAGCATGGTTCTCTTATTTTGAATACGATGCTACAGGTACTTAAAATCATGCGTCATTTTACTCGAAAAAAATACTATCTCAGTGTAGACCATAAATGATTTCTTCGATAATAAACACTGTTCTCTATCCTCGGCCAAACCCTCCACATTATTCCGCGAAATCCCATCCCAATTATCTAATTTGGATTCCACCGAATGGTTCAATACCATCGATTCCTTGTTTCTATTTTCAAGCATCACCAGAACGCCCATTAATCATTTGGAGTCATGGTAATGGCTGCGATATAGGTACAATGGTTCCATTACTTAGCCTTTTGAATCGAACACTGAGCGTCAACATTTTAATCTATGAATACCCCGGCTATGGTCTGTGTGTCGGTCAAACGCCGTCAGAAGACAAGATCAATCGACACACTCAACAAGCGTATACTTTTGCACGGAGTGTTCTACGTTTTCCGCCAGATCGCATCGTATTCTATGGACATAGTATTGGTAGTGGAACTGCCTGCATGATGGTAAACAAGTTTTTCTACGATCTGCCATATATTCTTCGATTTTTAGGTTGCGTCTCTCATACAAAGTCGAATACCTGTTGGTGGACTCATTTTACAAAGTCCCTACCAATCATTAACAGATCTCGTCAAACAAAAAGCTGGAGTCTTTCGCTTATTCATCTCCGAACTCGGATGGAATAATATCAATGTTATACAAGTCATCACTTGTCCTGTCCTATTCATACATGGTAAACAGGACGACTTGATTTCGTATGATAATTCTATTAAACTATACAACGCTTGTCCTTCACATAAAAAACAAATCGTACTGATAGATAACGCTGACCATAATACAATCGATACGCGAACTGTTCTACAAGCTGTGCAACAGTTCTTATATATGTATTTACATTAAAATTCGAATGTCGATCAAAATATACATGTTTTCGTTTATTCGTGAAAACAAAATAAGGCTCATTACAGAGAACAGAAATACCTGGAATGTAACTAACTGACAAAAATATATGAATAATATAAAAATGACTAGAAGCTTTGATTATTCTGTACAAAGATTAATGATTTGATTTGTTATCAAGACGGTCGATTGAAGAGAAGACATCGACTAGAAAGAACACAATCGATTTTGGCAAATTCACTGTTCTGTAATTCACCATGAGATACACTCGGACCAAGTCGATTGGTTAAAATCTATTTAAATCAAATTTTCTTGAACAATCTGTTCAAAATCAACTTATAACCTACTCGAATACTTTCTCCGTATCGTTGATCAGCAGGTAGATGAAAAACAGTATCATTGATCCATAAACAATTCGCCGCTGTATCATCTGGAAGTGTGATTATCTTGTACGATTTATATTCACTCATTTCTTCCATTTGCTAAGATAAATAAAGAGATATACTCTTGTTTCGACTAACACCGATTTCTTACACGAAGTAAATCTTTCGCAATATCTGATCCACCGATTGCCATCGTGTCCATTCCAACGATTGAGACATAGTTTTTCAAATGCGCACCTTTTTTTACCTAGATTTGTGTGAGGCCTACAATAGGAAATCAACCACAATGATGACACATACCCTGAGTAGAGTCACTGGATATTCAGGAAATGCAGATGCTACTGCCTTTGCTCCAGACAAATTCGTTGTTTTTGATAAACCAACAAAAAACTCGCGACCTAAAATTCAATCAAGAGTTATTCTTCTACAGTTCATGCTCAACATCTCACTTACCAGTGAATAGAACATCACTTCCATCAATCGTCGCTGACAAGTCTTTGATATCGACAATATGAAGACCTTCTCGTCTGAGAATCGTTCGAATAATATCAACCTACGAGCAACATCAACGTTTTCGAAAACTCTCTAACGAACATCTCACTTCTTTCGATCGTCCATGCGCACTAGGTCGACATATCAGAGCGATTCCATCACAGATCACTGCTGTATCGTCAACAAAAACACCTTCCGGTAACGATTCATCCGCAGGTAGTTCAATTACATCCAAACCAAGTTTTCTACAAACAGACCATGTCTTTGTTGCAAACAAGCTCTATGAATTCTCTCACCTCAGAATGGCAATATAATCTTGATGTTGTTTTCGTGCTTTATCGATATTGATCACTTCGCGAATATCTCGTTGACAAAGTGCTGCGTCTTTCAAACTTGCTGGCACTCGACTGACAATTGCCGATGTGAAATGAAAGTCGAACGGATACGGCAGCATAACTGATCTTCAAAGAAAAGAAATCAAATAAATAGTATATGAATGTGTATGTATTGCACACAAAGAGAAATCAAGTAAAGAAACAACAATAAGAAACCAAGATTTACAAGATGAAATAAAAACAAATATGGCATAAAAGAATTAATTAACTTTAGCTCGATTTGTTGAACTAGCTGCTTCTTTGATCGTGTTCACCGTTTTCGACAACCAACTAACTGTAGAGGAATTATTATTATTATTATTGAGGGCTCGTATACTATTGACCGAATTCGTGTCTGAATCGCTTGCCATCGACGATGAGTGGCGAAGTTGATGGACAAGTTCTTGATTTTCACAAAGAGCTTGTGTGAGCGCGAGTTTCTTTTCAGCTAATTCGATTTCGACTTGACGTAAACGATCGGCAACAGATGGTGAAATGGAAGAGATCGGGGGTAAATCATCCTCGTCGTTATTGACAATTTCTCTCTCGGGAGTTGAAGCAAGACTTGAGGGTGGAGAAACAATACTGTTGATAATTGGTTTACATGACTCACAACAGCGAGACTAGAAGGTAAAAGAAGAAAATCAATGATGAAATGTTATACACGAATGACGAGCTTTACTTGACAAGCTTCGATTTTAGCTTGATACTTCTCCTTTTGTTTATCCAATTGATTATTCAATTGTGAGCAAATCTGTAATGATATGGCACGTGTTACGAAAGTTTTCAACTCAAAGAACGTAATCACCTGTTTGTAATCTGAAACAATCTTTTGTGTTTGTTGAAGTTCATCACATGTACGTCGAAACGCATCTCGAATCTAAATAAATCCATCAATCCTCACAGATTCATTCTCTCGAACCCTTCATTTACATTCTCTAATTCTTCATTCAAACGAATAGCATGTTGTTCGCTGTCTCGTACAATTGTTCGAGTTGCTTGTAATTCTCTTGTTAACGTCTCGACATGGTCTTCTGCCTAAAAGAATTTTCACATAAATGATTGTCTTTGTTCGAAAAAATGACTCACTTCGTCAAGATTACTCTTTAATTTGACCCGATCATTGACTAATTCCAATGCAAGCATTTCATTCTCCAATTCCGAACGCATGCATATTTCCGTTAAGCGTTTATTATCAGACTCCAGACGTTGTAATGGAAATTCACTTTGTTCCTCTTCCGCACGACGTGTAAGATATTCCTTTTCATATCGTTTGAGTTTTTTCACATTAATCTAGCAATTAACGATGAAGACAAGGGCTTCTTGCAAGGAATTAATTACTTTCATGGAACATGCTGTTTGAATTAGCTCATCAGCATGATCTTCGCTCCGGTATTTTTTCGGTAAGTTAACGCGAAAAAATCGCATCACACCTTCGAAATCGAGTGATAACAAATCCTTTTGGCAACCCTACAAATTCGCCAATAAACAGTCGTTTCATATCAGTGAACAGAATTTACCTTCAACAAAGCCAAAGCAACACCAAACAGCGCATTGAATCCCTAGAGAAATCAAATTATTTGGCAGAAATCAAAGGTTTCAAACCAACTTCGTATAGAAATATATCCATAATACGAAAGACTAAATACAATGGAAACTTGGCGGTGAACAACGTCAACAACCATTGCGATGCGTACATATGACATTCAACTTTTAAATCATCGAAATGTGCATAGAGATCAGGAAGATTATCTTGGATAAGACATGTTAATTGATGAAAACGAACTTGCAGATTTTCGAAATTAGCTTTGTACATTTCACGCAGTAAATATCGTTGATCTTCCATTAATTGACACAAGAGCATAAATGCTTGTTCTTCTGGCATCTAAACATCATTCAGTCAAATACGAAAGAAGTATACGAGTTGTCTTACGTGAATAAGTAATGTCGCGATAACGAATGACAAACCTTGACAATATCCAACCTCTTCATCGCGCACGGAATACGCCTATGAGAGAACAGAATATGCCAATTGAAGTTTTTCTTTCCGAATACAAGGCACATACTCGACTTAGTTTGTAAAGAGCTTCTTGGCCAACACCGCCTGCATCTTTGAAATATTCATGAGCAGGAAATGTTCGATTCAAATCATTCAGAATTACACGTTCACTGGCTGATTCCTAATGAAAAAACATCATCGTTCATCTAATCCAAATTCTCCGTCTCAACGAACTTTGGTCAGTAACAAACGATATGTATTAATCATTTCATTTTCACCACCATGGCTGCCCGCCAAGAGTTGCCATACTTCGCCACGTAACGCTTCCGGAACACCTTTTCGTACAAGTGACTGTAAACCACGAGGTCGTTCAGCGTAGTTCTTCCTCCATTTTGATAATATGTCACTCCAATTGCCAAGTACTTCCTCATCACATTCTTTGCTTACATGGCCAAAACCACTTACCATTGGTTCATCATCATCGTCTTCTGCTGCAGCTAGAACGACGATTCTAGTTAGTCAAACGCGCACTCGTTATTCTCCTACCGGCAGCTGTTTGTCGTAATTTTGCTCGTCGTTCGGCTTCCGATTGGCTTTCTAAGAGAATGACTTCATACGTATCATCTTGTGACACATTCTTCGACGAGACCTAAACAAACTCTTCTCAAAAAATGATTCCAATCGACAAACGTTCTTCGTACCTCTTTTAGAATCATATCGAATTCTTCGGTAAATGGCGATAGTTTTTTAAACGATGACCAAATCGTATCACTGATATCTTGCGATAGAATATCTCCTTTACTATTTGCGACGCACACACGAGCTTTTGCTTCAATCAAAAATCGAACCGGTTCGTGAATGCCACTGATGACAAGATCGAGAGCGATTGTTAAAAACACACGAGCTCCTAGTAGAAAAGAAAAAAAAACGCATTGCCATTCTGTAGTGAAAGAGCAGGTGGTATTCATTTTCATATTTGCACAAAACTCAAACGAAAAGAAAAGAAAATAAAAGCTCGATCGTGTTTTAATCCAGTGCGACAAACTAGTAGAGTTTCACATACCTTTCGGTGTTTCTTCGTTAAGATGTGTTAATTCCTTGAATCCACGAGCTAGTGGTTCCCAATTTCCTCGTACCATGTAGTATCGACCGTCTTCTGATTTACCCATCGATTCCTATTGACGAAAGAATAAATATTAGTCAAGAAAAAATAAATACGCACTAAATCGAGTAATTGCATATCGCTTGCACGAACGTTCCTTCCTTGAGCAAGAAGCATACCGAAACACCTAGTGAATTCAAATGAAATAGTATTTTGTGATTAGTAGAAGATTTGTTTTACCTTTCAATAGTTAATGGATATCCACGAATTTGTTGAAGAGCAACTGTAACATTCTTACGAGCATCTTTTCGTAAACGAAAAACATTTTTTTCTGGCCTAGAAAACAATACGTTGGAGATTAAATCTTCTCTTGAAGGAGAAATTACCTTGGCACAGAAGTAAAACTGATACTCCCTTTACTATCGATAGTTTCTTCTTTAATATCAAAATAACTTCGGAATTTAATCGTTCCATCGGATGGTTTTTGTGCAGTTTGTTGTTGATTATTCGATGACTGATTCGAGTTCGATGAGGACTGCTGTAATTGACCAACAGTTGCCTGAATTGCTTGACCGAATAACGATGTTGTTCGACGAGACAGCGATGGTGCTGGTTGATTCGATTGTGCTGATGTTTGAATGTTACTTGCAGATGGATTTGGACGTCGAAAAGCATTGGCAAAACTGAGTAAAATTTTATAAATCTAATCCGAGAAGAAAACAAAAGCGATGAGAGATTCGTAACCATCACCAAGCGAAATAGACAAGAAAACCTAAACTATCCGTTTCTCTACAGCTAAATCTCACTTACAAGCTGAATATTTTTCATCTAAACAATCGAATCTGAAACACTAGCAAACATATGTCTCAATTCGTACCGCTTCTTGCAGATCACAGCGAAAGACTTGACATTGATAGAGGAGTTCTTGCTGAACTTTGCCATTTTCATTTGCTTGTATAGAACCATTGGTGGATGTTGATACACGTGATGTCGTGAATGCCCAGCAATAGGTTAACGGTGTATTCGATGGTCCACGTGCGCAAAAGAGGATTTGAGATATACGATAGGATATGATTTCTTGTTCGGTTTGAGGATCAAGTAATCTAAAGAGATACAATGATTCATGGAAATAATATGGTTTTTCTACTCACCGAACAACGCCAGTCGCATTGTCAGGAACACATAATGTGACTTCGATAGACATTTTACTCTGTTCGTTCAATATTGCCATGTTTCTAAATAAAGACTAGAACAAAAGTAATCATGGGTTTTATTATTTTACCTATTGAGTTCCTCTTCAGATCGAGGAGCATTAATACTAGCTGATCCAAGATAGGTAACACCATGAAAAAGTATACTGTTCGTTAAATCAGGTCGTTGTTGTTTGACTAGGCCTAGATGAATACATATGTGTGTGTGTGTGTGTGTGAAATGAGGGAACTTGTTGATTGAATTACCATTTTCATCCTTGACTGGAGTTCGAGGTGAATTTTCGTCGGATGAAGAATCTTCTAGAATACGATTACTATCATTTGAAGTTGTTTGTTCAGTAGACTGAAGAGCAAATGAATATTGGCAAAGAAAAGGAAGAGGAAGTTTTCATACTTCGTTCAATATTTCAGCCATATTGTTTTCTAGATCAGTACTACCGCCTCCTAAAACGAATGAACAGAGCGTTGTGAACACTTTTCTTTCACTAAGCAAACAACTAATTGATTTAAAGCATTGACGAATTACACGCGAGAAATTTCAGTTTGATTAGACAAGATATTAAGATCTTATGAGAGAAGAAGCAGCTTTGACTTACTTGCGTTGATGAATAGAAAAGCAAAAAAAGGATTTTCTCTGTCTCACACTACACTGGAATGAAAAGTTATATATAGACCAACAAGATGAGATTTTTTAAATTGCTGTCAACGAGCAGATTTCAATATTTAATTTTCTTACCGGCAGGTACTTTTAGTCGAGGTTGTTCTTTGCCAATAAGAATGAAATCAGCTGAATTCAAACTGCTTAAACTCGTTGAATCGTCCATAAGTTCATAGATATATCAATATAATCTATAAGAATAGAATGACAAGCGAGACGGGCTAGTGTCAAGATGCGAACAGAGCAATCTAGTTTAAGCAAAATCTTTCTTTGAACCGCATCGGATGCATCATGTCAACACTATTGAAAGCAGACCGTTCGCATCTATTTAATAAGATGATCGGGTTTCCTTATTTGTCTTATCAACTTCTTTTGTCCTCAGCGGATTTTATCGTTGGAAAACTGTCGGGTTCTTTTTGCTGTGTTTGTGAGAAGAAGAAGAAGAAAAAAAAGATATGCGATGTATTTGACGAACTCATTTGTTTTCTTTATCGAAGATAAATAGAAGGAGGAGAGAGAGAAGTCATCAGCCTCAGCCTAGTCCTACGACTGGATGATTGTCCTGTCTATTCCGAAAATGAGAATTCAATTGATGATCGATCTGTGAGAATAGTATTCATTTGTTCTAGATTCTCAACTAATGACAATGAGATATATGTCTAATCAGTTCCGTGATGTTCAGGGAAATAAATAAATATGATTATGACTAGCGAGGAAACTTAACCGGATATTGTTTATTTATAGATGTCACTAGTTGATGATCGACGAACTTGACTCATCTATGTGTGTGAATGAGAAGAATGCGGAATCATATGATGTTCTTGTGATTGAGAGAAAGATATTTCAGATACGAAAAATGACACATCAAAGAATGAAAAGCAGTTGATGAATAGATTTGGAATTTGAAGTTCAAGAGAAGAACATTCCTTGTTGGAAGTAGTTTTCACATGCATGTTCAATGAGTAAAGATCAAAATATCAAAATGTACCTGTATGTAATATCAATGAGTCGTCTCGTGTTTTTCTATGATGAAGGGGCGGTTGCACAAATGAAGTAATACTATCTAATACGTTCGATGTTCGAACTTTCTCGATCTTGTCAAATCCAGACAAAGATAGATGATGAAAACAATTGTTTAGTCGATTATACATTGAATAAATTCGAGACTACGTTTATTATCGGCAACAAATTTCATTTGCTTAAACACAAATATCGAAAAAATAAAACGAACATGGTCAGTTCATAGTGAACGGCAAGAAGAAATAGAACAATAGAATAGTCATTTTGTGTTGTTAAGGTCCAGTGGTCACTGCTTTGACGATATCAAAGGCAAGTCCAATTGATTTCAAGACAAATTTTCCGACTTTGCTTCCAAGATTCAAAGGTTCAGTTTCCAAATCTTCCTCAGCCACAATTTGTCTTTGTACCCGTCCGCTACCATCAAGGTAATACATTCCTCCTAGAATCAAACATAAACAATATGTCAATGATGTTTTATCGAACAAATCGAGTATCCTACCTTGCAGTGTGTTGTAATAAGGATAATAGTATTGCATTTGAGTTGCGTATGGACTTTGTGCTGCATATGAAGCCATAGTGTAGAGCGATTGTTAAACGAAGTGAATGTTGAGAACAAACTTGTCGTGATATTTATATACCTGCGAGCTGAGTAACCAACTTGGAAAAAAGAAAATGTCTCTAACAACGATGAAATACCTTCATGTATGCAAAATATGACAGCGGAGACCGACGCCAATAGTTTTTTTGATATATCATAAAGAAAAGAGGAAAACTAATTACTTCCTCTCAGGTAGACAGTTGCAAATTAACTTTGGAGTCGTATATTGATATTTACCATGCTGTCAGTGTCATGCTTCATTTGACTTTTCTATGTACTTATCTTGCTCTTTTGCATATCTCGTTATGAAGCAATCCATGTAAAGAATGATGATAAATGCGTTCTGCCTCATTGATTTCCTTTGATCGGTAGTAGGAAACATACACATTATGGAAATAAACTTTGAAAGAAAATGATTTTATTGATTTTCATAAAGTTGGAAGAAGTGTTGATATTATTTGTCATGAATAAAACTAGATGATATCTCGATTTTATTGGAAATATGAGATGAGGTACGAACGGCAAAATAGAGACTCGATTGAATGATCGAAACCGGAATGTGTTGCTCGTTGACAATTTATTTTCAATCATTAACTTCTTATGGCTGTCATAATAAAGAAGATGTTTTCAATTCATTCTCAATATTCGATTCTTGCCATTCAGTTTTCGATCATTACACCATTAGAAAAAAACTATCCAGGTGCACTTCGATGACGCGCCAAAGATAAAAATTCGTAAGATGCTGCGACGGAGGTGCTTCACACCATGACGATTTCTTGTTGATCATCATTGTCAACAAATCACGTAATGTCTTGAGTCAAAATAATATACTTTATCATACGGTCACGTTGCAGATTCTATGAGAGCTGTACCATGAATCTAAGCTCTTGTAAGTTATTGAAATTTTATGAGTCTGTTTTAACTCATATAAATGCTTTATCAAGATAAGAACACAAAGAACGCTGCAGAGAAGCCATCATACTATAGCATACGGTGCGAAATATTATTCGGTGTATCAAGTCTATTCTACGCACATAAGATTTCTTTTTTGTCATGTTAGATTAATATGTATCCAAATCAACCAGTAGTTGTAACTGTGAACAGTGATCTTCACAATCAAGGTGAAAAATCCACTCATGATTTAAGTTCAGAAATCGAAGTAGATGAAGCTCTCGCTCGAAAGATGGAATTAGTCAACAACGCAATTGATGAAATTGGTTTTACATCTTATCAAATGAAACTTTTCTTTCTCAATGGTTTCGGCTATGCCGTAGACTCATTGCTCATCCTGCTCAATGCTCTAACACAGCCACAAGTTGCTCTCCAATACAAGCCAGTCGTTAGTAAAGCACAAACAATCTCGGTTGGAGTTGGTCTCCTATTCGGAGCATTGTTCTGGGGCCTAGGAGCTGATGTAAGTTATTCCACACCAAGAAATCATAGAATAATGTTTTACGCTCGTAGGTAATCGGCCGTAAATATGCTTTCAATATTACGTTGTTATGGTGCGCGGTCTTTGCTACTGTGGCGGGAGCATCGCCCAGTTATATATTTGTATGCGTATTTATTGCATTGATGGCTTTCGGAGGGGGTGGCAATCTTATACTCGATACTGCTGTTTATTTAGAATTTCTTCCGAGTAAATATCAATGGTCTCTTACATTTATGGCTTGTTGGTGGGGTGTTGGCCAAATGATCGCCGGACTGGTCGCTTGGCCTTTTCTAGCCAACTATTCTTGTAAGGCAGATGAAGTTTGTACGAATGCAAATAATTCCGGATGGCGGTATACATTTTATACGCTTGGATCATTTGTTTTCCTTCTATCGTTACTTCGCATGTTAGTTATTCGTTTGAAAGAATCTCCAAAATGGCTTCTATCACAGAATCGAGATGAAGAAGTGGTGAAAATTATCGGTGAAATTGCTCACTCAGCAGGTAAACAGAATCCGTTAACGATTGAACAATTACAAGAGATCGGACCAATCACTGCGCTCAGTGATTTTAAAAAGTACGATTTAACTGTCATTTTCCATCACATCAAAGGTAAATTCTTAGTCATTTTTTTTTGTCAATCGATATATATATGAATCTAATCTTTCAGGTTTATTTCCTAATGCCAAAGTGACTTACTCAACCTTACTGAATATTGCTTCATGGGCTCTGATTGGTCTCGCTTATCCGCTTTACAATGTCTTCCTTCCATATTACTTACAATCTCGTGGTGCTAGCATGGGTGACGGATCGACCTACACGACCTATCGTGATTACGCTATCGTTAATGTTTGCAGTATCTTCGGACCAATTATTGCTGGTGGTCTGGTTGAAGTTCGTTTTCTTGGTCGTCGATATACGATGGTTATCGGAGCTCTTCTAACGATGACTTTTCTATTCTTGTATACAATCGTTCGTACACCTGCACAAAATCTGGCATTCAGCTGCGTGATTAGTGTTTGTCTAAACATCTACTACGGAACCTTGTATGCGTATACACCCGAAGTCCTTCCATCTGCTCATCGAGGTACAGGCAATGCGATAACAGTTGCATGTAATCGAATCATGGGCATTGTGGCAGCACTCGTTGGTACATACGCAGATCTATCATCGAGTGTACCTATCTATGTATGTGCTGCATCCTTTGGTGCTTTAGCTTTGTTTAGCTTTTTGTTTCCATTTGAACCGCGAGGAAGTAGAAGTGGATAAACAACAACGACAACAAACAGTATTTTCAATTAGTATGTCATCAAATCGTCATGTTATTTTTCTTAATCATTCTCTCTGTCGAGTGCATGTTGTATTTTTCGTTTGATTAACCTTTCACATGCACTTGAAGTATGATGTCGCGAGAGTAAGTGGTTGTGAAATAAAATCTTGATTTTATAAACGATATGAATAAGATTTCATATTAACAAAATATTTCTCAATTTAAAAAAACACACAAACCGACTCGATCGAGACGAGATAAAAAATAAAAACAAATATCATTGGTTTAGTTTTTAGACGAATACTAAACGCATCTTCACGACTGAACACTTTCCCTGGAATTTAATGGTGCTTCAACTTCAGGACCAGATCTAAATTACAAATATTACTCGTATACTTGATCAGTACTAAGCTATGTATATTTTTACCCATCTTTCCTGGTGAATTTCCTAAAATAAACAACGTAAATCGTTCAGACAAGGTAGTTTTTCCTCACGAAAACTCACGTTCGAATGGCTACGGGTGGTTTGGAAGGGTTTGGTTGTCGTCGACATTTGAGTATAAAAAAAATAACACCACCAATAGTTATAACGATGATTATACTCGCAATAATGCCCAGAATAAGCGACACACTTGGGTAGCGACTTTTCACTCGTTTAACGGATGACTCCGAACGTGGATCTAGAATGGAAATACGTCGTAAAAAGACAGTTTGTTGAATATTTATCTGACAAAAACGACTACTATAGATACTACAACTAGAAAACTCAAATTTTGTATACGAAAATGAAAAGATGCACTTGATCTATATGCCAAATCTCTGTCTGCAAGAAAGAAGAATGTCAATACTAGAAATAAATCGAATTATGACAAGTGAAACTTACCAATACGTGACTTGCTGGTTTGTTTCAATATTTTCTGTTCACCAACGCCAGCTTCGTTCAATAGACGAACAGTTATTGAATAAGTCGTATCCGCTTGCAGACCTTGTAATTCAAATTCGGTTGCTGATGGTTCAAGTTGAATCGCTGGACTGGATTGGTCGATGACGTTCGGACCACGAAACTACGATATTTTATGAGAATGCCAAATGAAGGATTTTCGCATTATCTCACCTTTGCATAGGAGATTTCAGTTCGTGTAACAGGTGATCCGCCATCGGATTCCAACAGCCATTTGATTGCACATGAATGATCGGCAAGACATGACATATCTGACGAAAGAATCTTGAATTGTGGAACTTGTCGATCGAGTGTTTTCAGTTGATATGGTATCGATGGTGATCCTTCTCCGGCACGGGATTTGGCAACAATTTGTATGCGATATGTTGCTGATGGTTGAAGAGATTCAAGTCGAAGAGTTTGAGGTTCATTAGACACAACAGGAAACGTTTCTGTTTTGAAAGAATTGGGAATACCACTTTGCTCATATCGAACAAGGTATTCAACGAGAGGTAGACCACCTAATTCTAATGGTGGTTGTATATTTAGCTGAATAGAATTCGATCGTGGTTTGACTTCCACCACACGAACTTGTCGAGGAGGTTCTGCCAATCGTAGATTCATTGAAAAGCGGCCAATACGAGGATTGATTGCTCGACATTCAAAGTTCAAACCGAAATCTTGCTGTGCAGGATTATACTAAACGGAAAAAAAATAAAATGAAATCAAGAAAGTCTGAAAATAAAATAAAGAAGTTCTCACTGTTAGCTGTGTTTCATAGAGTGTAGGACCAATTTGTCGAGTTAATATATCGATGACTTGCGGATCGGTGTCTTGTACAAGTACATGGCCCCCGTCGGGATCTTGTTGAGTTCGAATCATTTTCACCCATTGAATAGTCGGCTGCGGATAACTATCGAATTGACATTTCATAATTGCTTGAAAAGAAAGGAGAAGAGAATCGTTTCTTTAGACAAAATCGAAGTTTCGATCGTACCGCGATAGTTTGGAACACTGAAAACGACTGGAATATTCGGTCCGATGAAAACCGGTCGATCTAAAATGGATTTGTGAATGTACAGATGAAGTTCGATTTTTAATTATTTCTCTCATTACATTCAACAGCAAGCATTGCTATGGTTGTACTGATATCAGCAAGATTTTTCGCTACACAGGTGTAATTGCCGTGATGCTCACGACGTACGGGATCGAAACGTAATTCAACAAAACGATTTAATGCTAATTGTGTAACATCTATTGAAATTCCATTGATTGGCTACAACAGAAAAAGTCAGCAAGCGAAAATTATCGATTGTTGTCTATCTTACTTGAACTGGTGTACCATCAGCTAGTAGCCATTCCAGACTCAGACTATCTGCTGAACCACGTAAAACACGACATTGAAAAACGGCTCGTTGCGGTGGAGTATTGTCGCCGAGATTGACTTTGATGGGTGGTATAGGCTCTAATCGTGGTGGAACTAAAACGAAACATGATTTCCTAAGATTCGATGCGTTAGTTCTCAGGTTACCAATCACGTTCAACATGTATTCTGCTCGCTGTCCACGTCGATCGTAATCATTGAATGCTTGGCACGAATATCGACCATTATCAGTTTCGTCAACATAATTAATCACCAGAGTATTTCCTCGAACAACAAATTTCGATATGCCATTGGTTCCGATCGGTACATCCTGCAACGAATACTTAAGAAAAACTCATTCTATCGTCGCTTATCAATTCACCTGTCCATAAAACCATATAAACTGTGGTGGTGGCATTCCGCCTGCTTCGCAAATCAATGTTGCTGTTTGTTTTTCCACAGCACACGGTGCGGCACAAACAATTCGAGGCGGTGTGATACTCTCTAGAAGATTTTAATCTATAGAAAATCATCTTCTATTGTTCTTCAAACATACGAGCAATAACAACTTGAATTGGGTAGTCTTTTGATTCTCCTGTTTCGAGTACATCGGCTTGACACCAAAACACATCATTATCCGCTAATGAAACGCGAAGAATTTTTAGTCCATCGTTGCTTCGCTCGTAATTCGATGAAGTCAACCGCGTCTTATCTCGACCTTTGAACCAAGTGACTTCGGCCGCTGGATTGGCCAACACTCGGCATTTAATGATTATCGCTGAATTCAATTCCGCATATTGAATCGGTTCACCAAAAAATGTAATCGGAACTATAGAAAAGAAAAAAGCGTACGCTGATGATGATGACCTAACAAAGGATTAATCTACCTTTAACATTAATTTGCAAAGTACGTGATAACGGTCGTCCCTCTTGATCGGATCCCAAACATTCCCACATACCTTGATCAGATCGTGTTAAATTTCTTATACGTAATCGTAATCCATATGTCTGACGCTCAACAGTCACTCTACAGCTAAATAATACAAGCCTTGCCATTCTCAACACGTTGTTTGTTTACCTTGCAGTATCATCTTCAGCAATATCGGTCTGCAATGGTGATCTCCATGTTGCTACGAAAGAATAACATGAAATTCAATTGAATCTAAACAACCATACTCACCAACTCGAGTGTTTGGTTGTCCTGTACATGAAGCAACAAAGGATTTAAATTGATCACGTAAGACAATTGAATCCGATGGTTTGATCACCAATTGAGCAGACGAGAGATTGAGTAGAGAAATAACTAGAATCGTATATTGAATGAAAACATTTTGACAAGAAAGAAGAACTTACGAAAGATGATTGAAACGAACATTTGTTGTTCTTTTTGTACACTTGCGGGACAAAATAGTCTGTCTCCAATATTATCTGGTAATTGTCAAACGTGCCTAAAATACTATTCGAAATTACTATTCATGAGTATCAAGGTTTACATTATAAACTATTTTCAGTCCGAATTTGATAGAGGAAAAAGAAAGTTCAAGGAAACGTGTGGCTTATCTAAAGAGGAATAATAATATTTACTATTCTCCTTTCTAGAAAAAAACCACTGACGATGATTATGCAATGGCCAACATCTGAGACATGATTTTACAAGAAACCTAAATGTACTCATATATAAGAGTGTTCATCTTCTGTATGTATTCTCGATATGGATGGGATGTTTCACAAGTAATTGTTCTTCTCGTCATTCATTTGCTCTCGTTGATTTGATGAACAGAAAAATTCTGTTTAGAGAAAGAACTCGATTTACTCTCCTTCAGCGTCATCCGTCAATCGTGATCATTCGACGAGTACATTTGTCTGTTCAAGGCGGGTCAACAAACTCGTGTACACAACATCATTAAAACTCTAATTTGTATTTGATTTTATACATGTTAGACCAGTAAACTACACAACATTCAATCGTAAAAAAGGAATGAAAACTATGTTTAGACATCTTCTCCAGCGAATTTCTTCACGAAATAAATATGCCGGTCAACATTTGTTTTTACTTACTATGATGGAAATGATGTCGTTAGTCTCTCTCTTTCGTTGTTGTTATTTTATGCATATGACCTCGGCTTCAACACTCGTAAAATTCAATCTGTTTCTCTTTCTTTTTTCTCTTCTTCTTCTTCTTCTACTTCTTCATTCTTTCTTTCGTTCTTTTGTCAATAGAAGTATACGCATATTCTCATTTTTTTTTCTCTCACCTTCAGCGGACAACGATAACTTCTGTTGTTGATGATACATATGAAAGTGACGATAGAGGAAAAAACGAATATTAATCTACGGAAGCTTCCGAATTGACATACGAATGTTACTAGTGCTGAAATGACGTCAGTTATTGGCCAATTTTTATCCTCTAGTACTTGATTGAATTTCATCATACCCAGTCGATTGTTTCTTTTTACTTCTTGATTTGTATGAACATATTTGAATAATAAGCATCGAGTACAATTGAATGAGGACAGTTTGTATATTCATTCAACGAATAGCCTGTCTTCTTGAAAGTAGGCATGATGCAATATCAATTTAATAGATGTATTCCTGTTCTGTGGAGCTTTATAAACGTACAGTTGTGAGCAAGGAAACAATTGAATTCTTCTGAAATGAAGGGGTAACTGTTGCAATCCTTCCACAAAAGATACGCTGTATCATTGTATGGAAGAAAGGAGTAGCTATTGGTACAAGTATTGACATTTTTTAGGGATGCCGTGGTCATATTGAGACGCAATTTTTCGATGGGTGTATCGATATCGTTGTATAAGAAAAAAAAATGTACTTTTTATATGATATTTTCTTTCTATAAAAATATAAACCTTTGTTAAAGGTTAATAGAAAAACGCGGTCTATTATTCACGCGTGCTGACTGTCACTACATCAAGACGAAGTACCTATTTTGCAGTTTGCATCCAAGAAAGAACGACTACTGATTGAATCGCAGCTTGATTGAAATCGTTTAGCCTGCAGAAGAGGATTATATCCTTAAAAAGCATGTTACAGTGCATATGAATGTCAAGATTATAGGCGTAACTTTCGTTTGTGATGAATTTGATATTAGCTTGGCGGAAGTTCGCTTTCTTGTTCCACAGACAGTAAAGCTTTCGGCTGGTGGCGAATAAACCAGTCCTTTGTAACGTCCATTTCGTTCGACAGAAAAGACGAGAGCCATTCCAGGCCAAATATGCCATTCCATGTGACAATGCAAAAACCAAGGTCCTGGATTATTTGCCGTGAATCGAAAGACAACATAGCTGTCACGAGGAACAGTAAATGAATCTCCGGAACTGAGAACCGGTGGAGTTGAATTCAATGGTGGCAAAATTGTATCATAATCAAATGTATGAACCTCTCGTCGTGTTCGATTGCATGTCACTGGTGGTAAACTCGGTATTTTTCCAGCAGCAATGAAATCAATCGAATAACCATGTAAATGCCATGGATGTAATTGAGAATCATAGTTGATCATTACGATCTCATAAGTTTGACCATATTCGAAATGTTGGATATGAGTTGCGTGACTATTATTTACACGACCCGATCGTTCATCGGCAATACAGTGTTTAAATGTACCATCGATGAAGTTTGCATGCAGCAGTGGTTCCTTCGGTGGTTCGAATGTAATATCATTGACGGCCCATTCTTCTAGAGCATCGATATTCGAACGATTATTCCAATGAACTTCAAAACTAAGAGTAATCCGACGGATAGCAGGCGAAGCGAAACGTGCATTCGACGGTTTCAGATACTTGTATTCAAAAAAAGGATCATCAGCGTCAAACTTTGGCTCTTCGACTGACTGAATCGCACGACGGTCAGCTGACACCTTTGAATACGTTAGATACGCCCATGTCCACATGGTTGGTGTCGGTCCCGTAATGACCTCCGGTGACAAATAACTATTTCGACTCGCAGCGAATATGACATATTTCACAGCTGGATCTTCGCTACAGTTCACAATTACGTCAAGTCGCTGTCCGATAGCAACGTGAATATGAGGAAGAACGACAGGTGAAACTTCGATACCATCCCGGGCAACGATCGTTAAATTATGTTGATCAATCCAAAAACGAAACGGAATGCCACTGGCAGCGTTGATTACTCGAAAACGAGCGAATTTACCCGGTTGGCAAACAAAATCGTCAACTGGATGCGCATCAGGATTACAACGACCGAGGAATGGCTCTCGAAGTGGAATGCACTGTGCTCGATGTCGATGACCACACGTATCCCGCCATGTGGCATTTTCTGTGCAATCCGATACTCGGCAATCAAATCGACCATGACCATTGATCAGAAACGATGTTGGCGGCCACGGATAAATCGGTATATTGCCACGATAAGCATCATACGGTCCTTGATATGCTGTCATCAGATCAGGCCATGTCTCATGGTACCATTCTTGCAGCATAACTATATAATCATTCGAACCATAGTCATATCGTTGTTCAATAGTATCATGATCGAGTATAATAGGACCAAGCAAACCATCCGCATACTGCTGAGCATTATGTGAGTGATACCAATAAGTTCCAGTTTGTGTAATATTGAATTCATAGATAAAGGTTTCATACGGCTCAATAGGACATTGAGTGATATGAACAGTTCCATCCGCCCATGGATTATTGATCATATGAAGACCATGAAAATGAATAGCTGTAGGTTGATCGCGTAACATATTCGTTACTTTGATGTGAAGTTGATCACCAAGTTTAGCTCTTATGAGAGGACAAGGAAATGGTCGGTCAATATCCCACGAAGAGTTTGCATGGTGCATGATGATGACGGGTCTCGGATATCCATCTGGATTCGCGGGAATACTACGAATGATAAAATCATATTCAACAAACGTACATTCCACAAACGAGTTGGCATAATACAGATAAACAATAAGAATCAAATAAATGTACATCGAAATAGTGATCAAAGATTTGAATAGATGATAAGTTAACTTGCTGATTTATCCTTCTGTCGCCTGACGTTCGTATAAATGTATATATGCCACGCCAAGAAAAGTTCGTCGTTTAATCCCATCATCCTTATTAATCATCAGTTAGGATTAAAACACTCAAAGTACAAAACATAAGCATATTGAAAGTCTATTTATTACGTAAACTACATATTTAACTGTACTCGAATAACAATCTTCCTTCGAAGACGAAATCAATACATAAGAAAAAGAATGATTATATTTTGTTTTCCTTGGATTCTAGGTTGTAATCGATCTGATACGTACATGTACACTTGCGCCACCAGTGAGATTTCTAATGCAATCTGTCATGAGCTACAGTGACTCATCGTCGACTGGCGGTATAAAAAGTAAGTAAAAACAAGCGAACGAGCATAGTTGCGTTGTTGACAGGAAAAAGAAATACTGCGTATTTATTCATAACTTTTGACCTCAAAGTAAAGGTTTTTATCTTGCTCATATTTTAGTTCAGTAAATCGGCTCACCGATCATAAAAATGACCTGCCTAGTTTTAGATTGACAAGGATGAATTTATTGACAAGATTCTCTCGAAAACCGGGTGAACCACAGAGTAAACCAAATCGTGATCCACCAAATGTAACTTGGCAGCATTCATGGTCATCAAGTGAGACAGCAACTGGTTTGGCTGAATCTCTTTTCCGATTTCTACCGCCAGAGGTCCTCCTACAGATTTTCAAAGGTTTGTCAGTGCACGATTTGGGAAATATTTCACTGACTTGTCGGGCATTAAAAATCATTGCTGATCAAGATGATATATGGAAACTAAAGTGCAAATGTAAGTTTCTGTTTTGTGGCACAGTAGCATTGTCTAATTTGTTAGTTGAACGTGTTTAGCGTCGACAAAGGTACAATCGAAAACATTCAAAGAAGTTTATATGGATTGGATGCATGAGAAATATTTGCGTAATATTGAATTAGAAGAAGTCGAAGCGGAATATATGGAAAGAAGTGCATACGTTGCTTGTGGAATGCGATGTGGTCCGCCGGAATATCCAATTCGACCCGATGGTAAACATGACTTTGGAGCTGTCGGCGGATTCAAAGAACATCCAAATCAATCGAGTACAATGTATGTCGATTCTCTTTGTTTGTCTGTGTAATTTTCGTTTGTTCTGCAGGATTATTGATCTCTCTGTTGACATTAATAAGATGGCAAAGGAACTTCTGTCGTTATTGGAAAAAGCAGAACAATTCAAAGCAGAATGGCGTAAATCATCGGTGATCAAACGAATGATCACTCGTTACTATCGATTCATGCAATTGAAAGCGTCAATGCCAAATAGTGTTCTGCTCATTCCAACATTAGATATCGAAACCATTTGGCAAACTCATCTTCTCAGACCAACAATGTATCACGATGATTGTTTACGCTTATTTCATCGCATTATTGATCATAGCTTATTGTCCAGCGATATTGAGCAGTTTTTGAAAGAGCGGGCGTTTATTGAAACTTGTAAACTATATGAGGAACGATTTGGTGAGAAATACTGTCCACTACCGGAAGATAAACAAGGGAAAACACCCTTGCCTAAATACGAGCACCATGTATTTTGCAAATTGGAATGTTTAATTCCCAATTATCTCTACTGGGATGAGACGCATTTCAAATTTGAATCTTCATTGACATCTAATCACGACGACAATCCATTCTCATTTACCGAAGCTGATGTTATATTGGATAGTAACTGGCTCAGTCTATGCAAGAAGTTCATGCGTGATATGGAGAAAAAACTTCATACTCAGACATATGATACATATGAAAGTCATCTTAGACTCCGTCACTCAATGTTGGAAAGACTTAAAAAGTCGTATGAGCGATTCTTATACCTGGCAACGAAGTATCCTCCGTCAAATGGTTATCAGTTCGTTCATCCGACCTATGCGGTAAGATGATTTCTATATGGGAATAGGCCAACAAAGATTATATTTTAGATTGATATCATTTGGCATTCGCATATGCAAGAGCCATTAAAATATGTGGCTGATTGCCAGCGTCTTGTGGGATATGTGGTCGATCATGCGCCGTGGCCATCGGTTGATGCGAATAAAATGAAAAAATCGTGTGATGATACAGCAAATGTGTGGAAGAGGGAATTCGATAGTGATATGCAATTCGATCATCTTTTCAATACGAAGACTAATGAACTAGATTGGCACTATGACTAAGACAATGTTTCTCTATGAACAGGAAACTAAATAAAACATGCGTCTCAGACTTTGCTTGAATGTAGATCATCAAAATAGTAGAAGGAATGACCATCGTGATGCAGTAAATGAAGCGAAAAATTAAATGAACCCACAGAGAAATTTGCGTCATAGATAAAAATTACAATTATTTATCGATACGAAAACAACAGAGTCGAAATTATCTACTGACCATAGAACTCTTTGAACGATGTTCTATGTACTACAGAAATCGCTCCTTGTTTCACACAAAAACACATCATTAGAAGATGCCATCCTTGACTCTGTTATTCTAAACAAAAAAAAAATACATAACTGAAACGATCAGTGCGTATGAGCCCAAGATTCGCATGCATAATGTCAATGTTTCGTTTATTGTTTCTATCTAGGAATCATTAACATTTGCTGCCATTTGAATTCGCACCGCTAATTGTCGAAGGAGACTTTCAGCAGTTTGGACTTCATCTGATGTATTGCTGGTACTTGGAGTGATATATTCCAAAACACCATTGACTTCCAATGCAACACATTCTTGTCCCCATTCAGTGCATTTGTTTTTAATTGTATCTCGAATAGTTTGTTCGTTTTCCGACCATTTCTTTTTAGTAGAGAACGTTTCGACGGATGTGGTTGCTACCTGAACTAATTCATCATTATGTGCTAGATACGAGCTCTGACGGGCGGGATACACAGTACAACCACCGAACGTTTCGCATAGGAGATTTTGAAGTGAAGCTACAAGATTCGATGAAGAAGAAATAGTCAGTATTTCAGGATTGCCTTACCGAGACGAGTGTTGAACTCGGACGAGTTCGCTGGTTTATTGACAGAATTGGTTGATGGAATAACTATACGGATACGAACACCTGCTTTATGAGCATCAGAATCAGCCAATAACAACAGCCAACTGACTTCATCCAATGATAAACGACCAGTATTTTCCTTATCACAATATTTGAACATGTTTTCAACTTGTTCGTCGGTGAAGCCCAACTTGAATCGATTCGAATGTGCTTTGAGTTCATCCAATGTTACTGTTCCATCAGTGTTAATTTTACCCTTCTTCGCTGGTTTAGCTTTCGCTTTCTTTGCGGAGCCATCACCTTTTCCAGCCGCGATACCCATCCTCGAACAATTTTTATTTGAAACTTACAAGCGAGTGAAAAACGCCAAAACGACAGCGTCTAATTAAATGTTTACTCATGTGCATATGTCTCTCTCTATATATATACCTATGGAAATTTGTTTGCTTGTTACATTTGCAGCGCAATGAATCGGAACATATTCATCTATCGATTGACATCATCAGAGAAAGAGAGTGACGGAAACGCAATTGCACAAGATTTGCCAACGTGTTTTTTTTCTCGGGTAAATGTGACCGAAAATATGCGTGCTTTTTCGGTAATATTGGAAACCGACCAATATAATTATCTACTTCACGCTTGTTAATTTATCTTTCAATATTAAAGCAATCTGACGAAGAAGAAAAGGAAAAAATATTTTGCGATTGAATAGATTGTAATTAATGATGCAGCCATGTCAGGAACGAATGCATTCAGAACCGTTTTGCTTAATATCGATCAATTAACGACCGTAACGAAGTTGTGAGTGATCATTACCGCAGTACTCGGAGGGAGGGAGAAAAAAAGCAATGTCGTCGAAGAAAATTGTATTCGTAAAATTTATTGTTTAGTAAAGAATCAACTGTGTACATCGAAAGAGTGCGATTATTTTGTTCTTTTGTACATCTTTGACTTTCGCATCCCATACTTGAGTCGTTTTACCACCGTGAGCCAATCGTGCTTCACAAAAAATTGTGCCAGGTGGTTTGATTGTTCCTAAAAAGTTCGATTTCAATTCAATTGTGGTGAATAATTTTGCACCCGGAGGTCGCGAATGCACACAGCCATAACCGCAAGCTGTGTCGGCAAGAGTAACGACAACGCCTGCATGAAGATAACCATTGGGTGCGAGAAACTCTTCACGAACTTCGAGTTGACATGTCGTATGACCATGTGACAAAGATAAGATTTCCATACCAAGCAAGCCGGGAAATTTACCTTTACCACGGTCATTCCAAATGGTTAAATCCATGAATTCATCGATCGTTATAGTCTTCTTTGAATGACCAGATGATGAGCTGAATACAGAATGACGCTATGCACAGATTTGCTCTTTCGATGGGATAACTGACCTGACTAAATGTTGTGCCTTTTCCGGTAGTTCAGACTTAGCTGGAATTCGCTTGAATACTGCTGGTATTCCTTGTTGTTGTTGATTTGTTTTCGTATCATCGTGAAAATAATACTGATGCTCTTGACGGTCAATAATTTCTTTTAGTTTCTGATTTTTTTGATAAGCTTCAATTACCGACATATCACATACATAGTTTTTTGACAGAGACGATAAACATCGCTGCGAGATTTGCTTATAAAATGATAGATTTTTATGTCTGATAAATTGTGAAAGCATTTTGTAATGAAACTTTTTTTCAATAAAAGAAAGGACGGAGTCCAATTTTCATTCTATCGAATGGGACAAAATAAGAAATTTCATAGGTCGAACAACCCTCTCCTTTCGCTTTATCGCGATCTGAGGACATCTGCAAGTCGGCGCTATGCATTTTCAAAATGGTTAATCATTGATCGGTAGATCTGTTCTTTGACGTGATCGTCACCCATATGGCCTTGATCGAACACAACTGATTGTGCTTTCAATATTCGTGCTAATTCATGTTGTTTTGTTGGCGGTATTAATTTGTCCCGAGTGGAAATTTGTACAGTAATTGGTATATTCGCATCACATATAATTTGCACTCCTTCGTTTGACAAATAATGACTAGCAGCTGCCGACGCTTGACAAGCACATGCTTGTTGATTGCCAAATGCCCACCATTCGTCATATTCGTTTAACCAAAGTGTCGCATATGTTTCACCTCGAGTTGCCAAAGTCTCCGGCGAAAATGCCGCGGGAAGAAGAACATTTCGAATCATATGTTCTCGATCTTTTTTAATCAGAAACGGCATCAATTTTGACCATACACCCGGGCCAAATGCTAATGGTCGAATATAAGTACCACGGGATGTAGCGACAAGATACAGTGATCGAAGACGATGTTCGGATACTAAAAGTAATGCTAACTCTTGTGCAACCATTCCACCAAGACTTGCACCAAAGACGTGGACGGAAGAGTTCTTCCCCCAAACTTCATTGATTAATAGATATGCATCGTTTGCTAACATACGAGATGTTTGCCGTTCAAGTCGAGTGCAGGTGGATTTGCCAATACCACGATGATCATATGTTAGAATTTCGATGGATTTTTGCAAAGAAGAAAAATGATTCACAAGATAATTTGCTTGTTCTTCAAAGTGCCTCATAGTTGCAAACGCACCCATGACCATAATCATTTTGAGACTGTGTTCAGAGGAAACGTTAGGTGACGAACGTATTTCATAATATAGTTGGACTTCGGGAGATATGACACATGTATTCGAAGTAATTTGAATGTTGTTCATCATTTCAAGACCTGTTATAGTCTGATAAGTGATATATAGAGCACAAGAAAGTAAACTTTTCGTTATCTGATGACACAGAATTATAGTGTATGCAATGACGTGCTATTGGACACGTCATCTTGTGACTTCGCCAACAACATCCATGGCCGTGTCTCAATAACAGAACGCAAGAAAGAAGGAAGAAGGAAAAAAAGCGAGAGAAAAAGAAAAGAATAGGGGGCACCCGGGATTGAACCAGGGACCTCTCGATCTGCAGTCGAATGCTCTACCACTGAGCTATACCCCCCATGCCATGAGATATTCGATTTTTCGCGTCGTGTTGAAACTGACTTGTACTTTTTCGTTCACAATTATTGAGTCAAATTTATAATATTATAAAATGTGGATATTCAAACAAATGCCACATCATTTCTGATGGAATATTATGATCTAATGCAATCGATATTTTTAATGTAGTACAAAGGAAGAAAAAAAAAGAAGTTCGCGTTCTTCAAGTTTGATGCTACGATGAATGAGTTTTTTCCGTTGATTTGGTTCGTAATGTGCCTGAAGTTATCATTGCGCCAAAACCTTTTTCTTGTGAGAATGCATAACCTGATCTAAAAGAAATTATTCAAACGAAACATTTTCAAACATGTAAACAATTTCTCAAAATATACTAACGAAGTTGATCGAACCGATGCTGTTCTTTGTCTCAGTTCTCTATCCATTGGAGTCACCGCATTCTTCTTACCACGTACACAAAACTTTTGTATCAATCGAGCCCTATCCGTTTCATTTGGCATGAACCGCATACGAAAAAATCTAAATCATTCGTACCAATCCTTCCGTTGATTCAAAACGAAATGTCTTACTCTCGCGCAATCGCAGGCAGAATAAGTATAGCACAAATAAGAATCAGTGTCAACCAAAATGTCAGATTACCTAGACAGATTTGTGCGACGCCAACATACGCATAATTAATTTTCAAATTCAAGCGTAGTGCTGTCGAATACATTATAAAATGGAAGATAAAGTGGAGTGTGATAGTTCCAAAGAGAATGAAAATGTAGATTCCTGACCAATACCACATTTCTATAGCGTTTTCAGTATTCACAACAATGACTAAAATCGTTGCTACCATGAAACCAAATGATTGTACATCGGTCACAGGTGTACCGGACGGAAGAGTAGTGAAGCACAGACATAAATATGAAAAGAAAAATATAATACAAGATGTGATCAGGCCATGGGTAGCACATTCGATGAAAACTTTTCGATTGAAATATTGATCTTTTTGGCCAGCTGTGTACCTTAATCAAAAAGAAACATTTCGACACTCATCATAGGACGTTTGCACTTACAAATGAGGTCTACTGATCGAATGATTTGCACTGATATCCTAAACAATGATACGCAGGATATTTTATAATTCATTACTCAATCGTACTTGATCAAGAACGCCCAGTACCAATACCGGGCACGTTGTGAAGAAAATATTATAAGTTGTGACAAAGAATGGATCAAAGATCGTCTAAAAACATCAATAGCAAATTTGTGGCTCAATCGAAGTTCTTACTTGTGCAGAAAACCCACAATAGAAAGCGAACCAAAATTGACAGAAAGTAAAAGCAAAGTTCTTGTAAAAAAAGTAACGTAGGAATTTGGAAATACGTATATACGACCATCGTCCATGCACCAGTAACAGTCGTTCTAAGTATCGAAATTGACCGATACTATAATCACTCGCCAGTACGGCTTGTCGACCTTCTTGTCCACTGATTCCAACGCCGATATGTGCTTCTAGATTCAAAACAGTTCAATTTGTGAGTCTATCAACAGAACGCTTTCTCTCACTTTGAATCATTGAAACATCATTCGCTCCATCACCGATGGCTAATGTGATCACCTGTTGATTTTTCATGATTAACTCTACTACTTGCGCTTTTTGTAGTGGTGTTACACGACAGCAAATCACTGCTTTGCATTGAGTCGAAAGTTCGAGAAATGTCAGCTTTAGTCCATCTGATAACGCATGCAACAATGCGGATCCCGTAATTAATAAACTGTACGACTGAGGTCGATTCATTTTCTCAATATCCACACGAAATCGTTCGAGTGCATTCGCAACTTCATCTTCCGTATCTACGTCAATTTTATGTATCATCATTTCATTGGTCAAAAGTCGACAAGAATATCCCACATTTTCTGCCGTTTCTATACACGAAAAAACAACATCTTCTTCAGATACACATCTTTCCAAACCCTACCGATTTTATCTCCAGTCAACATCCAGATTTTGATCTGTGCTCTGGTCAATTTCTCGATACATTCGGGCACACCATCTTGAAGTTTATCTTCGATTGCCGTCATTCCGAGTAGTTTCATATTCTTTTCAATATCTTCGTACAACTTGTCAATTTGTTCCTCACGATTTTGCATACTCGTTCTGAAATATCTCGAAATTCGATTCAATTCATTAGTGTACACTCTACGTACGTCGCAAGCTTTAACTGTTTTGCCCATTTACGATATTCACCTTCATTCAACTCTTTCCAAGCTAAACATAGTGTGCGTAAACCTTCTGTCGCAACTTTCTAAACAAACAGAATTTCTGTTAAATCTCAAATATACTCAAAATATACATGTAAATGATCATCTGTTACAGCCATAATGTCGCTTTCAGATGACGCCAATCGTTGTTTGATTACAGAATCTGCGCCCTTACAGTAAAGAATAATTTTGCCCTGATTCTGTATGATAACCTAAACAAAACCGATGAACAACGTCATACAAATCATTCCTAATCGCACTTACTGACATACGCTTTCGATAATTATTAAAATCAAGAATGTTCAACAAATCGAACGTTTGAACTTGATTCCGAAAACGACCGGTGATACTACTCTGTGTACGACTCTAAAAGCAGCCGATGAAACAATTATTTATTCATTTCATTCAATGATTTACCATAAATTCAAAACCAAATGCTCGTGCAGCTGTTACTAAAGCATTCTCATCAGGCGATTGAGCTTGATACGTTATTTTCCCGTCCATCTCTTCTGTCATAACTGTGTGACACAAAGCCAAGAGGATGAAAAAATGATTGATATCATCATCGTTGTTCTGTTCGATTGCATCAATCAAATTTCGATCATTCCAAACAAAATGACTATCTTGTCGAACGTAGGATTTGTCGCTTCCGACATCACCATAGAGTTTGCCACGAATCGAGCATTTTTTAAATGTCATGACATTCTAAGAGCATAAAAACTGAACTAACACGTGCTTCTTTTCTCTCAGCAACTTACTTGTGTCAATGTACCGGTTTTATCCGAGAAAATATATTGAATTTGCCCTAGTTCTTCGTTGAGTGACGCTGTTCTCGCTTGTGCTTGGATATTACTCGGTTCATAGTACATTCTCATATCCCAATCAATCCATTTCGACTGTAGAAAATGAATAAATTCTATGCTGATATACAATGATATTGGTACGACGGTATTCAACAGGATAACATAGGAAAAAAACTTCAATGCTGCCATTTGTATCGCACCCGTTTGTGCATTTGATGAAATAAACATTTCCCATGGAAGATACGCTCGAAATCGTGAACCGGTACGATATTCCCAAAATGCCGAACAAACAGCAATGATCAAACACATGACGAACAAGAAGACAAAAATCTACGAATCATAAAGAAAATATTCGAAACTTTCGCTCTAAAGAACTTGCTCCGATGATGATTTTATTCAACCAATGATCGATTTTTGTTCGTTTAAATTTCGGCTTTCCACTATTTTGCATCAATTTCGTATCTCGACCAGCGTAGCACACAACTAGCGTTCCGAATCAAAGAGTCAAATCGCAAAACATCCTTTCCCTTACTTCCAAATGCCCATTGAGTATTCCGTAATCGCGTACCGCGTAGTAGAAGATTATCATTTTTCAACGGATAGATCTGTTCATTCCATGTTAAATTACCCTCAAATCGGCGAAGATTATCATTCGGTGGCTCACATTCAATCTTCGCTGGAAGACAAAGCGCAATTTATCAAGATATCATCCGAAGATTTCTCTTTACCATTGAAATTCGATAGCTTTTCTAGATCGTTTTGAATGCCAACGGTGACTTCAAGTGTTTCTCGAGGTTTCAAATTTGTTTCTCTAATAAACACAATTGAATCGTTCGACATCTAAACGATGCTCTTCTTTATTGAATTACCCATCTAAATCCGCTGTTTCAATTAAACATAGACCATTTGGTTCACTCGTCGAAATCAAGATGACATCCGCCTTTTACAAAGAAAAAGACATTGACATTTACTTTTCTCACAAGTCGAATTACAGGAGTGAAATCGTTATTCACAATCTGTACGATGTCTCCGACTTGAATATCTTTCCAATACTTGTCGATTAGTTCTCGATCGACTAAAACTTTCACTCGTCGATTATTAATTTGTCGATCACTTCGATATCTTGCCTAAAGAAAAGCAGATTATCAGTATGAAAACCGGCCAGATCGAATCTGATTTACAATGTCATCGACAGCATCTTTGATCGCTGTAACAGCAAGCACGAATATGAGCGACAGTAACGTACTTATTGGCTGAAGTGAACTAATCTGTGGTATATATAATAGAATTAACAGAAACAGAAAGAACGCATTAGCGAGTCGACGAAATTGTTCGAAGAGATTTTTGGGTAGAAATGTCACAATGTTATATTTTGTTGTTGAAATTCGATTATTCTTTGAAATTAATCTCATTGCTACTAATCAAAATCAATTTCGTCGTTTCCTACTTTATATTTCTGCGTTCGGTTGAAGATAGTATCATTTGCTCTTACGACACGAGTCGATGCTACTAAACAAGTGAACAAGAGTGAAGTTGTCAGTATGAAACACTTACCTGTTGTCTTATTCTTCTTACAACAAAGACATTTGCGCATGTTTTGAAGAGAAATATCGATCTATAAGATAAAGATTTAGTTCGTTTCGTTCATTCGTTGATTGAAGGATATCGTCGAGAAAACTTTAATCCATCTGTCGACAAAGTACTTTATATATTGACAAAGGTTGTCATCGTTTTATGTTTATGACGTTTAATCACTTAGCATTAACTTTTATTCATCTGAGGAATGTCTGTAAAATTCAATGTGTTTTTCTTTTCTTCGTATCTTTATTGAGGTCGCATTTATGCAGAAATGAAACGTTTTATTTGAGTAAAATAAAGGATATTGTGTTCACATGAATGCGTATGAAATCAACTCAATTGTCTCATCGCGTAATTATTTTCGAATTGATAACAATTGACTGACTTTCCTTTCCTTTTCTCAGGTGATGAATACGTATAGAAATATTAATAACTAGAAACTCTTTCATAAGTAATCAGGCTATTTACAAAATTCAACGACGGAATAGCATAACATTTTTATTTTACTTGCAGGTCTAAAGATAGGCGAATACTGATTTAATTACAGACAACATAGAGTAGGAGGAAGAAAACATTTTTTTTTCTGGGAAAAAAAGAAGTGAGAAGTTTTTTTTAATGATACAATGACACGAATAAACACGCGTGCTTTTTAATTATTTGCATTGGAGAACGATGAAACGGCTGAGAGAAAGTCATGCAAGAGATCATTGACAACCGCGGTGATCTTCAAACCTATATTTACAGTCAATTTTTCTGACGCTTTTTTTTTTCTACTCGAATGATAGTCATCGAGAATGAACATTCTAATCAGGATAATTTAATAAGAGAAGACGAATCACTGATTGTGATGAACATTTAAAGAACAAAGATAGTCGAAGTAAAAATCTAATCAAAAACATCTGTTTTCTCATTGGTGGAAAACAGACCTCTATGATTATGTCGTCTTTTTCTATTGACGTCAAACTGAAAGTTCTTTTCTTTTTCTTCATCACGGATTAACATTAGACAACGATGTCAACATCGAAACCTGTCGAATGGGTTACGGCTCTCATTGCACGGTTCGAAGATCAAGTAAATCGACGAACATTTCTTACATGTTTTCATGATCTCTTTTTCGATTAGCTGCCGATCAGATGTGGAGAATTAACAAATCAAATGCGTTTGAATGTAGAACAGAATAAAGAATGTTTAATTGCATTGAGTCGATTCAAATTCACACTCGTCATCAATGGACTAACTGATATATTGAAAACGATTGATAATACTGTATGAAAGACGGAAAAATGGCAATTTTCAATGTGAATAAGTAAATTTTCGTTTTTGTAGAGATTCGGCGGTTATGATCAAGAGAAGAATATTTATGAATCGTATTTAATCGTTCTCGATGCTGTGGAACAATGTTTAGCCAATGTAAGAAGAAACTCGTTTGTTACGAATATGTTTTTTTTTTATCGAATTGTGTCTTTCTAGACGAAAGATTTGAGTACCAGTCGATTGGACGAAGCAATCTATGTGAAGAAATTACTACCACTTGTTTGTAAAGTAAATGACGAAGAAAATTTAGAATGTTGAAGATACGATGTGATTGTTCTTCTAGCTATTGAATATCTCTGGCGATGGAATAACAGCTCAACATGTGCGACAACTCGCATCGAATGTTCTATTCGCCTTGAGCGTCAATAATTTCAGTACTCTCTTTAGTAAAGTTGTTTCCAGGTAGAAATGAATGTCATGTATTTCAAATTTGATGTTTCATTGTGAAATTCATATTTAGAAAGAATGCTTAGGAAAGGTAAAACATAGAATGAAAGCTCGAATGATTCCATTTGTTTTTCCTCTACTAACCGATAATTAGAATGATTTTGTTAGGAATTGTACTGCATGACTTACTTGTGAATTTTAGGTTGGAATGTTTGATTGTATCTGGTGAGGAGACATGTGAAGCTGGAGATCTCGATCTGATTCAACATATGAATGTCGATATGTTGAAGTTAACAAGATTGTTGAATGGTAAAAGAACACTTTTACAAGCAAAGATAGTTTTATATTTGACCTTGTTTCAGAGGAAGTGCAGAAATGGAAGTTATTAAAGAAGATTCACCATACGGAACTTGTTAAAAGCGTGGAAAAAGTAAATCGAATTCATCAGAAGGAAACAAATATTTTTCGGTGATTTATATTAGGCTATTTGGAATTGGTTGGATACATATCCTGAAGAATTTACTGATCTACAGAAACGACCGAACGCCGAGTTGAGTGGTAAGTTGATAAGGCTGACTATGAACATTTCTTTGAAAGTTTCCGTTTAAACAGATAGTTGCGAGAAATTATTCGAACTCTTGGATTCATTTGGTGAAGCTAATCGTCGGAAAGTTCAATTTGTTTGGCCACTGCAAATGATGCTGTTAGTTCTCTGTCCAATTATCCTGGAAGAATTAGTCTATGCCTTGGAAAAGAACGGACCTTGTTCGGCTGAACACTTACGTAAAAGAAACTTTGTCGATACACTCAAACGTCAATTACACGCGCAAGCATTAGGCAAACAACATTCCGGTGGTACGGAGTCCGCTGCTGTTGTCACATTTGTGAAATTATGCAAAGCAGCAACATATATTAATAATAAAGACTCGAATAACGTCTTATTCGTCATAGTTCCACCAGTTATTAGCGACTTGAAACAGATTCTGTTCAATCCTGCAAGACCATTCTCACGTGGACAGGATAAAGTCAATGTTGACTTGGAATTAATGATCGAATTTTTTCTTGTCTGCCTTCGGCTATGCCCACATAATAATGAAGTCTTACGAATTTGTTTAAATCTATCATCACCAGCAATGTTTCATTATGTCTTAGTCAAAGCTCTTTATCGGATTATCACACAGAAGCGTTTAGCTTGGTGGCCACAAATTGATATTGTTTATTCTCGTGCCGGAGAACTAAGAAATATGTTTACAGATACATTGAACAAAGTTTCTCAATCATCAACATTTTCTACCACGCCGTTACGAATCTCGAGTATAACCGGTGTTAGTAGTCTACGAGATATTCTATTCAATCCACAGCAGTTTCGTTCGCAATATTCGACTTTTAGATTTAAAGCATCCGATCGTGTCGCGTATGACGATGGACCGAATAACCGTGAACTACTATTATGGATTGTTCGTTTAATCATCGTCGATCCTTATCTAATGTTGCACAATCCGAATAAACTTGATCATGAGACGCAAATGTCAACATTTGAATTAATTAACGGTCTTGTTTCACTTGTTCACGACACATCGATGATGCCAGATGTCGCTCACGCAGCGATGGAATCATTATTAGTTCTGCACGAAACACGAAATATCGAATTATGGAATCCCGAAGCATCGATTAACACCTTTTGGTCAATTTCCAGTCAGGTCTTATTTTCAATCTCACAAAAACTTGTCCTACATCAAATCTATGAATACACATCTGTTTTACGCTGGTTAAGAGAAATTCTTGTCTTGCGCAATGCTTTTCTCTTTCATCATAAGGAAAATGCTTATCTTGGATCGAATATTCCTATGGCTAAACATGCACATACAAAACTGGAAATCGTCTTCTTCATCTACCTGTGGTCGATCGACCCAGAAGCGGTGAAGATCGCCATGTCCTGCTTTGCCTTATTTGCACACGAAGCTGATATTCGATTCGGTTTCGACGAAACGGCTGTTTTAGCACTGCTACCGAATTATAACGTCTACATGGAACTGTCGGCAGCATCGACCACGTTAGTCACAACGGGACGAAATGCTTTACAGAAGAAGATCCTTTCGCTATTACGACGTATTGAATACGCAACACCGGGAAATAAACAAGCATGGTACGACACTTTTGTTAGTCAACAACATTTGGCGAAATTTCTTGCCGTATATCCAAAACGTGTGGATGATTTAGGAAGCGGAGGTTCGACAACAAACTCACCGGTAGTGACAGGAAATGAAGCAAGTTCAACAGCGGGTAGTGGCTACGGAAAGTTGAACAAAAGAAGAGCGGGTGTTCATTCGAGCGAGCATGAAATTGAAGATGTTTTCCATGAATGGGCAAATATGACAGGATTCTTATGTGCACTTGGAAGTATATGGCTACCGACTAAGAATCGACCTGGCCAACACGGCATTCCTGCTGATGCACGGCGAACTTCGATGGAGCCAGTTAGTTCTGATTTGCACTATTGTCCAGTAACACAATTCATTGGTGATTGTTTAAAATATTTGGTTTGTCAAAATGAAAAGTTCGGTTTACAAATTCAACGTCACATTCAGGACTTGTTGGGACATGAATTAAATCCTTTATGTTATCCGATTCTATTCGAACAAATTAAAATTCAAGTCGACAAGTTTTTCGATGCTAACGGTCAAGTGATCTGCTCGGAACAGAATACCCAATTTGTCGACAATGTTATCGTCATCATGCGCTCCGTTTTCGAAATGAAAGCACAGCAAGCTGCTCAAAATCCTCTAGAAGGTCCACCGACTACAACCGGCTCGTCGAATACATTGGGTGTTCCAGGGAATAATGCTAGTTCACCAACATCCGTCGTTGGTGGATCAGCAAATGAATCAGCATCCGCCTCATCAAATGCAAATGGACGTAGCGGGGTACAGACGATCAGTGAAAATCCATTAGCAAATATCAATAGTTTGGAACAGCTCGTATTAAATATAGTTCGTTATACTCGACATCTGGATACCAGCGTTGGTGCTGTGGCTATTCGAATTCGTGTGTGCCAATTAGTTGAATCGATGATGAAACGACGAGATGATTTATCATTCCGACAAGAAATTAAATTTCGAAATAAACTTGTGGAATACTTAACAGACTGGATCATGGGAAATTCGCATCAATTTAATCAAGTTCATGCATTAGGACAATCCGCTGCTGGCGTTGGTGTTGGTAATAGTGTTAATGTCACAACTACGCAGCTAGTTGTGGATCAATATCAGCATCTCACACGCGAACTGGATCAAGCATCAATGGAAGCAGTTGCGTCGTTACTTCATTCACTTCCATTGCAACCTGAGGAAAGTGATCGAGGCGACCTAATGGAAGCCAAATCGCAACTTTTTCTTAAATACTTTACTCTATTTATGAATCTTTTGAATGACTGCGGTGACGATTTAAACGATGATCAGAATTCTGTGACAGAGCATCAGAATAACAACGAACGAACAACGACAACAAATCAAACGCAACAGCAGCAACAACAAGCACAACTCAACAGTCAATTACAACAAAAACAACAATCATTACGAAATTCGACCATCGTGGCCATGTCGAATCTACTTGCTGCAAACATCGAAAGCGGTCTAATGCGAAGTATCGGTAAGTATTCAAACTGAATAACCGTATCACGAACATACTTTCCTTCGTATAGCTTTGGGTTATCATCGTGATCCGCAAACACGTGCCGCTTTCATGGAAGTGTTAACTCAAATTCTTCAACAAGGAACAGAATTCGATACACTAGCTGAAACTGTTCTTGCTGATCGATTCGAACGATTGGTTGAACTTGTCACAATGATCGGAGATAAAGGTGAATTACCCATCGCAATGGCACTTGCAAATGTTGTTTCACCTCAGTACATGGTATGTTTTCTTATGAGCTCTTCGCGCCATTCTTAATTCTATCTTCTTATAGGATGAGCTGGCACGTGTGTTTGTGACCATCTTCGATGCCAAACACCTACTTCATCAGTTATTATTGAATATGTTCGCTAAAGAAGTTGAATTAGCTGATTGCTATCAAACGATTCTGCGTGGAAATGGTTTACCTACAAAAATCATGTTGTTCTGCTTTAAACTCTACGGCTCACATTATTTATATAACTTATTCGCGCCGATTCTAGCGAAAATGTCTATTGCTGATCTACGTTCGTATGAAATCGATCCATCACGTCTTGAACAACACGAACAATTGGATGAAAATCGTAAAAACTTACGTTTATTAACACAAGATGTTTTCCAAGCGATTCTCGATTCGGCTTCACAATTTCCATTACAATTACGAATCCTTTGTTCTTGTCTATATCAAGTTGTTCAACAACGTTTTCCTCAGCATCCATTACAAGTAAAGCTGTCCATCAAAATTAACAAATTTTCTTCATTTCTTGCTTTTAGGCTGTGTCAACGGTCATCTTTCTTCGTTTTCTCAATCCAGCATTGGTTCTTCCGCATGAATACGGAATCGTCGACGCAGAGCCATTGCCAAGTATCAAACGCGGTCTAACACTTGTATCAAAAATTCTTCAGAATATCGCCAATAATCTCATCTTTACCAAAGAATTCCACATGCGATGTTTCAACGATTACCTTCGCTACACATTCGATTCAGCGACATATTTCGTTTCAGCGATAAGCGAGCCAATCAATCTGAATACGATAGCACCGATAGATGAACAACAGCCCGTTGAAAACAATCAAACACTCGACTCAACAGTCGTTTCACCAACTTATCCAATGTCGTACATCAGCGATGCCAATGTTTTAGCACTACATCGCCTTCTTTGGTATCATCAAGAAAAAATCGGGGATTATCTATCGAGCGGAAGAGATCATAAAGCCATTGGTCGACGACCATTCGATAAAATGGCAACTTTATTGGCTTATCTTGGGCCACCGGATCATCGACCGTTGGATTCACAATGGATTTCGTACGATATGACTGCGACGAAATTCGAAGAATTGATGGCAAAAACACAAATGCACGAACGAGAAGAATTCAAATCCTTGAAAGCATTGAATATCTTCTATCAAGTAAGCTATTTGATTTGTCATTTTCTGAAAATGAATATCATTGCTGGTTGCATTTAGGCTGGATTTAGTAAACAGAATAATACACCTGTATTTTATTACATAGCACGTCGTTTTAAAGTCAACGAGATGAATTGTGATCTGTTAATCTATCACGTTCTACTAACATTAAAGCCGTTTCAAGCGAAACCATTTGAATTAGTTATTGATTTCACTCACACATGCACAGATAATCGATTTAAGACCGATTATCTATCGAAATGGTTTATCTGCATGCCTGATTGCTTCTGTTATAACCTACAAGCATGCTATATCTATAATTGTAATTCGTGGGTGAGAGAGTATACGAAATACCACGATCGAATCTTGTCGACAATCAAAGGTTCGAGAAAACTGATTTTTCTCGATCACATTTCACGTTTGAACGATTTTATCGAACCCGATCAACAAAAATTGCCTGGACACACCTTATCGCTCGAAGAAGATCTTCGTGCATTTAATAATGCACTAAAATTATCACACAAGGATACCAAAGTTGCTATTAAAGTCGGCCCGCAGGCAATTCAAATAACCTCGAGTGAAAAGACGAAAGTCCTTGGACATAGTGTTCTACTCAATGATGTTTACTACGCATCGGAAATCGAAGAAGTTTGTCTAGTCGATGACAATCAGTTTACATTAACTATTGCCAATGAAACTGGTCCACTTTCGTTCATTCACAATGATTGTGATAACATCGTTCAAGCGATTATTCATATCCGAACGCGATGGGTATGCCAATCCTTAAGTATACATTTTAAGTATAAAAGATTTTACTGTTTAGGAACTTGCCCAACCAGATTCGATCCAAATCCATAATAAAATTCGACCAAAAGATGTTCCAGGGACGCTGTTGAATATAGCCTTGTTAAATTTGGGTTCTCTTGATCCATCACTTCGTTCAGCTGCTTACAATCTTCTTTGTGCATTGACCCAAACATTTGATTTACGTATCGAAGGTCAACTACTGGAATCATCGGGCTTATGCATTCCGTCAAATAACACCATCTTTATTAAAACAATTTCTGAAAAACTAGCATTGAAAGAAGCACATCTAACCTTGGAATTTCTCGAAGAATGCATTGAAGGTTTTCGAAACTCCACCATCGAATTAAAACACCTCTGTTTGGAGTATATGACGAAATGGTTACCGAATTTAACGCGATTTTGTAAACAAAACGATGAATATAAACGAATGAAAGTGTCGATGATATTGGACAAGTTAATCACGCTAACAATCGAAGAAGACGATATGTATCCATCCATTCAAGCGAAGATTTGGTCACATCTTGGACAAGTTAGCGATCTACTGGACATCGTTTTAGATTGTTTCATCAAACGATCGGTTGTTGGCGGACTCGGTTCTGTACAAGCTGAGATTCTTGCTGATACAGCCGTGGCATTAGCCAGTTCGAATGCATTGTTGTTCTCTCGAAAAGTGATTGGCCGTCTCTGCCGTTTAATTGAAAAAACATGTCTATCACCAACACCCACACTCGAACAACATCTCATGTGGGATGATATCGCTATCTTACTTCGATATTTACTGATGCTCTCATTCAATAATTCACTCGATGTTGCATCACATCTACCTTTTCTATTTCATATTGTGACATTATTAGTTAACACCGGACCGTTGACATTACGAGCATCGACACATGGTCTTGTGATTAATGTTTTACATGCGCTATGTACATGTTCTCAACCTCAATTTAGCGATGAAACTCAACGCGTTCTTCGTTTGTCATTAGCAGAATTTTCCCTTCCGAAATTCTACGCTCTATTCGGTTTATCGAAAGTCAAATCAGCCAGTGTGATTGCCTTTCGTACGGGTATTATTCGACAACAACAACAACAACAACATTCCAGTCAAATGTTATCCGCGGAGAAGCAAGTTCATCACGAACGTTTCATTCCGATTAGTAATGTTCATTCGCCAAACATCGAACAAGTCGAACGAATGAGTTTAATATCGTTGGAAACAATCACTGATACGTTATTAGAATTAATGGAAGCATGTATGACAGACATACCCGATTGTGAATGGTTAACGCAATGGCAAGAATTAGCCAAACGTTTTGCTTTTCAATATAATCCTGCCTTACAACCACGCGCTATGTAAATCAATTTCTATGTTCCTTTTTTTCAGAAGTTTTCCTTTTCCTCTTTTAGAATTGTCTACGGTTGCATATCGAAAACGACCAGCGATGGTGAAATCAAAGCTTTATTACGAATATTAGTCAAGGCATTGGAATCATTCTCCGATATCGATCTAATCGATGGAATCATTATGTGTTTGACACGTTTATTACCATTACTATCTCCCGAGTCGAAAATACATAAATTTATCTTTTGGATTTCGATTTCAATTCTTCAACTGCATCAAACACAATTGTATGCATCGGGACTAGCTTTACTCGAACAAAATCTTCATACACTTGATCATATGTTGAATTTATTCGAAAATACAAGTACACATCAACAGCAAACATTAGAAAAAATCATGATGGACGCACGTGAACCGTTAGAATGGCAATTTAAACAACTAGATGCTAGTATGGGTTTATCGTTTCGATCGAATTTTAATTTTGCACTCGTGGGACATTTAATCAAAGGTAAATAGACGAAATTTAAATTAATTTTCCGTTCGCATCGTATAGTGGATACTGCTGTTCACCATCAATTTTACTTCCAGCAGATTTTTGTACATAAGTACAGCCACTCCAATTTTCATTTACTGTATTATTGTTATTGACTGAGCCGTGAACGCACAGATAGTAGAGCATTGATGAAGCAGCTAGTTCAGGTTTACCAACACGAATTGCGACGCTTGATATAGCACTTAAATTTCGTGTACTTCTAGGAAGAGCGTAACTTCGTTGACCAAAATAGTTCGAGTCTTCAGTTGTGCACAAGCGATACCAAGCGGTGACTGTACCGTCGTGAGCAGTTAAACGAATTGATAAACCTGAATCATTTTGACTAGAAATGAAGTTGATTTTTGGCGCAAATGAAAAAGAATTTCTGTGATACGTACCTGGTTTTTGCAGGAACAGCTGCATCAGCTGTCAGGAGAACATCAACTGTATAAAAGCTTTCCTCCTCATCGATGTGATCATCATTGGTTGATGTATTATTGATTGACAGCGATGGTGTTTGATTCATTGCCTGGATAACCATCATCATAGCCATAGCACATGCAACATAACCGCCAGAATTGTGTTTCATATTCAGTTTTTCTTTTGGATTAATAATTTTTGGAAGAGAAGGATCTGCCTTATATAGATCGAGAATAGAATGATATCTTGAAACTAGAAATGAGATGAGCCTGATAAGAATGATCGATGATCTACAATGAAGTTTATTTTCAGGTTTCCGTCATCCAGTTCAGTCCACTGTTGTTCGAACCACTCGTGTACTTTCCACTCTGCTGAGTATTGTGGCTAAATCCGAATCTCATGACAAATTCAAAGTAACACCAACATCAATACCGTACCTAGCTGCGTTAGTCAGCGTGGTCGAAGAGATTCGCACACGGTGTCCAATTAAGAGTCGTTCACAGATCATTCCAACCTCAACAGCAACCGCACCGTCAAATACAAACAACATTCCGCCTGCCTACACTAGCTCACCTTCACAAATACCACAATCACCTTCGAGTGCATCGATTGTTGATATTGCAGCTACTGTTCCCGCTATTTTGCCACCACCGCCACCGCCCCTCCCATCGAATGTACCTGTTCAGCCAGGAACATTCAATCGGCGATTGAAGTCCTGGGATCCATCCTATTTGGATAAAACAAGAAAAGTCAGCGGTGTATCAGCAATTAACAATTCGCGTCTATTACCTATTCCATCGCATGCCAAATACTATCAAACAATCGATATTGAAAATGCAATACCACGTATCCTGACGAAACCGGCATCGACATTACCACGATCACAACAAGTCAAACAATCAGGACCGAATATGGCTGTTACACCGCAGATTCTCCCAGAGACACAGCAAACACCACAGGTAGTTTTAGTAGAGAAGAAAAGTTATGGAATACATTTCCTTTTTCTTTCAGACAAATGGTGAAACGAATTTTTTGCTAGATCCTGATGTGTTAACCGATACATCTACTCAAGCATTACTACTAACAATTCTAGCCACTCTCGTCCGCAATACATCTGATGAGAATGAAATGCGAATTTTATATGAATATCTTTCTGAATCGAGTTTCGTTTTTCCGAAAGTTTTTCCTGTCATACACAATTTATTAGACGCAAAAATCAACTCCGTTCTTTCATTATCACATGACGAATCCATCTTAGCATCCGTTCAAGCAATCATCTACCAAATGATTGCCTGTTCAGCTGGTGACGATGCCAGTCAACAGCAACAGCAATTAAGCTATCTGCAATCATGCGGTTTCGGCGGTCTGTGGCGTTTTGCTGGACCATTCACAGTTTCTCGACAAAATCCTGATAATGTTGAATTGTTCGTTAATTGGTTAGAAGCCATGGTAGAAACGTATTTGCCATCTTTGGACGAACTGGAAGATGGATCTGGTAATAGTAATGTTGGAAGTAATTCAGCAGGACATCATGGAACACGACACGCATCTTTGCACCATCATACATTGCGACATCACCATCATTATTCGGCATCGTCAGCCGCCGCATGTCTCAATGCGAATCTATCGTCATCGCTGTCGAGCGTTTCGATGGATTCGATTCGTTCACCGACCGATCGAGACACGCAGTTTTTCGATCTGAATGATCTCAATCGACCAACGCAATCACATTCCGTGAGCGGCAGCAGCTATGATCGATCACGTATCACACAAAAACCAAATCTTATTTAAATATTTATTTTTATTGTTGTATATTCGATTTCTACTCAATGTTGTAAATGACTTGTAATTCCGTTTTAATCTCTCTATTTTTTATGTTGTATTTTCATATTTGTATGTATAAATATCGTTAAAGAACCTATTTTCGTTTTGTAGATATGTCTACAGGTGTTTACGCACCGTTCATATTTGTAAAAAAAGAAGAGAAACCGCTTGTGACAGACTATAGTCCAACTGAATCAGATCGACGAGTGTTCAGCGTGCTTGAACATCTGATGGGATCACGGCGAAAGTGGGGAGGTATTGATAATCGATTGATTCCAAGCGATGGATCAGGAAGAATACCTGGCATGGGCACAGCAGGAATGGCCAAAGAAGAATTACGCGTGAAAAGATTCATGGAAAGTTGTACATTCAAAGCAATCATCAGTTGTGCTGGAGGTATGGAAAATGGAATTCGAATAATGCAGTAAATCTATTTGTTCGTTTTTGAAGGCTTTGTACTGGGTATTGGTCTTGGTGTGTTCACAGCAAGTATCGATCCAATGTCAACTATCCAGACGACTACACCAGGTGCAACACCAACGATCAAAGATGTTTGGAGAGAAATGAAAGCACGATCATTGAGTTATGCGAAGAACTTTGCGGTTGTTGGTTTGGTGTTTAGTACGATTGAATGTAACATCGAATCGGTAGGTGAAAGAAGAAGGAAGAAAGGATATGTTGATGCTTTTGCGTGCATTTAGTATCGAGCGAAATCAGATATTCGAAATGGAACTTATGCAGGTTTTGTGACCGGTGGTTTATTAGGATTTCGTGGTAAGTTATGTTACGTGTGAGAAAACAAAAAAAAAAGTATGTTCTTCGTTCTTTTTCTCTAGCTGGACTACAAGCAGGTCTTTTCGGTGCTGTTGGTTTTGCTGCCTTTTCTACCTTGATTGAGTATTATCTCTTAAATCATCATTAGTAGCTGTTATTTTTCTATTTGTTTTCAATAAAAATAGGCAAATAGAGTTTTGTTTCACACGCAATCTTCTTTTCAATACCTTTCACTAATTCATAGATCGAAACAAAACCCAAACATTGATGAAATTTATCAGCATGACGAGAGCGTTTCGCTCGAAAATATTCATATACTGTGTCGGTTCGTTTCACAACGAATCGTATGTCACTCTCTTTTCTTGCCATGGTACAACTAACAGTAATATATTTTGATAAGTGTAACTCATTCATGATCATTTGTATTCATAGTTATTTCTCTTGAATTTTCCACTTCTCACCATTAAGATCTTTTCAATTTCTCATGCTTGTTATCCATACATATCAAATGTATATAAACACTCAGACACAGAAATTTTCAATAACAACGGATCATTTGCTTGTACTCTATACCTTGAACTCATTCACAGCCACCAAAGATAACATGAATACATATGTCAACTATCCTCGATCGATTCATTACAATACACCATATGGATCAATAACAGGTAGATAGATATTCACAAGAGAATAGTCGAATCTATTGATTGTATTTGCATAGTTGATGGAAGAAACCATCTAGGTGGAAGCAGGATTATTGCAAAAGAAGCGCTAAGCTTGTTCAAAATGGTCGTTGGCAAAGCCAGTGACTTATTCAGTTTTTAGACTAACCATCACAATCGATGTTATCAATTTCGTTTCATACGTCAGATAAGAAGCATATATTTGTTATGTATAATTTCTTAGTTCATCAAAATAAACTGATTCTGCACTTCAGATTCGGAAAAATCTGTTGTAGATTGTCAACAAAATTTATGTCTGTCTGAATGACATCTTCCTCTCTATCAATTACGGAAGATAAGTAACTACATATGTCAGATAGTCGTTTGTTTTTGTCAACTATATTGATGACTTGTACAAGCGTCACTGAAAGTGTATATCGAGGACTGCCTAACTCCCCCAAGCCTTCAAAATGACACGACGATGTTTGCACAGCACTTCTTGATAAATCATTTATTCTCAAATGCAGAATAAACCAATTACTAAACTATACACTGAAATCCTATACAATACAAAGGCCGATTAATTGATTGCTGTTTTTGTTTTCTTAATTTATGTGTGAAGAAGAAATTGTACGAATGCATCGTAAGTTATCGAACCAGTTTTATTCGGATCAGCTTGTCCAATCATATCATCGGCTTCATCTTCCGTTAATTCGCTGTCCCATAACTAAATATTCATACTCGAAAACAAGTCCTCAGTAGACATGCTCTTACTCGAACGAATCGTTTCAATTCACTAGCATTGATCGTTCCGTTTCCGTCTTTATCAAAAACTCGAAATGTTGCACGAAGTTCTTCTTCCAGATCTTGTTGATTAATCGGTGTTGTCATAATCGAAATGAATTCTCTCATATCAATTCCACCGGAGTGATCTTCGTCTGCTGACCCAAGCAATAATTGTGCTTCATTTTCTTCCAAGACCATATCTTCAAGAACAACTCGATACTGTTCGTACCAACAACAGATTCGACATACCTGCCGCTTGCGCGACTTGATTTATATCCTCAGGACCAACGAAACCCTTCGATTGTATGTCCATAATACTGAACGCCGCTTGAAAGTCTTGGATTTTCTCGACCGATAGTTCCACCGGTAATGACAGGGTCTGCGCACGCGTTCTTTCTACTATACCATTCGGTTCGGGTCCACTCATTATCTGAAGATGAGAAGAGTTCGTTAGCTTTCTCGTTTAACTTTTTCATTTTCACTTCGTTTAATAAATATTTCGGATTTTACACAACGAAAAGAGAAAATGCAAGGAAAAAAAGATGAGCCATCCGTTCTGAAATCGAAAAAAAAAGAAAGCAAAAAAGAAAAAAGCAAAAGGTGGTTGAGTGTTTCTTTTTCTTTCGACTGATGAGAAAAGTTCTCTCGATACAACAGCACATACACCATAGAAAAAAAAAAAAGAAAAACGATTTATATAGAAACAGTGTCAATGTATGTACGTGTGTGTGCGTATATGTGGGAATGCGAATATTTTCTTCAAATTTGTTTCGGTTATTTGATAGCTTGTAAAACACCATTCACTCGTTTCGAGGTGATTTCACCATCTTCTTCTATGACCTCTGTCACTTGACCGTTTTCCTCCACTCTGTGAATATACAAACGATATATTTTCGAAGAAAAAGCTTCGGAATATTACCTCGTCGTTGTGACACGTCGGCCGTTGACTATTTTAGTTGATTTGGTAGTTTTCTTCGAAATCGGTCGAGCTCCATTGCCACCACTAGAAGTCAACATGTACGAATTGATGTTTTCTTTCTCTTAAAATGTAATCTTTACAAACCCGAAGGAGAAATTGAATGATGAAATAGTTCCCATGTTATCCCCTCCGATATCACCGGCAAATGAATGATGATCGAATAAAGATGTTCTCATTGGAGAAAAGAAATTATCGAACAGAGTCATTTGTTGAGGTGCACGTCTGGTATTGGAACTGTTCGGATCTCGACTGCTACGACGACGATGTAAATCAGCGAATGGATGCATACCAAAACCTAGATCAAAAAGAAAAGATTTCCCCAATCAAACATCTGTTCATCGAACACGAAAGGAAAAAAAAACAAGTTTAGTTGCACATTTCCCATCACCTCATGCGCAATGCAAGCAGCATTCAGAAAACAACGGAAAGCTTCCTTTGAATCCATCTGGTGTTCTCACCAGAACGTAGGATTTGACGCGTCCAGATGTCTAAAAGTAAGCCAGAAGCAACGTATGCAAGCTTATGCTTATATTGCTGTTGTTTTTTTTTGGTTTCATGTGTGTTTTTTTTACATATATGTTGATTGGATTAAGGGACACGTTTACTTTCACTTACCAAACTCATCTTCCATGCCGAAGTGTGACATGAATTGTTCAAAGATATCGAATGGATTGTGAAAATGAAATGTTCGATTAAGAAAATCTTCGGAAAATCTGTCATAGCCTTCACGCGATGAAGAACCACCACCATGGCCATTGGTAAAAGCTCCTCTACCCAACTGATCGTACCGTCGACGTTTATCTTCTGGAAATTTTCGGAAGAAAAAGAAAAGAAACAAGTTATTGTTGTTAGTAAAGAGCGTTCAACGAGCAGCAGCAGTAGTCGTCATTTTCTACTTCGATACCAACTTCCCGTATTTTATGGTAATTTTCTACGTGGAATTTTTACCTTTACTTTTTTCCTTGAAAACTGGCTTATTATTAAGTGCTGTTTCATTTTTATGACGGATACTACGTCGAATACTTTTTAATGGCGAAGTTAATTTCGTTGAATTATCTGATATTGCATCATTGATTGTCGGCGAGGGACGTTTGTCTCCTGTATCGGTTTGAGAACTCATATGTCTCATCGATTTCGCACGGCGAAGACCAGGACTAGCTGGCAGAGGATAATCATCGAGTGTTTCGTAACTGATTAAACGAAAATCTTGGTACGGATTTTCCGTTGGTTTCGTATTTGGAATTTCTAATAATTCGATAGATTTGATATTATTAGGAATTTTATCTGCACCCAATGCGACAGCAGATGAAATGATACCTTGTTGACCAAGGATTAGAAGTTTATCGCGTTCATCCTGTGATGGTATGGGTTGAGAGATAATATTATCCATCAAAGTGCATGGTTTGCGTAGAAAACAATTTAGATTTGTCTTAGGAAATTCGATGTCATCGATACGATGCCGAGGCGTTTGTTCTTTGACTGGCGGAAGGAATGTCGGTGCTTGAATGAATTTCGCACGATGAATTGAATGAATGCGAGAAGTTTGACTTTTGATAGGATTGAAATTTTCCAGGGTTGCAGCGAACCGTGCAGCTTCTAACTGCTCTTCAACAATTCGAGCTAATGCTGCCGAATCAAATTCGCGCGAATCACTTGTTGAGGAGATCGTCGAGCGTCGACGCGGTTCAACGTACGTTTGTCGCCGTTTTATAGTTGCTTTCTTATGATGATGGTGATGAGTTTCAGATTTTGCTAGTTTTGGTTCTAGCGTTTGAGGTGCGATCGGAGGCATAACAACTGGCGTTTGCTGCGGTGGAGGATGTTGTACCGGTTGTGGCGGTGTGGGTGATGGTTGCTGCGGCGGTGGTGCTGTTGGTGTATGTTGTTGTTGTTGTTGTTGTTGCTGCTGCTGCTGCTGTGGTGGTGACGGTGGCTGTTGTTGCTGCGATGGTGTAGTCTGTTGATGATGTTGTGGAGAATGTCGAACGTAATCGTGCATTTTAATGAGACGATCGATGTCGTTTGAGAGATTAAGATTGGAGAAGCGATTATTTTTCATCGTAGTTTCATTTTCTTCCGGAATAATGTTGATATATCGTTTAACGAATTTTAGATCGGAATTCTCTCGATCGACATGAAAGTCATAGTAAACTGACATGTTTATTTCATGAACGACGCGTGGCTTCAATTCATTTTCGCTTTCCGTTGTGGCTGGAATTTCCTCATAATCGTTTTTATTCGTGGAGAGAATAAACGACGGCAGATCTTCTTTATCGAATTTATCATGTTGTTCGAATTCTTTCTGACAAACGTTGAGAAACTCGTCATCATCAATGATCGTACGAAACAGTTCTTCTAATTCTTCATTGGTACGCTCGCTATAAATAATTGATGAGCCCAGTTGATCATAGAGAAATCGTCCACGACCTGTTTATGCATGTATGAAGGGGGGAAAAGAAACGACTACTGCTGATGCTGTTTTTTTCAACGAGCAAGAGGAAAAAGGCTTTGTCTTTTTCCTTCCTATCTTCTTCATGTACTCACTGTCTGAGAGAACTTCGTACGCTTCGGAGATTAGCTTGAATTTTTCTTCGGCTTGACTCTTGTTTTGGAGATTTTTATCTGGGTGCCACTAGAAGAGGAAGAGAAAGATTGTCAACGATGAATGTTTGATCAATGTTGTACCTTTAAAGCTAATCGACGATATCTAAAAATAGAACATATAATTCAATTAAATGATTACAATCTCAGCATGAATAACATACGCTTTCTTGATTTCATCTTCGGTGGCCGTCTTCTCGACTTCGAGTATTTCATAGAAATCGGTCATTGTAAGAATTGACTAAAAACAAAAGTCAAACTCAATCATGTTTTCTTCGGCAAGTTTTCTCGACAAAAATATTTCTATTTTCATTACGTAGTAGTTACTTGTCTTCTACTCATCTAAATATACTCTGTTGTCCATGTCTCCTTTTCTTCTTTTTCTTTCTTTCTCTCTCTCTCCCTCTCTCTTCTCTCCTTCGACACACCGAAAGCAAATGCGCCAACGCTTGTACACATCTTACGCTTTCGACTAGCTAACTATGTACATTATGCGTGCAGAGAAAGCAAAAGAAAACAAAAAACGATGAAAGACAGACAACGTCATTTTATTATGACGCTACGTCGTACAATGATCATCCTTGTTGCAATTGACTGCTCGTCAAAGTCTACCTTGAACTGTTCGACAATGATCTTGACAGAGGAAAAAAGAAAACGAAATGTATGAAAACCTTCACGCCGCAATGCTATTATGATTAGAATTCTGAACTGGGGTGAATGAGCATCGAATCAGAAGTGCATACCTATCAGTTGATTGTCGTTCTGGATAATTTGACAAGGGACAGACGGCAAAACGAAAAGAGGGTCAATATAAACGAAACAATATTGCAACTCAAATTCCATGAATAATGACTGTCTCGATGAGATACCGCCTTATCTATGTCACATCTCGTCCGACCCGACGACGAAAAGAAACACAAGTCTACTATTCAACACTACCTACTGAAATGATGTCATTTCTTGAAGAAAGCTTGAGAAATTGAATGTGCTTATGCAAAAAAGGAGAAATCTTTCTTCGTTGGAAAAAAACCTTTTCTTCCGATGAAAACTTTCAGCCGCTACGACAACAGAGCAAGAAGAAGCAATCATGAATTTGTCATAATCAAAACAGAACACGTACTTAATTGTAATTTTTATTTAATTTACTTCTGCTGGATTGATCATTATTCTTTTTTATTAAGAAAAAAGGCGGGGAAATGTAAATGGACGTCACAAATGAAGGACAAATAAATAAATAGAAGATGAAGAGAGAGAGAGCGAGAGGGAGAATGAGAGGATTCCACCAATTGGTCGCAATTTCCGCCAATCATCATCGAGCTTCCATTTGCATTGCTATGTCACCTATCGGTATAATACATCATGCATCTTCGTCATGTGCTTTGACTACTAACTACTATCAGCTGCTCTTGTCTAGTGATTTGTCGTAGTATATAATGAGTAATAATGACAATATATCTGCGCATTCGAAATGTATCGAAGACTTACCTGAAGAAATTTTATTACGAATCTTTCGATTTATCTTACCGTATAAGTAAGATGCACTGTACAGATTTCGCAAGAAAAACAAACATTCTTTCGTTCGATTTCTTTTTGTCTTTTTAAGCGATTACATAGCTATTCGACTTGTATGTCGACAATGGGAAAGACTATGGCGTGATACCAAACAATGGCGACTAGAAAACTTTTCGAGTCAGATATCATTGTCTACATTACCTGTTTCAATTCATTGGCAATTACTGGATCCACCGACGAAGTTTAACCTCACACCCCGATTCTCTCATTCGACTTGTTATGTTGCTTCCAAACGGAAGTTGTATGTTTTTGGTGGCAGTCGAGATATGTCAACAACACTCAATGATTTTTGGCATTTAGATTTATCGACCCGAAGGTCAAATTGATTTGAAGAGTTTTTCTTGCGTTTCCAACTTGAGTTTCTTTTCCTTTTGTTTAGTTGGGAACGAATTTTACCAACAGGACAATACCCACCACCGAAATGCTCGTCTACATTTGTCGATGACGAAAATGGCAACTTGATACTTTTCGGCGGACGATCAATGATCTACACGGATGATATACATATGCGAGAACAGCTTCATCATGAACTGCATTCATATTCATTAGAAAACAATACATGGAATCTGCATGTAAGTTTGAATGAACCCGGTCCGATAGCTGAACACAGTGCATCGATTGCCATTGTGAATAACCAAAAACTCATGGTTGTTTTTGGTGGTTTGGTGGGAGCAGTCAATCAACAAGCGGTCCTTCAACTAACAGACGATCTGTGGCAATGGACAAATATCGAAACGAATACATGGTCGATGGTGCAAGTTAATGGACTTCGCCCGGAACCGAGAAAAGGTAATTTCACACAAATCGACAAGAAAACAAATAAGAGTTCATGATTCCTAGGTCATTCTCAATTTACGCTGAATGCCGATCAGATTCTTATTGTTGGTGGTTCATCTCTAACTCGTGTATGTCGTGATGTATGGCTTTTTTCATTTCAAACCAACCAGTGGACGCAAATTACTGTAAATAATCAACATCCGAATGATTTCGCACCGAGCAATGAGGACCTCCCTCACATTCCATTTTGTCTCGTTGCTTCTTCTCAACTGTTAATCACATTCGGTCGATGGAAGCGCCATCCAACGGAAAACGAACTTCGAACATACAGTGAATATGATTTTTCCCACTGTGATTCCAAATCTCGTGAACAATTCTTCGCACCTCCAAGTAGTTCCAGTGATGACAGTGATGAACCCGCTCGTTGTACAAATGTCTGTCGACGACCATTCTTACCTCCAATGAAAACGAAGTACAGCCTGCTGGAACTTTCCACTGGCTTACAGATGTATCGTCTGGACTTATCGAAGATATTTTCCTCAACTCCATGTGTAACGTGGTTACCTTCGAAATGTACAACAGTATTCGGTAGTCCAACTCGTTCATCTCGATATTATTCGTTAAATTGTGCACGAAGTGAATTGATTCTTTTTGGTGGAATAGAAAAGCGCAAGTTGCATTTACAAAAACCTTCCTCAGAGAATGATCATCGATCACAATCGATATCAGGCACTCTTGCTTTTATCACAATATCAAATGTTTCTCTTTAGGTAAACAGCTAAATATAGAATTTCCCATTTATTTCTAGATAGAAAAACTAAAACACTATGCGCTGGGAATTTAAAGTCGATAATTCGTATGAAGTTCGTCGTGCTGAAGGTATGACACGATCATATATTGATTCCGTTTCTTATATATAAGATCACTTCTAGGCGAACGTATTCGTCGGGAGTATCCTGATCGATGCGCAGTAATTGTCGAACGTGCACCAAATTCACACGTACCTGATCTTCCATCGAAGAAGTATTTAGTTCCAAGTGATCTCACTGTTGGACAATTCTACTTTCTTATCCGCAAACGCGTTCAACTCCGACCTGAGGACGCACTTTTCTTCTTCGTTAATAACGTAAGATCGACTATTCGCACAACATATCGAGCACGACCTTCGCTCTTTTTTCTTTTTCTTTCTTCATCATCATAGACTATTCCGAATACGTCAATGACCATGGGTACACTCTATCAAGAACATGTAATATGATTCGACTACAGGAAAAACGAAACTTTTACAAATAACTTTTCTTTTCTATAGGCGGACGAAGATAAATTTCTTTACGTTGCATATAGTGACGAATCAACTTATGGTTAACACATCGCGCATCGTTCGAATCAATTCTGTACATTACATAGACCTTTTCTTTTCAATAATGACGATTTAAGCCGGTAGAACATATCTTGTCAATGTATATTGTAACCTTGAACTTTATATGATTTTTCTTTGTCAACTATCTTGAATATATTTACTCGAGATTATTAGCTCATATGATATTCAATCAGCTTATGTTATCATGCGGATACGAAATAGTTTGCCTTTCAAATATTATCTCCTAGACATGTGAAATGTTTCTTTGAAAGTACTTAAATATCATCCATATGATGTCTGTCACGTGAAGAAATTTTGGCATTTAGCCAGAAATCTATTCAATGATATTGTTTAGATAAAGCAAGCAACACAAAAGAACGACGATATAAAAGTCAGTTTGCTTTATATTTTTTGAGAGTGAATGTTCGTCCTTAATGGTTTATCAATCACAATTGTTGGTACTTGCGATACTTGGGGTGCTAAATTATACACAGGCAGTGAAAAGTACGAGTTCTCTCCTTTTTTGAGTAAACTGGCAAAAGCTGCATACCAAGCGATGATAGATGTGATGATTCCAAAAGCACCCGCTGCTCGTTGTAGGTTGTAATCATTGTTTTGAAACTTACATGCTGTGAGAAGAATAAATGTGAGGGTTAAAAACGCGAATAATGCGACCAGAGCAACATTCGTTCGAAGAGACGAGACGAACATAGCTGCTGTAAAAATTGTCCAAGCGAGAAAAAACACACCAAATGCGTGGTTTACTGTTGTTGAATCCATATAAGTCATAAAACCGAAGAATCCGCTGTATAACGAAGATAATCCAAGCCAAAAGCCACCATACGAGCAAAAAGCCAACGCACCGAAATTATTTCCAATTCGAAATTCTAATAAACCAGCTAAAAGTTGAATTAAACCGCCGTAGAAAAGAGCGAGACCCATAACAACACCATGTGAAGCTGTTACAGGTATTCCGACGCCTGCATTGTACATCGAAAGAATAAATGTCGTCAATGCAAACGCACAAAGACCAAGTGGTGTTGGATTTAGACGTGAGTGTGGTGATGATTTTGCCGAGTATGATTTCATCAAACGCTCAAATTCGACAAATCGTTCATAGGCTTGTCGTGTTGAAACGTCGACATTTTCATAAAGACCGGTCTCTGTCGAAGACATTTTTTTTGTTCGTGCACTCGACAAGATATTTAAAGAAATGATTTGGATTTTATATTTATCAATCGAACAACTTGTTATACTTCATTTGGATTTATTGTTCGTCAAAGAGAAGCACGATAAAACATCGCATTGTATCAGTAGTGTACAAACGATAAATAAATCGTAAATCCGAAAAACAAGATTTGAGAATGTTGATTATGACTGTAATAAAAGTCTCACTATAAATCATTTCTTTTGTGAAAAATAACATGTTTTCGTTCAAGAAAAATTCTTTATTTAACCTGAAAGTTAACTTGATGAAATCTATCTCTATCAGATTCGTTTGTGATAAGCGAAATCTATTCTATATGATGATAACGTATATGTGTCAGTCTTTGTTTCGAGTAAAGGATGCATCTGTGGACGCTCTGCATCTTTTCATTGTGCATAATTCGCTTTGCATTGAGTTCGCCGACAATATATGTTGTTCCAAGTTTACGATCGATCGGTAATGAAGACGGTACATTGAAAAATCCATTTGCAACAATTGAGCAAGCTCGCGATCATCTTCGGACGATCTTTCGAGACTCAATTCAACGTGTTGCACTCTATCCAACATATCATTACCTAAATGGTCGGACATTGTCGCTCGATGAACGTGATCATTCAACAATTTATACGGCAATGTCAAATAACGAACGAAATCAAATAACATTCGAGAGAAGAAGAGATTTGATTGAATTAGAGTTTCCAATCATCAGTGGTGGTATTCATCTTATTAATTGGACCATTGATGAACAAGTATGTTTCATTCGGATGACTTCTTGTTAAATATTCGATGTCTTGACATTTAGATTTGGCGTATTCGCATTCCACGCTTTCTCCCTGCAGTCACGCAATTATTTGTCAACGGTCAACGTGCTGTTCGTAGTCGTTTACCAATCAATGACTATTATCACTATGAGAAAGGACTGGATAATCGTACTCAACTCGCTTATCGAGGTTTTGTCTATCGTGAGCATCAGTTTGATAATATTACACTTAGTTCGACATCGTGCAGCGAAATTATCATATATCATTCGTTTACCACTTCTCGTCATTATTTTTCGAAGATTTTTCCACAAAATCGAACAATACTTTTTACAAATCCATCATTATCTATCATTGGTAATATAACCATTAGTCAGCAATCCGGTCAACGTTTTCATCTCGAAAATATTTATGAAGGAATGATCGTACAAGAAGGCTCATTCTTTTTCGATTCGATGACACAAATGTTGTATTATCATGCACGATCGACTGAACATCCTCGAAATACTTCAATTATCCTGCCGATACATGAAATTGTTCTATCGATGGTTAATGCTACTAAAATCGAATGGAATTCAGTTGGAATTGAGCATAGTGCATGGATGACATCGGCGAAAGTGAATAAAAGTATCCCAATCGATGGACGAGCAGCCGCTGATTATCTAAATCGATCTGTCGTAGCAATTTATCTACGTAATTCGACTGAGATTACATTCAATCAAGTCGAAACAGCACATATCGCTGGTTATGCGATACAAATCGATGAGAACTGTCAAGGAATTCGAATTGAAAATAGTCAAATGTATGATTTAGGAGCCGGTGGAATAAGAATTGGATTAACTGAACATAATCGAAAACAATTCATAGAAAATATTCTCATCAAGAACTGTACCTTCTACAACAATGGTCATCTCTTCCCGATGGGCGTTGGTATTCTCATTCAACTTGCAACGAGAAACGTCCTAATCACCCAAAATACACTCTACGCATTTTACCATACGGCTATTCATATCGGTTGGTCATGGTAAATATTTGCAACAAAAAATTTCTTCAATTTTTCGTATACCAAGTTATTCCTTTAGGAATTACGACGAAAGTTCATGTTATAATCAGACAATTTCTTTTAACTACATTCATCATCTTGGCCAACATACATTGAGTGAACTCGGTGGTATATACACATGTGGTGTGTTGAACGACACGATCATCACGAACAATGTTCTACATGATATCTACGGATACTTCTTACATGATTGGGGTGTTTACTTAGCTGATGGTAGTTCACAATTAATGGTAACGAATACAATTATCTACAACACAGGTTCAGCTGGAATTACTATGATTTATGGTTTTAACAACACATTTCGAAATAATGTGCTTGCTCGATCGAGTAATGAAGGTGATGGAGAACTATCGCTGTACCGTCGTGAAGCAAAAGATCATTTAGTATTTACATTTTATAACAATATTGTTTATGATACTGTTAATGAGACCGGCCGTTGGATATTCCAAGTTCAAGCGCCAGATCCATTTTCAGCACCATATGTAATCATGGATCGTAATTGTTACTATAATTCCTTTGGAGCTATGTTTATATTTGGCCTTGGTCGACTAGTTTTCAGCGAATGGCAAGAAACCAATCATGACATGAATAGTTTTATCGGAGATCCGTTGTTTCTCCACGCAAAAAGCCAATGTAACTTCTTTCAACTTAATCCTAACAGCCAAGCCGTGCTATATTTAGGTTTTAAACCGATTGAACAGCTACCTCAATGGAAGCCGGGATGTTAAAATTGGATAAAAATTGTTTTAATAGAATTTCTTGCATATTCTTTTCCATATGATATTAAGTGTAAGCATGCAAACAAAGGTGCACTCTGATTTTCAGTTCATTTTTCTCTGACATTGAGATTAAAACACTAATTTATGATGACAAGAATGACCTAGAAGGTCAAAATTGAATGATGATAGATATTTTCGACAGATAGGATAGAATAGTACTTGAGAGAATCTTTAAATATGCGAATGACTGCCTGTCCATTTTGTCATACAAGCACCGATATTGTCACTTCGATTAAGTTCACTGCATGCATTCATCATTATTTTGAAACTACCGCTCGTGTAGAAAATTTTCTACTTTGGCCATGACAGTTAGTCTTCTTATCGTCACTGTAGTACAGCGAACAGAACCTCGTATGCATATAGTTAATCATCTGTTGATGTGTAACACAGCTTTAGCATCAATCTTATACTGTATAACAATGGTGAACTATTTTACTTATAGTGGTGTTGCTGGTGTGGTGTATCCGTATCTTATTCAAGCTGAATCAAAGTTCTCCTTTTCGAACTTAGTCCAAAGAACATCAGCAACCAATATCATTTAAGACTCAGTTTAGGATGTGTTTTACTTGATCGAAAGTTATGTTAGATGATTAGAGACATGGTAAATCGAGACACATATTTCACCTTTCAGAACAGAGATTGTATTGATGGCTGATAGACAAAAACATATGACGCAATATACAAGACAACGACATGTTTGATATTTAGTTGATAGTAGTTCTATTGGCAATATTAAAACTTTTACGAACACTTGCATCTTGACTATATACATGAATAGTTTAAACTGGTTAAGGTATTAAAGTACTTCTAACAAATCGAATTGACTTTGAATAGAACGGATCGGTCGTTGAACAAATCGTATCATGTGCAATAAACAATAGTATAAAATTTGTAAGTTGATATGCATAGCGTTGAAATCATTCAATGGCGTTAAACTTTTCGATTGTTGGCCGTAACTATCCTTTCGATCTTGTCCATTGTTGTCTTCCTGCGAAGGTTCTTCATCGTCATTATCATCGTGTCGATTGAGATACAACAGTAATTGAAGAACTGTACCGCGATGTACCCATCGAGCAGTTCTGTACTGATGCCATTCACTGTCACGATGATAGAATACTCGTAATAGATCAGGACATACCGCAAATAATTTCGGACCACTGGTACTAATTGTTCTATAGTGAATCGCATTTTCTACAGGGCACGAAGATCCCTGGCGACTGAACTCAGAGCGCAAGTCTTCCCATGTTGATCGGATACCCACAGCCATACGTGTGATTCCATCCTTATCGTAAGTAAAAATACAAGCCTCTAGTTCCCAATATGACATTTGTTTATAATCTTGAAAGAAAAAAGAAACAAGCACAGTTGTATGAGTCTCGTAATAGAAGGGTTATGTAAAAGTAAAACTACGACGGAAAGAAAAATTGTTTCACAGGAACGATAAATGAATATTTTTCTCCCGGTAAACAAGACTCGTAAAAGACAAAATTCTTTGTCGACGCCTCCTTACTCTGCTGGTACACTAAATAACGGTATCAGAGCAAGAATGATCTTCGCTTTTTAAAACTTGATCGCAATTAGCTCCTCAAATCAAATGTATATGAATGGTTCTCATGAATAACAACCGAACAAGTTGTTAACGAAACGCTGCGTACAATCGCCTACTTGTCTATAGACACCAGTGATGCGTCATGCATGTCCTGACATTAATATTTCAGATGAAATGTAGTCAACATGTATGATGAAGCATTTTACAATAAGCAGAAATAAAAAGGAAAAAATCGAGATGAAAGAGAATGGAAAGAAAAGAAAAGAACTAGGATTGCCTACTTTTTTTATTGAATATGTGCATTTGTATTTCATGAAACGAAAAATCAACAATCAGTTAAATGTCGAAATGATCATTTTACTCCGTAACAGTCACAAAATCTCATCAAATGAGGAGAATAGGAAGCGAAGCGATAGAACAAAATTAGAAATAAACATACGCTTCAAATGAAAAGTCAGTTATCTATTGTGAATAATCTACTTTGAAAATGGTCCACTTACGACGTTAGTTTGCGCGATCAGTCTTTTATTTACATTCATAAGTATGTAGTTTCTCTCGAATAATTTATTGAAAAAAGAATAAATGTTGTGATAGCACATACGAAAAAGGAATGTTTCGGAATTGTTCGATAGCAGTCTGGATTATTCGGTGCGTGAAAATTAGCTCACCAACCTTGTAATGCTACACCTTGCCCATCAGGAAAATTATCGGTAAGTACGCGAATCCAATCAGCTAAAGCCCAACACCCAAAACCACCAAATGTTAGTAATTTAAAAACACCTGCTGCAATATACCCACCATTGCCAGCCGCTAAATAGAACCAATCGACTCCAAAGCAACCTACGAAGAACGACAGTAAAAATGTGTTGAGTTTTTTCTTTTGTTCATATGCACATGGCTGATTAGATTGAACGGTAACATAGCCAGTTGTAGTACAGTTACATGTATTCGTGGTCAAGGAGCATTTACCATTGGAACCACAATCACTATTGGAAGTGCACGATGTTGTAGCAAGTGAAAGTGAAGGGACAATTTGAATGCTGTATAGAAGGACAATGAAGTAGAGTATATATGCTGTGGGTATCTTATCGTTGACTATCGAAAGTAGCGACAGAAACCAAGGTATTTATAGTGAGGCAAATTCGTTGTGTTTACTCTAGCGGGTAGACTTCTTTGCCGCCAACAAAGTCAATTTTGTTGGCATAATTTTGTTTCACAGCACTTCCGAGCGTAAAATGAGTAATTATATACCAATATTTTCTATTTTTCTTCTTCCGTTGTTGTAGCAACGAAAGCATAGTCAGGATAGTTTTCGCATAAAAAATGTAGCTTCAAATAGACGAACGTCGCTTATCCGCTGTTTATCATGACTCCGTCTTCGGCAGTCATTCCTACCGCCCGCAACACATGCGATCGAACAACTTCCTTAAAACTTGTCAAGCGGTGTCTATAATCATTTATCCAACTATCATCTCCGTCTATGTGCACTGTGAACTGTTTGACAGAAACGAATCGACAATCGAAAAGTGCTTGTTTTGATCCGACAATAACAACTGTATGAAATTCTTTCATTCTTTTGATCGAAAAGAAACGTGCATTACGAAAAGCAAGTGTGAAAATACAAAAATAAGCGTCATAATATAACATTATTGTTTTTACAACAGAGGACGCTTTCTTTGTTCATTAAAGTATGTCATACTTTTCTAAGTTTTCCAATAAATTTCTTTTATTCAACCCATAAAAATTCACGTTTTTATTTATCTCTTCTCTGTGTTAACATTAGTTGCCAAGTAGAGTCTCAACTGAAACCAAAAACAAGTTTGATTGTGATTTATCCCGACGTATTCTTCCCTAAATGCAGAGCAGACTTTCCAAGCAAGGTAATTCAACATATTCGTATTCCAGTCAGCCAAAAGTTGCTCAACGACAACGATTCAAATTTCGACCAACAGTAGTTCCACCTACGTACGTTTTTCTAGAAAACTATCCTCCCGTTCCCATTCGATATTTTCCTTTTAGAAATGAATCGATTTCGGTGGGAAATCTTATGTACGACCGTCGTATCGTTCGTGGAAATACCTATGCTATGCATTCGCTTCCGACAGTAAAATCTGAACTTTCAACCATAAATCCTTTTCCATTATTTAGTTGATCACAGCAAACTCCACTAAATCTAATCACTATTCAACGTCAACAGGAAGCAAAACAACGTGTTGCCGCTCGACGAAAAGCTCGGCAATTCTTTCGAACTGCAACCCCTGAGCCAGTTCAAGATCGTAAGCATATCAATGTGCAAACTGAACTTTATCTCGAAGAACTCACGTAAGTTTCTTTCTCATTCGAAATCGAAATTGCTCATTCTAATTCGAGCACAAACACATCTTCGGAAACAATTTTCAGCTATTAACTGTCTATACCGTCCTTCTCAATGTTTAATTTAGTAACACATTTATATCAAATTATTATCTTCATTTTCTCTCATTAGATTAATGTATTTGAACATAACATGTTGAAATTCTCTTTAGTGACCGAGTTGAAGAGGCAGACGTATTTATTCAAACAGATCGATTTCTCGACCGACCCTCGACACCATTGTACATTCCGCAAGCGACTGGTAGAGATACTGCTACACAGATCGAAACCGGCGATGTAAATCTCATCCATTTTTCCTTTCACTTCATTGACCGTCTGTTTTAGTTATTCAATTTCGATGTGGAAGTCCGACCGCTTGTTGAGGTTCTTACTGGACGAACTGTTGAACAAGCTTTGGTTGAAGTTGCTCAGGAAGAAGAGATGAGAAGAATGCGTGATCAACAACGAGACTACGAAGAGTTGCGTAATGCAGAATTGGTTGAATTACAACGATTTGAAGAACAAGAGAAACGTTTGCGTACGGAAAAAGATCGTCGTATGCAACAAGAAGAAGAAGTACATCGGGCAGAACGTGAAGCTCAAGAGAAAATTGCCGCTCGAGCTTTCTCACGAGCGTATTTACAAGATCTTGTACCAAGTGTATTCAACAATCTGAAAGAAAATGGCTATTTCTACGATCCTGTTGAACGCGGTTCGAATTTTGAAGTTTTCATATACAAATCTAAGCAAAACTCCGATGTTTTTAGAAACGGAAACGTCATTTATACCTTGGTTGATGGATCAAACTATGACCCAAGTAAATCAATTAAATATTAGTCGAACACTGCTCGATTCGACAATTCGAGATGCTGTTAATCAACGTGTGGATCAATATCAACGATTGAACGATTCACTTCAACAAGTAAATCTTGAATATTTCTTCAAACTGAAATATTTCCTATCTTTTGTTCACAGTCAAATCATAATGGTTCCAGACAGAGCAGTCGTCATGGTTCGGAGAAAAACCTTCAACGACAAAAATCGACTTCCAGTGACCACCGAGCATCCAAGGAATGAATTAATCTACTGAATGAACTTTTTTCATGTTTAGAATAAAGAAAAACCAATTTTCATTGATAGTTTTCGTTCGATTCATCGATCAAACGAAGTTTTGTCAATTACGACAAAAAAACATCGTCCCACACACAAGAAAAGTAGATTTTCTGCACGACTAGTTCTTTTCTATTCGACCAACGCCATGCAATTGCGCCCTCTTCGTTGCGCTACAATAATTGGATAAACAGAAATCATGCGACTCTGACATCTTTCTTTCCTTTTCTATTCATAACAACAACCAGTGATTTATTTAGCAGATAAGGAACAGCTATGGCTAATAATAGAAATGAACGGACGCCATCGGAAACGAATGTTCGCATATCATTTCCATACTTAACAAATTTAATTGTTAGTTTACCATTTGTCGGCATGGTGGCAAGTTTTATTACCTCGGTTCTCTTCACCAAAGAGCAAATATTTGAATCCGAGTGTGGATCTCGCAATTTTATTCCATCGTTCTCTTCCGTCATTGGTGTATCACCCGGTAAATACATTTGGCGCATGGCCATTGCATTTCATTGCTTTCCGCGATTCTTAATCGCTTCACTCTATCATAATCAGTTTCGAACAAGTCTATCGAAATTGAAATACAATTCGGGAATGAAATACTTCATTTTAAGACAATTGATTCGATTGAACACGTTCTTTGAATTATGCGAAGTTTTCGGGTTAATTCTTTTGTCTTACATATCATCCAAAGAAGACTATACTCTTCATGAAAAGGCATTTATTATCTTTATGTTGTCGTCAACACTTCGAATGATTACCTGTTTAATTCTCTTTCGACAATTGTTATACAAATGTTGGTTAATTCACGAATTTGATGAGAAGAATAAAAAATTTCGCTTTCAAACATCCTACCAATGGAAGATGCGTTTATTCTGTTCGGCATTTATCTTTTCGCTCCTATTAGTATTTGCTTACATAAGACATACGAGTAAATGCTCGAATAACATTGGTCAACCGTCAACAGCGTGGAGTTATTTTTCCGCCTGTGAATATATTATCTGCTGTTTAATTATGGGCTATCATGCGACAGTAAGTTGACTCGAGAAACTTTTTTTGTCTATCAACGTCGCACTTTCATCCGTAGGTTTGTTGGGATTTCAATCACTTCGAATTGACGATTTATAATAAAACAACGGCCAAATTAAACTATGATTGTGAGAAAGAGAACGATCACGACCGGAAAGACTCTTATATTGTTTCTCGTTAACATTTCACCAGACCTTTTCAAATTCATTTCTGATCTTCCTCGCGTCGTTGATGTGCATTATTTTTCAGCTTTTGTACAACGTTTTTCTTTTCATTAACGCACACTTACCTTGTTTGCTGGATAGTCAAAAAAAGAACTGATCAAGCAATCGCTGATTGAAGTTGAAGTCGTTCTATTGTACCGACTTGACATGTAAGTCAGTTGGTTTTCAAAAGTCAATCATAATTCGATTCCAGCCAGTTTGATCGACAGTGATGAGGAAGACCGACAATTGAAAGAGACTCTTACTTGATCAGATTACACAAAGGAAGAGAAAGAAAAACATGCAAATGAGTATCTTGTCGACGAATAGGAAAAAGCCTGCGTTTGAAGAGAATCCAACATCACCAAATCAAAAGAAATCTTTATAAATAAATAATCAATATCGAGTTTCGATTCGCAAGGAAATCACATTTCTCGTTTTTTTGTTTTATTTAAGATGTAATAAGAAATGTTATATTATAAATAGACTTAAGAATTCTCGTATTCATTGAGTTTAGTTTAGTGTTGTCTTATAATGTTGAATGAATGAGAAAGAGACAGAGAGAGAGAGATAAAGAAGAGAAAGCATGAGATACACAGAACAACAATGTATGTACAACAAACAAAGAAGGAAAGCAATGAACAGAACAGTATAGAGAGACAAAAATCACGGCGGTTCGCATTGTTTTAAAATATGAACAGATCTTGAAGAAACCAGAGCGTATAGACTTTTGTTTGATTCATATTCAGATGTAAAGATTCATCTAGGCTTCCGTATCTTCATGACCACTGTCATGACCTTTGAGGCGTATACGTGCAAATTCTTCGAATATAAAATCATCGTCATGACCAGTATTGTCGAAACTAAATTTCAAAGAATCGATGAATCGGTTTGTTTAAATGAAACAGAGGAAAACAAACTTTGTGTCAAGCTGAATCAAATTATGATCGATGGGGATGTCAACTGCTTGTTGATCGTTCACATTCTGTTGATTGGTAATAAACTCGAGTTGTCGAGATGGTGAAGGTGTTGGTGGAGGTTTAGGATGTGTCAACGTAAATGGTAATTCCACTGCTAAATCTCTGCAAAAGATGCAAATCATCGTATGTAATTAGCAAAGCGTGTCAGTAATGAACAAACCCTCCCATAGCGACAATTAATTTAACTTTCACTTTGTATTGCACGATGATGCCAAGATTTTCCTTTTGTGTTGTACTTCGAATTCTACGATGAAGAGATTACGAACGTCAACGGGTTCATTCGCGAATAAACTTACATAGTTGACGAAGCTAAATTCGTATCTTCGTGCTTCAATTTACCATCCAGAGCAAGACCACGTTTATCTTTGTTGTTTGCCAACAGCGGCGTTAAAGAATACACTTTCGTTAAAGTCGAACAGGGTGTGATTGGAAAGCCTTCGCTGAAAAACATCGAGAGAACAGTTAGCAAATGTTAGCAACTTCGACTTCATAATCAAAAGCAAAAATCAAGCACAGAAGAAACAAAATGCATACTCAGTTTCCAATTCGGCGACAGTACATTTGTAATGAGCATTGGTAAACATACAGATTTCAGCATATTGCTTAACTAGAATATATTTTCAAAGCATACAACATTAAATCGCAACATCGATCAAAGCAACAGTTAAAAAGAGAGAGAGTGAGTGACAAAACATAATAAAATACCGAGCAAATCGAGAAATCAAAATAACCTACCTTGATTCAATAACAGCTACATCACACTTGTACTGTGTTGATGAGTACAAGCAGATTTCAGCATATTGAACAACTACAGATGGGTAATCAGGGATTGAGAGATAGACAAGTTTCATTTTTCAGAAGAAGGAAAGACAGACTACTCAACGCGAAGACCAACATCGTCATCTCAGTCGATCGATTCTTACCTGATATACGAATTTTTCGTAAGGTTTTGCTGGAATTATTTGTAACCACGACATTAACGTTGATACTTTCACCGTGATAATACATCTAGAATCGTTTTATGTAGAAGACCAGTCAATCGAAGGGCAGTTTCAAAATGTTCTACCTCTTTATCTAGTGTGCACTCAAGGTGGAGTGGTGCTGGTGACATCATGAAGTCCTTATGTGCTTCGATGACAGGCTGAGGGGCAGGAGTTTCCGGGGCATAAGTTAATTTTCTTATTGCTAAGCGAACTGAACTTCGTTTATGAGATTTATCTTCACTTGTCTCAGCGACATAAGTTTTTAGTTCATAATCCACACCACATGGCTTGCCTGTATCACCAGCAGCTGGTTGTAACGTAACAGATGCAGGCGCGCTTTGTGGAATCTAAGTACGGAGCATAGATGGAGAGGTTTTTTTTTATAAGGAAGTCTCACTTCAAAGTAGAATGGATACGCATTGGGTCCCAATTTCCGTAGGAGCCGCTGTTGTAAATGGGTTAGAGGTTTCTTCTGATCATCAATAGGAGGATAGATTTGTTGAGTAGAGCAGAATAAATCTTTTCGAAATGTTAGACCAAGAACATCGAGATCTTCTCGACCATAGCGAAATGCTATATTAAGAAAGAAACAAATCATGTGTACTCCAGTCGAACGAATATTTTCATTGTACCTGCTAAGACACATGCATATACTTTACGATCTTTGATATATTCCGGATCGACTAGAACGACGCCATCTAAAATAAACAGATTGCTCTAGCATAAAATCCTTTTTTCAAGAATGTAAACATACCGATCGGATCGATATGATCCGAATAGTCGATAAAATCTCGTTTTCCAAGGTAGCATGTTATCTAAATAAAGGACGAGCTAGATCTTCGAAAGAATTCGTCTTCCATTCATACCTTCGAATTGGGACTACTCTTTTTGAACACTCTAAAAAAACAAAGAGAAAAGATTAATCAATCGAAGATTAACACGATCGGAGGTTGATGATAAGATGCAGAAGTCCTTCAGACATGATATGTCTTATTTCATCTATCAATCAATCATTCGATCTATCTAAACGCATCAATTGAAAAGGCACTGCTAATAGAAGTCAGAAAACAGCTTTTTCTCTTTTGACAAGAAATACGATGACAATCAAAGAAGCAAAAGAAGAAGAACATTCGTCGCAGTTTTCCGGATGAATGAAAGATAATGTTTTTGTTTCAGCCAAAAACTATATTCTCCGAAGGATTATCTTTAACCATGAATCTTATCAGAAAATGAGACATTTTGCTCCAACTTCCGTTACATGAGAAACTAAAGGTTAAAAAGAATATAATGAAATGTTTACAGTTACTTTGCACAGGAGAAGAAAAAGATCTCCTGCAGTTATTCAAAGGTTTTTATTATTAAAACGGATGTACACACCCACAAGGATAGTATTCTCTCATGAACGTTTGCAAAGAAAGATCCAATCGTCGAAAGAAAAAAAATCACTTGTTACTTTATATTCAAAGGATTTGTAAAAACGAAACGTTCGAGTGAAATATTATCTTTCCATTCTCAGATTCTTTGATCTCTGCCGAATGTCGGCTTAGCAATGTACCTGAGCAAATTCTTTGACGAAACTGTGGAAAAACGGCCCAAAAAAGCAATAAATCATCTTGATCTTACTTACGGTTTCATAAGATGTTAAATGGCGAAATAATCATGGTTAAATATGATTGAATGCGACAAGAGCAAATGGATCGGGCGACTAATGACTATACGTGCACTTTCAACTCATTCTTCTTGTTTCTGAAACATATCGTAGTCACTAAGATGATGCATCGATGTCCTCTTTACCGCTGCTTCTCATATCAACTTGACGCTATTTCTCATTCTTTTGCTTTTTTTTATGATTCTCTCCAACGCTTGGTTTCTTCTTTTTCTCTGTTCTTTCAAGGCTGCTTGGTGCGAGACGAGAAACGGAACCGAAGAACGTTGAAAGCAAAAACAGCCATGGCAGCGGAAGGACCGTTTCTGAGAAGGAAAAGAAAGGATGATGGTGGTGCTACTCATGCTATCATTTTTGTAATTAAAATGCCTTCGGAGCAAAACGAAAAACAAAAGCTAAACCTTAATATATCAATTTACAGGAAAAACTTCCATTGTCATGGTTAAGAGTCAATCAGCGAATGGGAGTTCCGAGCGAGAATCGAACACGTACCTTGTTCCTTGTTTCTTCGAATCGTCTAAACTTAAATCAAGAGCACCGTTGCCATTTGTTTGTTGTTGTGCCATATTCAATCGAAATATTGCTCATTAAAAGTACATCATTAGGCTTTTATATATACAATCTAAAGCACAAAAGACAAAAAAAAATCGAGTCGATTTTAATTGAATAAATATGGCTAGCGTGCTTCTTTGGCTTGTCAATCAAGCAAATAAAGAGAAACATTGTTTTGAATAGCAATCCGATCAAATTTTCATTTGTTGGGGATATATAAACAGAAAATGCATTTGTGATTCTATGAAAGGACGACGCATAGATAGGATTGTATAGCACAAAGAAAATCTGTAAGCAATGACATTCTACTTTTACCTCATTTGTTTATTTATTCGCCATCAACGACAGACATTCACTCTCATTGTATTACATTGTTAGAACGGAGTACATCGTCATCCAGCGACATCTATTGAACTATCGAATATCGGCAAAAGGAAACAGAATGATGTACAGAACAATTAAGACTTTATTATATAGAGAACGATAACATATCTACGGCTAGGCTTCAGTTAGTTTATCATCTCTATTGAAGAGAGTTTCTGCTTCTGAGTATGCTTTTCGGACATTTTCGTAAGTAGCGATAAATGGCATGTCGTTGTCTTTCGCACTATTGTTCATTTCCATGATTAATTTCTGCACGAACTGATGAAGTTCTCGTGGTGTCTGGAGGTGATTAATGATCTCAGTGATGTTTGGATCGTGGTAATTGACCAGTGCTGCAAAATCTGTAAATTCTCGACACCGATCTGTTGAAGCATTCTCGTTCATCTCCTGTAAGACAGCATCAGCGTAATTCATCAATGCGTTAGTATCCCATTGTATTCGATGCGTCGGAAATTTGTCACTTCGAACGATTGCATCTTGAAAGTTAGTGGCGTTAATTTGAGGATAGAATAGAGCTAAATAAAAATGCTGGGCTAGTACCAGTGACTGAATCTTATGCGAAACAGAAGAACGAAAGAACAATTCTAACGCTTTTCTGCTCTCGGTGTTTTTCTGTAAAAAGTAGTGACTTTCGTCGATTCCATCGACTATCACTACCACGGATTTCCTGAGGAGCTTGTTCAAGATCTCCAATATCCACGTGAAGTGTGTAAATACATTTCCAGACATTGTTCTTCGCTCTACCAAGTTGACAAACTCCTCGCCTTCTGTCACGACTATTAACAAGTGAAGTTTCTCGTAAATTTTACTCAGTATAGTAAATTTGTTTAACTCATCTTTGAGATGCTTGAATAACGGCTTCTCATAATAGACATTTTGCTGAATATATTGAAGAACAACATCGCTTGCACTGTATTTTTCGGACGACGGCTTCTCTAAAAGATAATTCACAAACATTTCCAACTTCTTTAGATCTTCTCCATTATAATAATAACATAAAATCGTAATCAATTCTATCTTCTCATCCAATAACACATCTGACAGATAGAATTTTTCTTGTTCGTACTCATCAACAAGCTGTGTGACCAGCAAAGACAGTATCATTTGCCCGAATTCATCAGTTGACCAGTTCACTAAACAGTTCGAACCTTGACATTCCGTTTTTCGAGAGATTTCGAATTGTACGAATCTATCTAAGTACTTGTTCAAGTCTTGATTCAAAATAAGTAGTTTGAAATAATCAGCGGATGATAAGGATTTCAAATATTCACATCGCAATGACGTTTTTCCGGTGCCAAACTTTGACAAGATAATGAACGAACTTGCTGGTTGATCTGATTTAAGAACTGCTGGTGGAAAAAGAGACTTGACGACGATTTTCGAATCGCAAGCGTCATTTGTTAGACTCGTGAAATGATTTCCTGAGTTAGATAGACCATAGAACCTATTGAAATCTCTATTTTTCGCGAGATCCATGTTACAAGTTTCAGATTGAGTCACTCGTGGCAGACGCCATTCGAAACCGCGATTGTTAAGAGTATCACGCAGAAGATAAGAAACAGCAACAGCAAAAGCAACTCCTAATATCGCCTTAGTTGCAATTTGACTGGCTGTACTTGTTGTTCGTTCTACTACGACTGATTTTCCGTTTTGTCGTTCGATTGGAGCAGGCTTTAGAAAATACTTTTTTTCAACTAATGGAATACGTAGGGTTACTGTACGATGATAAGTCTTCTTGGGCACTTTTGTTACAGTTTGTTTCGTTGCCCCTGTTCTGCTGATTGCTGGGTTTTGTTGTGAATCAAGAACCCAAGTGTTGTGATCCCTTAATTTCGATGACATACGCGACATTCGATCGCTATATGTGTTGAATTTCCAATATTATTAGTGTTTCTAAATAGTCACACAAATAGGAGTCATTTTTGATAACTTGTTCGATAAAATACACGAAACCTTTTCTAAGCTAAATCTTACACTCTGTCATAAGAAAACCTGCCTTAAACATAATTTACCTTCCTCTTCTCAATAGAGAGTTATAGTTGGTCTGACATAACCAACAGGCAAGAAAAAGGAGTTCGATGTGGAGCGTGCAACACCCTCAAGATGGTCGCCTATGAGACGATAACATGTACAGAACGGATAAATATAAAGGGAAAAAACCTCAAACACGAGGACGACTAACATCACTTCGTGCGAAGCTCATCGTTAGTGAAAAATGACAGAGTTTTTTTTCCAACATCGATAAGAAACAAGTGCGAGTGTTGCAAAGATAAGTTAAGGGAAATGTGTCAACATTGTTTTCGCTCATTGCACGAAATGTGAAGCGCATGAAAAGTGATTATTGTTCTAGAAAAAAATGATGCATTTTTATTTGACTTTTCATCGTATTACATGTGAACAAAGTCTGTTGTGAATGCATAAATCGGGGTGGATTCATGGTTCGTTCAGTACACATATATTTGATTCTTAACTATCATTAAATAAAGATAGAGGCCCAATGAATGAAACTACTGTACACCGAGAGAACAACAACATCGTTAAATATACACGAAAAAGAGAAGAAGAATCGAAAAGAATCATTCACAGATCAACTAGTGTTGAAATCGAACGATTTTTGAGATCATCTGGTGAGGTTGAAACGAGCGTAGAAGTAGAACTAGATCCATAGAGAATGGAGTCGAATTGCTGAATTTTAATTACACCGACGCCACCACCTAGCCGACGATAGTTCATTCCACCATGTAATTTCCAACTATTCGATTCACTATCGTACAATTCAACACTTTTCAAGTAAGCAGCGCCCTAATGGAAAGAAAAGAAGCATGTTAGAAAAGAGAACAAAAATTGAAATGAACTTTACATCGAATCCTCCGATGGCCATCAGATGATTGTTAACAACGGCTAAACCAACCTAATGAAAAACAGTTCATCAAAATTCTATAGATCTTTAACCAAGAAAAAACTTACTCCACTTCGCCTTGAATTCATCGCAACAACAGGTGTCCATTGATTTGTCTTGGGATTGAATCTCTCTGCAGTGGACAACTCTGTTGCATCATCTCGTCCTCCTACAGCATAGATATAACTATTATATACAGCACAACCCAGATGTTTTCGCCGCGTATTCATCGATGCTACTGATGACCATTTATTCGCTTTGGGATCATATCTTTCCACTATATACACAAGAAGATTTTTAGAATTGGTTCACTTTCAAACGATTATATCTACCTGTACTCAACGGGCATTGTCCATCTGATCCTCCAATTGCATAGAGATATCCATCGAGAACAGCAACAGCAACACCTAAACGTTTTGTGCCCATTGACGCCACGCGAATCCATCGTTGCACTGATGGATCATATCTAAGAAAGCAAAACATTTACTTTTTCGTTTAATCGTTTGAATTGCTTCCGTCCTTACTTTTCTACTAGGTTTAGACAAGAGATTCCATCTTGTCCGCCAACAGCAAAAAGACAACCATCAAGAACAGCCACGCCAACACTAGTTCGGCAAGAACTAGTCGGTGCGATTTCATTACTCCATTGATTTGTTTGAGGATCGAAACTAAATTCAACGATAAAAGCACGCCCTTCAAATATATCATTCATTGACTTTCGCTTTTTTTTTCTCTTACCGTTCGACACTGTTCAAATAACTCACGCCATCATGACCACCAACAGCATATAAAAGATTATTTAACACACCAACTCCAACACCACATCGACGCTTGGACATCGGTGCTACAGCTCGCCATTCATTTGTTGTAGGATCAAACATTTCTACACTGGCTATTGCATCACCCGAACACCAGCCGCCGACTAAATTCGAATAAATGAATTGCAATCAATGAAAAAAAAAGACTAAACAAACCAGCAAATAGAACTTCGCCGGACCGAATGGGTTTTCTGGATCTGGTTCGTGGTCCTTGCATATTCAATCGTTCTTGTGGCAATAAGAGATAATCTTTAGCTTCATCAACTAAATCTCGGCATGCTTGATCGGAACGTATCAATGGATCTGAACTAACTGTTGTGACAAGAAATCGTGCATTCATTAATGGAAATCGGACATGTTCTAAGATCTAAAAGATTCCGAGCAATGATTTTTCATGCGACAAACATTAGTAGATCTTTACTTTAGGTAAATATTGTTTTCGCTGTTGTAAATCACATGATACCCATTGCATAACAGCATTGAAAACATCTTCTTCACAAGTCATATTCAGTTCGTCACTTGAAATGATATCAATCAATTGATTGATCGGTAAACAGAGGAATTCTTCACTTTCTTTCACATCAGTAAAATGTTGTTGAGCGTAACGATCGGCAATGCGTAGAAGTTCTCGACATGAATGTGTGTCAGCAAACGCGCGAATACCTAAACAGTTGGTCGGATCCAGTTGTTTTTGAAGGAACTCACAGCAGGTAATCTGAACTTCTTCAATCTAAATAGAAGAGTAACTTGAATGTACTAGGAATAGCAAGAGATGCAATGAAATGATAGCCTAGTATTTCGATGGCATGGTTTGATAATGAAAATGAAGCGTTTGATTTGAAGGAAAAGAACAGAGAGAAACGAAAAAGGGACCTTTGATTTTTGTCAAGGATGCACATGTAACTTTTGATGAGAAATATGTAACAGGTTATTAATCAAAGTTACTCATTTTTCTACGAAAAGAAAACTTGAAAAGTGCAAATGATTTCTGCAAAACAACATAACAATCAATCCGATATATTTTTCTTGTAAAGAGACACCGAGAAAAAGCAAACGAAAGTCTCTCGAGATACAAGAAAAACATCATGATCCTCTTACTTGAAGAATACATGCAGCTGGTAGTAACATTTGAACATTCTTCTCATCGACGATAATTCTCGATGTATAACAAAATTCGATCAACAATTCCATGGCGTATTCGTCGACGTCATGAATGACGATTTCGGTCTGTCGGCTTTCGGCCAATTCACCAGTAAACATTGCTTTGAAGTATGGACTACATGCTAAAAAGAAGTGTACATTCGCTCGCTGACCAACTGATTGTTTACTGGACATTCCTTACCAGAAAGTACAGCACGATGCGCCGGAATTTGACTTTGTCCAATGGTTAGAATGACATCACATAATTCTTTTTGTTTGCGTAATAGATTGAGATTTTCGATCAAGAACTTCGCGTGCTTGTCGGAGATCTTTATCAGTTTATTGTTACATGGTGAGCAGTCTTTGAGCATATCAATTGTTGTAGTACTTTGATTTTCATGTTGAATTGTACTGAAGGAGGAAAAAAGACAGTGAGAACCGACTGAGAGTGAAAAACAAACGTTACATACCAAATTCTGCTCGATAGCGAAGGCGATTGAGTTGTATCCATCTTCTCCATCAGGATTGATTCTGTTTTGACAAACAAGATGAATGAATGAAAGAAGGACCAAGTTTGTTTTGATCGATCATAGCGACATAGACAACGAAGAGGACACAGCAAAGATTTCTATTGGCTACGCATGAAACGAGGAATATGAACGAAGAAGGAGGAAAGAAAAGAGAAGGAAAATTGCTGGCTGACGACATATGATGTGATATTTTTGAATATTCGCGGAACAGCAAGACGATTAAATAATTATTTCCTCGCACATATATGATGATAGACAATCTCATCTGGGAAATACAATCAGTATCATGATTTTGTCGGATAAGATCAAAATACCGTCTGGATTTGACGCATGTTTGTTTAATGATACTCGCCTCCGCGTCACAGATGAGTTGTGTTTACACGTTTTGTCGTTCTCGCTGCTTTGTTGACAATAAAAGAAGGATAGTAATGTGTATTTTAGTTGAGTAAAATCAACCGCGTTTGTACAGTTTTAGATACGATGCGTTACTTGAACTTAATGATATATTTCAGTTTCTTGTTAATGACTTTGCTGGTAACTTGTTCCGGACGGTCTATCAGAGAACACTTGATTCGCGAGTATATGACTCATTTATGTTCAACTGAACTTGATCAATCGATAATATTTCGCATGCAGATGAGATGGTTATACAAAGTATTCGAATAGTTTCTGTGCCATTTTCGTTTATTTGATCGTAATTCTTTTCGACGCGTGTAAGAATAATGAGCGTTCGATTGTTTCTAATATATGAACAAGAATGTATGAAGATTTAGTTGTATCCTATGCGTTGATTATACACCTTTTGTCATGAATACTTATCTATAATTGTCGTTGAAATAAGTGAATGGTGACCAATCATTTGTGTTATTCAACAACCTGCTCACGACAAGAGAACATGGCATCGTAGAGAATGAAATCTGTGTAGAGAAAGGTACTGAAATAAACGATGATAGGAGAAAATGCAGAATACTCCTGATACTGAATGATCTCAAGTCATACGAGAGTTTTTCTTGTTAAACGAAATATTTGAATGTGAAAGAAAAACATCAGTTCATTTATCATGTATTTCTTTTCTTACAAAGATTTGCTCATAATTCAATGTGTCTTTAGGCGAATATCAGAACAGTTTTTCATCATAATTATGTGAATATAACACGATATACTAAAGCAATATGTATTTCGCAACGGATAGAACATCGTTACAATAGTCGAATTGCACAGTTTGTCTTTTTCGATGGATTCATTTGTGATTTAGTCTTAAACGAAAGTGCATAGCAAACAGTAGACATTCGAATTAAAGGTAACAAATGAACAGTGCGTTGCGAGTTCGAGTTATTCAATGACGCTTCAGTATGGACTATATGAGCGAGATCAATACGTCATCAATGAGTACACAAAATATAGAAATGAGTGTCTCTTCATATTTGATTATTCATATGTTACGTGGTCATGCATGGTCTTTCAATGTCAAACATCTCACTCACTCTCAATCCTATCGTAGAATAGTTCATACGATAGTTCATTCAATGATTATTTCATCTTAGGTGCACTAGTCTCAATAGAATTCGAGGTTCAAGTGAGAGAAATAAGTAACCCGGTGTTCGTGTTCAATAATGTACAAATATGATTTCATGGCAAGATTTTCTCCGTATGGCTCTGAAATGATCAGATGTCAAATGAAATATTCGAATGGAATCAGGTGGTCTGACAAATTCTACTATAGCCCACGATCGAATTTTCTGTTCGACTAGTGGCTGGATAATTCACAATGTAATATATTTGAACAGAAACAAAAACAAGATTTTCATTTGACTTAGGATTTTGAACACATCAATACACCTTGAATATAATAATCGATTGAGTGCAATAGTTGTATAGATCTTCGTAGTACATATTCAATTGCCATATCATCTTGGATATCAAGTTTCATTATTCATTCGGATTCACAAGATCATTCCAATCAAGAATTCATGCCTCTTGTCATTCAGTCACTTGCGATCTGATGGCAGGTTGTGTTTATCAACAAGAAGTAAATATTTTGTCCATGGAGATATTCGAACCGGACTATCGTATGTTATATATTTTTCTGCTTGGGTAAATGTATGCTATTTCACTCTTGTCATTTACAGCTGGTGCAACGTATGCAGGTACTGGTGATGTCGGTGCAACGGATTCAATAGACATTCAAGTTTAGAACTTCTCAAGAAGCAGGAGTATGAGTAGTCTGTAAGTGAGGATATTTGAATACAACCTCATATCAATGTTTTATCGATATATAATTGTCAGATTATTTGGATCGGAAGCATATTGAAGTCTTAGCGAGAGAAATATTCGAATAGAATAGTAATAGTGATTGTTCATAAGTGATATATTGCTAAGTTAATGATAATACACTGCACTAGTCAGAAAAGGAAATGATATACGGAGATAGTTCTCTGTTGTGTGTAATTCATCTCTGATTTGGTTGTGTATTCTGAGAGTTGATATTAACTGAAAACGGTACCAGATAGAATAATCGAAGACATTGATGGGAGTTATTCATATATTGAAGGATCTTACTATTGGAAGATAATGTGAATTTTAGATACTGAGGAGAACGGTAGGGGAAGAAAGTTATCTTCGGAATGATTCATCAATCTTCACATATGCATCCATTTTATCATCAGTATATTTATCAAATTTTTCGAAAAGTGTATTGGAACAAAGTCATAATGTAAGAAGTTCATCTGTTGTTGAGCTTGACCTTTTATGTAGTAATCATTTGACGTTGGTTTATTTCGTGAAATATCGGAACAAGGAAAGGAATCATTTGTTCATATGTGACGTAGTCTAGTAGTATGTCGAAAGTAAAACATTCAATCGAAAACGATTTCGAATAATCGAATGAGCTATTTTATGAGCAGTCCAATAGACATGTTATGCGATGAGTTGCCTTGTTAGACTAACTTTTCAAAACTTATTGAAACATATATATGAACAAATTGATGAAGAGATCGATAGAAAGTAGGTCGTGTCAGATGGATCGAGAAGATTCTACATATTCTTTGTTTTTTGTTTAGACACAATTTTCTTGAGTGAATTACGTGGACAATCTCAATGACCAAACTGATTTTCATTACTTCGCTTTCATATTCTTAATTTTTTTTTTCTTCGAATAAAACTAAATAGCGTGGCTCAACACAATAAACTTATTTGTATACATAAATATCGATACGCTCAATCAAGCGTGAGATTTTCACTTGAGTCGTTATCGAATAGTAGGAAAATACTCTAAATTAAACGCGCTTCATAAAATTTGACAGTTCATATGAATGATAACATTTCGATAAAAGACTATTTTGCCAATCGTTATTGTATCAAATACAATTATACATCTCGTTTATTCCAATTCAATGAGCAATCCGATCAGCTTGTTTTAAATGATAAATTAAGATTGGTAATATCTCTTGATTCGCTCGATTCTCTCGACAATCAATATCAGACAGCAAGATTTCAAACATTTCCTCTCTATTTTCTAATTGTACGTTGAACTTCCGTTGAATCATGTCACGTTTTCTTACAGATACTATAGACATGTACAGTTACGTATCTGATCGTATGTATAACTCTTCTTCTCAAAACCTGGTACGTATTTATCTTCATTTGTTATCTTTTTGTTGATTATTTCTGTGTTGCAGCATTAAAAAACCATGTACTGAATGACACAAAACGTTTTCTACTTTCTTTATAGCTCTCGTATTGACATAAGATACCTGAACGAATCGCCAGATTTTTCTACGTAAAAAACAGTCGATGAAAACGATGCAACATAGGTTTTACTTTTTCAAAACTAAAGTAGAAATTTTGTTAATGTATGTGATGAGTCTGCTATCTCCATAATCGTTTATAACTGATAAGAATAGAGTATAAGTTGAGTAAGCAACACTTTGAAGGTGTGAGATTTCGTTTTTGGATACAATGACATTTGGCATACGGAATATTGTTGGAATTCATCGATTACACCATGGTGAAAAGAATTACTCGACTCCACTTATATTCAAAACGTATTCACAATGGTCATATTGGCAACGAAAAGCGTTTGATTATCTAATTTGGTGTCATTTAGCTCATGTATTAGATTTCAGTGCGGCATTACTCTGTTGGTTGTGGATATTTCCTGTGACATTTCCTGACGCACATCAGTGGCATTGGAAATGGGTCTTTCGAGTTTTTCTTTACAATTTAGCCTGTGAGTTTACTCTCTATTCATTCTGGCATTGGATGACATATTCACGAACGAGCCCGTATGCACAAGGGCCATTAAAAGAAAAGAAATATAATCCTACCAATCAATATGAACAAAAAGATCAGAATAATCTACTTCGTGAAGTCACATACACCACCCTCGGATGGTTACAATCAGCATTGGTTCAATGTGTTTTTATGTGGCTGTGGGCCAGTGGTCGACTACCGTACTATAGCAATTTTTGGTCTCGGCCATTGTTTTCAATTTTCATTCTATTAGCAGTCACTTTCTGGAGAGAACTTCATTTCTATTGGGTATATGAAACTAATTCGTATATTGAATCTTCTCAGATAGAATACGTGATCTTATAGGTTCATCGATTGATGCATCCATGGTGGTCGGTTAGTAATGGCTTACAACAAGGCGATGTTGGTGCATTTCTCTATCGCCATTTTCATAGTCTTCATCATCGCAGTCGCAATCCGGGTCCATGGTCTGGCTTGTCGATGCATCCGGTTGAGCATTTTGTTTATTATACCTGTGCATATTTTCCATTACTTTTCACATGTCATCCGCTACATTTTCTCTATGCTAAATTTCATGCTGATATCGCGCCGATAGGTGGTCATGATGGTTTCGATGATCCAGCCGGTGGCGCAGATTTTCATTACCTTCATCATGCTTTCTTCGAATGTAACTATGGTGTACCATTACTTGATTTCGATCGATTGTTTGGTACATATAAAGAGTACGTAAGAAAACCGTCGCCAGCACCTGAAAACGAGAAACTCAATTAATTTCGATAATTATATTTACTATAATTGTCTTGTGATTTTTTTTTCTGTCTAATAAAAGGTAGCTAGCGATATCTATCGTCATGTTCTTCGATCGTTCTATGGATCTGGCAAATCATTTCATGTGCAATTGAGATTCTCATTTCATCATCATATCAACAGTTCTATTTTCAAGATGCTCGCCTTTGCTGCTCGTCGAATTGCTTACACATTGTCTTCTCGTATCGGTCAAGTCTTAGTAACATCTCTTTCACGTACGCCGATGACTCTGGTTCGACCACTATCGTTAACTCCGGTCTCCCATAATTTTCCGAATATGCAACAAATGATGGACGAACTATCGAAAAATCCGAAAGCAATGGCACTTTTTCAAGCAATCAAAAAGGATCCGAAGATTATGCATGCAGTACAAGACTTAATTGAAACAATGAGCCGAAAAGGTTACATTGATTTGAAAAATCCTACCAAACAACCAAGTATACGCCTATGATTCGCTTTTTATCCTCAATATCTTGTTGCTTTTCCGTTGTTCACAGGTCTTGCCATGCTTGCTGACAATGAAATTCGTACGAAATTGTTTGAATTAGTGAGATTATTAGCTGCTGCTGGTGTATTCGATACAAAAGCTGGCGCCAATCCACTGGAAGCATTTTCTAATGTGATAGGTCTTTTGATGCCTTCGTCGTCAAAAGACAAGGGGAAGGATCGTTTAGCCGATGGAAAACAGTCTTCTTCTTCTTCGGCACCAAAATATGAGTTCACATACGATGCCACAGGAAAAGAGAAGAAAGTTCAATCAACTGAAGACACTGCAAGAGCATGGGCAGACAAATTCAAGAAAATGTTCAAATAAGCCTCATGTTTTGTTAATACGAATAAAATCTCACCGACATAGCGGCATAGTTAAGTGAAATTGAAACAATTTTATTACGATGGATTTCGCTCGTAAATGAACAAAATGAAGGAAAGAAAATTGTCATAAAACTCATAGGCAGCTTGAAGACGAGAAATTGAAAGAAAACACGAGTTAGTAGGGTGTCTATACACACCAATTGTGAGCGTGTGATATATATATATGTGTGCGACGAGTAAATAAGAATGATTTTAAAGAAAGCAAGTAACGAACGCGAAAAAAAATAAATATATATGTCTATGTATATAAGTCTTGAATGTCATTGTGCAGTTTGGAATCAGTCTCGAAAATGTTTATTGCATTTTCGATCGTTCTAATTTTGTATTGACGATTTCATCCTCGCTATCTAATGCTTGCAAGGCTTGATCAGCCATCGATGTCGGAATATTATCTTCAACCCATGTTAAAGCGTCTTCAACGGCGCCGTTACCAGTGGCACTACCTGATACATTGGCTTCACGGTTTAATAATGTTTGTTGTTGTTTTTTTGTTTTCGGTGCAGCACCATTTTCCATATTTGATGCTTTACGCATGACGATGGAATCAAACACTGCTGATTCTGAAAGAGAAAAGTGATGTCAAGGAAAAAAACAGATTGAAAAGTATTCGACTTACCGCCTTTTTCTTCGTCTTCATCATCGAATTCATCATCATCGTTATCCGATTGATCAAGTAAAGGAACGAAGGCATATCGTTGGTTGTTATTTGATGGCCGGAACAAAAACATGATTACAAGAAGAATTAATGAAAACAAAATATGCCAAAATGCGTCATCAACCTGAAAGATAATCATTCGTAGTCAGTCACATTCATAACGAGTGTTTTTTCAATTCCTTACCCAAAATTCTCGCCAATTTTTGACACAACCTGTGAAGAAATGTGACTTCAGCGACCAGATCATAAATAACAAACTGGCAACAATTGCGAAGATCAACGTGTTGGTGAAATGTCGATAAACATTCAATTTGACAATATTTTTTCTTAAACGCAATGTTCGCGTCGTTGCAACCAAACTTGTAAATATCCAATAATAAATAGTTGCATCAATAACAGCTAATGGAATACGTGAAATAACAACTTTATTGTTTGCTTCGTCATTCTTCGTATTAATACGAAGGATGGCTTCAGTTGTCGCAATGCCGAAATAAAGTAAACCCATGCCAAAAACTTTTTGTTTTAGAGGACCAAGACGTGGTTTAACAATGCCATAACCAAGTGCAACGATGATAACCAACATACGTGAGACAGTGCGTTTTAAACACGAAAGAACTTCAGCTGTAACGATAGCGACGTGAACTTTATATCTAAAAGTGGAACAAAACAACTATGAAAGCATTTAGATCGGAATTGTTCATACTTACCCTTGTCGATTAACGATGTCATATTCGGCAATAAACGCTGATTTTTCAATGATACCGAGAAGAATCACACCGGCTATCCAGAACTGTATTTTAAGTAGTTCTTTCCAATAGAATGCACACCAGATACACCAGAGAATAGCAAATAATCCATAAATACCGCACATGACACCGTAGAAAACTAGTGCCGGATATTCATCTGCAGTTATATAGCCACCATGACGGTTCTTCATCTCTACAATCACATCGACGTCAAGTCCAGGAACGTTGCCATCAGGAAAGGAGGGTTCATCGATTTCGATGAAGTAATATCCATCTTCCCATGTTCGTAGCTTTTTGTCGGTTTGTTTACTTAAAGCTGATGCCAACGGACTTTTCTTTCCCTCTTTACTTGTGTCATCAGCACGACGCACTATTTTATCTTGAAAAGAAAAATCAAAATAGTAAAAACAAAGATTTCTGAAAACCAGTTTTACTCGGTTGATCTTGCTGTTGTTGTGCGAGAAGCTTTTGTCTCAGTTCGAACGCTTTTTCAGGCGAAATTTTCGGTCCAGTCATAGGTGCATACTCATCAACGAACAATTCGCCGTCATATTCACAAAAAGCTGGCTCCATAGCAAAGTTGCGAATTTCCATTTCATTCCATAAATTTTCGTAGATCTTTTGGAACATCGAAGTAGCATCGACTGCATCTTTAGACGATGTTTTGCTTGCTGTGAGGAACGATTCCGATTGTAATGGCAGACAGCCAACAATTCGGCCGATTTTGCCACGTATTAGAACCTTGGTTTTATCATAGTTTTTATTCAAACTTTTTCTGATCTGTGCTTGAGTTTGATTGGTATTTGTGGACTGCTCGCGACACAAAAGACGCAATAAAATCTGAGTATCACTTGAGAGAAAACGATCGACGACAGGAGATATGCCAGCACGTGTCCATGAGAGTGTGACTATGCCATCAACAAGAGTTGCTGCCGTGTATTTGATATAACAACAGATCAGCAAAGAAATTAGCAAACTTAATTTCATAATGATTTTCTAAAAGAGAAGACGTTCAAAGTTAACATTAGTCAGGAAATGTTTAACTATCTACGTACATTTTTCGTCTTCGGATGAATGAGTTAGGAAGAATGAAATGAAAAAAAAAACTATGACTCAAAAATTGTCTTCGTGTTATTTTGAAGGAATGAGAAAAGGAGAAGAAACAAATACTTAAATTTGTGCAATATTTATTCAAGACAAAGACAAGTTTTTCCACGCTGAAGCTCAAGCAGACGTGTCTTAAAACAAACTTCTAATGGAATTTTTTTTAAAGGCTAAGTCATGCTATTTGATTGGTTGACACAATCAGCCAATAGAAAATTTAAGTGTTTTGCTTTTTTTTTCGTAATGGAGACAAGACAAGCGCAGATGAAGATAAAGAAATGACGATCGAAATGTGTTGTAGTAGTAGCTGAGTACATCGAAAGAAATTGAAATAAAATAAAAAATCATACCTATATGTACTATCTATGATCAAGTGCATTGAATACAAGTCTTGTGTAAAGCTATAAATGCTAGTGCGTGTTAACGATCGTTTACGACCGCACTTCATTCCAATAGTAATTGCAATTATATGATATTTTCATCTGTTTTGTTCTCTCGAAAAACTTTCGAGATTAATTTCAATAAGAAATGAAAGAAAAACCTTTCTAATTCCCTGTTTCTGCTTGTATGTCTATCTATGACTTTGCATGACTTCGAAATGCTCTTGTTACTGCCTTCGGAGTATATTGTTTTATGAAAATGATACTTCGTATCGAAGAACTTGTGTTCATTTACACAGCTATGGACCAATAGATCAGAAACATCTTTTTCGGATATGTAATATCAGTATATATACACTAACAGTGTTTGTGATCGTGAAATTCTACTGGTTTTAATTTTTCGTTTGCTATTTAAACCTGTCTATCGACTATTCGTTTAATACGAGTTCACTACAAGTTGCTTTGAGCGAAAGTAATAGAAAATATATCGAATGAATGGTCTCATGTCAACATTCGTCAGCTACACGTGACACAATTATCGCAAGAAAAACGAAAAATCACATGGTGGTTGCCATCACCAGCGAAATTCCATACTTCGACTGATCGATGCCGTCTTAAAGACTACGTGTTTCGTTCTTCTCCTTGGATAGTGCTGTAAATTACAACAAATATATATATTTTTTTTTGGATGAAAGAGGTATATTTGTACTGCTTGATTCGTCGATAGAAATTGGCCAATAAAACTGGGAGGTCGTATACACTCATTGCACTGAGTGTCGTTGCCGTTATTATTGTTTATTTGCTGTCCTATTCGTTTTTCAGATTGTTGTTTATACATTTCGAAAACTCTAGATAAAAAATTCAATTTAAAGACAACCAAGAATGAGTAATTTTCTACGACAAGTCAAAATAACTCAACCGCAACTAGCCACTTTTTTGCAACACCAATGTCGAGCTGAAGCTTCAACAGCATCAAGTACTGGTGTTACCCAGAGCGGCTCAATTGTTTTAGATAATCGCAAAGCGCCGCCACCATTGGATGCCGACCGCATGCGCATGCATCCGCGTATTGGCAACCGTGAAATAGTTGGATATGGTTTGAAGGGTAAACCCGAATATTTCGATTTGGCGATGTTTCCTTGTCCAAGTATTCGTTGGGAAGCGGACACTGCTGAAATAACTGCATTAAGAAAGAAAGAACAAGGTGACTGGAAACAATTATCCGTCGACGAGAAGAAACGATGTAATTAATGACAACATGATTGTTTTCACAACTAAGATACATTCTGTTTATTTAAGTATATCGAGCAAGTTTCCGGCAAACATTCGAAGAATTTTGTGCACCAAGTGGTGTGTGGAAATGGGCGATCGGATGGACACTTATTGGAATTGCCGGTTTGACTTTCGCTTACGATGGATGGCGACGTATTTGTGCGTATCTTTTACATTTAATCGATTGTTTTACATGATCTTGATGGGAACTTTGCATGTGTCTAGGTTACCGTTTTGATAAGCCAGATAGTATGGCAGACGAGAAGTTGAAACGCCAATTGGAATTTCATATTGCTGCTCGTCAAGGTCCTATGACTGGACTAGCATCCAAATGGGATTATGAAACCGGTTAGTCTCCGCTCGACGATTGCTATTCTCTTCATATTAACGCTGTTGTATGCGTATTTTATTTTAGGTACATGGAAGAAATAAACAAATAGAAAGCGAGGACGATGAATCATCACAACACTACAATTCATTTATGACGTCGACTTGCCTCTTTTTCTTTTATTTGTGGCCCCGACTATTATTTCTTTCTATACACTCGATCACATGTCCTAAATTAGTGAAGTTGTTGTGTGTTTTCTTCTCTTCATTGTAGAACTAAATAAAAATCAAATATATTCAAGCGACACATTTTTTTTGGAAAGTATTTTCATTTCAGAAATGTTTTCAACAAAGTTGAAATCTTGCCTCATTCTCATACTTCTTATTCATTGTTGTTCAACGAATGAAGATGTATACAAGGAAGAACTGTACATCCGTCCATTAGCTAGTGGCCACACATACTTTAATCTTCTGTTCACAACTGTTGCCTCGCCCGACATTCTCAAATCTAATATTGGTAAATCTATTCGAAATCGAACTTATTTGATCGGTATTTCTTCTGCGTAGTTCATCATTATCATCTTTTTCCAAAAGTTATCGCTGATATCGTTCGTTCAAATGGTGTTAGTGAATTCCATGTTTCGTTAACACAAGGCCTATGGAGATATGACCGATGGGGCATGCCGATCGTCGGTGCGCCGCCAGGAGCAGAAGTTTGGGCATGGTTCAAGTCAGATGAACAGAGAGAGTACGACTTTCGTATTCATTCGACGTTTAGATGATAAATTTCGGTCTCTATTTAGTGTGGCATCTCGCTGGACTTCATTCGCACATGAATTGGGTGGTTTGTTATGTGCTTCACTTAATTTCGTTGCTTCGAATGTTAGTTCAAGTTCACCGTACTATTCCTTTCGACCTCAATCAACATTACCGAAATCAAACGGTGCTAATTTAGATAATTCTCTTCTTCGATATGCAGCTTTGCCACGAGAAATCGTTTGTACTGGTGGGTACTTTTCAATCGAACAATGGAGCGAATCTGATTGACTTTTCTTTGTAGAAAACTTAACGCCATGGAAAAAGCTATTGCCCTGCGTTGCTGGTGGTTCGAATCATAACGGTCTTGCAGGATTACTTGACAATGCTCCGAAACTATATAATAGCGATTATCATTCACTTCGAATGGATTTTCGACAAATATGTGCTGTAAGAATTCGATCATCTTCCTCAAATTACAAACTTTCATCGTTGTTTCTCTTGTAGAATACTGCATGTACATCTACTCAACTGGAGTTATCCATGGCATTAGCGATCGTGGTCAATACAGCAACATCAAAACCAAACTATAATGGTTAGTCGAATGACTGACAAACTTTGTTAATCGGATCGTCTGCTTTTAGAATGGACATTTCGTTCTGTTTTCGGATCGAATGTTGCTCAATCGTGTCCACTTAGTTCACTCACGAATGTTTATGTTGATCTGCAATTATCCTCTGTATGTTAAACTGTTAGTAAATAAATTCCTTCGACGGTTTTTTTTCTTTTAGACGCATTCGTTAAACATCACTCCCGAACCAGATTATTCAATCAAACAAGGAACTACACCAATTGTCATCTATGATTTGAATAGCGACCAACGAAAAAGTACAACTTTCGCTATGAGCTGTACGCATAGTAAACAACCGACATCAAATACTGACAGTTCGTCTCCTCCGATTGTCGTGCATCGGTATGCCACAGGTGAGAACGAGGTTCAACCATAGTCTAAGCATCGTACAGAATGTTGAATCGATTAGGCTATGGCGTTCGTGATGGTGGTATCAAAACTGTGATAAAAATCAATGAAGAACAAAATAAGAATCAGATAACTCTACTCTATTTCGAACAAATTCCTTGGTATTTCCGTGTCTTTCTTCACACGCTCAAAATAACAACTCTCGACGATGACACAACCGAAATCAAACCAGGTAAAGCCATCTAATTTGTGTTGTGTTCATCGATTTTCTGTTTTTCTTTACTTTTCGACAGATTATATATCATACACTCCAGGTAAAGATCGCGAGAGATCTTATCAATTAGAAATAGTGATCAAAACGGATCAATCAATAGTAATTAGTTTCGAATTCGAAATGGCTTTTCTTAAATGGAACGAGTTCCCACCGGATCCCAATCATGGATTTTATATTCCGAGTGCTGTGATTTCCACTCTTCTCCCTTCAAAATCAAACTACATTCTTCGATCGTTGAATTCATTTTCTTTGAATCAAAGTCTTTCATCGTGGTCTGATGGCTTCGTCCGCTTGTACTCGGAATCTTTACTAGTAAATCTTCCAACACCAGACTTTAGTATGCCGTTCAACGTTATCTGTTTGGGATGTACAGCCGTCGCTCTCGCTTTCGGTGGTTTACACAATTTAACTACCAAAGAATTTTGCTTCGGTCCAAAACGTGCTCAAACTCCACTTCGACAACGTTTGCAAGATTTACGAGTTCGTCTCATGGCTTCTCGTCGTGCTCTTGCACAACGTCTTTTCAAGCGAACACCACCACAACAACAAAGACACGAGCATGCCGAATAAGAACGTTGAGTTTTCAAATATGCTCCTTCTTTCTTGTACATACATATTTATCTAAAGTGATAGAATCCTTGTCTTTTATTCTATGAAAGACTTCGATGACATTCGCTCTGCTTCTTTTTTTTACGTGAATTCATCTGACGCAATAAATTGCCTTTGAAATATGCTTTGATTAAACTTGCTGCACTTATTTGTTCCAAAATCATATTTGATTCCCGTTTCAGATGTCCTCGACTATTACTTATCCAACAATAAGACGTGACACGACTGTCGTAGATTCGTATGGGAACAATACAGTCAGCGTCAACGATGCATATCGCTGGCTCGAAGATCCGGATTCTGATGAAACTGTAAAGTTTGTTTCGGAACAAAATGCTATCAGTCAAGATTATTTAAATAAGATTCCCTATCGAAACAAATTCTTTGAACACTTGAAAGAAGTTTTCAACATTCCGAAATTTTCATGCCCATCTAAGCAACCAAATGGCAAATATTACTATTTTATGAACACAGGTCTGCAGAATCAAGACGTTTATTACGAATTAGATTCCTTATCGAAATCTACGGACGAAAGTCAAGTTTTTCTCGATCCAAACACGTTCTCCAAAGATGGAACGGTTGCTATTCAATCGCTTAGCTTTTCATTCGATGGAAAGACTTTATGTTACAGCGTGTCGGATGCGGGTTCTGATTGGTCAACGGTATATTTCATGGATGTTGCATCACGTGAAAAATTAGATGACGTCATTATTCGCACAAAGTTCGCGTCCTTACGTTGGACAGCCGATAATCGTGGCATCTTCTATGCTACATACGCCGGCGCTCTTGATGGTGACAACTCAACTGATGATTCAAAGAAGCCTCAAACTGAAGTAAATAATTCTGTATTCAGACTGACAAAAAATTCATTTTCGTTTAAGGCTGGTATCGAAGTTAAACGTACGGATGTTCAAGAAGTTTATTTTCACCGTCTTGGCACGCCGCGGTCGTCAGACGTATGTGTCGCTCGATGTGTCGATGAATTAAGTGAACATTTCTTTTCGATTACCACCTCTGATGATGGGCAATACTTAATCGCCAGTATATCGAAAGGTACACTGCGCGAAAATCAACTCTGGATCCTTCCGTTGACAAAAAAGTCTGACTCGATCGTCGAACAACCAAATTGGACCAAATTAATCGAGAATATGGATTTCGTCTATGAATTTGTCACGTCCGAAGGTGATTTAGTTTATTTGAGAACCAATGCTCAAGCCGACAAGTTTCGCTTAATTACGATCAATGTGAAAACCAAAGAAATCAAAGAAGTCATCAAAGAAAGTAGCACTGATATTTTAGAAGACGTAACACGTGTTTACGACAAATATTTCGTCGTTCGGTATCTCTCGCATGTGAAATCAATTCTTTACTTACACGAAATGGAAAGCGGACAACAGGTGCGCAAGTTTGATTTACCAATTGGAAATATCTCGGTTTGGTAAGTAAACATATCGAGTATATTCATGATACTACGGAATTCACTGCAGGGGTGATCAATTCGAATCGGAAATCTTCGTTCGTCTGGAATCATTTCTTTCTCCAACAACAATTTACATGTGCAATCTTGCTGATTCACTCGATGCATCATTACATGTATTCAAACGAATCGAGTTTCAAGGTGTTGATCTCACATCATTAACGACAGAACAAGTTTTTGTTGATTCCAATGGATTGGATTCATCCCATCCTGTCAAAGTTCCCATGTTTTTAGTACATCGAAAAAACTTGCAGAAAAACGCACAAAATCCGACGAGTATTTATGTTTATGGCGGATTTTCGATTCCAACGAAACCGTTCTTCTCTATTGCTGCACTACTCTGGATTCACCATTTCGATGGTATCTTCGTTGTCACAAACGTGCGCGGTGGTGCTGAATACGGTGAAGTCTGGCATAAAGACGGTTACAAATCCAAGAAACGAAATACATATTTAGATCTATGCGCTTGTACGGAGTGGCTTATTTCAAATAAGTACACTCAGCCAGAGAAAATCTCGATCATGGGTGGTAGTAACGGAGGATTGACAGTTGCTGCATGCGCAAATATGCGACCGGATCTGTTCGGGTGCACTGTGATACAAGTTGGCGTACTTGATCTATATCGATATCATAAATTCACTATCGGTAAGTGATAGGACAGTGGAAAACGAGAGAAATGAGATATCGTTCTATTTTAGGATACTACTGGTGTGGTGAATATGGCAATCCAGATATACCGGAAGAATTCGAATGGATAAAGTCAATTTCACCATTACACAATATTCCGAACAATCCCAAATCGTATCCAGCAATTTTAATTACAACTGCTGATCATGACGACCGAGTCGTACCGGGCCATTCATTTAAATACATTGCGCAGTTACAACATCAATTAAGTGAAACGATGAACCGTCTAGGACGACCATTGATTATACGTATTGATGTTCGAGCAGGACATGGTAATAGTATATGAATGAATACGAAAAATCATTTTCATCGAAAGAGTTTGTTTAGGTGCGGGAAAGCCAACTGTGAAGCGAATCGAAGAATTATCAGATACTTATTCGTTCATTTCCTATGCTTTAGGTGCTCAATGGCATGATTAGATCAAGCAATCAGAACACATCTTTCCTTTAATCTTTTTACTAATGTTTCTTTTTTTTTATTTAAACGAGATTAAATCAACGACACGTGTCTCTGCACGATAAATATAGTTATTACCATTTTAGATATGACCTCTCCTCGTGCAAAACTCACCAATCGATTGCAAACTCTTTGTACTGAACATGACTTAACTTGGGATGAACAATTAGCAAATGATATTCCACGAAAGTGGCGTATTCATGGCGATATGCTTCTCCTTCCGTCATCTCGTTGTTTTGTTGATCCTCGATGGACAACACATATCCGTTAGTAATTTTTTCTTTCACCTATTCGTAAATGTAGACGTTTCATACGTTTTTAGCATCAGATCTGTTTTGGACAACGGTAGCTCAAGCATTTGGCTCATCGATCAAACGCATTGCTTTTGAAGGCGCGATTAAAAATGATGACTTTCGATCACCAACTACACGACTAGTACTTGGAAGTGATCCGTGGGTACATTTAGTCGAGAACGGTGTAAAGTATGTTAGTTTTACTCTAGAGATAATCATGACAGAGAAAAAGATGGATTTTATTCTAGATTTTCATACAATGTTGACAAAAGTATGTTCTGTGCTGGTAATAATACGGAACGAATGAGAATGGGTCAAGTGGCTTGCGTGAATGAGACGATCGTTGATTTATATGCCGGAATCGGATATTTCACATTACCATTTCTCGTCCACGGACATGCGCGATATGTGTATGCTTGTGAATGGAATCCTGATTCCTTGGAAGCCTTGCGTCGTAATCTCGAAGCTAATCATATCGATCAAGATCGCTACACACTCTTACTAGGAGATAATCAAAAGGTAGATTTATTGGTGTTCTTCACGTTTGCCATCTATCTTTTTTTGCTGTAGACATGTCCCGTGGGTGTCGCTGATCGGTGTAATCTCGGTTTAATTCCATCGTCGGAAGCCAGCTGGCCAATTGCTTGTCGAGCGCTTCGACCTGAAGGTGGACGGCTACATGTGCACGGTGTAGCAAATACCAAAGAAGAAACGCATGAACAGTGGAGTGAAAATGTTCGACAACGTATCAGAACTCTGATGAAAGAAGCTCATCCCGATGATCATGATTATCAATGTGATATTGAACATATCGAATGTGTTAAACCGTATGGACCTCGTTTAGATCATCTTGTTGTCGATCTATTGCTGACAAGAATCGTTTGTTAACTGTTTTTTTAAATAAAAATTCTGAATAGAATGAACTCATCGGCTTTCAATAATCACTCATTCCAAGATCAATCACACTGATGATCTTTTCATTCTCTTCGAGTGCACTTTACATTTATTCTGTTTTATAATAACAAATTAGATTAGAGATACATTTTCGTCTGAAGAATCGTCTATCGGCGTCGAAGTGAATATGAGAGGTTCATCTGCAACATCTACTGTAGTAATCGAATCTAAATGAAAAACTTGCTGAGTTGTCATGTTGATCAAAAGATTGATTTCTTACTTTTTTCAGTTTGAGATAAACCATTCTCATTCCAAAAGTCTTCTTTTCCGATCTGAGAAGCTTGTCGAAACGGCATACCGGATAGAAGCGCAGCATTGAATGCTTTACTCTTCCGTGATTTTTTTTCTAGAATGATTCAAGGATGAGTCATTGAAAATATGAATAACGAAGTACCTTTCTCGAACAGTTTCTTCGTCGATAGTTGTTCGGATATCGATTGAAATCGGCCACGCCACTGTTCATGCACTGTCGTACAACATTGTCGAGCGAATTGAGATAGATCATTGGGGAAAAGTGTTCGTACACGATCGGGCGATTTCTTAATCCATTCAAACAGAAGGAAGGCATTTTGAACGATTTCTTCCGGCGGACGAGTGCATATATTTCGCGTTGTTTTAAAACAATTGTTAGTTTGTTTGTAAATCACTCGTCTCAAGCAACTTCGTCCTTTGAATTCATTCAACGTCAATAATCGAAGTGTATTCTTCACATAAGTCAAAACTAAGATAGGAGCAAGCTGCGAGCTTTGAACGGCAATACCTTCTTGAACTTCAAACCATCGATATCGATAGAGATGATCGCCAGGTTGAACATCCGAAACGTCGATTATATTGAAAAGCATCTATATGAAAAACAAAACTTTGATATTTGTACTTTATTCTTGTTGATCTTTTACTAATGATAAGTAAAAGGTTCTTCTACTAACTATTTTCTTTTATATGAATAGTTTCAACTTAAGATATCTTCTCGGGCACGCTAACGGTAACATTAGATAAGGTTATCTATGTATGATAAAGATTATGTTATGCAAAGCAGTTTTTGAATCAACAGAAGCGATGCAAGAGGACACGAAGTGAAAATACGCATAAATAACACTTGAGAATCACCTCATCATCAACACGAATGATGATCTCATTTGACGTTCAGCACAACAAAGAATTCGACTTTTGTATCGATTGAGAATATACGGAAAACTTACTTGTGACGATAGATTTCGATGTATGAATCTTTTTTCAGTGTGAGAAGTGAATACGGGAATTCAAGGGTACTAGTCGCAACGAAAAGCACGACCTTTCGGGCATTGTCGACGAATTAACACTAGAGATTAGTCGATTTTTATGTAAATGCCATGAAACTTTGACGTCGATCATTATTAATCTAATCTCGTGATCGAATGATCTCGATGCAATCGCAAATCGAGATCTATCGTATCGGTATTCAAGTTTCAATTTAAAATATTCACGAAATTACAGCTAAGATTGGAATAAAGCGCCTCTCATTCTGTTTTTTTTTCTGTTGAATTCGATTGTTTTTTTCGGCCCTACAAGAACGACAAGTGATGTTTTTCGCTAGCTTGAGAACTTTTGTAAACAGTGTCTTAACTGTGTGGAGCTATGTTCAAGGAGTTGCGACTCACGTCTCTAACTTTATTTTCCCTACTACAACCAGTAAATGATTTCTCAATTTTGATAAATAGTGACGATTATGTCTCATAGCGGTAGCACCGGAAACCACCACAACAACTATTAATCCCTATTGTCAACTACCTTTATGCGGTAGTGGACATTATTCATGTCCGGAAGAGCAACTGACGCAAGAGTGTCTTCGACAACGATTAGCATTTGAACGTCTGACGACGCTTCAGCCAATAGCAAAAAAATCCAACGCCGACAATGACGATGATGATGACGACAAGAAAAAACCGGACAAAAATACCAATTCATCGTAAGCTTTATTTTCATAGAAGCTTCGCAAATCTATCTGGTTCTTATCTAAAGTTCTGGACTTGTGCTTGTACTCATTGGTGCAATCGTATTAGGCATTGGCAGTTATTTATACATGCGTTTTAGTCGTCAGAAGCCACCGACGGAGATTGTAGATGACACTCGGAATAGTAGCGTATGGGAAGTATAATAACTATCTAATCATCTCGTGAAACTATCGAAAACGCAGGATTAGAATTTATTTGACTAGGAAAATGCTTGATTACAAAAAAAAAGAATATTACTATTACAAGTCTTCGATTGCTTTATGTTTTTTCAATAAAACTGTTAAATCACCTTGTTTTTCTAAATTTTCCAAATCTTCTTCATCGCCGATACATTTGCCGCCAATGAATATTTGTGGTACGGCGCGATCATCAGTTAAATTCTTTAATTCATCTTGATATTCATCGGTATTCGATAGTTCATTCAGTTCGAGTACGTAACAATTGTCTTTTAAATTGTATTTCGACAGAAGCTTCTTCGCTGTTCGACAATACGGACATGCTGATTTGGAGAAAACAACCACAGGATATTGATGAATCAATTCTTGAATATGTTCAGCTGCTGATGGCATGTTAGTCGTATCAAAATGAAATGATTTCTTGAGTTGAATAGGAAGGAATTCATCGAATGAATAGGATGCGTTTTTTCCTCTTCAAATTCGCACTTTGACCAAGTCGACATCCACTGCCACCTTTTGAAAGATCAACTTAACTCATTATACTAACGATTACGACAGTAATCTGTCCTTGAACAGTCCAACTTCGTCGTATCAGCGTGCTTTCAGTAGATTCATTATCATCAGCACTACGTTAATTGCGTCGCTTCGAATTTTCTTTTACAAAGACGAAAACGTTATGACAAAGATATGTGCGTAGTTTCAACTATGATTCTAAACTAAAACAATATAAAAACATGTTTTTATCATTGTACTAGATTATACTACACGCTTGACAGATGATCAATAGCCTTGTTGGTTATAAAACCATGTTCGTCATATCTGTCGAATAATTTTCTTATTTTGCAACCTTGAACAAAGTACACACATAATACGAAATAACCATCGTAAAATTTCATTCGAAGAACACCATTTTAGCAAATCATGAGCGAAATACCATACGCAACGTTGAGCGAAAGCACTCCTCTTCCTCGGGAGTCCGTCACGACACTGGGCTCGGTCAATACAATTCAATATGCGAACATGGAAACGCATAATCATTTATGTCGCATATGTCGTAATAAATTAATGAAGAAACAAGATACTGATCACACGCCATTCGATTGTTTGACTGTCCGATGTGAAATGTTAGAAGCGGAAGGCATGCGATTGAAAGATCATGACATGAAGTCACGTATACAAATCAAAGAACTAGAAACGAAACTAGCTGCTTTGGAAGAAGCAGTACAAGGCTTGACTGCGCCGAAACAACAGCAAGCCGCACCGTTTAGTTTCGGTACACCACAAAAAACTCGAAACCCGTTCAAGAAAGCTCAATCGGTCGATGTTGCTGCACATACTCCCGAGATCAACTACGATAATATCTTACCACCTAAACGATCCGGTAGCCGAGAACGTGTCGGACTCTTCGGTAGTCTCGGTGCAACCTCACAAGTTCGATGAAGTCAACCAAATCTCAACTGCACATTTGATTAATTACGAACACATCTTTGTCTTGTTGTCTTTTTTTTGCAAATAAATTATTTTGTGCGTCTCGATAAATATTGATAGGTTTGAATTCGATCGAAATACTCAGAATAGCCATTAGATTTATTTTATGGTTGTTTGTTACGTAACACATACAGAGAGAAGGAAAAAGATCAATGGAAATACAGAATTATACATAAAACGAACACAGTTGGCTGATAGAAATATTGAGAATTGAAATGAGACGCTAATTCTTATGCTTAGACGTATTTTGGTTTAGTTTAGGTGACACTATGAATTGCACAACGTAGAAAACAAGATAAAGGATAAAATAAAATAAACAGAAAAGGAATGATTTGTTTTTTTCTCTTTCGATTATTGATTTGTTTCCTGTTCAAATTGCGACCAAGCTTCATTGAGTTCGACGAAAATTAATTTTGCTAACGGTTCATTCGGATCACCACGGAGCTACAAGAGAAATCTTCGTTCGAATGCAAAATTATTCATCAAGTCTCTTACTTTATCCGGATGAATGTAAAGAACAGCTTTTCGGTAAACTTTCTTAACTTGATCTGGAGTTAATAAATCATGCATATGGCATCCACCCCAAGCGCATTCTGGCCATGTGACTGTTGATAACGAACATAATAATGCTCGAATATTTCTCTTTTTGCCTTCAGTCCATTCTCGAACCTAATCGAATGAACACGATGAAGATTGAAATCAGCTCTTACGACAAAGAAAACATACTCTGAGCACGGTTGGATCAAGATCTTTAGCTAGTTCGGCTTTACGTATATCGCCGATAGCTGCAGTACCTTGCCGTGCTTTTGAACCAAAATCCGACATTCCTGCTTGTTCTCGAACTAATGTATCGAAATCGATCTTAGTCGCTTGAGAGCGAGCTTGAGCCGGAGGTGGTTGAACCGGATCTATGAGTGACAGAAGAGAAAAAATTTGTCATTCTTCAGTGAGAATATTTCTTACTAGATTGTTGTGGTGCGGGCGGAGGAGTTGGTTTACTTGCTAGATTGATATTATAATTAGGAATCGATGTTGTTGATGTAGGTGGTGTGCTGGGCGTTTTCGCGGCAGCTAAATGAAAAAAAATATGGAACGCTTCACGATTTTGCGTGTCATCCTTGCGCAGGGGCCATGCTAATCTTCTCTGTATCGTTCCAATTTTATTATATGCACCACCGAAGTGGGCGATGATGTCTCTTACTCGTTTCCTTATATATGGAAACAGAAGGAAGAGAAAAAGAACGGTGAATGAACGCTCGTCAATCGTGTAAATGTACGACATCTACCGACGACGAAGAGCTAATGGAAAAGTTGTCTTACCTGCAGCTTGTTTAGCAGCCAGACTTTCATTACTTGACGTTTTTTGTGTTGTTGACGATGATGTAAATAAATCTTTAAATGGATCTAAACGATTAATATTTTGATTCGATGTTGACTTGGTTTCTGCTTTAAGTATAGTTGTTGCTTGCATAGGTGGAGGTAGGACAGTTTCCGATGCATTTCGATGTAATATCGGTTTATCTAATGGCATTGAATTGAAATCAACGCCAAGCAAATCGCTGGTTTTAACTGGTTGAATCGGAGCAGAAAATGTTGATGAAGTATCAATATGTAAATCAAACAAATCGTTTTGGGTATTCGTCAGCATGGTTGGTTGACTTTGGAAAACGTGCGAATCATCGCCAGTGATGTCAAGTAGAGTGCCAACTGCGACTTCGTCATTAGGTTGTGCTTCTTCTTGAAACGAAGCTTTAGTTTCTCCTTGTTGTTCTTGAAATGGATTCGAGAAGATCGTTTGCGGCGATGGTGATGTACGTCGATTAACTTGAGGGGAAGATGGATTACTAACATTTGCAGTCGGTTGGTCAGTATTGAGCTTAGTCGAACGGTTCAATGAAGGAGATTCCGTCGGAAAGTTACCACGGTATTGATAGCCATCACCTACAGAAAAAGAAACAAAATCAAATGAGATTTATGATAGCGTGTAATTTGATCTGTAAAGATAAGCAACAACAACGAACTAGAACAATGTGGAGTCTTACCACTCGAGATTTTAAAACGTTTTTCTAATTGATTATTCAAAACGATATTCGAATATAAAAGAAAGAGAGGGTTTGCAAATTACTCACCGTATTCTTCAATCGTATGTCGAAATTCGATATCGTCTTTGAAAAGACATTGTGGTTTTTTCAATGTACCATCCAATTGTTTCGAAATGACATCTTGATCATTTGATGCCGTTCGTTTCGATACTGTTGTGTCAAGTGTGACACGGAAAGATGGCGGATATTTTTCCGTATGTTCAATACCATCCAATTCATATCTAAACGAAGATGTGAGTACGATTTGAATATTGTTCATATGATGACTTACCGCGAATAAGATAATTCGGAATGATTTAAGGAACAAAAGTTTGAATTTATCGTTAATTCACATATGCGAATGCCACCGTCCTAGAGAAAGAGTTCATCGCCCATTTAGAACAGCATTTGAATTGTGAACTCACATGTGCATGTAATGACAGACCGATAGGAGCGTGTGAAACGTGAATTGTCAGATCGCCACTAAATGGAACATTGAGTGGCACAAGACAAACACCGTCCATTGCAGTAAACAATCTAAGATTCAAGAATTTATTCGAATCAAATCGAGAAAAACAGTTCTTACCGAAGTTTATTTGAATCTTGATACGTTGAAAATATCTTTTTACCCTCTGGATTTAAAATATCTACATATGGTCGACAACCATTTCTATAACAAGTTGATGGATATACATGGACTCTCGAGTTGAAAATACAGACCTTTCTCGATTGAATAGTGGAACTGGCGAGAGATTGATTGATTTCAAAACCAACTCATTAAAATGCGGTCTTTCAATTGTGCCACATGCTAAATCGCAGATATATTGAATGTATCTACAGGAAACAAAAGTTCAAGTTGAATGAAAAAGGAAAAGTAGGAGAAAAACCTTTTTTGAGACATTGTCAACATGGGATGTGCACAACGGCGTGCTTCATAATACCGAACAATGTGATCAACTTGTTGAAACAGTCCATGGTAAGCAATTAAAGCACATGCGGCAAAAGCAACTTGATTTCTTCCATCCTATGTGACACATTTCCACGTAAATTATTCGAAAACTTCAATAAATTCTTACATGGCAATGAAGAACAGCGACGTTTGATGATGATTCCAACAGAAACGAGCTGATTTTTTGGCAGAAGCATAAAAGATCGATCAAACGTGGCGCATGCTTTTCATCGCCTAGTGGTAAATCGATCACCTAAATGATGAAAAAAGACAAGAACAGTTCGAATTCATTTGTACAGTCAAATAACAGACGCGATTGTGAAAAATTTCTTTTCGATAGCTTGGGTGATTGCGATGTGGATGATCAAGCGAGAACAGCATGTACGATTGAGAATGTTTTGTATCGAGTGAATCACGAATTAATTCCGCGGATTGGCGACCAGCTAATTCTGTTGGATTATCACGTGGTGTAGCCATGACTAAGAATAACAACACATGCGAACGACTTGTTTTGTTTTTTTTACAAATGAGAGTCTTTACCGATTAATTTCGATGAGATATAACTCATATCAACTTCGAAATGATGATGTTGACTAGAACCTCCAATTGTTGAGCTTGTTGGGACGTTCGTAGCTAAAGTTCTATCGAAAAGACACATCCATCAATGAAAACAATTGGGTAAAAGACAAATTTTCTTTACTGCTTAACTTGTTGAACACCTTCATTGATTACTTTCGTGGATGTGTCTAAAATATTCTTCATCCATGTCTTTCCCGATGTATTTAAACCTTTGATTGATGATGGAAGGTAACTGCTCACACCAGCACCAAATGACGAGCTACCCGCAGTTGTCGGTGGTCTTGGAGCATCTAAATCATAATTGATATAGATTCTTAAATAAGAAGAAAAGATGTTATCTCACTTATCGATGATGGATTAGCGACGGCACTAGAGGAAGTCATTGTATTAGTTGGCGACATTATTTCATTAGAATTGAAAAGAAACATTAGTGGTTCATTGAGACCAACATCATTTCCAATGGCTATATCTTCGATATTTTCAACAAGTGTATGAATTGTTGGCCGTTGACGTGGATCGATTTGTAACAAAGTGCCTAAACGAACAAACTGCATGTGCATTCACTATTACCTCAAATCACATTCTGCTAAACGCACATAAATCTCCCGGGAGAAAAAAGTCAATTTCCGTTTCATTTTACTGCGAATGGCTACTTACGTATAAGATCATGAAGGACAGTATACTTTGTATTATTAGCAGGTATTGTATATTTTGCATTCAGAATTCGTAATTTCGCAGAATCTTCAAACGGATGATTTATGAAACATAAATAATACAGAAGACAACCGAGTGCCTAAAACATTCATCATAAACAGCAAACAACTCAAAGAAAACCCCTCTTCATTACCCAAATGTCCACTTGTTCATTGATAGGATAATTACTGTACGTGTCTAACATTTCCGGTGCTCTGTACATTGGTGTCGTTACTTTAGTCATTTCATCTTCGACGAATTCGCGTTTTTTAACTGTCCAAGTTTCATCTGGTAGGTAGACTTTCGTGGTTGCCGAGCCAAAGTCACACAATTGAATGAAACCAGTGGATGTTAAAAGACAATTTTCGACTTTTAGATCTCGATGAATGATGGGTGGTTCTTGTTCGTGCATGTGTTTCACAGCGCGACAGATTTGATAAAAAATCTGAATGACTTGTTCCACTTCTAATGATTTCGAACGATGAACAACTCGTTCATATAGCCGTCCACCGGAACAATATTCTGTTACAAGTAAATACTCCGTACGACGTAACGTTGGATCTTGATTTGATGCTGCAGCTATGTATGGAACGATATGCGGATGACCATTTAGTTTTTGCTAGACACATAACACATAATTTCAGATGATGTCGAAGAAGTTCGACTTACTAGGAATGATATTTCCTGAGCAATAGCTTTTCTTGCGCTATCATCTGCAGCGAACAATCTCTGAAGAGACAAAATGAATTATTGACTCGTACATTCATTCAATATGTCGTTTTACTTTTAATGCATATTCTTTGTTTGTTTTAACGTCGTAGGCAATGAATACCAACGCATAACCACCTGAAAAATCGATCGGATATGAAAATAAACAGGAAGTTTATGAATTACCCTCGGCAATTTGATTTCCAACACGCAATCGAATGTTTCCAACATCAACAATTTGACCAGTGAAATCACTTCTAACACCTCCACTCCCTGTTCCCGATGAACCACCACCTAGTCCAATATTATTCGTAATACGAGCACTCGATCCAGCACCGAATGCTGCGTCAATAGCCGACTTGAATATATCGACCATTTAAAAACTTCTTTGTTTATCTCAACTAACTTTATCTAAAAATCGACAAAACAGAGGTTGTTTTGGCAACAAAAATAGACCGGGGATGTATCTGTTTGAAGAACAGATCACTGTTCGAAAAAGAAAAGAAAAAAATATAGTGCTAATCTTATTGGTTAATAAGAAGTTGAAGTGGATTTTCAAGTAAATATTTGAGTTCGTTAGAAAACCGGGCCATTGTAGCACCATCAATAACACGATGATCTGCTGACCAACTGACCGACATCATTGAACGGATGCTGTATGAGCAGTATTCTTCGTCACTTGAGCTTGATGAACTGTCACCGTCTTCTTCTTCATCTGGAACGAGTCGTCGCTATTGAAAAGAAATCGAAGTTCCCATTGATCAATTAGCGAATGATCTTACCACTATTTTTCCGAGTGCACCAATGGCAACTTCCGGTAAGAGTAGAACAGGTACTGCATAGGTACCACCAATCTATCGAAAATCGAGATAAATAAATTTGAGTACAATAGTCAATTTTGGTTTGCCGAGACGATGTATTCAATTACGCAAAGCTAGCTGTAGAGTGATTATCGAGGAAACACTGTGACAAATCCCTGAAGAAAATCAAAGTCTTTCTATCGTAACCGCATCTATTGTATGTTACAGTGAATAGAATTATCTAACCAGAAAGTATTGGCAAAGCGTTTTCAATCGGAAAATTGAGTATCTATTCTTACGTACAGCTCCGATGTTTGATAATGAAAATGTTCCACCGGTAAGGTCATCTGTGGATAACTTTCCTGCTTTGCCCAATTGTTGAAGTCGACTGAGTTCGCTTGCAATTTGACTAATCGTTAATTGTTGAACATTTTTTATATTTGGTACTAACAAACCATCTTTGGTGTCCATAGCAATGCCAATATTATGTGAACCCTTGGAAATGACTTCAACTTAGATAAACAGAAAACTTCCTGTCGAAAGATAACATACTTTGTATGTAATCGTTTCACATTTCGCATCGACATGTGCGTTCAGAATAGGATAATTTGTCAAAGCATGTGAACATGCTTTGATAATAAATGGTAAATAAGACATTTTAATGTCTTTATTTTGCTTCTTCAATTGTTTTCGTAATTTTACTAATTGTGACAGATCGTATTCATCACAGTATGTAAAATGCGGTACAGCATTTGCTTGAGTCATAGTTTTAACCATGGCTTTGCGAATGCCTTTGATTGGTTCGTTACGATCAGCTACTGTTGCGGTCGTTGGACGAGGCTTTGGTGTTGGCGCTTGTTTGACAATAGCAGGCGATGGTGGAGAAGCTTCTAGAAAACGAAAAATGATCTCGTTGTAGACGATGATGATAATGATGGACAAAATAGTGAAACGAACTGCTTGGAGATGGAGGCTTAGAAGCGCTAGATTTATGATTTAATAAATCTTCCTTTAGTATTCTTCCATCCTTTCCTGAACCTTGAACATCGCTCAGTGAAATCTAGAAAGAATTATTACAAAAAAAATGATACCACATATCTTTGTTCTTACCTGTAAATCTTTAGCCATCCGCCGGACAGCTGGTGTTGCTAAAATATTGGATAGTGAACTTTTATCTTCGATCTGAGTCGCCACTGGTTCTTGCGCAACCTCCGGTGCTGCTATAAAGATATCAAACCAAATTCATTCATTCGAATCACGATTATCGACCTTACTTTTTGTTGCTGGAACATCCACGCCATGTTCTATTCTAATATCCACGAGCGGCTCGCCGACTTTAGCCGTATCATTAACATTGTAATGAAGTTTCGCTATTGTTCCATCATAACGCGAGGTGATCGTTACATTGGCCTTGTCAGATTGAACTTCACAGATCTTATCGAACTGTTTTACTTGATCACCGACATTAACATACCTAAAGATCGATATTCAGATGTACGAAAGTCGATGTACCTGGAATTTTCGTACGAACCATTCTTTAACTTCGACTTCACGTATACCTTCACCAATGTCCGCTAACTTAAATTGAACAACGGATGACAAACGAGAGATCGATAATGAAAATGGACGAGAACCAAAATGCTACAATATGAATGAATGTTCAGCCAAAAAACAATCTTCTATTTCACTTGTCCTACCGATACGGAATTAGTTTTTAGTGTATTTGGAACATTGGCTGTACGTTTTTCTAATGAATGAATGGAGGAAACAGCTTGGTAACTTAAAGGCGAAGGTCGCTTGAGCATATGTAACGAATATGTAACACAACGAAGAGCTGCATTATGATATGCATAGCGTGTTAGCATCGTTCTCAATCGAAATCGAATAGAATCTAGTAGAGAAAGACACGAATTTGTTCTCGAGTGATATTATTAACTAATTTTATACACACGAGATCGAGATCTATTGAATAGCGAAAGAGAAAAATAATACCCCACTCACACACAGTTTTTAATGATTGAAAGCTGAAGACAAAAAAATAATAATCCTTTATTCGTTTATAAATTATCCATTAAGGTTTTTTTTTTACAAAGAAATATTTTTTATTTTCCTTTCGCCTGTAAAATAAACAAATCAGAATGACAATCAATACGTGTTTCCAATTTTTCCTATTGAAAACAAATCCAAGCACTTGTTTTGATAAATAGATGGCGGTAGTAGTCATTTGTGAGAGCAAGACACAACGAATTCTGTTTTTCTTGACTTTATTGGAAAATGACAAATGTGTTAATTTAATTTTCTTCGCGAAGTTTTTAAATCAAAAAGCAATTCTGACGTATTTTGGATTTCCTTAATGAAGCAGAAGTGAAACATAACAATTGGAAAAAAGAAACAATTTCCGGTGACTTCATTGAAAAAAAAAACTAATTAACTGATGCTTTATTGACTTGTATCGGCGACATCATCCGTCCCACACATACTCTCGAAGTTATTTGAATAGCAATAAATCTTTTCGTCAATATAGTAATAGTAAATAATGATGTGTTAATATTTCTGTTGAAAAATCTATTCAGAAATGTTTTCTTAGTGGAAGAGACGAAGCCAAGTCATTTGACTGAAGTTCGACTAGCTGATTATGTATTTTATCTCTTATGTAAGTATATCAGTTCTGTGTGTGTGTGTTTTGTTTTCCATAGAGAAGAATAGTTTGTTTAAACCGGAATGTATTACTTGTTAGAAAGTTAAACAAGAAAATATGTCCCAGAAAACGAAAAACGATATTACAGATAAGTTGCAATAAGAAAAGATAAAACTAAAAGCATATGCAGTTGTTAAAGATAAACAAACGTCAGAGAAACGAAGTCAAATCAATCAACGCATGAATGATTCTGTTCTTTCAACTGAGTGTACTGTTGGTTTAATAACCTGATGATGGTTGAACGAGTTTTGGTTGTTCAGAATCTGGTTGAATGGTAATTTCAGATCCGTAAGTTTGAACGGGTTTTGGTTGTTCAAATGTTGCGATGAGTTTTGGTTGTTCGAGGATTTGAGATCCGTATCCTTGGATGAGTTTGGGTTGTTCGAGGGTTTGAGATCCGTATCCTTGGATGAGTTTGGGTTGTTCAGGAATTCGTGAACCGTATCCTTGGATGAGTTTTGGTTGTTCGGGGATTTGTGATCCGTATCCTTGGATGAGTTTTGGTTGTTCGGGGATTTGTGATCCGTATCCTTGGATGAGTTTTGGTTGTTCGGGGATTTGAGATCCGTATCCTTGGATGAGTTTGGGTTGTTCAGGAATTCGTGAACCGTATCCTTGGATGAGTTTTGGTTGTTCGGGGATTTGTGATCCGTATCCTTGGATGAGTTTTGGTTGTTCGGGGATTTGAGATCCGTATCCTTGGATGAGTTTTGGTTGTTCAGGAATTCGTGAACCGTATCCTTGGATCAGTTTTGGTTGTTCAAGTTTTTGAATGAATCTGGGTAGTTGAGGAATTTGTGATCCATATCCCTGGATGAGTTTGGGTTGTTCAGGGATTTGTGATCCATATCCTTGAATGAGTTTTGGCTGTTCGAGAATTTGTGAACCGTATCCTTGGATCAGTTTTGGTTTGATTTGTGAGCCGTATGCTAAAGATAGTTGATAAGTTCGTAATAGAGGGAAGAATAGTAACAAGGAAACTTACATGGTTGTTCGTCAAGTTGTGGAACAGTTGTTTGCAGATCTGGCCATACACAAGCTTTGTTTGCATCTTCCCAAATTGTACCACCAGGGCATGATTCAACAAACATACGTTCACCATCGCACATAATGAAACCTTTGTCAGTGACACTTAAAGCTTGTGGACCATCGACACCTTGGCATGGGCTGGGAACAACTAGAAATTATTTCAATAAGAAATATTGCCTTCTTCTCTCTTTTAAATTGAATTCTCCATTACAAACCTTGTGTATTACTAAGACCGTAAGCAAGACCATCTTGAAAGATGCAGATGTATGGAAGAGCAGCACCTAAACGGAATGACTGGCATCGGGCATCTGGTGATTGTCCGCATGGATATTGAGTTTGACAGATGCGGGCATCTAATTCACAGTTTTGACCGTCGAAACCAGGGGCACATTGGCATTGGTAGCTTGAGTCAGTTGGAAGGCATTGACCACCGTTAAGGCATGGTTGGGAAAGACAGTAGTCTTGTGGACCATATTCTAGATTTGAATAGAAATAGAAAGTTTTTTGTTACCTAATAACAACTTAGATTGAGAGGAAAAACATACTGCGTTCACATCGGCGTGTGGATGCACGGTAGACAAGACCTTTTGGACATGATTGTTCAGCACCTTTGCCATCATCGAGACAGACAACAAATCGGCGACCATCATCTAATGGAATGACGGTTTCTGGAGCTTGACCACGGCAGAGGTTGTCTAGAATACATGTGAGATGTTAAGTTCTTTGTTGAAAATAGGAATTTTCGAAATCCTACCAGCTTCGGTGACGATGGGGATTTGTGGAACTTGAGGGGCTTGTGTTTCGTCAAAAGCGAACATGCGAGGAGCAGCACCATAACCTTGAGTTGGTAAAACTTTTGGTGCGGTGAAGATTTGTGAACTACAAAAAGGAAAACGACATTAGAAAAATAAACTTCATTCCTATGCAATTCTTACCCATAAGTAGCTGGTATTTGTGGTTGTTGTACTTGACCGTATCTAAATAATAAATCGGCAGATCAGATAAGTGATTCTTCGTAGAAGAACAATCGTACGATGGTTGTTCAAGGGATTTTTGTTGTCCGTAAGTTTGTGGGACGATTGGTAAGATTGGTCGTCGAACTGGGTTGTCACGAATCATAGATAATACCTTAGGTAAGGCTGATCCATAGCCACCTGCTTGACCTAAAGTTTCGATGAAATTACAAGAGAAAAGATAATCTTTTTCAAAACTAACCGTAACCGGCAAAAGCTGAACTCGACAGAGCGAGCAAGCAAACCAATGATATCTATTCCAAACGTTAAAAATAAACATTTCAACACATTATCAAAATCATCCGATGAACATACCCAGGTCATTGTATTCAAAAATATAATATCGTTAAGCGTTTAACTGTTATCGACTTAAAATAAGACGAATAGTGAAGAGATCACTGCGTTCCATGGCTATTTATATTGCATTTCGATATCTACCTAGAGATCGATGAACAAAGAGTGAGAGAGAGAGAGAGATATCACATTAGATTACATTACTTTATCGTTTCTATTCCTTTGTACGAGTATTATAAACATTCGATTTTTTTCCTTTCTTTCGCATAATTGTCGAGGGATTTCATGGGCGAACAATGAAACGACGATTTAGTCATCATTTGTCATTTTCAGTCGTTCCAGAAGGATCGTCAAATCACTCTCCACATAATAATGTGATTTAAACTTCACCTAATGTTCTTGCCGATCATTGCGTTCAAATTCGACGAATACAGACGTAATTGGCTAGACATAATTGATTGACTATTTTCAGTTGATTAGAGACATTATTCCTTGCAGGTCATATTTTAGAAAAACTATTCTGAAAATAACTAGATTTTTTTGTAATTACCAGCAAATAGCTGTTATTATTTCGTGATTATCAACAGCATATTATCACAATTTTGACTTAAGGGAATACGAATCGATTTCAATGTCCCTAGCCGTTAATATCTTTTGATTGCACGAGAAATTCAAGTTTATGTTTATAACTTCGTCAGAACACAATTTCTGACTTAAAATTTTCCTTCATTGTTTCGATATACACGACAGCTGATCGTTTGTCTATTAGTCGAGCATTGTAAGATCAACTGCAAGGAATAATGGTGACCTTATTCTTTCTAGTAGAAGCAACAATCTTAATCGTCTCATCATCGTCGAAGTACCACTTAACATCGTGAAGAAAGAAAAACGAATTGCGTAGGTTTCAATGACGTTTTATTCGAAAAAAAAAGACTTATTTGTTTCTATCAACAAGCCGCAAAGATCTTGTGTTCGTGTTGATTGATTGATAATATTTTATAATCTATGTGTGTCAAATTGTCTTCTTCGAGCACTAGTGCATCAGTTGTCGAAGGTCGAGAAGGAAAACTTGCGTATTTGTTGTTCTTATAGAAGTATCTGCCTCTCTCTCTCTCTCGCTTTCTTTTTTCATGTCAAAATAAGAACAAATGATCATATGGAACATATAAAAGAAAGTTAAATGCAAATCTCTTAAGTGGATGTTGTTTGTTTCTCTTTCTGTCTACTGATGTCGCAGCTAAATGGAAGTCAATGAAACCTCGATGAGTATTCTTTTTCTTGAGTGATAAATGAACATCTTTAAATATCTGTCACAGAATGATGTTAGTCAGAAATTCGATTCGCTTGCTTTTCTCATCAAACGATGTAACTTTCTGTTGGCATGTTTCTTTGATGATCGATGTATTTGCTTGTTGTTATTATTATCCATACAACCATATCTTATAGACAAGATTCTCGTGTATCTTCGTCTATCTCTTTCTCTTTCTCTTCTTCTTTTTCTCACAAGTAGAAGCTCTTTCATCTCTTCATCAACAAGGCTATTGACTTGGAGATACAAGAACGATTTCCTCTCGAATAAATATGTGATGTTTCCTTCGTCTAATCGTCAGTATTGATTTTCCTTTTAATTCAATTTTGGTACTCATTCTCGTGGAAAAATGATTCTCTGTAAGTAAGTTAATAAGTTTTCCGCAGATATTTACGTATCTCTCGGCTTCGCTGCCAGTGTACTTTTGATTATTATCCAGCACGTGCAAGAAGAAGCACTGATCATTGCACCATAATGAACGTTCCTTGTAGATCGAAACTAGCTAGCAAACTGTCGTCCTCGAGTCATCACCACACCGGTCGTGGTGTGTCACCATCGATAAATGTCACTTCGAGTGGATCAGGGACGAATTATGCGATGCCGCCGTCAGCATCATCGAACTCAACACATCAATATCTCTCTGCGAAGCGATGTCAAAGTGCTCAATCGTCCTTATCATCATCAGCAGCTGATCTACGAGAATTGACAACGACACTCCAAGAACTGAACAGCCATTTCAAGAAAAATGTGAAACTTTTAGGAGAAATTAAAGACAACATTGTTAAAGTTTACGAAAAAAAAGAAGCACGACCAGTTGATGATACTTCTGGCGTACACAAACTAGAACGCGTACGTATATTTTTTAATAAAAATACTTTTATCTTCGACGTATTTGACTAGGCAAACAGAAGAGATTATATAAATACGATTAGAGTATAAATATCTTCTTGATATTATTCCAGTTTCACTAGGGAATGCACTACGACGATAACAGAGAAATTGTATCTTAATGATCGATGAATACTCCCTGCGAGAATAAGAAAGTAAATAGAACATATTTGTACACATCGATGCAAATGGTTCTGTTATGGGTACATCTGACGAAGACGAACGATCTTCATCGCCGTCTACACGTGCCTGTGCCTATCTTTGAACACAATGTTCCTTTGGAATTCGGTGTTTTCTAGGTGGCCGTAGAATTGCGAGTAGTGTTCTTGAAAATCGGTGAAATCGATACGTTGAAAGAACAGTTTCAAGCGGAAGCTTTCATTCAAGCACGCTGGCATGAGCCAACATTGAAAGGAACGGTAAATGACATATAAATTTTGTTCGAGAAGAACTCGATTTATTTCTTAGGACATCGACTGCTTTGATGCGAACAAGTTTTGGAATCCACTGTTATATATCGACAATTCCGTTGGAGATATAAAAAATGACGTTTGGCATAAAGTTGTTTATGATGGCATTGACATACCGATGATTTACGAAATGCGAAAAGTCAAAGGTGTCTTTCTAGAAAATTTAGAATTAAACGATTTTCCAGTTGATGTTCAAGTAATGGATTGATTTCTCAAATTAAAAAAAAATAAAATAAAAGAATTCCTTCTACCTTTCGTAAGGATCTGTCAATTACAGTATCGACGACAAGAACAGTCAATGAAGTGTTGCTCACTGCAGATACCCACCAATTGAGTGCGATTAATACACGTGAGAAACGCTTTTTAGTTTAATTGATGAGGAAAATTGTTCGTTTGTAGATGCCTTTATTGATCAGCAAGAATGGCGTTTACATGAACATGTGGAAACATCGACAAAATTATTGTCGAGTCCGTTTACACCATCACAAAATCAACATCCAGCATTTTCAGCAACCTGTAAAGCAATTCTCTGATTATGCATCAGATCGAAATCGTTTATTCTTATTTCAGGCCATGCTGCACGTCGACCCGGTTATTTCTATTGGAATGTTTATTTTCTAATCGTAATTATCTCTTACCGAACTCTCCATACACATACACCATCGATTTCTTCTCTAGTTTTTTATAACAGTAATGGCATTTGCCACGTTCAGTGTCACATATAATCTTCCACAAAATCGTCTTCAATTGAGTTTCACACTTCTACTAACTGCAGTTACTTTCAAATGGGTGGTTGTTCGATGTTTACCAACGATATCGTACTTGACAACCTTAGTAACGTCATTCAGACTCTTCTCTTCTCAAAACATTTCTCGATGATTATTCTTCTAGGATAAATATGTTCTCTTGTCGATGGTCATGTTATGTGTCGTGTGCGCCTGGCATGCCATCATCGCTGTATGTCCAGTCGATGTAGCCCAGCATTGGGATAATGTGGCATTGTTATCTTTAGCAATAATTTATACTGTATTTCATGCTGTATTCTTTCTTTGGATGTATTTTGTGGTGGGTAGCGATTTGTGACATTGTCCCTAAGAAAAAATTTTGTCTGTCAATTAGACATATCGACGACGGCGAGTGATGAAACGTAAAGACAAGGAATATTCAGTAAGTTCATAATTTTAGATGAAGTTATTACAAACTTAATCAAGAGTTCTCATCTAGACAACTAATTTCTAGACTATAACTAATACAGATCGAAGTCCTAAGATAAGACAAACAATATAGCCTGTAAATAAGCTAAAGCATGCGAAAGAACTAAACGGAATCATACGCGCATGTGTCGCATGAACGAATTTATGATCCTTAGAATAAAGTCGATGTTTTTCTTTCTTTCTTTTTGCAAGAAAACTCGTATGGAACGTTTGAATTCGTTCGGACATCATGCTGGCGACGAATCCGATGCTTATGTTGGCTCAGCAGCTACAACCGTCGTACGTAAAACAATTCCAACTGGAAAGAATACGCAACGTATGTCAATTGCATCCGAAGAAACGAATCGATTGAATCCAACGGACAGAAATCATAAGATTTTAACAAATAAACATACATTAGAAGAACAACAACACCGAGTGTCGATGAGACAACCATCGGGAATTAATAACTCACATACTTTACCAAATAATCATACAGGCCAACAGCTTCTATTAACTTCTGGTGATATTGAAGCAATGACTATGAAACAATTTCGTATTGGTTCACTTGGATGTTGAAATTACTTTTCCTCGTCTTAATAAAGATGAACAGATGATTAAATTGTATCGAATATACACGGAGACATAGAACAGCATGTTTATTAGTCTAGTCCATAAATCAATTTGTTAGTCAAATCATTCATTTGATTTAACTTCAGGAAAGAGCTGCTCTATTTTCACATACTTCGAGAACAATCTGACATCGTTTAGAAATCCAAGTTTGCGTCAACAGAGGCACAAACATCTGTAGACGTCATTCTAGCGTAGAAAGATATATATATATATATACATGTGAGGGAAATAGATGGATGCTATCGATATTTATCATCTGTAACTTTGAAATGGCTGGATTTCCTAAAATATCTGACTAGCAATTAATACCGACTATGTTGTGACAAATGTCAAAAGACGAGACAATTGTTCGATGAAAAATAGAATGCAAATATACGGACATCATCTTGTACAACAAAGGTATTGTTCAGATTCTTTCTAGTTGATGCACAAACAGTTCGCATTGATTACTAAATAAAGATTGAAGGATCGTCTAGACATACGAACACTTTCAACTCTAGAGTTCATTCTTTCTTCGTTATTTGGTTGTTTATTTTCGCTACAAACTATTGAATTCTGAAAGAGTTTATCTTCTTTCGTTCTTTATACGTACATATCAATCAGTATAGGCAATGATTGCAGCATTTTTATTTCAAAAAAACAAAATTCTGTAGGCAAGTTTTATATTTGAATCGTTAAATTAATTATTTTCCATTGTAACAAAAATATGAAATGACAAGAAGTGAAAAGAAGTAGTAATGATAATCTTTCTTTCGAATGTAATATACGTCACTCAAATCAAGAACTACAGCAAAACTTTACAGATTGTTTGACAATTTCAACGTTCCAGGATTGTTTCTTTTGTTGAATTTGGTGGTTTTTTCCTTGATTTCGATTTGAACTGCTGCACTATCAACATTGGATGTTGTCGCTTGACTTTCGTCGTCGGAATTTAACAACTGATCTTCTTCTTCGTCAATGTCTTGTTCCAGTTTATCAAAGCCTTGCTGACGAGGATGCAACCAATTAGTAAAGAGCGAACCACCACTTGTGCGATTGTTTTTCAGATCAATAGAGTATGAATTCGAACGTTTATCTTGACCTACATATAATATTTAGACAAGTGCTTTACGTGAAAGAGGAAAGGACTTTTTCCATACGTGATTTCAATATTCGATAAACGCTGAAGAGAATGAGCGTAAGAGCCGTTGAAATAAGAGTGCATACTGCTATGACGATTGTAACTCTTACTATTTTAGGTGCAGTAGCTAATTTTTTGAATACAGTCATGGTTGTTTCCGAGAAACTTGAAGTCAAAGTTGCTTTAGTTTCATCTTTCTGAAGGACGAATTTGTGTATAGAGTTCATGGGTGGTGACACCAATTCCCCGACATAAACTTCTGCAGCTGCTCTTGAAACAGTTATGTCGTGTGCAGCAGATAAAGGCTGAAAGGAGAAATAGTCGCCCGTTTCACTTTCAACTACTGTTACTCGCTATCTACTCACTGGATTTCTCTCGAATAATGTGACAATTTCGCCATTTTGTGCGTTGATTACGTAGATCTTTTCGTTCGCTGTTTGAGGACCACCAGTAACAGCGAACAGAAGTGCATTTGCACCTAAATAAGAGGACACAGTTGGAACAATAACGAAGACTTCGTTTCATAGTATCAAACCTTTGACATGTGGAGCAAATTCAATCGCATAAATGGCACCATTTGTTCCTCTGGGTTCAACATGTATTTGGCGGAGGAAATTTCCCGTTTCCGAATGGAAACATTGAATGCGGAAATTTTCACGATCAGCAGCACACAACAAATACGCATCTTCATTCAATGCAATGGAATGAACGACATTCCATTCATTGGGTAATGGATAGTCATCGCCTGAATGATATCTTTTGACTTAATCAGTCAAGTTAAGCCGATAAACTTACTATCATGCATGCCACTCATTGACGAACCCCATTCTTTAATAAATTCACCTTTTGCATTAAATTTGACAATACGACTATTGCAGTATCTAAAATATCAAAGATAAACTAAATTGATTCGATATTCTGTCGAAAATACTTACCCATCAGCGACAAAAAAGTCTCCGTTCTTCATTACAGCAACATCTGCTGGTCGACAGAATCGATTGGGACCCGTGCCCGATTGAAATTTCTGGCCTACAGTCAGGACCGGATGCGTTAAATTATCCGATTTAAACATAAATACTTGATGCATGGCAATGTCAGTTAACCAAAAATTTCCTCGATGGTCTATTGTTAATCCATGTGGCATGTAAAACAGATTGGCGCCCCATTGGGATTTAATCAGTCCAGTTTGTGTATCAATATGTGTGAGAACGTTTTCTTTAATTGCACCGTAGATTTCATTACGAAAACGAACGCCGTCGAAGTATCTGAAAGGTATAATGTTGTATTGTATGTGAGAATGCTGTATCCTACTGAGATTCCCATCTTCGTGTACCACGATGGAACACAACAAGTTCTTTGTCAACATTGTTCAAGGCAATACCACCGACATGACCAAGTTGACTTGTTGTCGTCTTCTGTTCAGGCCAAGTTTCAATATTTGTGTATTTTATAGCTGAAGAGAAAAGAAATAAGCGTTGGTTTGCACGACAAATACCTACAATTTCGAAGTGCTGTTGTTTCGTGATTGTTACCGTGAGCATCATGATTGACCGTAGTGATGCCATCTGGGTTAGGCGGAGCGATTAAACTATCTTCAGGGAGAAGACTAAGTAAAAATGTTGTTTTTCAGTGAGAATATTGAATAATCCAAATAGCTCTCACCTCGACATCTTACTGACTGTATCACCCCAGCAATCTCGAACAGGTGCTCTACCGTCTCGACTTTGTGTTGCTTCATAGGAGTACATTGCATAAACATTGCACATCTCATCAGAATGCGTCGACCTAATCAGATGTACTTGAGCATCATTCTGGTGATAAAACTCAAAATAATCTCACCCAGCATGAATGATTCGATCGTCGTTATTATCATAAACACATTGCCCGATAAAGAAATCGCCCTTTTCGATTTGAACAGGCGCTGAAAGGGGATAGAATGCTTGTGGCCACTGTGGATTGCCTTTTGTAACTAGTGACACGGTTCCATCACGTACTCGATACAGCGAATTGACGCGTGCTATTAGTTAATTACAAAAGAGTAAGCTTTCAATGAAACAAAAAACTAACCCCATTGATGAGCATGAACACGAACAGCAAAAATAGAAATGGGTGGACCATCATATTCACACGAAAATGGTGTACGAATAGCTAAATTAGTCATGGAAAATTGACTACCAATTACCAAGACAAATAGCACAACTTACTCTTTGTTTTTGAAGGTAACAGTATAGCACCTGTAGCGCCTAGCATGATACCAGCATGATATTTACGCCTACGACATAACATTCACTGAAACAAACTGCTCCATTCGATTGATAATATATACATACAGTTTTCGACTTAGAATAATTTGATTTCCCGAGTTATCGCCCCTTGCTACTGCTAAATAATGAATATTCACAACAATGTATTTGTATGGTGTATTCTTGCCAACTGGAAAACCGACATCTATACTAAATAGGAATGAGTTCTATACTTCTCGTTATAATCCGATAGGCGAACCTTGGGGTAATTTCAATGAAGGTGCATTCAAACCCCATCCATGGACAATCATTTGTTCGCCTCGACATGTTCCACCCTGTATCCTATATTTGATGAAAGTTACGAAAAATCATCACCGGTCAACGTCGAACAAACCAGAATGGTAGATTAGAAGCTGGTTCTGCACATGCATACGTCAGCATATGATGAGCGACATTTGAATTAATCAACGGTGTATATCCAACTAAAGTAAACCTCATAGATTGAATAAAACGAAAAAGAATATCCAATCATACTAATTTGTAATTCTTCATCGGGTAATTTGTATTGCACGTACGCATATTCATCTTCCTGAAAGAAATGTCGAAACTAAAGCAAAATGCTGGAGTTTTGATGTCACATACACGTGTTGTCATAATGTTTGTCATAGTTATATTCGCGATGAGAATATCTTTGTCGTTTTCCATTTTCTGTCCGTGTCGACGTTCGACGAAATGTGAATGTCCATAGCTAGTGATATTTGCAAGAATGATGAGCAGTTGGCAGATGATGTTCGACTTATAAAAAAATCTTCCCATGTTCTATGCGATGAAAAACCATTAAGAAACGCAGTATATTTTATGAAGTTTTTTTCCTTTTTTGTTTACCTTAAGTGCACGTTAAACACGGCCAACCCCGAAGAGAAATGAATGAAAAATCGCAGCACAGAAACGCGCCGGCGAGAGTGCATTACGAAAAAAAAATCACATCAATGATTTGTTAACAGAAAAGAAAAACTGATTGTTACGCATCAGTAATCATCATACTTTTTTTTGTCGAATATTTTTCAGTCAGATAGTATAGCAAAATTTACAAGCGAAGGATAAAAAACATCTAGAAATGGGCAATTTAGACAAACTATGAAGCCGAAATTGGTAGACGCTATACTAGAACATTTTATCGAGGGCGCTGTGACATAGAAGTATGAAAGAACGTTTGGGGAGAAGTTTTATTTAGTCGTAGTAAATGCATTTCGATGAATCAAATAATCATCATGAATTTATTATTGATCGTATGAAATTATAAAAGAAGAAAATTACCAAACAGCACACTTATTCACTCGACTATTTCCTTGACCTGGTTTGCAACTAAACACTCGATCGAACTCGTCGAAATTTGATGTTGGACCAGTGACTCTAGAACAAAGTTCCATCAATATAATTCATTAAATCTCATCAAAAACGCTACCTGAATGGGCCAAGGGAGTGAACATCTGTCAGAATTCGGTTACGTGCATATGAATCAGTCATTTTGATACACCAAGTACGTGCAAAATTGATAAAGAACAATTGCTCAGGTGAATATTTCGTTAGACCTGGTAACTTTTTATCCATATTTGCATTTGCTTGTGCCCATCGTTTATATGCCTATATAACATCAAACTTCCTCAATAACAAAACGTCGCTTGTACAAGAATATATTTACGGCAAATGAAGCTTTAATTCCACCATTGTCTGCAATATCTTCACCTTGTGTCAGATAACCATTGCTCTAAATGATGGAAACATCCGGTAGATAACAGCTAAAAGATCATTTCGCGAATATAGATATACATTCATATGAATACTTGGCACTGAGTAGTTACTATATTGATCAATGATACATTGTTTACGTTGATTGAATTTCTCGATCGTTTCCTCGGGCCACCATGGCACTCGATTGCCATCTTTGTCAAATTGTCGACCAGTATCATCGAAACCGTGTGTAATTTCATGTCCAATGACCAAGCCAATACCTTCAAACGTTTCGTTGAGTTTGCTTTGTTGAGTAAATATATCATAAATACTTACCACCATAATTTAGATATCTAAATCACGAAAAGAAATTGATTTTTCGATGGTAAACTTTCCTAATATTTACTTCGGAGCGTCTTTATTAAAGAACGGCATTTGAAGAATACCAGCCGGAAAGACTAAAACACGAAAAATCAGTGGAGAATCATGCTAGTTTCGTCTATCGAACCGATTTGATTTTGGGATGGTTCATAAAATGCATTGATAATCGTTGGTGGAAGTGATCCCCAAGCTTTCTTATCAACCGGCTTTCGTAACGATTGAAAATTTTCGTTGGTTTTGATTTGTTGAATTTTGAAAATATTCTTTATATATGATGAAGTGAACACATACTAAACCATTCACAAGAGAAGACCTTTACTTTTCCATCTTCAAATATCTATTTTACCTTTTCGTAATCGCTTTCAAGTTTTGTGTTGTTGTCACTAGCAAGATAGTCAGGATAACCAATTTGTTTATCAATTGCCATGGCCTAGAATGACAAAACCTTTCCATATGAAAAGTGCAATTTCTTCTCTACTTTTTCGATTGCTTTGTCTCGCGATGCTCGATCCATCCACGTTGAACCATCAACTATATCAATGAATGAATTTCGAATATACTCGATCATGTCTAATGACTATGAAACAGAACATATCAACTGAAGTCGTGTCTTTCTAATCTCGTACTTGGTTTCGAGCATTTTCATCGAAATAATTTTTGATATACATTTTTGAAACAACAAAACCCATCATATCATTTACATAAATCGCACATTTCACTGTTCTCGCCTGTTCCGCAGTTGTGCCACGAAAGACTCGATCATATTGTTCGCGAAGATTTCGAATTGAACGAGGCATACGTCCTGCTTGATCCATGAGAAAGCGCCAGACAAAGTAGTTTTGTATTGTACGTGCGGATGTTTCATTGATAATACTTGTCGCATTAGTTAGAAAATCTAACTCACTGACGGAAACTGTATCTCCATCAGTCAACGCGACACCACTGGCTAAGTACGCTTGTTGAAGATAATTGGTAAAATCAAACTATTGATCAAAACATATTTCATGGTAGAATAGATTGAAAAATACTTGTAAACATACGCTAGTGTTGAATGTATAGACGAGATTAGATACTGTTGTTCGAACAGTTTCGTTATCTCTTGCCCGTTGTTCATCATTTGTCCAATAGTACTAAATCGAGAATTTTAAATGCATATGAAATTGAAGAGATTCTTACTTGAGCGATATTCTTCTCAAACGCGTAGATTTCTTCTACGTCTTGATCGATCAGACTTGTATCGTTGGTTAATTGTGTTGCTAGATCTCGTATAAATTGTCGATAAGCGGCAGTAATTGCTGTTTCATTTTCATAATATTGCCGTTGAGGAAATCCGAGTGTACCTTGACCCACCTGAAATCGAACGATTGAAATGAACTATCTTGAAAGATTAGCATACAACTTACTAAAATAATTGTCGCTGATGAGTTCTTCTCGTCAGTTTCACTGTTGATTTTATAGATAAAATTGTAATTGTATTGTCGAAGTTTCAATAATAGATTTGGAAGATTGAATTTAGTATGATCCCATGATGCGCCTTGTAAAATAGGCCAGCCGCCGAGTTCCGTGTTGATTAATAATAGAATCGGTTCGACTCCCTCGGTTTCAATCGCTGCTTCATCAACGCACGAACTATACAAACGCCGAGCATTGACAATACAATTGAGTTCATTAGTTTCACTGCTCGATGGTGTAGATAACAGATCTAGAAATGTTAGTGATTACTTCATTACAAATAAAATCCACTTCTTAACCTACCAATCATATTATCATCTAATGTTTTATCCAACGCTCGAAAAGAATTGTATGCGTCCACTAAACGAAACTCCTTCTGAGCAATTCAAAATAGAAAAATCACTTTACAAGCATCAGGTATTCGTGTATTCTTCAGCCATTTGCCGCAAGAGAATTGGTAAAAGTCTTCGCATGGTTCGACGGATTGATCGATGCTATCGATCAAATAATCCGCTAATCAACAAAGGAAATATCGGAATATTCAATGAAGTCATTCGACTATTACCTGCTTTGATACAGTATGATGTCAAGCAAACATCATTCTCCGTTGCTAAAGTTCAGTTTAATATTGGCATAGAAGTAAGAACAAACCTCAACAGATACGTACTGTCTGTTGATTTGTTCGATTTTGCATTTCCATACAGAACTGCGAATACAATCGTAGTAATCAGGAAAATACCGCCAAGAGCACCCAGAATAATCAGTGGTAGTTTGGAACGTGGTGCTGACGAGCCTCTACTGCAAATGAATCATAGACTACAATCTTTACAATATTCGTTCATACACGAGTGGATCCGTTGATCGAGAAGCAGACCGATCTGTCATTTCGTCTACAAATCTTACTTCAACCCAACAATAGAAGAGAAAATGGTAGTTTTAATGACACAAATTTGATAAGATCCGCCGTTTTATAGTGTTGCTTGTTCATAGGTGAGTATTACACAGATAAGATATCATAAATGTGAGGAATATTGTCATGATGTACTTTTGTCTCGTGAAAAATCGACACAATGATATAATATGAGGCTGAATTCGGTCTTCAGCAAGAAAGAACTTGTGTGAATATAACATGTCTATAGGTGGCATGTGGTAGTTTTTTTAATTTGTTTAGCGGCTCACCTATAAGACGAAATGTGATGATGATGATGAGTCAATTTGATTTACAATTGTTATTACGATTTTTTTGTTATTGCGTACAATAGACAATGGCTTCAAATTTAACATCCGTTCCTTTGGAGGCTCGCTCATTACTGGTTCTTGATTCCAATGGTGAATCGTTCTTATTTTCTAGTTTGTTCATAAGTGAAGATGGCCGTGATCAACAAACTCTTGTTATATTTATTCGGCATTTCTTCTGCGGAAGCTGCAAAGAGTACATATCTACAATATCATCACCAGATAATGGTATTACTCCCCAGGAACTTGAAAAATCCAACAAACGTCTGATCATTGTCGGTTGCGGTCAGCCAAATCTTATTAAACAATATGTTAAAGATACGAATTGTCCATTTCCAATGTACGCAGATCCTACACAGAAATTATACGATGCATTGGGTATGATTCGCACGTTGAGTTTAGCCGAGAAGAAACCGGACTATATCAAATCATCCTTTTTGGTTAATGTTGCTAAATCCGCTGTCTGTCAGTTTTCCTCAGGAACGGCAATGTTTCAAGGTGGTGATATTCGTCAAGTTGGTGGAGAATATTTATTTAATCAAAAAGGAGATATTCTCTGGTCGCATAACATGAAGAATACTCAAGATCATGTTGAAGTTATAGAACTACGTAGGATGTTAGGACTTGAGTGTTGATGTCCAGCGACATCTGTTGAATGACCGTTCATTTGTCCTTCGAGTTCGTTATACGAACATGATGGTTGTCAAATAAAATAAAGAACTGATTGATTGACTGATTGTGATCGTTTACCTGTTGTTGTTTTTTTCGTGAAGATAACTGCGTGTGCCATTTGCTCATCATGGCTGCTGATTCAACATACATGGCTGAATCAGTCAAATCCTATCCATTCTCAATGTCAGATAGATCCGCATTAAATAAAGAAGAAATTATCGTTAAAGATGATGAATTAACATGCGAAGAACATTGTCATAACGTAAGTCTCTGGTGCTATAATCCCAAATATCGCGAAATTTGCGGACGGGATGGTTTATCATGGGCGAGAATTGCTCTGTTCTACTTCATATGGCTTATGTTTATGGCTGGTGTTTTTGCATCATTCGTCGGGATATTCATGGCAATTGTCGATAAACGCATTCCACCCTATCGAGGAAATTCGAATGCAATCGCTCTAGATATATCACGACCGAATCCAGGTACGAAAGAAATGCGTGGAGAATTGATTTGAGTTTGATTATGTATTCTAGGTCTCGGGTTTCGTCCTCAAATCGGCGTACAAAAAACTTTGATTAAATTCCGTTCATCTCATCGTGATTCGTGGGGATATCGTCACGGATGGGGTCCATATAAAGATCAATTAGATCAATTCTTAGCTTACTACACAGAAGCAGATGTTCAATATCAGCAAACGATTGATTGCAAGGGGCAGTCGATCGATAGTCTCCGTCCATTATTTCGAATCGGAAAATCATGTCGATTCGATATAAATATGTTCAATGAACGTCGTACGCCATGCACAACGCAACGAAACTTTGAGTATGACCGTGGTCATCCATGTGTTCTATTGAAACTGAATAAAATCTACGATTGGGAACCTGTCACATATAAAAATGCTGCTGAAGTACCGGAACAATTCAAAGGTAAAGTAGATATTCTGATCTTTTTTTTGTGGTGATATTCGAGAATTTTAGCCATATGGTCGAGTGAAATGTCTAATTACGTTTTGGTTGAATGTGGTGGAGAAAATGATGTTGATCGCGACTTCATCTTCGAAATTGAATACTATTCAGAAATGAACACCACAAGAATCGGTGGTTTTCATCGTAATTTTTATCCGTATCTCAATCAAGATGGTTACCGAAGTCCGTTAGTTTTTGTGTACTTCAAAAAGATTGAAACCAATGTTTTAATCAATGTGGAATGTCGTGCCTATGCACGAAATATTATTAATGATGATAGTATTGAGTACAAACGTGGTAGTGTTCATTTCGAGCTTATCGTAGAATGAAAGCAGATCCAATCCGATCAATCGCTTGTGAATTCTTAGCTATTTGAATCTCTTGTTTCCATTTGTCTTCTTCTTCTTCTGTATTTGTACAAATTTTTTTTATACATTCCATCAAAGTGATCTTGTGCTTCTTTGATGACAATTCGCTTCTTGCTCATGACGTTTAGTTTATCTAGACATTTTTTCACTTGTGCAAATTTTCTACTCATACTTTGTATACGTGCAACTTATAATCTTTTTTTGTCTATCAAATAAATATAGAATACGGATGCGTAGTTATCGAGAATTTAAATTTGACCGGTATGTTTCACCTACGTGACCTTTATCGATAAATATTGACCTTACTCGCATATGATGTTCGGTGTGGAAGAACTGATCATCTGGATATCATTTTCGTGTTCTTAGCATTGTAAAAAATGCGTATCCGTATTTGTTGAAGATTTTAACAAAGCATCCCGAATGGCTCATCTTCAATATTTCTCATACAAAGGCGTTGGTGAACGGAATAGAAAGCTTTTCAAGTATTCGCAAGCTGTTCGTGTTGGTGATCGAATCGAATGTGCTGGTCAAGGCGGTTGGGATCCGATAACGGGTGATTTTGACGAAGACATCAATAAACAAATCGATCAAGCATTTAAGAATGTTCAATTGAACTTAATCGACGCAGGTGGAAAGGGCTGGGAACAAGTTTATCGTATTGTGTCTTATCATATACCATTGGATGATGTTGCTCTCAATGCCATGGTGCGAAATCTTAAACAATGGTGTCCAAATCATGAACCAATCTGGACTGTTCTCGGCGTTTCACAGCTCGGCGAGAAGTCGATGAAAGTAGAAATTGACGCATTTGCTCATGTTCCTAAGTAGATGTCATGTTCAAAGGAAAGACAAATAGATGATTTACAGCCATATATAATTCTCCGATAAATTTATTATTTGTTTGTGCATAATCAAAAAGAAAAGAGAACGAAAAAATATCTATGTAGATGTAATTTATCGTCGAATCGTGTTGGCCGTCGCAATTGCCGTATACAGATGTCTTAATTCGGCAGCATCATTCAATGATTTCAGTTCAGCATCATGAAATGGATCATCTGAACCCAATGCGCCATCGAATGTCGCAGTTAAATCGTTCGTAGCAGTTGAATCACAGTTATTAAATGACCGATTGTTCTGTTTGACTGAATTAGGTGAAGAGTCTGTTGAATGAATAGGCGTTGGTAGACTTAACGTATTCGATGGTATGATTGATGGAACGCTCACCGGTACGGTATAAGCTTGTCGATTAACATCAGGATAGTATATGTCTCGTACCGATGGCAGATGATACGAAGGAGATATAGAAGGCTTACTTGACACTGGTAGAGGAAGAGGAGCAGGTGTTACTGGGAAGGACGTTTGAATAGGAACCGGTATGTGTACTGGAGGATGAGCATTTGATAAATGCGGTAGTGGAGGTGGCGGCATATAATTGACAGGAAAAGGAACCGTTGTCGTGTGTGGATGGGAGAGAACTGGGATAGAATTGATTGGTTGAACACTAAAATAAACAGAAAAAGTGATTTTCGAATACTCGACTGCGAGTTTTACTTTGTCGTGACTGTTGTGGAAGGTGATGATACTTGCTGTTGACGCAATGTATCTGCTTCAATTTCTTTCTTTTTACGTTGTACATCTTCTAATGCTTCCAATAGAACTTTCTTCTCCAATGTAAAATCAATCTATATTGAACGAAATATAAGAAGAAGAAACTAAATCGAATGCAACGCTTACCGGTTCAGCAAGAATATCACGAATTTTACTTGTAGCATACTGAGGAATATCAACATTAGGCTAAAACGAGAATTTTCTGTTACTGAAAACGAAATTGTTCATGTTTGTTTACTTACAACGATAATCGTTTGATATTTGCTATTGATTTGAAAGGGAATATCGTCTACAAATCCTTGTAATGATAATGCAGCTGCATTGTTAAGTGAATGATTGTATTCATCATTCGATACGGATGAATATCTTCCATATTGATTTGATTTCTGTCCGTTGGTGTATGATTGACTCATTGACATCAGATTAGAAAAACGAATCGAGTAATATACATTCAAAATCAATAAAAATGAATTGGATAAGCTGTTTTTTTGCTTCGAAAAATCTAAAATAATTTAATTGAAAAACAAATATGTCGCTTTCGTTTTGATATCATGCACAAAATAGCAAGATAGAAAGAAGAAAACATATGAATACTGTGCAATAAAGCCAAGCTTTGTCAAATACTATGGCACTTGTCGACGAAGTGTTAAAAACGAACAAAACAATAGAAGAAAGAAGATAAAGCAATTCTAAATTCTAAGGAATACATCGTTTTGTAAAGTTTCAATTGTTTGAAAGCTAACTCCGATGATGTTTCATGCTTTTAACGAGATTCGCTAGAAGTTGAGTGGTGTCCATCGATGATGAATTCGAGTGTTCTGATTTACTTTTAGTCGAAATACAATGATTCGATTTCGAACGGACTTCCAACGATGAGAAATTGTACAAAAACGTTCCTGGAAAGTTCAAAAGGGGTGTTTACGTTCAACTAGCAATGATAAAAAACGAACCCTGTTCATCGTAAAGAATATGTTTTAACATAGTATTGACATTCGAATCAGTCGGCAGTTGAAATTGTTCGCCCGACGCTCGACAATCCATTAATTGCTTCAGCCATTGTTTCACAATATCAGTTTTTATGTTATGTACAGAGCCAGTAAAAAAGTCTTCTAAGAATTCCCCATCTGATTGAAGTTTTTCATATTCATATGCTAGATAAAATAAAAACATAATAGCTTCGATTGCTTTGCAAAATAGAAATATACCCTGTAAAAGCATATCGAAGATATCTAAATCTTTCACAAACTTGGATTCACTAGTCTTTTGATCAGCATATTCATTAAAAAGCGAGAAAATTTCTCTTCCAACATCCGCAGGCAATAAACTGGTTAAATATAGCATCGCTTCGGTTTCTCGTCGACGTTTTTCTGTTTTCGGTATTCCATCGAATTCCGTTAGATCACCCACAACTGATTCCGCTAGGTCATGCACGAGTGCCAATTTCATACAACGTACTTTCGATTCTTCTGATAAAGTCGGTAATAACAGTGACATAACAGCCATGCGATACATGTGATCAGCAACACTTTCAACTTTTTCGACACCGTGTAGAACCCAACCAGTGCGAAACGTTCGTTTGGCTTGTCCGACGTACAGAAGAAATTCTAACAGACCATCAAGATCAGTATTCATTTTGATGTCAAGTTTGTTTTACGTCACACGAGAAGATATTTCGAGACAAATACCAACCAAATTTGAGTCTGCTTTCTGATTCATCGTCAACAACCAATCAAACTCATTTACCGTCGCACATTGACTGACAATGGAATTTTTCCCTGAAGAAAATCACTTTTTTTCAATTCGAGAATTATCCAAATAAATACCACATAACCCATTTGATATAATCAACGTCAGGCGACATCTATCGAAAGAATTCACATATCCATGCGAATGTCAAGTCTTAAGTTACCTACCATTGAAAATACAGCGAATACACTGAACTGTTGTATGTCAAAAATTTCATAAAGACTAAACAAAAATATTGCATATACCTTCTTGTCAACGAATGAAGTTATTAATGAAATCTTTCGTTGTATGGTTTTCTCCATTCTGTGGCATATAAATTTTTATCGCATGTCAAATAAAAAATAATGATCTAATCATAAAGAACAATAATACGCAGCAACGTTTCTAGGCTTTTTCAGGCGAGAAGAAAAATAACGCAGGAGAATTAATTTATACATCATAAATATGGTTTCTTTCTATTTTTTATTTACAAATATACTTTTCTATGCTGTATTGCTGACATTCTTTTTGCAAAACAAAAGGTAAAGTATTGACTTTAGCGAGAGAATAGAAATGATCGCAGTTTCACCCAGTTTGTCTCTTTGTATATTCATTTAGCACTGATATAAGAGTGTGATTATTATGGTATAGCAACGAAAGACATGAATAAGCAACGTTCTCATATGTCAATTCGTCAGATACCTCATACGCGACTTGTTGATGATGGAAGTTTAGAACTGCGTTATGAAATCTTAAATAAACTAGGCAAAGGTTCGTTTGGAACGGTGTATCGTGTTCAAAATAAAGCTACCGCCGTATTTTATGCAGTGAAAACGATTCCAAAAAAAGTAACATTATGTTGCCAGAGACAAATCTTTCAATGTTTTCTCTTACCTAGCTTGGAAATAAATCGAAATCATTTAGTCTCGATAATGAAGTGAAATTGTTAACAGAAGTCAATCACCCTAATCTTATTCGACTTCATGAAGTGTTAGAATCACCACAGGTAAGTTCGAGATCCCGGAAATCTTTCCAAATGAATAAGGGAATCTTTGAATACGCGAGGTATAGACGAAAACAAAGAAAAGAATGCACGTGCAGTTTTTATTGTATTGACAAAGTCGAGTTTCTTTAGAATCTGTATTTGATTATCGAATTGTGTGAAGGAGGTGAATTGGGTGGATATGTCAAAAGTAATGGTTCACTACCGGAGCAAACGGTGAAGCAAATCATGACAAAGTTAATCAGTGCATTGCATTATCTTCATAAAATCGGTGAAATTCTCATTACTATGTGAATCAATCGAAAGAATGCTTTGATTTTTTTCCCCATAGACGTTGTGCATCGAGATTTGAAATTGGAAAATATCCTGTTGAAAAATATTCCATTGAGTAAAACGGATGAATTCGATATTCGAGTATGATACTTCTCCGAAGACTTCTATTTTTAAGTTCTTTCTCAAATATCTTCAAAAGATAACTGATTTCGGTTTAAGTTCGAAAAAGAGTCTCACATCAGCTGACTCTCTGTTCAACGATTATTGCGGTACTCCATTGTAAGTTATTTTTTTGAGTAATCTCTCACATATATGAATGTTTTGAATAGATATATGGCTCCGGAAATACTTGAAAATAAGAATTATAGCGCTCTTTGTGATGTCTGGGCAATGGGGATTATTATGTTTTACTTGTAAGAAATGAAAATAAGGTTTGATTGTACTTTGCGTTTGCTTTCTCATCTTTATGATAGAATTTGCGGTCGACATCCGTATGTCGCTCATGATGAACGACGATTACTTGAGATAATTCGTGCAACGACACTTCGATTTGACACTGAACGATTTCGAAATCTATCATCGCAAGGTATTTCGTTTCCTACGGAGTGGACGAGATGAATAATTGATAACTTAGGCGTTGATTTTCTACAAGGAATGCTTGTTTACGATACTGTTCATCGTCGAACGATGGGCGAACTAACTGTACATCCATGGTTAACGGTATGTTGGTTTCGTTGTCACTCAATCTAATCAATGCTCTGAAATGCATAGGGCCGATCTGATAAAGAACTAAACAAGGACATAATAACCATGATGAGAGAGTTTCATGCGGAAGATAATCATCGGCAAAAAACTACTGAAATTGATCTGACAGCATTGATAAATGCAACTGCCAAACATCCAAAATTATCACGTGAAGATGATAATGAACCTGTTGTTGAACGAAAAGTAAAATTTACTTTCCATCGATAATTCCTTCTTTTGACGTCAGTGTAGGAGTTGAACCGTCAAACGAGTAGCAGACTTGATTCCAATTATGGCCCAGATCAAGTTCGTCTACGAATGAATCAAAATGCCACAGTAAATGACTTTGATATGAATATAAGAGCTCGGAAACATTCGTGAATATTTCAGAGATCGAATTTAATTGATTCATGTCGAAATCGTACAATACATAACACACATTCGGTAAACATGATAGGGTTACGTACAGGAACCGCTCGACTCGGTCGATCTCGATCGCAAGTAGATCGGTCTGTCTCGACGAAGCTTCCAGTTCCACCTCGAACAGCTTTGAATGGTTCAAATGTGATCTCCACATCACGTTCTTCAGTATTCAACGACCGGCGAACATCGACATCGACATCATCCACTATAACAGCCTTGATGATGATCAATAATCAATACTCCAAAGCTTCTCGAACATCTAGTCCATTCTCAAATAGGCAACACGCGCCTAGATTATCCTTTTATGATAAATGTCCGAATACACATGTGTGATATTTTGAACTCCTTGTTCGCACTTATTTAACTAGAATCACATGATCATGAGAAGTTATTTTTACATCGGCTGTACGCGAAACAAAGAACACGTAATTCTTTTATAAAGAATCAAGCATTATTCTTTGAAAATTTTGCGAAAGAGTGTACTCGATAGTATGTTGACAAAAGAACTCTTGCAAAAATTCAGACAGAAAAAAAAACTTGTCATTTGCAATACCAGCTTTTCTACCGCAGCACGATAATCATCCTTAACATAATTCGTTGTAATAACCGTATAAGAGTAATAAGCTGTTCGAATGTTCAACAGAATCGAACTACACATGACTTGGACTAACATCATTCGGATTAAATGGGAATCTGTTTGTTGATTTAGACATTGTCGACCCTTACGAATGTTGTTATATGTCATTACACCAAATAGAAGCATACTCATTTGCGGTACTAAACTTATCCAAACAATACTGTATATAGATAGAAAATACGAATATACACCAGCTGCTGCATAGTATTTTGGTCGAAGTTCGTAGAAGATAAGTTGATGCGTACTTGCTAGACTATTGATAAGAATAGGAATACTTGTCTTTCGAAGTGCGATTTTGATTTGACTGAACGAACGAAGCAGCTGCAGACGTTGTGCCGTGGATAGACATCGATCAAGAGATGCCAGAACGAGAAAATCAGTGGCAATACATGGTAATACCCAAGTAAAGCGAGTTTGGACAAAATTGAACAGTGATGACACGAGAAAATACCGTCCGCAAGAATTTTCACGTAATTGTTTGACTGAAAACGTAACAAAGTTACAAATACAACCGATATTATCGAGAATGAGTATGAATATAAGGAATGTACTCATATTGATCGAGACAGATGCAGTCTCGCGTTGAAGGGGATTACTTTCAAACTAATGATTTCATGTCCAAGAAAAATATAGATTATTTTTCTTTCATGATAAGTCACATGCTTGTCATCGATATGATTTACAAAAAAACACCACTCATTTCTCACGTCTTACGGCGGATTTACTTTTCAAAGACAATCGCTTCCAGCCAGTACAAAAAATGCAAAGAAAAATCTTATAAGATGATGAATGCGCCAATATGAACCACTACCGTACACGGATTCGAGGGATGACAATCACTTTTCATCCAAAAACTCAGTTGATACAGTTCACCACTGCTTTCAATAGATTTGGATAACAGTTGCTTAAGGGCAAGTGCGCTGTGTGTACGAAAAGTGTATTGTCCTGACTTGACCTCATTCTGTACACGATTCGTTGAACAGGATTGATCACCGCAAGACCATTCATTGAGAATTGATCGTTCAAAATCACCATTTATAATTAGATTCGATGTAGAATTGAGGGTGATATCATCAATGTAAATGTACTTCTTTTCGTCACTGTTAAATGTAAAAGATACAGAAGATACCTCTTGCGATCTTTTAGCTATCCAATTGAAACAATAATACCGATAGGATTGTGAATAATGAGTTACTATTTTATAGTTTAACTCATTAGATACTATATGAATACAATCTATAGGTAACAAAAAACAAATCATAATACAGTTCGTCGAAAGAGAAAAACTTATACTTTACCAACATCTCGCGATATGGTGTTTGACTAAAAACGAGACAAGCAATTCACAAAACAGATGAATATCAGCAACAAACCTGATTTGCTACTGGTAAATGCCGCTGTTCTGCTGCTCTTTTTCGTTTGATTTGCCAACCTTCAACAACATATGAACTACCATCGAATATCTCACCAACTAATTTCAAACAAACGTCGGTCATTTAACGTATGATAGAAGAAATTGAAGTACCTGATCTACGTGAGCGAGATTTTGCTGTCGATGGATCTTCTAGATACACTGGAATCAACGAGAGAATGACAACCGTGCTGATCGTTAAGCCAATTACTGCTAGTGCAATACAGACGAAGACATTCGCCCGAGATTTATTCTGATTGACAGGTAACATCCACAAAACGCAGCAGAATGCTATTCAATTAAATGTTTGGCAATATGTCATCTTTTCCTCAATGACAACTTTATTTTTCGGCATGACTTTCATGAATTACTCAACTGACTCGACGCTGATGATTCATTCGTACATAATATTATTTGTGAAAAAGTCTCTCCTTTCTATTTTCATGGTTGAATGCACTATAATGAAAGATGCATGTCATTGCAAAACTAGAACTAAAGTATGTTTTTCTTCATGCCACGCAATTGACGTTCTCAAATGACGACAAACAGTGACATCAAGCTCTCTAAGTCCATTTCAATCGACATACAACTGACTCGAAAAATAATAATAGTATCAGCTTGATTGTAATCATTACCGAGAATCGTTCCATCTTCAATAGAAACATGTTAAAAGAACTCGTCGAATTCAAATCGACATCAAAATGATATATAAAGGCTAAATAAGCGTACAAATCGATATTTTCCATTAACATCATACTCTCGTGTCCAACAGCAGCTGCATCCGTACGAACAAAAATCATCGTATGTCTTACAATAGTATAGCTCTGTAGTCAAGTCGAAAAATTGAACGTACTAGAGTCCCCCGGTGGGCATAATTCGTCGGCAAACAACATCACAGCCAGGGTGGCCGAGTGGTTAAGGCGTTGGACTTAAGATCCAATTCACAATAGTGAGCATGGGTTCGATCCCCATCCCTGGCATACACGACTATATTTTTTCACATATTAAACAATCTCAATTCTAGTGTCACAAACATACATTTATTGGTTTGTTAGATATTCTACGAGAATAATTTCTGCACATGTAACATCAATGAGAAAGATTAAATGGAACTCTTACTAACAATCCATAGACAACTGCGTAAAAGATTTGTCCGCAAGATTGTTTTTATTCATAAATACTTTTATCTTTGCTTTGATCTAAACAATAAATGAGCCTTTTTTCGGAGATAATCATAAAGATAGACATGATACAGATTAAAGAAAACAAATCAACATGCACTTCGTAGAGTAAAAAGCAGATACTACTGATTAACATCTAATGTTGAAAGAGTTTAATGTCATCGGACATGACATATAAACCTTGGATAATTAGTGATCAAACGACAGAGACAGATTTATTATTTACGCTAACTAATTTTGTTAAAGATATCTGAGGTGACCTCAACTGATGAAAACAATGTTCAGAATCCGTTTTTCTTCGAAATGGTTGAGGCAGAATCAAACAAATAGAACTTTGCATATCTTTTCCAGAGGAATCTAAACTACAAAACTAATACACGTCGGATTTTTCTCAGCCTTTCAATACCGTGATTATCTATCTATGCATTCGAAATGCTCTCTTCAGTCGACGTCATATACGCCGTTTCATTAACTAACAAAGCACGTTCATCAACAAATTCGAGTACATCATATAAACAATGCTTAACTTCATTCTGCTCTATAAGTTCAACGTCATCATACTCAAGCATAATTAAATGCAAACAATTACAAACGTTTTCGAATAAAAAAAACATTATACTGAACAATGGCGGATTTTCTCGAGTATAGTATAAAAAGAGCTCGACCTGAAACGTAATGTCAAATATTCTTTTTAATCCCCCACATGATACCACCCTTTCACCTGAGATCAAAGTCACGCTCGTTAATTAGTGAAATATTCGACCTAACTTTTAAGTCGTAGCGCTCGAACAGTTCTCTTGCATACCCTCAAGAATGTCTAATTTCCTATTCTGGAAACGTGCACCTTTGACTTTATAACTTTGACAGGAAGTATATCCAATTATAACACGCCGAGTTTATTTCATAGTTGAATGAAACGGATAAGAATACAATAAAAAAGAAACTATTGACTTCTGTTGAACTTATGACGAGAATGACGATGAAAGTTTATTCTCATTGATTCCACAGGATTCTTTTCTGACGGTTGCAACACTTTAATTAATTGCTTCTCGTGCCGATGCTTTAGCCTTGAATTCATTTGGTTTTTACGTCGAAAAAGACGACATGGAAAGTAAGCATATAATACAGAACGGTAACGCTTCGACATGAAATAATATGTCAACGGATTGCACGATGCCGATGCAAATGAGAGTAAAAGAACTAGATCTACCCAAATAGTTGATGTTGAACGATAGAAATTCCTGTTGAATGTACCGATTGTATGGTAGATAAATAATGGGGTCCAACAAACAAAAAATTCGACGATTAACGTCACTAGCAGTTTCAATGCTTTTCGACGTTGCCGGTCCATCCTTGAACTGGTCGGTGTACAGCTTCTCGAGCTGCTATTATCCGAGCTCAAACGTCGACAGATTTTCTTCGGATGGGAGTGAGTCACTGTTTGCAGTCGATCGTACGGATATTTGTTTTGGCAAATATCCGATTGAAAAGTCGGTCGAGCATCTTCATCACTGACGCACGATCGTGAGCGACTACTGTCTTGATGGGAAGCGGGACGAAGAGTCATATCGATAGTTAAAGTTTGTGTTGTTGGCGGACTTCTCGGTCGAGTTGAACAGCAATCCTTAAAGATACTAAATGAAAACGACTGTGTGTCACTGGAAACTTGTCGCATCATTTTTGCTGTATCATTTTGATACATTTTACAAATAATCGATGTATACAATACGATCATCACAACAATTGGAATAACGAAATAAAAAGCTAATTGAACAGAAAAATATATGAGTAGAATGGAACTTTCCAGTAGAAAAGGGTCTTACCATCTACAGCAATCATATACAACTTTTGATTGAACATATCCGGTGAGATTCGTTCGCATTTATACCGGTCCGTTTTGGACAGTGAACATAGATTGTAGATGAAGATATTTGGTAAAGCTATGAGAAGTCCCGATATCCATATGGAAATGAGAATCAAAGCATTGAGCACTTTCGCATAGCGAACCGATCGAAGATTCAAGATGAGCAAAGGATGACAGATCGCCAAATAACGTTCGATACTAATACAAACAAGTGTGAAGATGCTCACTGCAACACATAAACCTAAATATACGAGAACGTTGTCAGACAAAAATAGAAGCATTAGATGTTTCCGTGTTCTTCTGACGAACATATTATGCACCCGCTGATGATATCAGACGCCTGTAATTACCTACTAGAATATTCATCCTCGCTGTGTGTTACGCACGTCATAAAAACAAGTTCAATTTTCCAGTTCAAGAAAACATTGACAAATTTTGTCGGTTTAAGCGATGGAAGAGAAAGCATTGTTCTAATATGCTTACCAAAGATGATTATTCAGTACTTTTATCTTGTTTTGTTCGAATAAAGAAGATTATTTTCATTCGACTGATTCTGTTTAAACAACGAACTCATAATCCTCTTTCTAATGTAAAACTCCGCATGCTTTCATGCCTGTGTCTACAAATTCATATCCGGACATAATTTTTCACATACGTCATGATCAAACGACGAAAACTCTTACCTTGAACGGTGGGCAAGATTTTACAAATCAGTCTTCCAAACATGAAGTTTCGTTTCATTCGAGCAATACTCGTAAATGGCATAAAACATGCGCGTAATAGGTCTGCGCACGCTAAATTAGCCAGATATCTGTTATTTGTTAATCGAATAGGCCCTTGTTTACCAAACATAACTATAAGTGCTGCCGTATTACCAATAAATGCGAGTGAGAAGATGAGTAACGAGATACTAGTGGTGATCCATTCGGCATCCGTTTTAATCGATGAATTGAAGGATGACGATGCTGAGGAAGAGTTTCGATAAAAGTTAAGCGTTCGACATTGATCGATTGACATGTTGGATTGAATTTCTCAGCTGAAATAAAAAAGTTGCTAATGTAATTTGTCACAACGAGAAATGTCAATAATTGTCCGTTTAGAACAACTTCGGAAGTTTTCTTTTTCTCCTCTCGAGATACTAACGACTATTATCTACATCATCAAGCAAGACGACGAGAGACGGAACGTGGATTTTCTCTCATCTGCTGCGATCTTATGCATTGGTGAAAATGTGCAAGAAGAAGAGAGAGAGAAAGAGAGAAGAAGGAAAAAAGAAAAGTGGCTTTTCTTCTGCTTTGAGATTGGCGAATATAATCAACTTCGACTCGAATTTTTTTCATTATGAAAACGATCAAATTTACGCTAGATGATATGTAAACAACAAGAAAGAAAAACACTAAAATGTCTGCTTTGTATAATTAAATAAAAAGTTCTTCTTACATACTTTAAAAAAGGATATAATCTTTCTTTCGGATGCACTCTTAGGGGAGAGAGAAGTCTGGAGAGATAATATGATTACGTTTATCCAAATCAATCATGCTAAGAGTCGACTCGAACGCTTCTATTCGGAAAGAAAGTCATTGTTAAACGGTAAACTGTTGAATGGATGAATTTTACCGGGTCAAAGTACTGAAATCTATTAGGCGAACGATCTGACATCAATTAAGTTTTATGCCTGACGAAAACCAATTCGCTCACCTTCTGTCGCACTGTTGTTCCTATTTTTTCTCATTAATTATAGAGATGTACTGTTTCTTACGATCTGTTCAACAGTTGCTTCTGGTTTTGAAAGTTTAAATGAAGCAAAAAAAAATTCTCCATCATTTTAAAATTAACAGACATCTTTTGCGTTTTAAGTACTATTTTCTGTTATGTTGAATTTTATAAAAGAAAGAAATGCATTGCGTCTAATATTTCCTTCCGATGATTTTTACTATTTCAGATTCATTAAAAAGAAAGATTGAAAATTCTCGCTAGACTCATTGACATGTTCTTGTTGCAATCTATTTTCAATATTGAAGAAGGAAGCGAGCTGTCAGAATCAATTAGACTCTCCATTTACCTGGTTGAGTCGATAATCTAAACACCGATTCATCTTCCATTTACTCCGAGGGCACGTTTTCGCTGTACCGATCGTTTCTGGCTTTCATTAGACTTTTCATTTTACTCCGAGGATATCATTTCCACAAAAGTAAACAATGGATAGCATAAAACTTGCTTCGTTGTCAGTCTTCTTATTTGCATAGAGATATATACTTTGCAAGTACAAAGACAGTGTTATCTAAAGAGTAATGCTATTATACTTTTCGAGAGTTTTATTACTTTTCGTTATTTCCAATAAAATACTTCATATCATCAATCTTCAATATATGATGGCGGCATGATCTGTTTAGTGTCATTTGTAATAGGTACTTTCGTAGCAGCAATATCTGGAGAAAAGGAAACGAAACTACTCATCATCCATCAAGTTTATCTACTGAACTTGAAAATTACAGCGTGATGCATGGGCTCAATACATAAATTAAGACATCATCGTTAGACATGCATCCTTGATCATTATATTCGTTAAATAGCATTCTGCTGAAGTAGTATTTATTGCAATAGAAAAAAGAATGATGAAATCAATTATTCGGAATATAAATAATCATTAGATCATTGGAGGGTAAAAGATAACATTTCGTTTGACATTGTGCTACAAGTAGATTTTTCTTTCGTTCGTCGAATTTTTCTTGCAAGATTCGTTTTCGAGTATTCTCAGGTGTTGATGAGCTACGTTCGTCTTCTCCGCTAGTTTTCGTTGCATTGGAACGAATCATTCCTGAACTGTCGCCAATGACTTTTAATAACGATGACACTGTTTCATTGATCGGAATTTGTTTTGCTGAGAATGAAATTGAAAAGAAAAGAAGATTTTTCAAGAGAAATAAAAAGAAATGAACAAACCTTGTGATGTGAGTTTATTCAATGTTGGTGCCGCTTGCCGCGTGACCATCGATGAGAATCGCGAACCAAAATTTTTGATTCTGTCCAATGTGGGTTTGTTATTCGATGATTTTTCATTGTTGATCGCTTCTAGCGAAGGCATTTCTGTCACCGAAATGCTCATTCGTCGTTGAAATGGTTCGACATCGTCCGGTAGACTGTTCATTCTAAACAATAGATAAACGAATGTGAACAACGAGTTTGAAGTCATGAGAAACGAAGAGCGAGAAGAGCTATGCGAATCTAGCCTACTCACAATGTTTTATCGAGACTAAAATCGTCGAAAGATATATAGAATCTCCGTTTTTAGTCCAAACTCTACCTGTGCAATGGTCTTTCATTCAGTTCGAGCGACTTTTGTCCACAATGGTTTAGTACGGATACAAACAGTTGACCAATTGATTTTAGATAATCTATGCAGATAATGATAAAGACAATCGGAATTTGAATAGAAATAATTAGCATTCTCTACCATTGATTTGATCGATTGTTTGAAGAGTCATCACAGATGTATTAAATACTTGAATATATGTGCCGCGGAATTGATGATAATAACCACCGGTTTGTCCATCTTTTATATAATGTATACGAAGTATCCAAGAACTACCGGGTGGTGACGAAGGATTCGGACCTAAACATACGTGTGAGAGATTTCTTCGTTGAAAATGAGAGTTTTACAAACCAATTTCAACTTTGTCCACAGATGCTAATGGTGTTTCTTTACAAGAAATAACTTTTTGAAAAGTTTCGTCATAGCTACAATAATTGTACATGGAATGCAAATATTTTTATAATCTAACTCTTACCAAACAACAAAATATCGAGTAGATGTCAGAACTAGCACACAATCAGGTTCCGTTTGTTCAGCCAATATTCTGAAAAATTCGTTTTATCGAATATCAAACCAACGCGAAGTGATTTCCTTACTCATCTAGATCACTATCGTTTATGAGAAGCCATGTTCCAAGACAATCCTCTGTTTCTTCCCAGACACACATTTTCCGACAGTCGAGAATCATTTGTTTCAACACTTCTTCACGATTGATCACCTTTAGACAAAGTCTTTCGTATTAATGTCAATATGAAGTCGAAAAACTTTACATTTTCATTGGGAATTTCGAACTCGAGACCAGCCGTAGCCATTGTGTCTTTCGTCGAGTCGACTGCAGCTGGTTTTTGCTTTTGCATAGCATCATAACATTGTTGCCGTAGAGTATCTTTCTTAAAACGGCGATAATAACGATTTGCCGAGATTTTTCCGTCAACCAGGACACCTTTTAAATCACGACGACCAGTACGCGTGAAATCACCCTGAAAATATTCAACGAACAAAATCATTACATATTCTTTTCGTTAATATTAGTATTTACAAGTAATCGATAATCAATTTCAGACAGGGGGATGTAGCTCATATGGTAGAGCGCTCGCTTAGCATGCGAGAGGTATTGGGATCGATGCCCAACTTCTCCACTTTTTTTTTATCTCTTCGCTACGAATTAAAAACAACCCACAGAAAAGTCGATTATTCTGTCTAATACGATTTCATTCATGTTTTTCTTCTCTGTCACACGTGCGACAAGCCTGCATGGTAAATAGTGACGAAAAACGTCTACTGAAACTTTCGTTTTCATTTTATTCATTTTTCGTAATTCAAGAAACGTAGTTGCCTTTTATTACACATGGCTTCCTCGACGGATTCGACAAAAATCTTGTGTGCAATATGTAAAAAAGCCAAAGGACAATTTAAATGCGAAGGATGTTCGCAAGCTTTTTGTCCAAACCATTCAATAGAGCATCGAAACGAACTCAGCAAGCAATTCGATGAAATTGTTTTCACTTATGATTCTATTCAACAAGCGCTCTTACAACAAACGCAAGGCCTTCAACAGCACCCATTGGTGCAAAAACTCAATCAATGGGAAGCAGATTCCATATTGAAGATTCAACAAGTGGCCCAACAGCTCAGGAACGAATTGTCGAATGAGCTTATGCAGTGCACAAGTGGAACGAGAAAAGAATTGCAGGCAGTGTCTAATGAACTGAAACAGAGCCGAGAAGACAATGATTATAGCGAGATTGAATTACGAAAGTGGACACAAAAACTAGAAAGTATTGAAAAAGAATTCCGAAATCCTACGGATGTAGGTATCTATGAGGATCCTACTGCACTTATTCGCAACATCTCTATAGTTCACCAGGGTATTTTCGATGCATTTGATCTCACGTCCGGTAATGGAAAGATAGAAGAAAATGGATATGTTGTGACGAAAGACAATCTTTCTGGTCACATAGAAGTACGCGGAAAAAATGAATATACCACTGGAAATTATACTCTGAGATTTCAAGTTGAATATTTAATGCCGAATGGTTGGATATTCTTTGGAATAATTTCGAAATTCACGCCTACGAAAAATGAATCATTCACCTCTTCGTCAACATATGGCTGGTCGAATCGACATCAAACTTATACTGCTGGTAATCTCGATAATTCACCAACTCTCGAAGTGCTGGAAGGCGATGTCATTGCACTACTGATTAATTGTGATGAACAGACAATTGAAATGACAAATGAAAGATTAAACCGTACTCAAAAGCTTTCGATCGATACTCATCAATGCTTATTTCCCTGGAAGCTTCACCTGAACCTTCATAAACCCAATACGAAAGTACGAATTCTATTCGCAAACGATTAAAAGCACAACGAGAAATCAATACATATGTTAAACTCTGCTTTAATTCGATTATCTTACCTTCATTGCATCTGTGCCTGCATATTGTCTACTAATAGCATCACCATTATCTGCCCACATGGTTTGAAAGATAATCCTGGCATCGTCATTCAGACCACCTGCGTCTATGTCTAACAAACCGACTTTTTTCAGCTACAAGAAAAAAACAAATTTGCTTTTCAAAAAAAAAAATCTTTCTACCATTATTTCTAAAATAGTTTTCGCAATTGCAGCTTGAACAACATTTGTTCGATCGAGACAATCGACACAATTCACACGAAATACACTTGTTTGATCACTGAGTACCGTATTTTTCTCCGTATTTATCCTATAATCAATATTTACTCAATTGAGTGTCATAGTAGGGAAGCAAAACATCACCAACCAAAAAAACCGCATTTCTCGAAATATATTCTTCTCATCCAAGAGCTGTAAAAGCGCCAGTATATTTCCGAATTGTAAACCTTTGCTAAACACAACACAAAAATCATGATTTTTCCACTTATCAAAACTTGCTTACCAATATTCATGAAAATCAAATGTAATGTACAATAAATGTGGACTGTTGTATTTGATAATATGATCAAAAAATGTGTCGTTAAGAATATTTTCTTTTCCCCATTCATCGATGAGACTAATCAACACGAGTTGATTGCCTTTCGTTCGAGATAACTGGTCATCAATGTGTTTAATGAATGCCTCGTGAGATTCATTAAAACCTACAAGTAAAAAAAAGGCAAAGATGAACCTTTTTTCCTAAAGAATGGCAATCTCCAGGGAATTTCTCGTTGATGTTATTAAGTATTTTACAGCGAACAAAGAAAGAGACTTTTCTCGCTTCAATTCGAAGAAAGTCAATTGTTTTCAATCTTATTTAGTTAAACATTAGTAACGAGCAAAACGACAAGTTCGATATTCGTTGACTGAAATCATGTTTCCTTTATCTTTTTTAACTCTATAATACGCCGACGATCTTTTTTTTCTTGCTTCTCTTATCGACGGCGTCGTTTTGATCGACAAGAAGAAAAAGAGCAATATAACCGTTATTCTTGGATGCATCTTCCTTTCTCCGTCTTTTTCTGATGATGATGGATGTGACAAATGCGACCGAATCTGTCCTTATACCCCAATCATCCATGTTGATCTTAATCCTAACAGGTATTGTCCTTTTCACGATTACAATATGGACAATCATTGGAAACACAATCGTCATCCTAGCATTCATTATTGACAAGAAGATTCGACAAGGTGGAATGTCGAACTATTTGATACTTAATCTCGCCATCAGTGATTTACTACTAGGTATTGCTGTTCTACCGTTTTCAGCATCGTATTCTACATTTCATATATGGCATTTTGGTAAATTTCTCTGTGAAATGTGGTTAATTATCGATGTTCTATGTTCAACGGCATCAATTTGGGTAATTTCATTATTCTCAAACAAAGTTTTCGTACGAAAATACTTTTATTCATCTAGGGTCTACTTATGATTGCTTTCGATCGTTATATCGCCACAAACTATCCGATATATTATCGTCATCATCGACATTCAATTCCGCGTGCATCGGTTACCATATGTATTGCCTGGTTTGTGTCGATCGCTATTTGTCTCTTACCAACGTTAATATTCGAGAAAAGTCCTCAACTGATGACGACAACCAAATACAATGCACAAACTCATCAATGTGAATTATTCAAAGATTCGAGTTTTGTTATCACAAGTTCTCTCTTATCATTCTATATTCCGTTAATTATCATGATATTTCTATATGCGAAAGTCTTGTATGCAATCAAACAACAATCATCGCTTCGTCTGAAAGTGAATAGTATCCATCGAACGATACATGACAAAGTCAACCGGCAAATAGATAACAACCTCATCGATGAAGATCTGCCTTCATCGGATCAACAGCAAATAGGCCGACGAGAATTATCAGCGGAAGTCCGTGTCACTCGTTCATTAGCCATTGTTATCGGTTGTTTCATATGCTGTTGGTTACCGTTTTTTACTTTATATATCATTCGAGCTGTCTGTGATTGTTTGAGCTTCAATGCGATCGAATTCTTTTTCTGGTTAGGCTATTCGAACTCGTCAATCAATCCGGTTCTGTATGCGATTTTGAACAAAAACTTTCGTGACGCATTTCGTAATATTCTGTGGAAAGATAATTGCGCGTCTTAAAATGTTTTACTGGTTTTTTATGTAATATTCGAAATAAACAGCGATGTTTTCATATTCAAATGAGATTCTCCTCTCTTCTTTCTTCTCTTGTTCCGGTCACGACATGCGGAAATGACTTTGGAATATTGATCGTCTACTAAACTAACTTGCGATTAATCAGCGGCATGTTTTATTCTTTTTTCTTTTTACAATATCCATTGATATCATTAACAAATGTAAACATGCAACAGATGTCTTTGTATCTCTCTTTTCTTCTTTAATTTAGATTAAGAAGATTTCTTTTTCTGTCAATGATCTGAACAAACTCATTTACGACTAACTCAATCAAATCTACTTGTTCAGATCAAGTCGCTAGTTATGTCTATGACGCACTCGTATGCAAAACAATTGAGACGATTTCTCAGCATGAGAGAGTATATGCATACTAATCTACTTAATTCAACGATTAGTCGGTAGAAATTCTCTAGGTGAATATATCATTAAACGATCGGAGAGTTTCAATCATCACAATGAAACGGGAGAAAAGGAAAGGAGTTTATCGAGAGAAGATCATCAATAATAATGAGATATTATTGTATAGATGTTTATTTTTTACATATGGAAACATGACATTTATGGCTTGATGCATGTATATTTATCATCTTTGTTAACGTAGACGATTCCTCTCTCGTTCTCGAAGAAATTATACGTTACCGATAATGTCTTCGAATAGATTTTCGAATGAAAAGAAATTAGAAGGTTAAATTAAGGAAAATGTCGCCGAATGATTCGATTTAGTAACGAAATTGCCGGTAGAAATGACGTATCACTCAACATGAATGATCAGTAATAGTGCGAGACTGTAGAGCATCAAGCAGTGACCTTTCTTCGTGTTGATTTAACTTACTTCGGTCTATTTTCGGCGGCGGACGATATCGGATTCCCGGTTGAGACCAATAAAATGGTGCCGATCCGCGAATCATAACAAATGACATGATATTTGAGCCAATTCGAAGAATCTACAAAATGACATTATGTTCGATTGAAGATAACAGTTGTTTTCGTACTGACTTGTTCGGTCTCCACATAATTAGCAACATTCCCATCTTCATCAATCCCTCGACAGTGCATACGAACACCTGCGCGATAACGATTTCGTCTTGAAATGAGAATTAATTGCGCGTCGGTATCATGATTGACTTGAAAGTGACATTTGTTGAAGTAACCCATGATTATGGGCTGGATCCATCGAGTATCGAAATGTTTTTTCTATTAGAAAGATAATATATGATAAGGAAAAGAAACTGATAAACAAAATTTTACATCGGCTTGTTCGATAAATTCATTGAGCATCTGTCGATTCCAAAAGAATCTCTCGTCAGCACGTTTCCACAATGGAATTGTTTCGTCTTGATCTAATGCACGCTGTATGGTATTGGTTAAGTCATAAGTACGACTGTAATAAAAGCATTGGGTTTCTTGATACCATAAATGAAGTTCCTGTTTGAAAAAAAAAACAACAGAGTTCAATTTCTTTTCGATTGTAATCGATCGTACATACTTCAATACATTTCGATTCATATTTATTGTTTGTTGTAACATTTGCACGACCTATTGACTCCTAAATAAATATCTGCCGTGTTAAGTCAATGTTTATGGGTGACAGATGTACCTCGTCAATATTGTCAAATGGTTGCACAAGAATATCTGTAACACGATAAATTTCGTGTCCGTTTTGTATAACACATACCATCTCCTGATTTTTGATAAATATCAACCAATGAAAGCCATCTATCAAAGATAAACAAGCACTATAGAACCATATAAACTCAGTTTTACCTTTAACAATTTGAATTTGTCCTATATAGCCGTGAATATCACTAACAAATGAAGCATCCCATGCAGATGAATCCAATAGGATCTCTTTTGATATGGGTTCTAAATGAATTTGTTCGTTGACAAACAAAGGAATTCGAAAGAAAAGACGTATACCTGGTTTTGTATAAACAGACAGACTTCTTCTATTAAACCATAGACTATGTTCTTCCGTCGTCACAATCCAGGAGTCTTTTGCTTTATACAATTTCATTCTCCGTATCTACGATAGAAAATTTCCAAACAAAGATCACATTCTAGTTGAAGGAACTTTAGTAAATCGAATATCATTGTTATCGACAAGATTATATGTATATATACATGAACATTTTACAAAAGAGATCAATAACAAAAAAAAAAGTGTATCAATCGTCGTAATTATCATCATCAGTTCGGGATGCTTCGATCTTTTTTCGTAGAACTTCCTTGGACATTTCTTGCGTTCGTGTCCAATCGTCTTCTTCGACTTGTTGTGCTTCTTCTCGAGCCTAAAAATGCTTGATAGATCGATGGAGGAAAGAATATTTTTCATCTACCTGTTGAAACAAAAGTTCCTGTTGTTGTCTTAGTTCTTCATCGGTGTAGATCGATGTCGATTTTCTATGAAGTTTACGGCGTTTTTGTGCCAATTCAGTCTGCGCTTTGTTCATTGCATCTAGACAATTCGGTCGATATGAAGCAAAACCGAGTTTTTCCAATGCTAAAGAACATTTCTAAATTATTCTCATCTTATCAGAAATCCTCTTACCTGTAATAACATGATCCGGATGGACAAGTTTCTTTGTCTGTTGTTCACAAACTGTGTTCGCTTGTAAGGCTAACGTATGAATGAATTCATTGCAACATTGAACGAAGAATTCTTTCGCGTCACTCGACACCCGTATCTGACGAGTACAATCTTTAATCATTTTATGCACAGCAGCACGTGGCACGCATTTATCGTCTTCATCATTACCAACGTGATTAGGAGAACTGATCATCTAGAAAACAAAACAAGATGGAAATCGATTCTCGTTTTCTTTCTTTTAGAACGCGTCGAAATAAATATTGGACTTTTTGAAAGTAGATAAGAACAAAAAAGATATAAAAACTCGCATGTCGTATGTGTGAACAGTCATTCTTATAATGAATCATACACAATGAGTCACGCCTACCTAATTCCAATTAATCATTCGATTCGATTGTGTCATCTGACATCTCCTGAGAATTCTCAAATATCAAGTGTATCAAAACAAGTGCTACACAACGATTCCCTGCTCGTTCGTAATACAATACCCAACTATCGTCCGAATGAAGTTACGAGTAATCTAATCGTCGAAGTAACAAAAAAAAGAAGAAAAACACGCACAAATGATATAAATTGATTTTTATTGAAATTATAAAAACAAACATAACACAAAACTGATAGATAAAAGACTTATTAGTAAGTTGTTCGTTTGATTTTCTTTTTTAGTGATTATCGGTGACTAGTAAGAAGAAAAACTTTGTAATGTTTAGTTTGTGATGATTTATCGTGAGTTCGATGAAAGAAAGACAACTGACTAGATGAATTTGCTCGGAGGAAATAGATGCATCCAGAGATACGTTAATGGTATGCCGAATAGACAAACTTTGACGTAGAACGATCGGTACTGTGGGATAATTACTAAGAGAAATGTGCTTAGAAGGAAAAAGATTGCCGCGAATATGGTTAAATTGAAAGTAGATTGAGCACGAACGCTTTTACCATTTGAATCAAAATGTGAATCGTTTCGATTTGGATCATAAAAGCGTTCTAATAATCTGAAATATTCAAATAGCGGAATACGATTGTCAGCTTCTTTCGTTCGTGTTTACTTGTCTTTGATTAGAAATCGCTGGTAGAGCCAATCAGAGATCTGTTCATTGCTTTCCGATGGGACTGAATTGATCGGAATTCGTTTGATATGAATATGTAATTCTTTGGTTTTTCCTTGTAAATATTCTAGAGTCATGTCAAGAGAATTAAGCAAATTCTTTCAAAATATCTATTTGCTTACCAATCATTGATGATGCACCTAATCGTACACGTCGATGATTATCATATGTTGGATAGTACATAGCTGTGATGTCATAAACAGCATCAAGTTTATCTTTGAGAGCATTTATTGCAGCTACCGTTGCACCCATTCGTGGATACAGATGATTAATCAAAGGTGAGACACCTGCAAAGCGATTTAAGGCATGTGGATGATGATTCGCATTGCGCTTTGTTTCGTTACCTTTTTTCTCTGCGAACTGTCGTGATCGTTCGATGATCTCAGGATTCTTTTCTGGATTATAACGAGTGCCTTCAGGGAAGACAACAAGCCAGACAGGCAATCCGTTGCGTTCGATTTGACGCATGCCTTTCTCGACACGATCGAGATCTTTTTTATCAGTTCGATGGACATAAATGCAACCGTGCTAAAGAAAGCTTTGAATAGAGAAAGACTTTCATCGATCGGTTTACTTGTTCAAAATAGAATCCATAGAATGGAATTCGTTTCAAATCACTTTTCAGAACATATCGAATATGTCCCAGGCTACCCTGGCGAATAGCCAACATGTTGACAATGATCCAATCCACTACAAGCAGAAGTGTTGTTTGATTCAAACGGAATCGTTTATCTTACCAGAACTTTGATGATTGGATATGTATAAAACATTTTCCTTTCGACAGAAAATTTCTTCATAATCACCGTGAAAGTAAATCTGAATGTAGAGTAGAGAACTCGAACGCAAGAAAATACTTCGATCGACGTACTTTAACCTGAGACCAACTTTCGAAGAAGAAAAGAACGAATCGTTGATAAGCTGAGTACAACATATCATCATAATAACGATAACTGTGGCGAGAAACACCAATGAATGTGATCAGCCGTAATATCAACCATAAAATGAAAAACGTTGGTGCTGCTGCAAATAATGTGACGACAGGAAAAGCAACACGCAGAGTATCGATCATAAATAATAAATAGGATAACATCGTTCGTTATCTAAAAGCATGAGATAAAGTTGTTGCACGCACATCGCGCAAAAAATCCCTCTTATTGATGCTAATAGACAATAGAAAGGATATCCTGTTTGCGAAATATTCAAAGACGACGAATGAAGTCGCACCGACCAAATTTTCTTCTGGGGGTATTTGTTATTAGAACGTTTATGCTCACGCTAGATAAATTTACTTACTTTCCGGTGCTTTCAACAAAGGTGGATAGATGTTTTTTCTATCTGCGAGCGGATAACTTGCACGTCGATGATGGATAATGTGAATAAGTTATTTCTATGCTTGATCAATCTTACGCCAAATGAAAGAGACACCCATTTGTAGTAAGCGGTATCCACATTCTCAAGGTGCACGTCGATTCAGTTGAAATATTTCTTCTTCTTCTTCTTTTATGGTATGCGTTCGGTAATATTTTTATGAAAATGCGACTCTCGCATAGCCATTAAATACTTCTCGTTGAAGTAGTTTCATTGAAATAAAACAATATCTTTAGTAACTATGATCAATGCTTGATTAACTCGACAAAATGCAATAGAGAAAAAAAAAGTGAAAAAAGAGAGAACAGCATAAATAGAACTGATGAATTCTGGTAGGAAAGCACTCCATCTGTTTCTATTGATTGACATCATGCGGAAATCGAGTGAAATAATAGTTGCTAAGACACGTTTTCCACTATTGAATTTAAGAGGAGAAAACAACTACAGTTTGCTTTCCGAATACTCACCCAATGTAGTTTAAAAAGAACAAGCGATGGTTTACGCGATGATTGAATAAGAAAAAAAAATTGAAGAAGAACTTTCGATATGAAATGCAATAACAATGAAATTATCTATCATTGTCAATGTTGAATAACTCGATGAAAATGGAAGGATTGATGAATGACTTTGTGATTGTAAATAGAGTTTTACTCAAGCACAAGACAAATGTCAAGTAGGGAGACGTAGTGATGTGAAGATAACCAATGAAAACAACGGATTATGTTTTGAAAACAGTCATTTTACTAGGAAAAATCATAGCGTTATTAACTGTTCCGATAACCTGTCACTGTCATCTCGCTGACGCATGAATATAGAGAAGCTTTTATGAATAAGAATAAGATGCAAATTGATTTGATAAGCGAAGCCAATCCGAAATGATCTTCTGACCCTTACAAATATATATGAATTTATGTCAAATCTCTTATTCATGTTTTCTGAATATGGACGCCTGATTCCAAAAATCTCACTCAAAAACAAACGCATGGTCATCTGATGCAACCATATAGACCTGCCATCTATCGACGGATTGTCTCAAACTGAAATAAAACGATAAAGTGAACTAATAAAACACACTTTAGAGAACTTCAACACTTGAGTATCGAACTCAAAAGACAGAATTATGAAAAAAAATCGAACATTTTGCAGATCTGCATGTCGTTAATGGAGAAATGTATCATAGATATCTGTCTCACATGTTCATTCGTGAGTGAAAGCAGTACGATCTTAACATTACTCTAGTGCCGCTAATCTGTATCAGTTAATCGACTATATATCTGCCATTTAAAGACATATTTGACTGTTACTGTTTGTTCAGACTATGTAAATCTTCTTTCACATACATCGTATTCATTTCCGATTGTCGTATTTTCTCCTTTCATCAATGTCTAACAGTCCTTAATGCTGAATTAAAAACAAATAGTCAATTATTCAAGACAATTCGCTCGTGCGACAAGTCGCGAACATAACGATAATGAGCATTTAATAATCTTCATAGAAATTGAATCAATCCATAAAACGTCCATCAATTATATATATTCATGTATCCATGTGTGAGTTTACTAGTCATTTCTTCGTATATCGACTTTAATTGGGCAGCCTGTCAACTAGAAAGACTCATGTACAGTTTCTTTCTTCTATGCCTATCGGCTGTTGTCACCATATAATGATGAGTGGGGGAAAAAGATGTATAATGTATATGATTGGGTATTCGATTTCCGATTGAAATTCATTCCTATTAAGAAAAATAAACCTATTCGAATATTGTTTCAACATTTGATCTGTTGCTGTAAGTACTCATCTTCAATATATTTCGAAAAAGTAAACATGAAACACAAGTGCGAAGTGCAACTCGTACACTTGAATGAGAACGATATTGTCAATCATCTGACACATTCGTCTTCACACAGATAAGAACGACGATTCACCCATCGCTGTCAAAAAATCGTCTGATATTTGAATGTTTTCAAAGCATTTACAATGATTCTCTCGTTCTATACATCGATCAATACGGTAATTTGAAATGTGTATGTAAATAATAATTATTAATGTCGTTGACAAACGATTAAATTGTATGTACACATAAATCATGCTAGACGATCAATTCTCTTAATTGTATTGACTTAAATTTCTTGGAAGGAAGTAATAAGGTGTGCGATCGAATCGGATACATCAGCAGAGATAGTCGACTGTTCGAAACCGTATAACAAAAAGAAATTCTTTGCTTGCGAATGTAGTTTTCTTCTAATAGAAAGTCAATATTCGTTTTGTAACTGAGATACCATTCAAATTTCTCCGTACTTGTGACAATTTTCGGCAAGGAGAAGAAATACAACATTTGTTCCAGAGTGAAAACAATCGATTGGAATTAAAAGTTTTCACAACGTTGAATTCGATTGAATTCGAAATTCTTTTTTTCTTTCTCTATCAACGACGGCGACGACCAATGGATGAATTCGACAAATAGAATTCGATTGGTTCATATCAATAGAAATTCTGTTTTTTTTCCTTCTTTTCTCTTTCTTTTTCTTCTTCTCGACACAATCTCTAAATGATTTAGTATGAAATAATTGAAAATGTCGATAAGTCCATTGAATAAAACATCTCTTCTCTACTCGAATATGCTGAAAAACCATTTTTTCTCACCATTTTTCATTCAATCATTGATCGCATCGAAGCAAAATCCTATTCAACAAGATCTCCCATCCCATTCAAGTCCAGATGAAGACGAAGAGAGCATTGACGATCACGACAATAAACACAAACGTACACGAACGAACTTTACATCTTCACAAATTGTCGAACTAGAAAAAGCTTTTCAAAATGGTACTACTCATCCTCTCGTCACCTTCTTCGTGTTTGATCATTTGATTTTTATTTCAGGTCATTATCCAGACATTTACATGCGCGAGGCATTAGCGATTAAATTAGATTTAATTGAATCTCGTGTGCAAGTCTGGTTTCAAAATCGACGTGCTAAGTGGAGAAAGATAGAAAACACGAAGAAAGGTCCCGGTCGTCCGGCACACAACGCTCATTTACAGACGTGTTCAGGTGAACCCATCTCTCACGAAGAAATTGAACGCAAACGTTTGTTAGCCGAAGAACGTAAACGGCAAAAACAAACTAAAAACTGCAAATCTACGAATAGCGATGGCAATTCATCGACTTCATCGTCTATTTCGCCGAAATTACCGAACAAATCGTCGTATTCAATCGAACGAATTCTCTCTCAATCGCCTGCGATCACTCGTAAAACTTCCTAGAATTATTTCCATTGTTTATTTTTTACAAGAATAACCCGGTTCATACAGATAGGATAAAATGCCTCGAGGTATTGTCTTTTTCATCTTGATTGTGACATCGATCAATATAATTACCACTTACTCAAGTTTAAAATGATCGATTATCCTTCTCTCTTGATGTTCGCGTTCATTTTCTCTGTAAAATAAAATACAAAATTGTCCTAATCGATCGTATTACTTCAGCTTAGGTATCAAACACGAGTTTATATTCATCGCGATCAAAGAAGGAATTTAGTAAAGGGATCAATTCTCGTTTTCGATAATGCAAACTTAATCCAGTCATTCGATAGTCAATTCGTCACTAAAAACAAATAAATAATAATTCTTGATCATATTGAAAGTAATGTTGATTGATGTTTGTTAATGAAAAATGTGCCTACAGGAGAAATATTAGTTCATCGTTCGCTCGACTAATGATTGAATTTCGTCTTGTGATTGTTCATAATCGAATGAAATATAAAAAGCTTTAAGTGCATCATTATAATGACATCTGAATGAAGTTCAACGCCCCAAATCAACACAAATAGAAAGATCATAATCGATTTCAAACAAGTTCACAAATAGTAGATTAAACCACCGGAAAAGTGTAGCGTTTTCTTCACTGAATCAATACAGATCAGATTTCGTCCAGCTGACAGCCAGCCAATTCATGGAAGAGCAAACAGTGGTCGTTAGTAACAAATAATCTGTTGAATTTATTTAGTTATGTCAACAAAAAACGTTGAAAGAATTCCAATTGGGATTGCTTCGAGCCTTTCAAAAGAGACAAAACTTCGTTCAATCGATACCAATGTCGTTGACGACCATATAATCTTCTTTCATCCCAATCGTCGTATTCATGTTCAACATAGATCACAAATACATTTGTCCGTCGTTTTCGCGCGATATCTTCGACAATTCCCAAGTCACGAATAAGCCGTCCGCGAACACCCGCTTCTTCATACAATTCTCGATGTGCTGCGTCGATTCTTGTCTCGTTTTGTTCAATGCCACCACCAGGAATAATCCATGATGTCTTATCACGAGATGTTATCAATAGAATCTAGAGAATCTCTTCGAACAGCGAACGAGTGTTAACGGAAGTTGAATTACCTCATCTTCACGTTCATTTCGCACACAGATACAAGCGGCACGTTGTCGATAACCATCGAGATCAGTTAAACGCATTTTTTCCGCCATTCGTAGGTGAGTTTAGAGATGAAATACAAACATGTTAAGTATATTAACAATCACCTTGTGTCTAGAGACAACGACGATGAGATAAAAACTCGAATCATTGAATTTCTTTGTTCGTTAGATGTCACTCGATCTTGTTGTTCAATTCAGTTGACGTGTTTCTCGCTTCGAATCGATGCAATTCTCGTCTGACTAAAAGTTTCGTATGTTGATTATTGATCTTGCATGTTTATTTGTCTTTCTTGTGCGTCGTTAATCGTTAATCACGAGAGCGAAGATACCAAGCGGAAAAGTATCTTTCTATGAAAGATAAAAACGCGAACGGATGTATTTATTCGAGAAAGCAACAACTGTCGCTGGCATTTTTTTAGGTTTCACGAAGATTTATGACGAACATTTTCTCCTTCGACCTAATCGTATGTATATGTCTATCAACACGACACACGTCTTATAATGTCTATTTATATTATATATTTTCTTACATATTGAATTGCAGGCACAGAAAAAAAAGAAAGAAAGAGAAGTTTATATCACAAAAACAAACAAGAGAAAGAAACTGCTCGATCACAAAAGTTGTAAGGCGTATAAAGATGAAGAGGAGAGTTTGTCTTTTTCAAGAAAGAGATCGTTTAAATCTAAGAGCGAGTTGAACGTGTGACGACGTTTGATTAATTGTCGATCTGAAGATGAGAAGAATGTTTTCTCGATGGAATCTTCTTTGATAATGAAGATTTGCTGATCTACATCGTGGATTTGCTGTTTTAGTGTTTGAAGAAGATTTTCATGCTCAATTAATTTCGATTTCAAGAGAGATGTTTGCTGGACTAGATCAATTTCATGTACTGGAGATTGATCGATAAAACAAATACTGGAATTACTGATTCTTTCGTAGATTTCATCATCTAAATCAACAAATACGCGTATGATTGGAAGCAAGTACACATTGTCTTTGACATACCTTTATTTGTTGGAAGAAGAAACGTTTCGTCGGTGATTTTCTTTCGTGATTTTTTTCGTCGAATATTGGTCAGAGTTTTCGATTTGTGTTTTTCATTTGATAATGTAAAATACTGAAATATATGTGAGATATCTCGCAGCGATTGCGATGGTTTCTTTGTCGCTGTGGTACTGATTGATGAGCTTATATCTGACATGGAATAAACAGCTGAATCTGTCGATGATGAAACGATTTGATTTGTTTGAAGAGATGAGTCCACCGAACGAGAGCGCGAAGAAGATGACGATTTTTCTTCTTTCTTTGTATCTCGTCGACGATTTCTAGTGCGAAAGAAGAAGAAAAAACAAACGTAGGTTTGAATGTGAAGCCAAAGCTAGGTGAGAAGATCATGCGAATTGAACGATAAAAATTTTAGCTGGGTGGAAAGATCAATCAAGCTCTGCTTACAACAAAAGAGATATCAATGTGGACGAACAACACTGGAACGATTATGTTCATGTCAAATAAGTTCCAAGAGAACCTTTCTGCTTACCTTTTCACTGAGATATTAATTGGCTTCGAGGTTTGCTGATCTGTATTGTTCGTGTTCAACGACGATAGGGAATCGAGTAGTAGAGGTGATGACCATCGTCGTTTAGCAGCACGAACAATTTGCTGAATGATTTCCGATGGTTTCGTTTCGTTGTTAAGGGATAGATCGTGATCATTACGAGTGATGCTTAATACTAGTGGTAGTTTGGGCATTTGGGGATTGATTTCCGCTGGAACATCATCTGAACCATTGTAGTCAAAAACCCATTCGTACTAAACGAAATTCGTTAGAGAAGTGAAAACTTATCGATTGACATACGTATAAAATAAATGATTCAATAATTCGAATCTTTTCTGGATTGTCCACCAGATTTGATTGTAAGGATGCTTTGGAATCCCAGATTAACGTTGGTCCAAAGATAATCGCTAGGTTTCTCGCATCGATCTAATGAAATTGTCAAGTTAAGAATAGGAAATGCTCGTCGAAGATGTTCGTACCTTGTTAACATCACAATTCGACGCTACTCGTCGAAAATGTGCACATAAATACTTTAATGTTTCAAAACGATAATCATCCAATTGCATTATCAGACGTTTTAAATCCATTAGACGATCGCGATGATTTTCAATTCGACTAGCATTGACAGCTAAACTACTCATTTCTAAATGAAGCGACTTCTAGAAGAGAATTTCAGTTTTGTACTAAGAACAAACTTGATGATAGTAAGGAATCAGGTAGTTTAGCAAAGAATGTCTTCAAGGTTGATGCTATGGCTTTCACATCGTACCATTTCTCTGAATTGAAATCGATTTTTTCTGCACCTTTATCAAATTCCGAAACAAGCCAATTGACTGCAGTTAAACCGCCTGCATTTCGATAGATTCCTTGACTGTTAATTCCGCGTAACTCGACGAGACGGGTGAGAATCTCCACTACGATGGGAATATAACGTGATATCGATGAGCATTCGCATTCTTCTAATTCAATGCCGAAATTAGTGCCTTGGGAAATGGAATGAACGCCTGAACTTGATGAAACATATTCGCCACTGCTTTCGTCGTAAATTTGTCCACTCATTTGATTGGTTAGGATCGATGAAGAAGATTTTAGTGTTCGAAGGCCTTTTTTGACAATAGATTTGACAAAGGAACGACGAGGAGAGATGCTCGATGGAGAATTTAAGTTACTCATTGATGTAACCTGCTGGTTTGTCGCCGGTTTTTGTGATTTACGCAAGCGAAGGCTAGGTGAACGTTTGAGTGACGGACTGCGTAACGATAATTTCGACTTTCTCGTTTGCGTTGGACTGGACTTTTGTTGCGGATCGTTTTGTGGTATTAAACTAGAAAACAACAATAACAACTAAAAAAGCACGAACGCACGCATCTCCACTTACTCTTGTTCATTCGTCGTCGATGTGAGTGGTAGTAATGAAGTTGCACTTTTTCTCAATGATTTATCATTGACATCAGTCAGTAACTGTGAATTATTTTGTTCGGAAGCACAATACTCCTTGATAACATATAACCATTCCGTTAATGATTGTGAGTCAGGTGCTTGAAAGAGAAATTCACTCTGATTTGAGGTTGTCACTTTGAAAACACGAGGCTTCTTTACATAATCACTTGCTAATTCAACTTCAGCATTTCGAAGATTGATTGGAAATGAATCACATGACAATGGAATTAATAATCCATGTTTTTTCTCTTTTCCAAGAAAGAGAGCGCCACGTCGAAGAACTGCCCATGCTCCACGCCATGAACGATCTGGTGCCCGACGACCATCTCTGAGTACTGTTTTACAATAGAGTATTCCTTCTTTTGTTGCTTCGATGTTATCGGCCATAGTTGTCAATAAGATCGATTCTTGTGGAGTCGTGGTTGAACTGTCGAAGAAATAGGAGCCTGACTTTGATTGATTACCCGAAGATAATTGAGGTGACAAGGAAGAACGTTGATCGAGTGCATGAGCCACTTCTGGCGTCTAGATTTCAATGGATATTTTGTTTTTGAAAACAATAGTTGTCGTGATCTTGACTTACTCCTTCGCCGAAAAAACTTTTCAGCTTTCGTATCGCTTGCGATTGATGTTGAGGAGTACCTCTAGATTTTCATTTGCAAATCACAACAAATTTAAAACATCTTCGAAAATCTACCTTAGTTTCTGCTGTTCTTCAAGCGAAACATCATAGGAATAGTTGTCATCTTTGTTTGTTCGCAAATATGTCGGAGGTAGATGGTCGATTCGACATGACAAACGTTGATCTGTCGCAATCAAGTAAGATGTTCGACGTTGTTTTAGTTCTTGTTCGCTTGTTCGTGACGTTACACCATATTGGGATACTAGAGAAAGAAAACATTCAATGTTGATTGAATAAACACAGACAAACACAACCTTTACGTCGAAAAACGGGTGTTTCAGGATTATAAGACAAAGCAAACTGATCACAAACATGCAGGTTAACTAAAGAAGCACATAATCGACAGAAGTCAACAGTAATTTCTTACCGAAATCGGTCTGTTCATTTGGATGTGCTGATCGAACGGCAGTTATATATGAATCTTGACGAATAAGACTCACACCTGAAGTTCGTGCTGGAGAATAATTATTAATTGTATATCGTTGACTAAAATTTCATGAAAGAAAAACGACAGGATGGCGAACGATTTATGTCAGATTAACCCAAACCTTTCATTTGCCGTTAATGGGGCATAATGAGATGTTGTTGTTGTTGTTGTCGATGTTGGTTTTTGAGATGATGTCGTTCGTACCGGTTCAATCATGTATCTCGGATGATTGTAATTATACTCGATATGGTTGATTTCATCAGCTAAATGGATATTAGCTTAAGAAGTTGCCTGTTTTTCGAAAAAACAAAATCATCTGTCGAATAGAATAGATAACAGATGTTGATTGTTTATTTCTAATTATGAATCCAGAAATTCTCAGGACTGTATAGCGTAAGATTAAGAATAACAAAGATTTTCGAAAGATTTTCGCCGGAAAATAATATTGACACTCGAAACGGCAAGGATTTTGAATACGCTCTACTGCCAAGTCGACTTGTATTTATACGAAGTTTTCTTTTCTTTTTTCGATCGATAGAAGAAAAGCATAATGTCCTTCAGGTATTTTTTTTTAAACTGTCAATCACTTTTTCAAGTGTTCTATTTACTCGATTCTTTCCTTCAGAAATGAATGCTTCAACATACCTCTCGGCATTTGAAATGATGTTACAATTGGTTTCATCAGCTTATATTGTGATTCATAATAGCCACCTTGCTCTAAATGATCATCTTCTTGGTAGAGAATACTTTCTTGCTGTGAGGGCGTTGGCGAATTCGAAGGTTTAGATTTGAATTTCGCGAATTTGTTTGGATCGATATCTTCGAAGTGTGATGCGCGAGTCATTACAGATTCAACATCGGCAACGGCGGTCAATCGATTCCATTCGTTTTCGTACTTTTTCTTTTCGGAATATTTCTTCATTTTCGAATCACTTTGATTATCATGAGCGAGATTTTCCACATGGCCAGTTTCGAACTGTTTCTTGCGAAAATTGACAAATTCGGTCTTCATGTCCTTATCTGTTCCCATCGAATCACTCGATGGTGATTTGACTTCGTCGCGTGATGACGACGAAGGCGATGTCCATTGAGTTTGATCTTGCGAAGGAAGATTAAACGAGGTGTTAACCATAGGTAGAAATGATGTTGATTGTTTATATTCGTACGGAATATACTCATTGTGAAATGGTGATTGATAATACGATGACGAACTCTCTTTCGAAGGTTGCTTCGAAGAATCTAATGCTTTGTGAACTGAATCGATGTAATTTGAAAAGATGTTCTGTGGAGATGACGAAGATTTTGGAGAAGGAAAATAAATTCCAGCTTGTGCGAGCTCTTCTTGAGTTCGACCTTGTGCTAGATTGATTTGTAAATTACGTAGTTTCTGTTCGATTGTATTATTCGACATGATGAATGGTGATGAATAATTATTCGATTGATAAGAATTCTTCAAAGAAGAAAAGAGCATTTAGTACATATTCCTGTTGACAGATTAGATGGTTTATCAACGGAATGCCTCAAGTTTCTCATTGATGCTGCAAGATGTTGCAGTTGTGTTGTTTTAGTCCTCCGGCTCAAGATACAAACATTTGATGTGTCTTCTCTCGAGCAACTTACTAGAGAAATGCGATCGTCTTCGTTGGGTAGAACATTCAAAACGAGATCATATGGACTAGAAAATACAAGAGAGAACAATTCGTAATGATCAATTCGTCATCTTCGTACGTATTTTGAATAGTGGCAATGACTTGTGCGTAAGTCTTTCCATGTACAGATTGATCGTTGACTGATAGCACTCGGTCGCCTGGTCTTAGGCCAGCTTTATAAGCTGGACTATTTCGGCGCACGTCTTTGACAAAGATCGTATCCAAATACTGAAGATTTTCATGACGAGTAAGACCATCATCATCGATGTTATCTTAAAACAAAGAGCATACATAAGTGTTTTCTTGTCTAACATGTCGCTCGAATCAATTAGGAAGAGAAAGAGTTAAGCAAATTATTGATGACGAGCTTTGTTTGTTTTTCTGCTTACCAGTGCTGATAATTTTCATGGAATTCGATGAGGAGATTTCTTGTTGTTCTCCTTGATGATGTCGGAAATTAGTCGATGAAGATGGAATTCTCATCGTTGTTGATTTGCCGTCGACTAATTGCTTTCGCTGATGTTCATCGATGACAACATGATATGATGCCTATTAAATAACAAATCAGATTAATCATTGACACTTCATTAAAAACAGATATCATTATATTTCCCACGATTAACTAATTAATTAGGTTAATAAGTACAAAAAAATAAAGAAGCAAACAGGAAAAGAGAGATATTACTTGATTTACTTAGATCTAAATGTGATGGAGAATAGGGATAGAAATTGCTTGTGGAGGAAGTAATTTACCTGAACAGAAGTTAATGATGGGTAAATAACATAATAGCGAAGTGTAAAACCAAAACCACCACCACCACCACTTGAATAAGCACTGGATCGAGATATGAAGATTTTCTTGGTTTGTTTCATTAATTAGTTCACTTGATGAGAATATCTGCGAGACTTATTTTGTACATCATCGTTTCCTTCTTCTGAAAAAGAGAGACTTAATGAAATCTTCTTCTAACCGATGATAATGATGAGAATAAACGCAATGTGTCAAAAGAAGAAACGATCTTATACTAACTAATTGTTCGACTCTACCAACTGTGAGACATCGCCGATACGAACACACATAAAGTTCACTGAATTTCTTCTCTTCCTGTTCTCTATATAGACATCAATGCACCTGCGTGTCGAAAGGAAAGGAAGGAATTGCCTACTTACATTGTCCAGAAATCAATCCTTTTTGTACTTTCATCAATGATTCATATTTACCTTATTCCTTTCAGTCGTACAACTTCTTTAAGTATAAAACTTGCAATGAAATTGCTTCGCGATGCAACCAAAAGAGAAAGGAAGAGGCAAGTATGCTATTGTTGTCCCTTATCGAAGTGATAGAGCGAGAAAGAGAGAGAGAGAAGACCAGCTCATTAAAGATGATAGACGAATATGAGCAGCAGTCCGGAAGCGTTCTGTATATTGTGATTATCAACAATATGTAGACGTGATAAGACAGATGGTCTTATCATTTCACTCATCTTCGATATATTTCTCCTGACCACATACGGAGCTATATTGAACTTCCTCGCTTGTTGATCATCACATTGATGATGCAATATCAACAAGACATAGAAAGATAATCAAGTTCATCAATACTGCTCAATCCATAGATAAATAACAATTCTCGTTGGCTATATCGCTGAATTCAATAAAAGAAAAGAGCTCCGACTTGTTTTCTTCTATTACGCCCAAAGAGAAACTTATCCTTGACTATACATGTAAATGCGGTTTACTTATCTTCTAAGGTAACAATCGAGAAGAATATGTACAAAAATCAATCGTAGGTGAACTGAATATTACCATATGATGACATTCAATGTCGAATAGATTTTTTTTTACAATCAATAAAACGGAAGCACATACGTGGCTCCAGGGATACATACATCATAGAAATGAGAGAGAGAGAGAACGAGCGAACGCGAGAAGTGGTGGTCAAATGACGCGTATGTCTGTTTCCGGTGGGCAAAAGGGCAGCATCATTGATTCGAGTGAAGAGGTTTCTTCAAGCAGCTAGAAATAATAGCTAAATATGAGAATGATCGATGTACGAAATCGAAGTGTATTTAATAAAAAAGAATTTCTTCTTTTGTAAGAAAAAAAGAGAAAGAAAGATCCTTCAATATATTACTCTTTCTTTCAAAACGTTCTGTTCATCATTTATTAAGTCGGAAGAAAATTACATCATACTATCCAGGTATTCAATCAAAAGAAGAAAAAGAAAATGTCCTACTTATGGTTGCATGAAGAAAGAATGATTAGACATGTTCGTAAATCAATCTTTTCTCTCTCTCTCTCACTCCCGTATCCTCGCTGAGTTTTTTTCTTCTCTTTCGCTTTCGTATCTCATTTAATATCATACTCAGATGACACAAGAATGTGCCAAATCGAGTAGACGATGAACAGATTAAACGTGTCCAGACATAAGAGAATAGATTTCGTTTCGTTATTTCTGTTTTCTATCATTAGATCTGTACATGATTCGTAAACAGAGATTAAATCATGTCGTACGAAAATGAAAATTACTGATGAACAAAACGATAATCATCATTTGCATTCTTTACACAATGAACCTTCAAATCATTTGTTTTCCAGCTCATTAAAAACAACAACTAAAAAAGTCATAGGTATACACTTACTAATGGAGCGGAGAGAGATGCTTACATAATCAACACTTTTCCAATTCCGAATATCATGCGTAGGTAGCATTTTTCTTTTGTTCATTCGGAAACGAATCGATCCAATCGAAAGTGAACGCTACAATCGAATATCGACATTCAACCCTGGATCGACGGCATGTTCGAAAACGTTTGTCTGAGATATTCGTGTTCAGATTATTGTTAAACATCTCTCTTCTAGTGTCGTATCTATTCATTGTTACTTTTTTTTCTACGGTAAATCAGGACGAAATCAAAAATTGTTACGACAGTTTCGATCAGAACAGCAATGCCGACAAAAAAGATTTCCAAGAAGAAAGCTGTTATAGGGATCGCTGGTATACGATCCATTATTTTATTTCGTTTCTCTCTCTGTTCTCTCTTTGATGTGGGTAGTCCTCGATTCGGACCGAATGGGTCCCTCTCATTTCGGCCCTCTTCGATCACCTCTTATTTGGGTCCCCTTCATTTCGGTCCTTTCTCATTTCGGTCCTTATATAATTAATTAGAATAATCATAAGTTGTGTATATAATAAGAGAATAAGCTATATAATAGAAGAGAGAAAATAAATTAACAATATTATGAGCATAACAGAGAAGCAGACCTGTGTGCATGTACATACAACAAAACTAAGTCTATTATTGCTTCACCAGTTTAGTTTTCACAGCTTTTCCACATTGAATAGCTAAATCAAGATCTGTAATTCGACCCGTGCTATGCTGTTTGAGTAGTTTGTTGAGTAGGACATTGATGTCTTCGCTCTTTTTCTGTCGTCTTGAAGCATGCACCATCGATTGTTCACTATTATGCTCTTGATATACGTGTTCATCTTTTAACATTTCAATAAAGCGAAAGATATGAGGATGCGTAGGAAACAATGAACCTAATCTTTTGTTGTAACCCTCACCCACCCTCACACCAACCCCGTACGGTTTAAACTGGACTATTATATAAAGTCGTTTCGATCAATGAACGTTTTAGAGAATTTTCTATCTGTGACTAGTCATGAAGAAAAGCGTCCAATACACTGTCTCTTTTCATTAATAACTCTTAATTAAACTAGAACAGGGCCGAAATGAGAAAGGACCGAAATGAAGGGGACCCAAATAAGAGGTGATCGAACAGGGCCGAAATGAGAGGGGCCCATTCGGTCCGAATCGAGGGTAAGCCCTTTGATGTTGTATCTGTACATGTCTTACGAGGAAAGGTCACCAACTTTAAAATTGCTTTCGAATCACGGCTTAGTACTCTGAAGGTAATCGATCATGTTGAATCCGAATATCGTGATCGTGACGGGTAATATTTTTCTGAAGATCGGGTTTTTAAAAACCAAGATCTCAGAAAATACAGGTATGTTTTAAATGTTCTTTTTTGATTAACTCAGATTGTAGAGTACATCAACTTGCCCATGAATCGACAAGCATCGTTTGCTTGCCAAAGCATACTATAGGAAAATAAAATAACTTCTTGTGTTTGTTTATGAAGACACTAAGCTATGGATTTGTATGACTATAGGTCTTGTTAAAAAACGATACGAAATAGAAACAATTGATGTTCTGTTGACAATCTATACGCTCTACAAACTGAGCTAATAAAAAAGAACACTTAAAAAATACCTAGGTTTTCTAGAACACTGTTTTTTTTAAACCCGATCTTCAGAGAAGTATTAGCCGTAACGATCATGATATTCGAATTCAACATGATCTATTACCTCCAGAGCACTAATTTCTGACTCGACAGGGATTTTAAAGTTAGTGACCTTCCTTCGTTAGATTCTTTTGATTTCAGTCGAATAAACGAGATTGTGCATGCACACATACAAAACATATTCTCTCTCTCCCTTGGACACATTCTAATATAAGCGAAAGACCCCAACGCACCAAAATGTTCTCGTACAGCGTATGTTTTATTTTCCGTGAAAAAATGGGATGAAATCAAAGCCATTCGTGTATCCGAAATTGCTCGTCAAAGAAATCGTATCTAAACTTGGTACACAATGGAAAGCAGCTGATACTGCTGTAGGTTATCGAATTGTCTTGTTCAATCGACTGCTCAGCTTTTCTGTGTCGTCTTTAGACAAAACAACGATTTTAAAGGCTGTCCGATGCCGAAAACGTTGAATAAAGTGGCCACCTACAAAGGTGATAAAGAAAATCAAAAGAAGAAAAAATCTTCGAAAAAAGGCCAACAACAGCAGCGGCAAGAAGAAGAAATAGCTACCGATAATAGCTATAATGATTCCACGGAAGATTAATCAAATGTGGTCAATCGAATAATTGAGTGTTATTTCTCTTGTGTCTTTCCTATATGATTCTGTATATAGACTAGTTCTTGACCCTTAATTTATGTTTTTGTGTCTTCCGTCTTTTCCTTTTTTTTTTGGAACACGTTTAGAGCTCTCTCGACTTCTGGGTGTCGTTCTACTAAATTTTTAATAATGAATTATGAATAAAAACGTTTGATTGTATGAATTATTTAAGTAAAATTGAAGCGAGTTCAGTTAGAGGTTAGCACGCTGCAGGAGATTCGCCGGCTGCTAAACGATTGTTGATCGAATCGATAATTGAAGGTAAATCAGATATAGTATCGATTAAATAATGTGGTTTACTCGATGCGAATAGCTTATCAATACGTTCGCGTTCAGAATTTAAACGTTCGGTCGTTAGAGCAGAATATTCGTCCCACGTAAGACCGAGAAAGTTTCCGGAGAATCGTAATGCCACTGTCCACATGCCCGCGCTGCGACCTTCGATGATGCCTGGCGGTGTATCATCTACTTTGACACAAGCAGCAACGTCATCAAGACTGAGTGCAATGACATTTGCCAAAGACTGAGCAGGAGTAGGACGACCTTTTGGAACTTCATCCGAAGCAACGACACAATCTGGCGAGTAACCAGCACTTGCAGCTAATGGAACGAGTTTGTCCATGACTTCTTTAGGGTAGCCTGATGTCGAACCGATTTTCAAGCCACGTTTTCGTAGACTATCAATCGTATCTAACGCGCCCGGAATCAATGCGGAATATTCTCCAACTTTCGCGATCTGTAATGGCATAAAACGCTTGTAAATTTCATTGACATCGTCTTCGTTTGGCTCACGGCCGAGTCGTCGCTGAAATTGCTTACTAATGCCTACTTGACTGCAAAGTGTACGAATATGATCTCGTTTGCCAACACCCATCGGTCCACGTGCTTCGTCCAAACTTACATTGATACCAACACTTGCAAAGGCTTCGACAAAGATTCGAGTCGGAGCAAAGCTACCAAAGTCAACAACGGTTCCGGCCCAGTCAAAAATAACCGCTTGTAATCGTGATGGTAATCGATAACGCATATTTATACTCTAAAATTTCGTATCAGAGATTCATGTATGTGACGAGGATCTATACGGCTATATATAATCGATAAAGCACGAATGTTCCTGTTCTGATCAAGGATTCTGTGCTCGGTAGTCGTCGCAATGACACATGATGATTCGCGAAACAACGATATAGCCCATTTCTATGCACAGGAAAGGAAAAAAATCACTATGCTATACAAAAAAAAACTGGCCCGTATAACATTTTCCTTGTAGTCATCAACTCGAAAGAATCACGCTCTCATCACTCTCGTCGCATGCAGTTCTTTACCGAATGTAATTTTATAGAAAATTAATTTGTGCTGTTTTTTCTTCTTCTTTTTGATCGTCATGGAAATACATTGCTTGAAGTTTTGCGAGATTCTCGTTATTCATGTCAAGTTGTCCCCGCTTTTGTTTCTCACTCGATTTTTATTGCAGAAGAATTCGATCGTAAAGCGGAGCTTGTTGATCCTTGTTTTGTGAAGAAATTTTTTATATAAAACTTATGATATAAAAATATGACATTATATTTTTTTTCCTTCGAAAATCGAACGAAAACATCGATGATATATAGATGGTGTCCTCGAAATATTCTATTGCTTTCAGTCACTCGCCAATCCGACGGTTGCATTCACTTACTCAGCGTCATATTACTCTCATTATATAAAAACCCGTGTATACTTATTTATCAGTCTGTTATTGTTAACAATCTTACATGTAGTGTGAAACTATCACGGTCACAGCTTGCGATAAGATGTTTCTTTACCGCGTTGTATCTTTCGTTATTCTTCTGTCGTGTTCCATTGTCTTCGTCCAGGCCGAAAAGCATTTGAATGCTAATGGACCATTTGGCAAACGTCATACGGTGCACAATGAACCAAGTCCCTATGCCTGTGATCGAGGAGCAGGTGTTTCATCATCCGTTTTTCGTCAACGGATCAAACCAGTGCAAAATATACAAGTTTCCAAAACACTATATATGAGCGCTGATATTATCCAAATAAAATGGACACCATCTCCACTTTCATGCAGCGATGATTTTGTCGGAATTTATTACGCTGAAGTTCCTCTCAGTTCAGGTAAATAAAATACATTAAGAAACTTAACATATATATGACAAAATGATTGATTCTAGCTTGTGACTACTTCGACTATGAATTTGTACAATACAAACAGAACAGTACGTTTTGGCATATGATACACCTTCGACGACCATTACAGTTTCGTCTCTATTCGCGTGATCACACATGTTCGGGCAATTATTCTCTTATTGCTATATCTCCTCTGGTTCAACCGTTGAATGTCAATGAGCCAACCCAAGTTCACCTTGCCTACGGTGATCGAATCGATCAGATGTTTGTGTCTTATCTCACCAACTCTTCACAATTCGTGCCACAATGCCAGTATGGACTTTCACCTTCATCTCTTAACTTTCATCGCAATGGAACAACTACCACATACACTGCATCAGATATGTGCGAAGGTAAAGCAACCACATGGGGTCCACAAGCATTCATCGATCCAGGATACATGCACACGGTGCTACTCGAAGATCTTCGTCCATCAACGACATACTACTATCGAGTTGGATGTGATAAGCATGGATGGTCGTCGATATTCTCGTTTACAAATCGACCGGCGAGTGCAAACGAAGTGGTGAACATGATCGCGTATGGTGATATGGGCTTGTCGCCCGTTGAACCAGGTGCAAAATCAACTATTGATCGAGTAATAGCTCGAGTGAGATCAACGAACATGACGTGTTTACTACACATCGGCGATATCAGCTATGCTCGTGGCACCGGTGCGCTGTGGGATTCGTTTATGACTCAGATACAACCAATTGCTGCCTACGTTCCATATATGTCTGGAATTGGTAATCACGAATACGATCATGTACTAGGTGGTGAAAAAGATCCAAGTGGTGCGCCCGGTCCAGGAGGATTTCGACCTGAATGGTGATTTCTTTCTTTCAGTATCAATGAATCATGTGTTACTCATTTTTTAGGGGCAACTACGGTCATGACTCCGGTGGTGAATGTGCTGTTCCAATGGTTCGTCGTTTCCATTCACCCTCGAATGGTAACGGTCTATTCTGGTACAGCTTTGATGTCGGTCCAGTTCACGTTGTTTACTATTCTACGGAACATGATTTTCTTCATTCATCACCGCAATATAAATGGCTCGAAAATGATCTTCGTTCAGTCGATCGTACACGTACACCATGGATCATTGTCGGTGCCCATCGACCAATGTATGCATCGGAAACCGATGAACCGGATGATTTCATCAAACTGATGTTACAAGTTTACTTAGAACCTCTATTTTATCGCTTTCGCGTCGATCTCAATCTCTTTGCACATAAACATTCCTACGAACGAACATGTTCGATGTATCGAGAACGTTGTATCGACGATGGTATAACGCACGTACTAATTGGCATGGCTGGTCAAGATATTGATGGCGGAGGTTACTCTGGTGCTGAATGGAGTATGTATCATGATCAAGAATATGGTTACAGTCAAATATGGGCGAATCGAACGTATTTACATTTCACATATTATCATAATGATGATGATAAACTTGCCGACGAATTTGTACTTCGAAAATAAATTCTAATCATGCGAAAAATTTGTAATTCTATATTTTTTATTGAATAAAAATATCTTGGTATTATTATGAACATGACCTTGTCCTACTTCTACAAAGAGACAACGCTCAGGTCGACTGTCCTTTAGTTGTGTTGAAGAATTAGTTACCTTCATGCTTTGCTATTTTAAGAGATTCAGTCTTTGATTATTATTTATCAGCCAATGTTTGCATAGAAATTAAAGCGACAAACAAAATATGAAACTTAAGAACATTCTTTATCAAATGTGATGTTCTTTTCTTCACGCTGTTTATCTCCATTTCTGGAGACCAACATCTCAATGCCAATGATGCTTTTAGAAAAAAAAGCATACGATCAACAGTGAACGAAGTCCGTATGTATGCAATCGACCCGATGGTCTATCATCCTCGTCGATGCGTGTAACTGTGTCCAGTTTGAATGTATCAGCCACGTTCTATTTAAATGGTGAACAAATCAATGTTGCTTTGACACTCGTGCCCATAGATGAAATGGCTCGAAGACGATTTTCGCTGAGTCAATCGAACTTGCACTCCGTGGATCATCGACACATGTTTACATTCGAAGAAGAACTCACAGATGAAAGTCAAATCTGACAAATGTTCTAATCGGCATCGCTGGGCAATATCTTGATCAAGGTTCATATCCTCCGACGGAATGGAGTAAATACCACAATCAATAGTTTGGATACACAACTATATGCACCAATCGTACATATCTGCAATTTGTATATTATCATAATAGTGACGATCGAATTGCTAATCAATTCAATCTTCAAAAAGTAATTTCTCAATAGAAAAAATTAGAAAGAACTGACGAACAATTTTCCTTGAATGTTTATTAAAAACAAAATAAACACCTCGCGTCAGTCGAGGAATACGTCAGAAGTTCTATTTTAAACCAACAACGTTGGCAATTGGGAAAAAAGCTATTAATACTTATTTATTGTTTGATTTGGCTTTATACGAGTCAGAAGCATAGCTTCCGGATTGATAGTCGGATGCCGTTGCCAAAAGAAAATTATATTTTTACATTTCTTTCGTAACTTAGGTAATGATGATAAAGATGCAAATGGAATTAACATGAAAGCATAGAAACCAAAATATACACCGTCAGAAATATAATCAGCTCCGACATTCCATGATAGACCAAATGAGTAAGCAGTATACAAAATAATTGGCGGAAATAGAAACAAAATAAAAACAGCAGCAATTAGTAATAACTGAATTGCCATTTTCTTATAATTTCGCCAATCAATTCTTTGTTGAACTCGATGTCTATGATATAATACTCGAATAAAAAGTGCAATATTTAAGGTAAAAACAATAGTAATAGGAATGAAATTATGAGCAAGAACATCGAATATTGCCAAGTTTGTATTCAAAGTGACACAACCATAGAAACCACATTGTGATTGATGGTAATCGAATTGTATAGTACACGGTCGAATGAAAAGCATGAAACTATATATTATAATTGGATATATAAGACATAGGAAAAGAGGAAAATAATGAAAAACAAATCGTTTTGATTTAGTTGCAAACCAGTGTGAATGAAAAATTAGGATATGACGTTCAATTGAAGCCCAAGCCATTAGATAGGTTATTATTACAGTCACAGTCGAATCAATAAATGTTCCAATCATACAAAAAGCAGGATTCGATACAAGGACGATTCCACTACGATAGAAATGTATAGACCATATGACAGTAGTTGAATCAAAGATTAGAACGAAAAGAAGAACAAGAATAATGACGTGATTGTTAAAAGCTGTACGAAGTGTACGATCACATAATAAATAATAAAGATTGATAATACTAGCGATAATTGAGGGAATTATAGTGATGAGATAGAGAGACGCTCGAGCAGAGTCAGAAATCATTATTTGACTTGTCGGAGATGATTTGAAGGAATATGTTATATTTAGACAATGCTATGAGACAAATTCTGTCATTTTGACTTTATTTAATTACATTGAATTCATTTTTATTCTGTAAAAATAGGAGAGCTGCAAGATAAGTTAAACAGCAGCAATGATAATCTTTTCCCCTCAAAAGTCAGTCATTAGCCAAAAGAGAAATGAATGGGATTCTATAGGTCAATGTTGAGAAACTACGTGATCATCTTATTTGCCTTTATACAGCTCAATTCGTAGTAGCCACAACATGTAGCCCGTACTAGTCCATGCGACTTTCATTGTAATTGTACAGGAACTAAAAAGAAAAACGGTATAGATGTTGTTCTCTCTTCTTTACCATAGCGATGACCGTTCTCTTCTTTTCTTCCTGTTCTGTCTACGTGATATTCAACGGGTCATACACGCGCATTGAATGAAAAGAGAAGAGAAAAATTCTCTCGTTCTTGACCTCGATCAATTATTCGTTGTCCGACCGGACACACAAGAACGAGAAAAAAAAGACCTAGAATACTTTCTTTGCGGCCATTTATTTAGTAGTAAAGACGAGTGAACGACAACATAGTGTTTCTTTTACACCCGAATAGACGATGACCCCAACACCACCGAAATTCGGCATACGATTTTTATCTCGGAAAGAACGCACCGTTCGGCGAGTGACAAAATGTGAAACACGGGAGATAAAAAAACGTTCGTTTATCCATTCGTGGTCTTGACTTTGGTTCTATTGAATTTGTCTTCATTCTAGGTTTAGAACCTCCTCCGCCTCCTTCCCCATCTCCAGTTAAAACAGTCAAACCACGCGCTGCTCCTGCTCGTATAAAACCTGCAACACTCGTCAAAGTTCGCCAACCGAAGAAGATCGCTAAACCACCGATAGAAACATCGAGTAATGACAAAGAACAAGTTCATCCATCATCTTCATCTTCTGCAACACCACCACCACCACCAGCAAATCCCCGTTCGTTACCCGCTGGTCGTACATTACAAACAAATGATCTGCACAAGTTGTCTCGCTTGACTTGTTCACGTGAATTTAGTTTCTTCCATAAAGAAATCAAATGTGAATTGAGCACACACGAGCATCAATTGGCATTTTTTCAAACGAAACTGTATCATCTGAAAAACGAATTTATCAATCAGAACTCCGAACAATTGAATTTAGAACAAATACGTACCTACTTTAACGAAGCACTGCAGAAAAATATCGATCGAAGAATCAAACCTGACGAATTTATTACTTTAGCCGATAAACTTAAACAGGACATAAAACAAGTAAGCTCGTTTTGTTTGTTTTGGTCGATACAGAAAGATAATTGACTGTTTCGTTAAAGGCGATTGATAAATGGTTGAAAAAGAAAGAATTCGGCAAACAAAATCGGGCGTTGAGTGATTATTCGCAAAAACGTCAGTCACGTATTCGAGAATTGATCAAAGAAACCATTGAAGAAGCAAAGAAACAACAACAGGATACTAATTCTCAAGCAATTCCAGTAGAGGAACCTCAAGTGACTATAATCGATGGTTCCGAAGATCAGTGTCAAGTAGTAGAATGTATTGATTAGTTTTCAGTCTTCTTTTCTTTTTGTAGTCATTTTCATTTTAAACTTGTATCATCTATTCCTTCTATTGTCTCTGTTTTGTAAAATTTAAAGCGAGAAAAAAATAAAGATTTTAAATAAAAAGATTGAACCGAACGTCATTTTTTTTATTTATTTTCATCTCGATTATGCGTCACCGAATGAATAATATGTTCGATCATTCGTTGTTTACTGTTCCCATCGCCATTTTCATTTGGTTCGAAGACGTATGTAACATCAATCAGATGATTGTTATGCGTAGTTCTGATCAAAGCACGAATACGATCTTCATCACCGTTATCATAACTGTGCTCTAGAAGAGTAGCACTGGCGTTTGAATGAAGAAAATCTTGTTCGTACGTGTGACGCATTGCTTCCGCGCCATCGAGAACTAAATGACCATTGAATATTACACGACATTTCGGATGAAGAAAATCGTTTATTTTTGTGATGTCATGTGCATTGTAACTAGATAAATAATCTTGTAAAGCAGTAATTCTTGACATAGTTTCAAAGAGATAATAACGGACTTGTGACCAACTTTATTGGTTCGAGAGAGTCTTACAACGTAGAAGAAAGTAAGAAAAAGGCATAGAGGAATGAGAAGTTTTTATCACTAAAGATGTCGCTTTTTATTTTAAAGGTCTTCTTTCGAATAGAAGGAAAGGACATATTTAGAAGTAAAAGGACAAGGCAAAGCAAAGATAAACGAAAGGTTCATGTATGACACGTCACTATAAAATATTTATTTGATGATGTCATACGAAGAAAAAGTACTTTTTGTTACCTGATAAATATGAGATCTACATAGGAGGAACTTTTAGTCGTAACAATGGAGCATACTAACGATGAATCTGGCAAACGAATTTTCATTCCAGCTATTGGATCTTTAGGAGATGTCAAACCTTACTTGACTTTGGCGAAGGAATTGAAAAAACAAGGTTATGTTGTATGGCTTGGCGTTCACAAACGTTTCGAACAACAAATCAGGGACAATGGTATAGACATTTCTATTTCTCATAGAAACTACTAATCATGTATTCTAGGCATTGACACGGTAGAAATTGGTGGTGATATGGAAATTGCATTATCAACTACGCCAGAAGGAATTGAATTGCAACGAAATCCAAGTGTGTTTAAAATAGGTTTGGTGAAACGCGTATTTTTACCATTAGTGGAAGAATGGTTCACAGGAATTCTCTCTGGTTTGAAGAATGCTGATTTGATTATTTTGTCAATCACATCAATCATCGCCGGTTTGGCTTGTGTTGAAAAATATCATAATGTGAAAGCAGTTGGAATCTACACATATCCGTGTCGGCCTTCAGTTGAATTTGCTCCACCTGCTCTGAGTGGTAAAAGTGAAAGTTTATTCGGCTGGATTAATTCACTAAAATGGAAACTTTTCGAATACGGTGCATCGAACATGTATACTGAAAGAATTAATCAACTCCGTGGAAACATCAATTTGCCACCGACCAAGTTATACTACGATGAAATGGTTCGATCAATTTTTAAAAAACCACTACCAACAGTAACGATTTATTCCAAAGGTTTGCTCCGACAACCTAGTGATTGGCCAGGGAATGAATTGATGGTTGGTCCAGTTCTTTCCGAAGATGAGAATACAGATTACCACCCATCAGAAGAACTTCGAGATTTTCTTAATAAATGGCAGAGTGAAAAGATTATCTATATTGGAATCGGATCAATGATGGGTATTATGTTTAACAACAACGAACAGCTACAATTTTTACTCCACATAGAAAATGTTATTCAAGCAATAAAATGTAAAGCGATTATTTCATTAGCTGGATTTGGAATCAGTAACAACGATAAGCTATCAGATCACAATGAAAATCTCTTCTATCTAAGAGAGATGATACCTCATACGTGGTTATTTCCAAAAATATCAGCAGTCGTTCATCATGGAGGTGCTGGTACTACACATACAGGTTTACGGTATGCATTACCAACATTGGTATTACCTTTTGGTGCTGATCAACCTTTTAATGGTGATCGAGTCTTTATCAACAAACTCGGACCAAGACCTATTCCTATACGGGCGATGAATGCAAGAAGTTTAAAGAACGGAATCGAATGTTTATTAAATAACTACGCGGAATATCGAGCGAATGCAGAAAAAGTGGGCCAAATGATTCAAAATGAAAATGGACTAGGCTGCTGTCTAGAGTTGATTAAAAACGAGCTGAACTCGTAAATGTTTTCCATGACAACTATTTTGTATTCCAAAAGTCTGGATCATCTTTTGTCACTTGAATAAAATCATTGACACGAATTGTGCCACAGACACGGCTACTTTCATCAGTTGGTGCCAAATAGATACCAAACAGAGCACTAACGCCGTACGGTTCAGGTTTACGACGGTAACTAAATCAAAAGTATTTTCAATGGATAAAGAACGAGTCCTTCAATAAAATATTCTACCTTCGTAGTACTTTCCATGATTCTTGCGTAGGATCTTTGATACCCGTTTTCTGATCAACTGTTGGCAATAGGCATCTTAACAAATAGAAAAATTAGATTAACACGAGCAAATTATAAATGAATAAACCTAGTGCACGGAGAAAGCCAAGTTAGTTTGACACCATTGATTTCAATTTCTCGCCAAAGATCCTAAATAAAATATAACCGTATCCATTGTATTTTAAACGCATCTGAAGTGTCAAGCTTACTTCCTCGAAAGGCTTTGATATATCGGTGACGATGATGTTTGGTCGGAAATTGTATACTTCAATCTTCTTTTCCAATCGTGTATTTAAATCCGCAACGGATTCCAATGAACACAAATGTAATGCACTCATATCATGATAAACAGCCATATCTCCATCTCGTGCAACATTGGGCACATCACCGTTTTTCGTTTGACGACCCTGGAACTTTCCGTCGTCGAATGCAACCAAATCGAATTCATCTTCAGTTCCAAAGTAAGTTCGAAGCCATTGGGAAACGCTATCATCGTAACGTAAACCAAGAATTTTATCATTCCAACATCTGATAAAGCACATATATGCGTATTCACTAGTTTTCCGTTAAAACTTTAACTTACTGGCATTCCATTACTTCTTTCGGAAATGCATTTGTTGAAATAAATAAATCGGGCATTTTCGGTGCTCGAAGTGTAAGACCATCTTTGGCAACCACAGGTTGTATCAGTGCCATGCTTGGCAAAACACGTTGGCTTTGATGTCGACCCTCTTTGACAATCATCCATCGTCTAACAAAACGATTTCAAACGGATTAATTCTAACAGTAAACTACCTATCATATATTTGCGGATTTGATGGTAAGGCTAGACCATATTTTGTAACGAGTGCTTCTTGTACTTTAATACCAGCACACGATTTTAGTGGAAAAATGAACAGTTCGTGCACATGCATCCTTTTGGTTAACACTAAATAAAAATAAGGATATAGTATGTTCTGGGTAATACGGGGTCGAAGAAAAGTGATAAAAGAAAAGAAGAATCGACTGTAAATAAAACACATGCACACGTAATGCTCGTCACATGGTTTCTAATCTCTAGCATAAGAAATACAAAAACAAAGATTAGTCACTATTTAAATTCATATACTATGATCACATAACCTCTTCTTTTCTTTTCTTCTTTATTTCGTTCCCTTTGCCAATTATGAGAACACTTTGGAACGCAAATGAACTCTTCTTGAATGAATGGAAAATGATTACTATTTTATGAACTGTTAAGCTTGATAAATGAAATGACAAGACGTTGTCTATATCTGCAGGCATTTTATGGATATGTTGATATATGAAATACGTATAGATGGATATTCTGTCACCTAGCTTCCAGACAAAACGTGTGTGATATTTTTCGACCTTCTCATAACATTACTGATTTTATTTTACACGTTTTGAAAGGAGAACGATGCAGTTAACTGTTATTAGTCTTTGGTTTCTCATGAACCTTCTTGGTTTCGACCTTCTGCCATGGGAACGATATGTTAATCTAGGATCAGCAGGACAACCGTTAGGTTCGGCCATCAATCAGACTTCGCTTGCCCATCAACATTTTCTCATCGGTTATCTATGTCTGCATTCATTTCACTATGAGTCTGCACAGGAAGCTTTTGCCATGGCTCTCGAAGAAGATAATACATTTGTTGAAGCTCATATCGGACGATTATTAGGGTTTGTATCTATTACTCAAAGTTTGTTACCTGTACTGTGAGATTGATATTTCCATTTGAGACATAAACAAGCATTGTGGGAGTATATGGACCGTGAAGGTACACTTCAAGCTTGGAATGAGACCTGGGCAATATTTAACAATAGTAATGTAACGTTGACACCGTATCAACTAGCTTATTTGAATACAGTCTATCAATGGTTTGCCTATGAAAACATCAGTGATGGCGAAGATGTCTTTCTTCAGTCAATGCTTAACCTCACACAGACATTTCCAATAGATACTGATGCTCAAACTCAACTTGGTCTCGTCTATCTCAATATTGCCATCCGAGAAACTTTTGAATTGCAAATGTTAGAACCACCTGCTATGCTGGAAGCAAGGAAAGTGTTGCAAAAGGTTCTCGCTCAAGAACCATCGCACCCTGGCTGTCTTCACTATCTAATCCATGCGTGTGATATACCACGTGTGGGTTCAGCTGTGCAAGCAATTCCATATGCTCATAGCTATAGAGAAATAGTTCGTACTGCATCGCATGCACAACATATGGCCACACATACATGGATTCGTATAGGTTCGTTTGTAACAAACCGTAGATTTAATAAGTAACGAAGTCAACAAAGTTTAGGTGCATGGCCACTGGCACAAGAAGACAACGAGCGATCAGTGAACGTCAGTGTAATCCTTTGTATGCTAAAACTAAATCAGATGAATTCCACAGATGTTTTATCGTTTACATTCTCCGAATTGTTAATTCGGTTAATTGTAACTGAAGCACAAGGTTTAATTGTTTGTGACTTCGAACATGTTGGGCATTTGTACAGTGTGCAAGGCCATATGGTTATTGAAGGATTCTTTTGGCTTATGTATCATGGAAAAAGAAATCAAGAATGATATGTTCAAGCAATGAATGAAATATTAGGTGATACCATTATCGACCCAATCAAGTTTCTCGTCAATGATATGAATACTCCTTCGTATTTGCCACAAGGTGAAACTGTACTTTGATTTGGTGAGTTGTTTGAATTGCTTATCTGTAAAGTCTTTCGTACCATATCAATTGTAGCGGAATGCGTCCGTTTATTGCTGATTAACGGTAGTAACATTAAGGACACAAGGGCAGTCGAAAATCGTCTCGCACGAATGATTGAAATAGTAACCATCATGAGACCGACGTCGAATTCTATTGCAGTCGAAGCATTAACAATGGTTTCTCAAGTCAAAGCTCTAAGGTGGTGTTTTAAAGAATCGTTTCAGCGTTGTATTACAGACCTTAAAGAAACAGCTCATACAAATATATCCTCAGTTGATAGTCTTAGTAAATCCACTATGACGCACCTTCGTCCAACTGAGCTGTTCGCTTTCTATCTCTTGATTATTCATCGGCAATATCCAGCATTGGCTTCATCGTATGCACTCAACAGCACCAATGTCTCTGTTACTGATTTTCCTACACATGCGCTTCAAATCTATCTAGAGCAGAATCAGACTGATCCTCATCGAATTCCTCGTACATTGATCGACTTGTCATCGAAGAAGCAACCGAGTATCTCACAAGTATGACAGCAAATAAAATGAATGACTATTCATCCAACAGAATACTTCTTCCATCTTTATGGTTTGTTCTATTCATCACACTGATTGACGTTCTTATTTAAAACTTCATTTATTACCGGACAAATAAAGTATTAGAGACATTGGTGACGCTGTCGTCGATGATTGCATAAGAAAAACTCGTATTGCACTGTTTTTTTACTCTGTCAACTTTTGCCGGTACCTCCACTTTTCTTTTCGTTCTTCATCTACAACATGTTTTTTTTCTTGTCTTGTTACATAACCGTATATTAAAATAGGTACGTGAAAGAAAAATTCAGTACTAATTCAGAATGCTCATCGGCAAAGAAACAGTACGTTCCAACAAGTCACGACGATACTTCTTGTTACTTATCTCACCTATAACATGGTTTCGATGTTTTTCACTAATCTTCGGTCGTACACGTGCACGAACACCCAGAATTGCGTTTGCGCAGTACTTTATTCTATCATGTGTTATTATTCTTATGATTGGCTCGTGCTATCTCTTCTATTCTGTGACAAGTGATTCTGGTGAATACAGTCTCTATCTGTCGGATGTCGCCGCAAATAAAACCTCAATGTACGAAGGAAGAAAACGCTTCGATAATCTTATCTGGCGAAGTGTACTGAAAACATTTTTCCTGGGCACTATATTCGGATTGATTCAGGCATGCAATTTCTACTTGGCAGCTCAATGGCGTCAGCGACTATGTGATCGATTCCATGAATTACTATTCGAATCATCAAATGGATGTATTCTTTATGAAACATCACAAAAGAATGAGGACATGCCGAGAATTCTTACAAGTGACATTAAACAATTTACTACTAATTTCTGCACAGTTCTCTTCGGATCGATATTTTTTGCCGGTCTCATTTCGGTGCTAATTGCTATCACTCTTGCTTCCGTGTTTTTGGTTCTTGCTGCAAATGGAGATGCCACCGGTATTCTTATTTGTTACAGCGCGTTTGTCATCTGTCTTTTATTGATCTTGCCCAGCACACAACTGTACAATTGGAATTTATTAGAACAAGTTTGTCTTTTTGCTGTTTAGCTTTCACAATGTTCTTCATTTTTAGTCGAAACTAAAAGGTATCTTACGTGGATATGTGCAACGTATTAAAACAAATGCTGAATGTATTGTACTCTATGGCAGCCAGCGAGTGGAATTACAATATATCAAGCGATTAATAGGAAAGATTCTCAATTCGATGTTGATCGGTTCGATCAGTTTTGCACTAGTAAATTTTCCCATTCAATTACTCAGTAAATCGGAAAATCTCTTTTTCTTCCACCCTCTAAGAAGATGTTCGTATTTAGCCGCCTTGAATGGAATGTGTACGTACGTTATGCCAGCCATTGTATTCTTCTTCGTTCGAAAAACCCAGACTACGGAGCTAGCACAGGCGTACTTAAGTAAGAAAAGAATTGTCATGAATAATGATTATTGTACATATGATGTTGTTTGTTTTTATCGAATAGCTGCCATTCCACTGTATTCGTTCTTGATCACTGTACTTGGTCAGTTGTTGTTAATTATCGAGCCTGCTCTAATAACAGTGACGGTGGGTGATCAGCTTTGGACAGTATTGAACCGCTTGGAAACCCTAGAAAAAGAATATAAGAAACGTATGGAATATGAACGAAATTATTCTATCAGACACGACGATACAAATAGATTCACCTTAGAACATTTTAATATCTCTATACCCGGTAGTATATTCGAATTCGTAAACAACTGAAAAGCGGTTCTCTTTAGATGCAACTGATGGTTCTTTATTGCAAAGTGATATAAATTTAGACACAATTCGCGGTCAATGTGTGCTTATTTCCGGACCGAGTGGATGTGGGAAGACGTCATTATTTCGTATCTGTGCTGGTCTTCGACCTATCAATGCTAAACAAATTATATTACCTGAACGCCGTCATCTTCTCTTCGTTCCTCAAAAACCCTATTTACCTCTTGGTAACCTACGCTTTCAAGCACTGTTCCTTCTAGAACATCGGTGCGACGTCAAAGACGATGATATCTATCAATTATTTAAGACAGTGAATCTCCAGTACTTATGTGAAAGATATACATTCGATACAGTGAGTTCTTCTACAAATTTTTTTGAGAATGCCGAGTTTTCTTCGTCAAAGGTCGTTGATTGGTCGACAGTATTGTCTGTAGGTGAACAGCAACGTTTAGCATTTCTTCGTTTATTCGCATGTTTCACCTTGTCATCGAATTATGATCAATTAATTCATGAAACACTCGTTCTTTTTGATGAATCAACTAGTGCTGTTGATGCCAAAACAGAACACGAAATCTATGCAAATCTAGTTCGATTACAAGCGTGGTTCGTCACCATATCTCACCGTGCATCGCTTATTGATCTACATACAAAATCGTTACATTTATATTTGAACAGAACTTCCGAGCAACAAGAACAGATCTCAAATATACAATTGCCAAAGAACACTGATGATTTCAACGCAAATGAATTGTACGAAGCGAAACAAAGTCAAGTAAGTCGGCTCTCGTACCAATATTAATATAAATGTTTAATGTGTAGGCTGCCAGTAGATCAAATACAAATACAACAGAAAGGTTGAACTGGCGATTTGTAGTAAAAATCTTCCAATTCATTCATTTACCGTTTTCTAAAGATGATCAATATTTAAAATTACAAGTAAATTATTCAACAAGTCTATATACACCTGCTTTTATTTCTCTTCGTAGACAATCATCGCTTGGATTGTCACGCTTCTTCTTCTTGGCATTAGTACATGGTGCACATATCGGTTCACCAAGCAAACAGCATCATTATACAATGTCCTATCTGATTATAGTAGCAGTTTAATTTCATTGGACTCTGCCAAGCAAAGGATAACATCAGACATTGTTGGTTATGCTATGCTGATGATCGCTACACCAACTCTGTTTTCTTTAACTGTGGGTGGCGGTCAAACAATCGCAAGTCTATACAGTCGAAGGCAAATGATTTATCTCGTTGATTTCTTGTTGGATGGAAACGAGAATAATCTTTTGTATCATAGTCGACATTTGACACAAATACCCGATTTTATTTCACATGATATTTCCGAATTGAACAGTCAACTTTTCTACTTTATTTTCGGTCATATTTATTATACGGGAGTTATCGGTCAGATCATTCTAGCTATTATCTTATCGATCCTACTCGGTGAACAGGATGGTGGACCTCTCGGTGTACTTGTTGTTTTCTTATTCGTCGTTGGCTTTTTCATATTCACAAATATTCTCTCACTAGTTTTCAATAGATGGGTTCGCTTAGACGAAATAAAATTCTCGGAATTCGTCGCTGGCCATAAACGTATTGATCTACAAGCGGAACAAATTGCTCTCACAGGTGAAAGTGCGTGTCGCATCGAACACAAAGAGATACGTGAAAGATTAAACTCATCCATTCATTATCAAATGCATTCTGGTTTTCTCTATTCGATCATTGTTGGTATAGTTAGATTGTCTGTGGTCAATACTTACTTGATTAATTATGGTATACCAGCAGCTATTTTCTTCTATTCTTGGTACAAGGAAGGTCTAGCAGATCCGACGAAAGCAAGTCGATTTGTAACGTTGAGCGTTTATATGTATCAACTGTATTCGTCTTGGAATTATATCAACTATTTTGCTGATCCTCTGATACGTATACAATCAATTGGAATTCGTATTGTTAATTATTTAGGTAGGAATGGTATTTCATGATGAAAGAAGTGATTTACATTTTTCTATTTGTGAAAAATTCTTCAGAACATCTTCGAAAAACGAAAGAACATCAGTATCATCTTGCCATCAACGGACAGAAACGTGAATATAGGAGACGAAAATCCGATGAAGCTTCTATCACTCTGAATCATGTTAATGTTTATGTTCCTGAGTCCTCTCAACTTCTCATATCCGATATCAATCTGATATTGGCACCCACAGATAATCTCATCATTACCGGTCCATCAGGCTGTGGTAAATCTACTTTATTACGTCTTTTAGCGAACCTTATTCGTCCGAATGAAAGCCAAGCAACCAACTCCAATGTCCGTATCTGCCCGCGACAAAATACAATCTTCCTCTGTCAGCAGCTGCATTTAATCCAGGGTACTCTTAGAGAACAACTCTCCTATCTTCGACAAGTATGCTTAAATTTCATTGACAAAACGCGTCATATTCTATTCTCTTAGGCACATGGCTTAGGACCCATCACAGATGATCTTCGTGTTCGTCAATTACTGAATGAATTCCGCCTAAGCCATCTAGTCGAACAATATTCTATGGATGGGCAACCGCAAAGTTGGTTCCGCCTGCTCTCAATAGGTGAACAGCAACGTTTGATGATGGTAACTGCATTAATTGTTGGAACAGATATGATTGATCTACTGGTCTTGGATGAAATAACTTCCGGATGTGATCAACACACAGAACAAATCATCTATGAATATCTTCAACGATCTAACATACAATTTCTGTCTGTATCACACCGGAAAGAGATTGAAGAATATCACACGTGTAAAATGACAATCGATGCAAATCGACATTCCTATGTGATCTGTCGAAATAAATAAAATACTCTATTTATTCATTTTCTCACAAGTGTACATCAATCATCTCTAACTATAGCCATACACATAGAATCTTCATCGTTTGTATGTCAACATAAGATAAACGTACTGCACTCGTATCAACTTTCTCATGTTAGAAATAGAAAATATCCCAACATGCACAGCAAATAAAACAAAGGTAAATACACTGACCGGCATTTATATCACGGGTGATGTATTCTCTGTTTCAAAGATGTATCGAACATGTAAAAAAGTGAATCAAACTTTAATTAGAGTCTTCCTGAGAAGAATTTATTTAAAATAGATAGAGAAATATATAGTTTTACAAAAAAAAAACAACAACACACTAATCCCTTCTTCAAAACAAAATAAATTACTTTGCATAAAATATACGCGGAATTCTTAGGAAGAAGAAGGACATATGTACAGTCGTTTTTCTCTTTCTTCTATAGTTTCTTTTACTATGAACAAGAAGAATTTCTATTCAAAAGTACTCATCTCCTCATCCAACTGTTCATGAAGTTCTCGATGTGCAGCAAAGCGATTCCATAAAATGTTAATTTCGTTAAAATAATAAACAGCAAGTAGATTGAAAACCACGATAATAATGAGGCACACCTGAAAAATCATCGGTGAAATCAATTCCTTATTATTCGTTGATTTCGTTGCTGTTAAATTCGATCGATTCTAAAGTAAAATTCATACGAACTGTTCTTCAATGGATTTTAAATGAATAGTCTGTACTAACAGGGACTTTAAGTGGTGTATGAGCTGCCCATGATCGTGATAAACGTTTTAGTTGTTCATCGGTTGCGCGCATCTTTTCTAGTAGTCGGTCATAGCGTTGTATCGTATCGATATGATCGGACGAATTCGATGAAAATCGAACTTCTTGTTTCTCTTCATACTGAGAAGTCGGTGTGAGAGAATAATTGGTCATGGAAGATGTTTCGTACGAGTCTACTGACGGCGGACAAAGTATTTGTGGCGATCGATAACGAATAGAGATGGGTATCATAGAAGTTAAAGAACTCCGTAGGCACGGGTTACTTGAAGAACGATTTGATAAAGGAGATAGAAATACCTCTTTTCTATAGAAGAGAAAATGACCACAAAAATTGAATTTTTGAAAGAAGACTTACTTTTTCGTTGGAACTTTCCCAAGTTTGTCTCTTCCCTGATGAATGTATTCCCGAACCGGTGACCATGAAACATGTTGTCTTCGATTCAGCGGTCGACTGTATTGATTTGCAAAGGTATACCAAACGGTAGGTTCAGGGTAATAAGAGAATCGTTGTTCCGATAATGATCGAGATTGTGGTTTAGTTATGTTCGGACGAATATAAGTATCTCCTCGATATGGTTTGATATAATATCGAAGTCGAGATGGACGACGAGTATTGTCGTTACACGAATCGAATATATTGATCGTTGGTTCAAATAATGATCGACAAGATGGAGGAGACTGGCAAGATGATTGTTTAGCTGTCACACCAGCAAGATGTTGAACTTGATTAGATTGAGATGGTGTTGAGAATTTTAATGTCTTCTTCAGAGAAGAAGACGACGAAGTAGGTGATGGTGAACGAGATCGAGAAGAGACATTCGAGTCAGGAACTGATAATTGATCTTTTGCTGAAGACTTCTTAAGAATAGATTTTGTTGGTGAAGAAGTATTTCGATCAATAACTTGAGGAGTTGGCTCCTAAGAGAAACAACTCATTTGACAAGTTAAAATGAAGAAATTACTCACTTCAAATGACATTAGACACTCATCATCGAGACTATCGGGTTCACTTGGTGTTTTTGATTGAGTTGTCTTTTCATTTATTTTCAGTTGATATTCATTCGCATAGAAATGTTTGGTGACTTGATCTTCACACGAATTCACTTGAAAACATGGTTCTGTTCTAACAACTGTCGTCTGCGGAGACGGATGATACAGATCGTTCTCATCAAATTTAACCCGAATGCCACGTCGATTCGAAACGAGCTCTTTCTCCAGTTCTTCAAATTGACGAATTTCTTCCTGAACTCGTCGTTCCTCATCGAAATGATCAGTAACAAGACTAGAAATGCTCGTCGGAGTTGTAATCATCTGAATAAAAAAAACACAAAACTCAATTACAGACATGTATGTGTTTGATGGCGATGACCACCTCATCATCTTGTTGTTCAACAATCGGTTCGAGTCTTGTTGAATCTCCATAACGTCGATGTTCGTCGTCGGCATACATTTTCGTTTCACCACAAATAACTGATGAGGGAAAAATTCGAAAGAATGCCTAGACAGCTGTTACATTATCCTCTCTTTTATAATCATTGGTATACATTTATGAATAGGTTCTTTCATTCTCGTAAGATCCGTTGTTTATAGGCCTTCGTATATCACATCTGTTGTCTCTGATTTTCATATATTAGTATAAAATTTGAGAAATATCATTATTATTCGAAAGTGTTTTTGTGGATTCACCTCGATTATTTTCAAAGAGAGAAAAAAACGAGTCGTTTGCAAAAATATTCTGTATATAACAAAAAAGTTAAGTTGGAATAAGTGTATGCGGGAACAGTAAATACTTTTATCGTCGTTATCTTTATTCTTCTCCACGCATCTCTCATCTCGTCGAGATGGCTGGTTTTCTTCCCAGGTGACAATCGAACATATAACTCAGTTCTGGAAGTATTGTTTTTTGTCTTCTCGCTACAAAGTGTCAATATTGATTAAAGAAAACTCGATTGATTATTTCAAACAGATATAAATTTATTCCATCTCTAGATTAACAATTATCCTCAAAGAAAGTCGTTAATTCCATCCAAAACCTTCCCATGTAAACTCCTTCGTCGATGCACTGATATTTCGTTCAGCTTTGGCAAAATCTTTCCCGCAAAGCTCATCAAATTCCTTTAGTTTTTGTTGATTGCGATAGAAAACTTTCAATATGGGTTTCGCGTGAAATGCATTCTTGGAAGGACGGTAATCCATAACATATACATGGCCTGTACAAGACCAGCCAATAAAATAACCTGATTCAGGATAACTAGCAACAGTATCGATAAAAAACGGTGTTCTCTTGTTTTCCATCAACAGGTACCCATAAAAGAAACACTGTAAAATGCTTACTATGGATATGATCAGCTAAAACTTCACGTGTTTTTCTCAAACGGCTATCGCTATTTATAGTTTGAAAGTATTCGATACTGCCCTGTTTATAATCTTCCCAAATTTTGATACCATTGACGCCGTTCTGCGCATAGTTACGTTCTTTGGCCAGTGTTGATAATTGAAAGGCACCGTGGACACAATGTGCAGCTGTTGTTTTTTCGAGATACTTTCGAAGTAGTTTGTATACATTCGGATAACTTCTACGTAAAACGTTTGCTATTTGTGAACAATTTTGTCCTGAGCTTGTAAATCTGCAGTCTGCGCTATGGCCAAGTAGACAAGACAAAATGCAAATGACTACTATATATGATTTTCATTTTCTTTTGAACGCTTTAAATGAACCGTTATTTCGCCACTTGCAAAATCTATGTTTTGTTTTCCTATCGTCAGAAAAAATTGCACTATCGCATATATGTGCCAGTCCGATGAAAAAGTCACAACAACATACCTTTTCTTTTCTAACTAAGTGAAATTAGGCCCACTGTGTATAAAAAATATCTTCTAGATGATCTAGAGCGAGGAGTTTTTCCTCCAACATATCTATATAAACATATGCTACCAGATCGATAGAACATTACACACAATTCTCTCTACCATACCGACGCAATAGGATCAAACAACTGAACATGTGTTTTACAATGAAGATATTGCACAGATCTTACGAGATCATTATCCACATGTTCATAAGCTATTGTATGAGACACTATGAAGTACCACAGCTTATCATGGTGTAGTTGCACAATCAAAATTGTTGTCTGCTCGTGTGTATATGATTTGCATCTGATGGAGTTGCCTACTGTTGATGTATCATCTGAATATTGTTCTTGTGTTTCTCCTGTACCAACGTTAAAAGAGTATCAAATCGAAGGTACATTCAACGGTACGACATTCTCTTGTCAGCATAAAATTATCAGAAGACTTCAAAAAACGAGCAGAAAACAATTACGAAAAAGCTAAACAAGACATTGTGAAAGCATGTCCTCCTGCATCAATGTCATTTTCATCAGTACCGATGCCGTCTGTTCAAAATCAAAATTATACCAATGGCACCGGTGAACAAATCGAAACAGCGACTTTACAACGATGCATAGACAACATATAAAATATTGTTGCGAGCATACTTACATTCAATTCATCAAGACATTTGAAACCTTTGACAACCAGTGTGTGGTAAAGAATTTGAAAACTTATATCAAAGCACAAATTCCCATGTTACAAGAAACATTTCTTATTCAAAACCGTCTGATCGTTTTGTATTCATTTGGAAATGTATATCAAGTAATGGGAGTGTTGCTTGATATTCAATCTAAATATCTAACCGGTGAAATCGAAATGAAACACCAGCAATTGCCTATGTTCGATGATATTATGCGCGAAATTCGTTACAAATAAAAACTTGTACTGATAATTGATTCATAATTTTTTGAAAAACTCTTTCCTCTTATCAATAAATATAATCACCAGTTTGTTTACAATTATCATTAAACGAATGAGACTTTAATTGAGTATTTCTTCTATGCCATTATTCTCACACTCTAACTCTCAATATGTAGATTGATTTCATTGTATGCTTCTAAATCAGAATGAAAAATGAATTTTACAAAATCGAATACTAGTAGTAGATGTCACAACATTCTGAAAGTAAACGAAGTATTTCATTCGATAAAATCTACAAGTATATCCACTCTCATTCTGTACTGTACAGCAAGTATATATAGAATAGAGAAAGGCAAAACAACTGTTTATTATCTTCCTTTTAGTCTTACGAATCATATTGTCTTGTATAGAAGAATGTCAAGTCCGGTGGCTAACGTACCTTCATCTACCTCATTTTTTCCAAATGTACCCTCGTCAATAATGCCAAATGAATCCCCATCGACACCAACCAGCTATGTTAGCCTTTTAGACACATCTCAATCTCCTGGTAGAAAGATTTTCTTTTCCAAAATTTACTTCTTGCTCATATATTCACAAACTAGATGCACCAGTTCTTTCTGTTCCACAACGAACTACACCTAATTGGACACGTACAATCGATACACTATGCCAATGGGGTACTCGTACGTTTAAATTTACTCGACAAGTATTGCACGAGCGAATGGGACAAGGTATTCGAACGCAAGACGTCGAACTTGAGCAAAAGATCGAAGTTTGTTTTCGCTCTTCGTTTTTCATATCGAATAATCTGTCAATGCCATAGGTTTTTCGAGAGACAAAACGTCAATATGAATATTTATTGAAAGAAGCTCGTCAAATGTCCATACATTTCGCTGGTCTTCTTCAGACTCAACGTTCTCTCAGTAGGAAATTGACAAAAGTTGCTTTTATTCCACTGAAATATCCAACAACATCGTTTAGGTCAATCATTCATTGAATTACAACGAATGTCATCAGCCACATTTGATCTTTGCGAACAGTTCGCTCAAAACGGACATTGTCAGCGTGTTCTCGCCCATAACGGTGATGCTCTACTAAGTAAAATGAAACCTTCTCTTGACAAGAAAAAAAAACACAACCAAAACGAATTAATTTAGACTCAATGAACTCATTCGTTGGAGCTTTACAAACTCTAGTAAGCAAGACAATGGAAGATACCTTAATGACTTTGAAAGCATATGAAAGATCTCGGTAATTGACAAGTCATCAAGGAATAATCTCTCTCTTTGGATATTTCTTCTAGAATTGAATATGATGCATACCGATCTGATTATGAAGCTGTCTTAACTCAAAATCCCAGCGGAGGTGTGACGTTATCGAATCTCGAGAAGAACATCGAACGACAGTATAATCACTATAAAGAACGCCATGAAAAATTGAAAACAAACCTCACAGTTAAACTACGTTTACTCGATGACAATCGCGTAAGTTCGGTGCCGCACTGAAGTCATACGATTAATTACAAAGAATCCGTTTTTCTTTTCAGATTAGAGTTATGCAACAACAGTTGGTCTCATTTCATAAGGCAATTGGAAGTTATTATTTAATGATAGGACAACAGCTGAATTGGCAAACTAAAGAACAGAATAGTCAATAGAGTCATTTCCTTTTTATATCCGTTTGTATTATACTCTGCGTTGTAGATGGTTCGAATGTTTTATTACAAAATAAAGTTTCTCTCATAGTTTTTTACGACAAATAACATAGGTAAGACTTTTTCATTGCTAATGGATTACGGTTAGCGTTTAGAGATAGCGATAATCTAATTATTGTACAAGTATCGATAAGCTTATTGAGGAAATATGTACACTGTGCATCGTCAATCAGTGTTATGTTTATATCATCACCATTGTAGTCAAATCCAATTCATGCGTATGAAATTTATGTGTAAAAATATTGTGGGCAATTGAATTCGTATTATAGTTACTGTTCAGCCCTGAAAGAAAAGTAGAATATACTTCTTGTTAGCAATTAATCTGCTTATCCCTTGACTAAATTTGTGTATAATCATACTCTTAATGGACTTACTTATGTTTTTTTTATTGCTGCTAATGTATGTAAACAAAATCCTGATAGAATGAATGAAAGAAATCCAAAAAACCTAATGATTTGGATCTGATCAAAAGCGAAATAGTATTGACATTTGTTTGATGACGACGACGATGATGATGATGGTGATGATCTAGACACATACACACCCGTCGACACTTGCCAACAATATATGCCATTTTTTTTTGTCTTTCTATTTTTTTTCTCGACTAGAAGAAAGATCATCATCTTCATCAGTATCGCACATCTGGGTGCTTGTTGCTTCTGAAGTATAGACTCAGACATATACATACATCCGTATATATATATATAAATATACTAAATCAAAACCAACAGAGATCTAGTAGATATTATGGACGATCAACTCATCGCGTCAGACAATACCGATGATGATCAAGCCCAAGGTGATGGATCATCTTCTTCAATTAGTTCGGACGACGAAAATACTCATCCATTAACACGTTCATTAACATCGTTCTTATCAACGGAAGATATCGATAAATGTCTGTATGTGACAAATATTAATTGGCGACGACGATTTTCGGTAAGTAGTGAGCTTGTAGTGAATCGATAATTAATTCTGCGACATGATAGATAGGAACGAGAAAATACTTTTCAGTGCTCGTTAATCATAATCTTTCTTCGGTATGTATCTATTTATCGTTTGACTCATTTCCACTCAAGGGCTAAATATATGCGTCAATTGACAGACAAATAGAAGAGCCAAAACAACTTTGCCTATTGGCCTTTTCTTGTTCTTTCCATTGAGGAAAATATTCGCTAGCTATCCAGAACTAGATAAAATTTTTTCGAGTAGAAAAACCTGTCATATATCTTCTTGCTAATGTATCCGAAGATATGCCGGCAATGAATGTGATTGATCTCGTGTTTTTACTCGAGGGATAAATTTCGTCCATAGAAGATATGCCAATGCAGTTTGGACTTTTCAGAGGAATTTTTCTTTGTCAATAACAATAATCTATGACGATGATGACGCCCCTGATGAAGAGAACAAAACAAAAGAGCACACCGCTACTATCGCCGATTGTATACTTCTTCGCTTAGCTCATCAGTCATAGACGTACATAAGATGACGAACAGATATTGGAACAAGAGAGAAGAACGAAGGGGAGGAGGAGGAAAAAAAAGAAGTGTTTCTTACTAAATGGCAGCGACAGCAGAGTGATGTTAAACCCTTTTCTCCCCCTCCCCCTCTACTCAATCGGTCGTTTTTGACAATGCTCTTGGCTAAGCTATCAGAACGAACAGCTCGGCATATGTATCGACATTTGGTAATCTTTGATGATACAGAACGGACGACAAGAAAACTCTTTCTTCTTTTTTCCTTCTTGTTGATCACATACTGCTTGTACCGATGAGATTTCTCCTTTGTACATGTATGTGTTGATGTAACAACAGGCACCGTAATTATTTCTGTTCTCTCCTTTCTTGCTTGCGCGCGCGCGCTCTCTCTCTCTAGCCCGATTTGCTTTCCACTTACCAACATTGATCATAAACAAAATTGTTCTGGATTAATCTGAACAAGTATTTTGTTATTTGGAAATAACAACTAATGTTTGTGCTGCTTTTCTTTCTCATTGTTGACATTTCTTTCACAGATTCGTCTATCAAATGGTCAATTAAATGATTTATCGTACGAACGTCGTGAACGTGTCTATTCCGCAAGTTCAACTGATCAGATCAATCTAAATCGAGCCAATCCGTTGTACCTATCACGTTACCGGAATTCTTGTTGGTTTCGTTGTCGAACAGTATCCTCCTCGTCATCATCGTTCGATGAATATAATTCATCAGATTTGAACGAAAAGTTCGCTTCATTCAATTCCACACATACAGCGTATGCCCGTTTGAAACGCTTTACTGAGCGATTACTCGAATTGGAGCGAAAAGCACACGAAAGTGTTTTTACTAACAGATACAATCATAAGATTTCATCGAAAACGGACTCATCTGTGGATACTAAAGCCCAACAAGAGGAAAATCGATCGTTTCAATCAGCGAAAACAAAGTTAGTCAGTTGAGTAACCATCGTTTATTGGCAAATATTCTTTCTAGTTCTAAACTCAAACTTCGTCGCGTTCAAAGTCATCCACAAGTAGTCAAAATCAAACCTCTCCATGCTGAATCAATACGGCAAGTGAAAACTATGTCTACGATCAATGTCTTACCCATGGAATCGTCATCAACACGCCGCTCTTCATTTGTAACATATCCGGTAAACAATGAAACAATTCCTCAAGAAACAGCAGCTCCAATCGTCAAGGATAAGAACATTTCCTTTCAAGTTAGCTCGACCAAAATCAATCGGAAAGTTGAAGTTAAAACTAAACAAGAAGATAAAATCTGTACAAAAAATAATCAAACATCATCGCCAACAATAGTCACTCGAATCATCAAAACACAACCAGCGACGGCACCACATCGTGTTAGTGTTCAACAGCAACCCAGATCGTCAGGTAAAGACTTAGCACGACAGGAAAGGTCTACTTTCGACATTTGCTTTCTTTCAGTGACGGACAGTTCGATACACCGTGTTCGAGTTAGTGTCAGTTCATCTCCTCAAGGAAATGAATTGACGAGAAGTTCTTCAAGTCAATTTATTTTTCCAGAACCTTCCAAACCAACTTCAAATCACGAATCGTCAACAAGCAACGATGATTCCTATTCCAAAATGATCTCAAATTTTGTTTCAGAAAATCTTGCCGAATCATCGAAATTGGACGTCGAAGAAACATTCGATCGTCGACCTTTGCTTGATCTAATCAGTGAATTAAACCGTCGACATACATTAAATCAAGCTCCAGTAATTCCTCCACTTGATAGAGCACAATCAATCGAAAGACGAGCAGATACACCATCGCCAACCGATATCCTTCCGCCGAAACCTCTCAGTCCTTTTCGGCCGGTGATTGTTCATAAGAAATATCAAGTAAACGAATACAAAATCTTCCTGAGGAAGTATTCTTCGGTTTCTTTTTTTCAAGGAACCTATCGGTCGATTTGAATTCGTGGATGGTAGCGGTGATTCAACACCAACACTGAGTCGACAGAATAGTCGGGCTTCAGTGACACGCAGTCATACATTCAACACCTCAACGAATAACAATTCAAATTTGAAGAAGATACCTCTGAATGAAATGAAACCAACAGATGATTCGACATGTCAATCAACGCCTGAATTGAGTTGTTCGAACGAAAGAGAACGCGAAACAACTGAGCCGACAATTCAGATTGAAGAAACTAGCGGATTATCAACGAGTGGTACTATTCTAAGTAGTACATCACTCACAGCACTGACTCCTACGTCGAGTGGAACGATTGACGACAAGAACGAGGTATGCACATGTTCTTTTCTTTTTCTTCCAATATTGCTTTATCATCACATACTCGGTAAAGAGGAAAATTATCAGATAGATGAAAGAAATACTTCTACCGCCTGCGCGTTTTTTTCCTCTCCCTTCTTCCCTTCTTCTATCTTTCATCCATCGTTTCTGACTCTATCTAACGACAACATAACAAACACATCATATTAATATATGGAATGTCAAATGTGATCTCCATCATGTCCGATCAAAAGACATCACATTCACCGCCGTTAATTCGAGCAACCACGCCTGCTCCTAATGATCGATCAACACAATCGAATTTTACCTTTTATGGAGTTCGACGTCATCATTCCGCACCACAACAAGAATGTCGTTGGCAACAGGTCCTTTCTTTCTTTCTTTGTTATCAATTTCCTCATCAGTTATCTTTGATCTCTGACAAATTTCTCTTATTGTTTTGATTTTTTTATCATTTCAGGCCAAACGAAAAGCCATTGCCATGCAAATGTACGATACCGAGTAATCCTATGTTGAAGCTCTGAAAAACCTCGTGACGGTAAAATCGCGTTTTTTTTTCCTTCAGATCAAATAGGAGATTTGATGTTGACATTGTAAAACGAGAAATACTCTAATTTGTTGACATAGTTGATCATATCGAATCCCATAATGTGTTTTTAGAAATATTATTTACCCATGAAAGATAAAGCCGTTATTTCAAATGATCTTGTCAATGATATTTTTTATAAAATTCCCGAAATCCATATTCATCATACGGTAAGTTCATTTGTTCTTATCATTATTTGTCTTCTCCAATTGTCATTTCTTCTTAGGCATTCTTGATCTCGCTGTCACAGAGATTATCTCAATGGGATAATAAACAAACTGTGGGTGATCTTCTTTTTCAGATGGTAAATAGATTGCCGAAGCAAATAGAAAATGTTTTGTTTTTCCTATCTTATCTGATGAATCTAGTTTACCCGAACATCAGTCATCGAGACGTACACAAGTTTTGTTAATAATTATAAAACAGCTCAAATTGCCATTCGTCTTTGCCGTGACTCGTCGTCGTTTAATAAATTTCTCGAACAACAAGCGCGAATTCATCGTGGCCGATTAACGTTACGCGATCTGATCATTCAACCGGTGCAACGTATTCCAAGATATGAACTATATATCAAAGACTTTCTCAAATGTACAAATTCAAATCATGCAGATTATCCACTATTGCTTAAAGCACAATCGGAAATTCATTCGCTAGCTGAACAAATTGATCAAGTACAGAAAGATGTTGGTTCAACTGAATTAGCCGTGACGAACAACTCACTCGAAGTCGTTCAAGAAATGATCGAAAACTTAACTGATGTTTGTCATGAATTATTTTCGCAATGATATCTATGAGCATTTCTCTTTTCTAGTTAGTCAATGCTGATCGATACTATATTCGTCATGATGTGGTTACTATTCAATCGCCATCGGGATTGAAAAAAGATCGATGTATCTTTTTATTCAATGATTTAATTATTATTACAAGTTGTAAGCGAAGAAGTGGAACATTAACAAAGAAGCCGACATCTTCGGTGATTATGTATGTGAAAGAAAAGGTTCGAATGTAGATGTAATTCGTTTTTGTCTTTTTGCAGAAACTCGCCTTCAGGAAAACAGTACATTGACAATGCAAAACATAAATTAATCATGAAGATTTCATTGGACAGTGTCGATCTAGCTGCAGGTAAGTCTCGATGAGGAAACAAGTTAGTTCAGGATCTCGTGTTGTCAAAATTCTCGTTGTATTCTAACTACCATTTGATAAGCAGTGTCATTAACGATCAGAAAGTACCCAAAATAACAATTAGCATCTTCCTAATCCGTTGAAAGATCGATACAAGGTTTTTGTCTGGCTTTTATCAACGAAAATTCGTGATGTTATTTGTTCTTCTTCGTTTGCAGTAGATCATGTGAAGAAACGAGGAACGCCGCCAACCATAGTTAAATCTCACTCCACTGCCAGTTCAGGCGGAGAGAAATATCGTCATTTAGAAGACGACGTTGTCACTCTCGGACAAATGAGTGATTTGGCTAAAACGATCACTGTTCCTCATCAAGTAAAACTTCCTATATGATTCAATTCTTTCGATCGATTGCGAATTCAATCCATTTCTAGCATCTGGACGAATCGTTAAGAGAAACTCTTCATGTCATCAGCAAACACATCACTGACGAAACATCATCCGTATCAAGTGTAAGAACTACAAGTCCGGAACCAACGACAACAGATATTTTGCAACAGAAATCCAATAATATTCAACTAATCATGCATACAACGTGAGTAGTGCAGATAGTTTTACGAGTTTGCTTCTTAATCGGATGTGATCATGTAGAGAACGTACGGAAACGATTGATGTTATCTTGTCGTCTGCCGAACATCGAGCAAACTGGCAAAAGAGCTTTCTTGAAGCGAAGAAAGCTCTTTGTAAGTGAATTTTCGATGGAGAAAATCATTCCTATAATTATTATTCTAGTCGAAGCTGCTACGGGCCGACGAAATATCAGTTTTCAGCATGTTCTAACACTTCCACATAGTCGCCCAGGAAGTCAAGTATGTTTTCTAAAAGACAAACCATTGGCTTCTTCAGTTTTCTGTTTAGTTTTCTTGCGGTGCGCCTCGTTTATCATTAGGTGATATTTGTATTTGTAATTCCGATGGTCAAGTATGTTTGGTTAACGTTCAACCTAATGTAACAATAAAAGCCTGCAATACAGTGATATCATCACGTATTAATTGTGTTGCCTATGTTCCATCACACAAAGGTCGACGAACGGGAAGTAGTATAAAGCATCGTCATCATCAACATAAACAAAAACATCAGGAAGATCATGAAGGAGAACGACAAGAAGATAAACATGAAGAACATTTGTTGAAACAAGAAGCAGGTTTAGCAGTGAAGAATTCTGATGTGTCCACAACAGTCGAATCATTTTTTGACATCGATTCGAGTGATGATGAAGATACATCGACGATCAATAACGAAGATGTATTCTCAATTGATTCGACAACGCCGTCACAACAATGCATTTTACTAGAAAGTGACCTTCATAATGAACAACAAGATACAAGAGAAGCTACGATGTGGTTAGGCACCGATGATGGAATGTAAGTTCGAATCGATTGGAAAGAGTGGCAAATCTGTGGGTTCTGTTTAGAATTCTAATCTTTCAATGTACAGAGACGATGAAAACAGTTGCAAGGAAGAGTCGCATTGTTAAACAACTTGGTTCTCCGATTCATTCCATCTTGTAAGTTTGAATACGAAATGTACTGCCGGTTGTTTATGATGATATTTAGATATACCGATAACAAAGTTTTCGTTGCACTGAGTCATGGCGAATTATGTGTTTTTCGTCGAGATTTAAGTAGATACATGTCAATATGATAAATGAGAAGAATCTGAGTTTGTCTGATGATTTCAGGTGGCCATTGGGATTTAGATTGTCCAACAATTCGATCTATTGAAGAAGACTCTCTTCGGTGTGGTGGTAGTGGACATCATGATATCGATGATGGAGATAACGTTGATCCGATATCTGTCATGGCCTTGGCTGCTGGAAGATTATGGTGTGCTATACGCGATCGTATATTTGTTGTTTGTCCAAATTCACTCAACGTCGAAGTAATCTATTCTATGAATTCGTATTCCTTGTAACTCAATCAAATTTCGTTTAGCATTCATTTCTTGTTGACGATTGTCATCGTCATGTGTGTAGTATTGCTCCAGGAGGATCATCGATGCATCATGTTTGGATAGCATCTCAAGGTTCACATGAAATTCGTCTTTATCATGCAACACATTTTGTTTGTCTATTGGAAACAAGTATTCGAACTGCAGTAACACAGAAACTGCAAGGTACATTTCTTCTCATACTATTCAACAAATCCTTTTTCTTTTCCTTTCCTAGTATGTGATGATATTATTCGAGCTCATAAATTAGGCTGTCTAAGAGTCAGCGCTCTTCATATATGTAAAGAAACACTCTGGGTTGGAACAAGTGCAGGTGTATTGCTTAACATCTCTGTTCCACAACTACTCGATTCGGGCAATAACAAATTAACTGCCAGTTCATTGCAATTGAAAAGTCTATCGTTTGGTCATGCGGGACCTGTACGATTTATCCTTTCGACAGATACAACGGTTGTCTCTTCTACTGATGATATTACAAATATGAAAACGATTGTCTTGAGTATCGGAGATGGTTTTGAAGATTACGCAACTAATGATGAAACATTGGGCAAAGATGATGCACTTCCTCATGTGATAGTTTGGCAACTATGAAAAGAGGATTCGATTTTTTTTCTTCTCGTCTGTATATAAAGACACTATGCTGCAGGTCAGCAACGATTTTTCTGCAAATTTTTCTTTCGACGACTGTCTTTGCCTTCGTGTGTGTGTGTGTGTGTGTGTGCTTTGTTTGTTTGTTTTCAGTGAAGAGAAAAGAACAACCCTTGAAATGCGTGGCACTCGATTCCTTTATTAAGACAAAAAAAATTTAACATTTGCCTTTGAAAATTAATACCGCAACTTTACCAACATCGAGAATAATACGTTTTTCGTCATCGGAAGTGATTGACAGTGCGAAATCTTTGCCAAGGATGCATTGCCATGATGGACTATGAAGTTGATCGAATTGATAACGAATATATTTCGCAAGAGCCGCACGGGATTTGAGCGAATAACCATTGAATTTCGTAAATGCTAGTTTAGTAATACGTACAGCGTCAGTATTCATTGACTCAGTCATATTACTGATACGCACAACGACATTCGGTGGAGAAGAAGCGTTTCCTCTGCTGAATAGAAATACTAAACAGAGGATGAGTATTGAAAGATGATAGCTTTGCATTCGAAATGATTCTGTTTGAATGAAACAAACACATCAAATCTATCTGGATCATTTTACCATTTATCTTATCAATATTACGACGATGTTTGACAAGAATCACGCAACGGACATCTTCAACGAATAGATCAACATGTGTTATCGTAATTTGATGAGACTAACTGTGAACACAAGCATGATAAACAAAGTTCTATTGCGGTTGTGTAATCACACTAATCTTAATACGCACAGTCGGGATGTCCTTATCTTCCGATAGATGTTAACTATAGCGTAATATACACAACATCAGACTTTTCTTCTTGTTGTACTCATGAACGCACAAGAGAATATTGTCAATAAGATATTTATAATTAAATAGATTTTTCCATACAAAAAAAAGTTTTATTTTTGTCAATTGTTCAACAGAAATTCTTCTTGATGATAAGCATTTGAAGTGCAACAGAAAACCTGACTATACTGGTTGATAGCGGATAGAATATTTAATTTCCTTCACGAAAAAGTAGTTTTTTTTACATATTTGCACATGTTAGTGTGTTTCGAAATAGAAACAATAAAAGTACCTTGAAAAGTACTAAATAGTCGTTATTGTTATAGAAAAAGGACACCAATTCAACAAGTGTTTCACATGATAAACTGGTAAAAAAACATACGCCATTCCAGTTTTTACTCAGATACTGTGTTGTATCTTGATAATATAAACATGAACATCCGTTTTTTGTCTGAATAGACTCTTTATATAGGGAAGTTCATTCATCGATTGTTTTATTTAATTTCTCTTTCTCATTGTCGTTGTAAAAGAACAAGACTTGAACTGAATGATTGACAAATTCTTATCTTTTCGGTGGACGATCAGATTATGGCAGTTGACACAGATTTTTGTTTTCATACGATTAACATCAGGTAAGGATTTTGGAGATATCCTCTCGGGTAGTAATTAGGCAACAGTTGTGTATACAAAGGTTATCCACAAATCTTCATATGAGAGAAACCAGTAGAGAAAAGGATTATTAGAACACTGTATTTACCTGAAATCAACTGAATAGTCGGATAGTGGTAGTGAATCTTACCTCGTTAACGATTACACGCAATATTGGATCAGGACCAGGCGCATTTCCTAATCAGTTTAATGCATGCACATATCTCTGTGTTGTTGGAACATCGATATACGTTCTAGATAGGCTGAACTATCGAATTCAACAATGGGCAATAAATGGAACGAATCCAACGACTCGTATTGGAACAATTGGTTTTAGCTATGCTATTTTTGTTGATCAATACGAGAACTTGTACGATAGTTTGCTAAATGATAATAAAGTCATAAGCTATCCACCAAACTCAACAATTTCTAGCATAGTAGCGGGAAATGGTAATGCAAGTTCGCAGCCCTCTCGACTGAATTTTCCTAACGGTATATATGTGAACAATGATTTGACTGTCTATGTTGCCGATTATAACAATCATCGAATACAAATCTGGTCGGCTAGAGCATCAAGCAGGAAAACTGTCACTGAGGATGGAACATATGGTTCTGACTTATCAAGACTAAATAATGCATCGGTAGTAGTCTTAGATATTAATGGATATGTATACATTGCTGATTCCAATAATAACCGTATTGTACGCTAGGCGCCGAATTCAACTACCGATGTTTGCATTATCAGTTGCACAGGGAACTATGGGACAAGTACCCGTCAGTTGAATTATCCAGTTGACCTACAATTTGATAGTTATGGGTCATTGTATGTATGTGATAATGGAAATCATCGAATACAAAAATTCGCTATTTTACACAATCCAAGTAAGACGTCTGGTTCATTTATTATAAAATCAATATTTGTATTTTTTCCTCTGATTAAGTCGAAACAATTACGACAAGTCAAGTTCCTTCTACAGGTAATCACTAGCAATATTTCACTAAATGTCTTATTTTCTCTATAATCTAGTTCAAACATAAACTTTGCTTGCAACAACATATACACCAACTAGCACGCTAAGTAATTATACAACACACAATTTAACTTGTTATGCACATTGACGGAATTTTCTTTTCTAGTTTCAACTTTTACTTCCTGAATATCATCGACAACACTAGTACAGTCGACTATGGCAATCTTCTACAAGGATGGCAACTACTTTACAGTGGTCAACAGTAAATACAAATACCATTTTGCAACGACCGTCGATAACTGTTGTACCAACTTCACGACAATCAACTACAGATTATCATACGCAAACGTTACAAAAATCTCAATCGCCTCTCAACGCATATTACCACTCAAAGTTCACGTACGAGTTCAAATCTATTTAAGGCTAAAGTTTAATACTGATAATCATTTTAGGATCTATTTTAACAATACAGTCTACTATGATTGCCATGTTATCATCGACAATAGCACTATTGATGACGTCGTGTGAGCCCCTATAATACTTTAATGCATGTTTTTCCTCCTATTTTGAATTCAGATTGTTCCGATCCTATTATTTCACGTTGGCCCTACAATCCATCAATCTCGATGCCTCGACAAATTCGTCGAAGTGAAGATTTCTCCATCAGTTCTTCTCTCGACTTATATTGCAAGCAATCACTTGCTGTATTTGAACAGTGGACGATTCATAAATGCTTAGACTCCTCGTGCAGTTTAAAACAATCAATGACAATCTCATCAGTACACTTAACACTCGTTGAATTATTCATTCCATCAAAAACACCCGATTATAGAGTATACCAACTGACTCTAACTGTAAAAATGAGTACAGCAATGAAACTAATGACGTCTGCTTTGACATATATCGAAATTATTTCATCACTTATTCAAGTCGAATTGATTCCATTGATGGTCACTTAGGCATATCAACAATCATTGATTGTCAATCCAGAAAAATTCTCAATTGATCCCGATCAATCTCATTTCAACTCCACAGTTCGTACTAATGATCACATCTAATCTATTGCAGACAATTCTTCTGTTGTTTAAATTCTAGAATTGGAACTACACTTATTTCTACGGTATCTATAATCAAGTCCTATCACCAATTGACATGTCGCCCAGTAAGAGTGACACTTTTTTTTATAAATCTGATTCAAAGATCATCTGTATCTTTCCAAAAATAAAGACAACGGAAGTTTATGGAGCTACGGATTAAACTCATCTCGTTCATCGCTCGTCATATCTCCCGGCTTTCTTTCATCCAATCAAACGTACCATTTCCAAGTTCAACTGACAAGTATCTACAATTCTTCAGTAATTTCCACTGGCAATCTTTTAGTTCAAGTTCAAGATGATATATCAATGGTAATCATCATTAAGGAAGCACATTACACATCTCCTTACGCACACACACTCTCAGATGAATTCGCGCATCTTCTATATGGCGGAAATCAAAATGGTGTTTGTCAAGTTTTGACATCGATTAGTCAAGTGGTGAGCATTTTTGCAGATGAAAACCTTCAATTAGTAATTCAAAGTATGTTCGAATTTCTTCGATTTCTAAAGAATAAGATCATGTCTCATTCGAATATAACATGTCCGCTGTGGATATATTCATCTCACCATTGATCAGCAACTCTTTACAAGTCTTATGGCGGTTAGATTCTCCTGTTACCAGCCTATACTTGTTAATAGTCCAATAATCGATCAGGAATATCATATAATTTCGCTTCATTCGAACGCGATTTGAATACGTTTGCTGCAGTTCAAGAATACATAATGATATTTATCAATAATTTAACTATTACAACAATTGAGAGTATTCTATTACAAGCATCAACCTGATCTCAGTTAACTGCTACAACCAATCAACCTAATTATCTTTCCATGTTGCAGTTCGATGCCCGGCCCTCTCAATTTCTTGATACATTGAAATATGTTCGCAAAGATTTGTTCTACTTTGGATGGATTTTTCTTATTATTTACATTTCGTTCATGTCATTGTTCTATTTGCTGTTTCATTCAAAGATTTGGACGTGTTCGGAACTGTATCGTACCAATGAGATTTTGTTGTTGTTAAAATTTGATAGCGAAGATTTGTATCAGGCAAATGTTGTTCTTGGACCTCTGGTGTTCGCATTATTTATCTATTTTGCGGTGTTTATCTGTGGTACTATGATGATTGCAATTATCAATAATGGTTTTCGACAGATTCGGTCAGTGGATCAGACGATGGCGACTAGTGATGAAAATCTTTTTGTATTCCTGTTGGAACATGCGAAGCATAAATTGGGTAAACAGAGATAAATCTCTATTTGATAGGAGTTCTATGAAATTTTTCATGTAGGTTTTCGTGGAAAGAATGGAATGAGACCGCAAGACGAGACAAGTGTCGAACATGACAGTCCAGTGGACGAATTATTAAGCGAAATAGATGAATTGGATAGGATACTAAAGAAGGTATGTATACGCATTCGATAAATCGCTGATAAATATGGTTTTTTCTTGATTTAATACAAAATAGTTCCTTCGCGTTCGTCAAGAGCTGGGGCAGAAATTGATGTTTACGTTGAAGATATCGAGTGATTGAGGACTACACGCCAAAGAGGCATTGAAGCTTCTTTTTCTCGTGTACTATTTGTTGTGTAAAGAAAAAGAATGCTGCTTATCATCTAAACCTACACACAGAGAAAAGGCGCGTGATAGAGGTAAAACGAAGATACCGTTTTTAACTTTACAAAACAAAATATTGTTGCTTAGAGGAATTGATGAATTCCGATACAAAAATAATATTACTCATATCGTAAAGAAGATGTGCCATAACATCTTAATCTAACCATGACTATCGCCTACAAATGCTACACTCTGATAGGAATGTCATGAATAACTCAGCAGTATATAAATTCTCTCTTTTTACATCCATTGAATATTCATATCTGCTCTTTGTGAATAAACATGGTGACTCACCTTTGTTCGAGCAATAGCTGTCAGTTTTCTACATTCATAATTATTGTCGTCGGGTGTTTGACTGCGATCATTCTATTTACTATGCTTATTGCGATATTAATCAAACGTCAGAAGAACAAACAACTAGATCAAATACCTGAAATTCAAGAACATCAGCTATGGACGCCTTATTCAATTTCCAGTGTGATTAATTATCCTGCTCTGGAATCATATTTGAAAACTAATTCAAGTGAACAAGTGTGACTTTTTTTATTGTACTCAATAAAAGTGTAAATTAAGCATTCGCAATCGGAACAATTCGAGTTTTCATTTTTGCCAAAGTTTTTTTCCACACTTTCAAAAATCGTACATCAAGTGCTGCAATGATCAATGGATCAGAAGTTAACTCAATGTAATTTAGTATCTGAGTGACAGCTCCTGCTGTGCTTGACACATAAACGAATTGAGATATAATAACATGAGGCGACCATAGCAAAAGCCAGACGCTGTAGAATGTAATTGACTGAAAAACTAGTAAACGATGATGTTTAAGACGAGTATCGGATATCTGTTGATCACGTATAGCAGCAGCAATTCGACGAACATGACGAAGACTTAAGAATAGATAGATCAGTGTTAAACCAACAGGAAATATGTAGCCAAAGATGGTATTGAATATTTGTATGGCAGGTGAAGAGAAGTCTAAATCACACGAATTGCCCGGTCGACGATACAAAACTGCCCAGTCGAGTTTAATCTCGATGATTAGAAGAATCAAAGGCACAATATAAATAAGTATATGCGCAGTTAGCATCAAACAACGATGCGAAGTATAAATATCAGCACCACCACGTGTAATTTGATAATGACGACAAATATTCAGTGCTAATAATACATAACCTTGAAGCATGTTCAAATAGATATCTCCAACGCCTTCAAAATAACACACAAGTGTGCGAAGATCAACAGATACGCATGCGGGTGAAGTACGAAGACCATATAAGATAAAAAATCGAATCAAAAGTAAAAGATCGAGAATTAAAAATGCATAAAGCCATTGTAAGGATTCCCATTGTCGTAAGGAAGAAAAGACCAAAATTGATAACCAAAATGCCGAATGTAGTATCACCGCTACGATACATACATAAAATGATGGTTCAATGGCATCAGCTGCAGTAGCTGACCATGCCAACGGAGCACACGACAATGAACTATTATTCATTTTGATTTTCAAGTAGAATTTTCTTCGATCTAAACACATATACAACCGTGCTGTGAAAAGATTCTTTTGAAAAAGTTTAAAGAAGAAAATGAGCAAATGAGTGGATGTTCTCTTGCTCTTCTGCTACCAGCTTTTTTACTTAACAATAATGCTTAATTAAGGAAAAATACATCAAAGATCGCTAGCGTGAACTGTAGGTACGTGTGACGCCAATTACTATCGTGTGTGCGAAACAGTTCCTGAATACACTTCCTCGACATTGGTCGTAGAAAATCTGAATATTTTACTTGGTGTTTTCTAATCCTCTCACAGCTAATAAAGAGCATTCATTATTTAAGAATGTCTGATGTGTTCTATTTCGAAATTAAAGTACGCAAAAGTTTTTCTTTGTGTTCGAGTTCTTATCCTAAGTAAATTATTGAGAATTTTAATGTGACTAATTAACTAAAAAACTAGATCATGCTATTGCAGTTCACTGAGCACGCCGATTTACGGTCATTATCATTAATGCTCATCAATCAGATATACATTTCTCAACCAATTAATAACCATCATACTTTTCTTGTTGAAACAAAAAAGAAATGTTTTACTTCTTAGTTATTATACAATCAAGAGAAAAAGAAATGTAACACGATCGATGTGAAGTATGATATGTATCAAATGCGAATGAAGTAATTGCATGTTGTTGGAGAGTGATGAGTCTAATTTAATTGGCAAGAGAATTGATTCTATGATGCTTTTGTCTTCTTTGATTTCGAAGACGAGCAAACCTTGTGTAAGATTAACATTGACCAATAAACATTCAAAACTCGTGTCAGTAAACATAGACCGGCTTGTAATATTCCAATAACAAAACTTGAATAATCACCTGCGTTCATAGCTGCGCGAAGAAATGTAGGTGCGCCTCGGAAAGCATATCCACAAATAATCGATCCGTAAACTATCCGACTAAGGAAGAACGTGAAGATGAATAAATACCCGAAAAAATCATGTAAACGCGCACGGTCATGGTAGATTGCTTTGAGATTCAATGGAATTGTAGACAATTCTTCCGCTAGTAAATAGAAATGACAGGTATGACAAATACCATTTGTTATACCTAAACACGAAAATAATTTGTTGTAAAGAAATTCTTGTGAATTAACAAACCTGAAGTGAGTCCAATTAAAACAATAACATGGTGAACCAGAGCAGTTGGTGTTCGCACGGATTCCTCGTATAACATTAATAATAAATCATAGATAAAATAACCGAGTGAATAAGCGATACTATAAGCCATAATTTCATCACCGGTTCCATAAACTCCTCCACCATCAATGCGATTGATCTGTGTGAAATTAGCAGAATACTTCGCAAAGAAGTTCACCACACTAATCACACATACAACCGCGTGTAATGTCGAAACAATATAACTTTTTTTCAACGGTGTCAATGTATTCGGTAGCATAGCAAAGAATATTGCATGAATCACTAATGACAGGAAAATTAGAAAGAACCTCGGCACATCGGACGATGGAGTATTGCCAAGATCTAGTTATACGTATTTCAATGAGAACATGATGAAAATCTGTTAAAGGTAAACTTACATTCAAACCGAACATGATCGTCAACCGTCATCGATGATAATGATGTGATAGAAATCTATTCTCACGCTTTACTAACGTTGGGAAGAGAACGACAAGGAAAAAAACTCGACGCGCTGTATCATTATGAATAATTTCATACACGTGCATTCGAAACGGAAAGTGATGAGAAAGAAATTGGTGTTGAGTAGAGAGAACGATTGATCAAGTTCTTTTCCCCAGTGTTCGCTTTGGTTATATGATACTGGCAATACGAGAAAGACCAGGTTAAATTGATTTGCTTGCGCAAGCACTTGACACATGCGTCTAACGTACATACGAGAGTGGAAAGAAAACAATTTTAATAAGACTGGCTCATAAACATTGGGGATTTTTTGTTAGTACATGAGTCATTTTTTTGTCGCGTATGTTCGATTGATAAGAAACGAGAGAAAAAAAACAAAATGCCGAACAGTCATCCTTGGTAAAACCCAAACGAACACAAAATTTTCGTCCTGCCAGGTCATTCACTTCATCCGAACATAATGTTCCATCTCGAAGCATTACCTGACGAAATTCTACTAGATCTATTCGAAAACTACATCCGTCTAATTGATATTCACATTGCCTTCTATCCATTACCAAACCAACGCATAAATACGTTAATACGAGCGGCTCGTCTCTGGATTGACATACCTTCAAAAGACATATTTCATGCTGTTTCATTCACCGCCTTCGCTCCACAAATTGTATCGTTACATCTATCCAGATGCTGTAAAGATTTGGATCTCTCGAAGTTTGTTAATCTTCGTCTTTTACATATAGAAAAGCCAACACACATACAATTGCTTGCTATTCAATCGAGCGTACTACCGCAACTACAGTACCTATCTCTTCATCCTTGTTGGTATTCAAAGAGCGAACTACCGAATACTTTGGGCAATATTGATATGTCTTGCTCATTCAAACATTTGCGGTATTGTGTTTTACCAAATGGACAAATCATACGTTTTTCAGCGCAATCTCAGGCACAATGATTCATTTTATTTCAACATATCCTTTTTCATTTTTGTCTTTTTGTAGTTTAATCAAAAAGATTAAGAGTTACACAATAGATACAATCTGTTTCTTTTTTTTTGTGACCAACAAAAGAATAAAGAAGACATGGAGACAAATGACAAAAATGAATGTTGGTAAGCTTGTCTTGAAACAATAAACAAACAAACAAATATTTTCTTTCTCAACGAAGTTAAAGACATGTGACATTCAAGATATATCTAACTTGGCTTTTCTTACGAACTAATAACGGGAGACAAGAGGAAACAAATGATATAATACAAAGAAGACAATTGAGGGCGAACACACGAATGTCTAAGATCGTCCTTGATTGGTATTATCAAATGATGTTTGACTCATTGATAGATGAATATCGTTGACATCACGAACGGTTTTTATTCTCGTTAACATATGTTCCATTGTTGTTGTTGGTAATGGTTGAGATGAAAACCAAAGTGGTGATTCCGGTACACAAGTCGCTTCTGGCAAAAGATAGAGAACATCGGACCGACACTTGACACTTTCAGGACATTTGGTGAGATAAAATTCAAATAATTTCACTGGACAGCGAAGTGGATCATCATAATTCTCGGCTTGTTCGTAGATTAATTGTTGTTCTTCCATACCATGAATAGTTGTCGATGGTGGGTAATATCTAAACAAGTATGTCGATTGAGAATAGAAGTAAACAACAGGTATGTCTATTCTTACCTTAAATAAACCGATTTGCCATATTCTTCGCCATGTGGTCCAACATTTCGTTTGTAATGTCGTCGTACATTGGAAAATGAAAGAACTTGATGTTCGTTAACCGTTTTAAGAAAGAAATATTTTGTATTGAAATATAAAATTGTATTTAATAAAACCCATGGTGTATGTGCACCTAATTGTTTTGCTTCCCATAGTAATTCCTCTTCGATACGTGATGGCCGATCGTCGAGATTGGACGATGTTGCTCCACGCATTGAGAGGGGCCGTGACGGATCACGATGGTGACAGAAGCGAGCCAATATAGAATGAAGTTTAGATTGAAATTGGGCGAATGTTGAATCAAAAAATAGCGATTCAGTACGATATAAATGTCTCTCGTTGGGACGACGTGTGGATTGAGATGATAGTGGCCGATTCTCACGTAAATAATGTTGAATACCCAAGCAGAGATAGTAGATGGAATCACCATCATACAAATCACGCGTTTCTTTCAAAAATAAGCAAAGTGCACTATTCAATTCATCGGCTCGATATAGCAATGGATCCGAACGGTAGAGACGTTTGGATAAACGATTTTCCGCATCATTTGACGTGCCATTTCGTGAGCGAGGATATTCTAAATTTTGCGAACATATTGATTGGATACGAAAACGAAACGGATGAAATCTTACGTTGAAGTGTTTGTTGTCTGATTGGATCGTTTTTACCTTCAATCCATGCACGAAAAAGTTTAACACCAAAATGCCATTTCAGAATGTACTTAGCATCTTCCTGTTTCATCAAATACTCAATTTTTTCCGAAGAATTTCCATTGGTTGTATTTAGACTTTGTTCTCCACCTGTCAGAGCAACGGTTGAAAGATCAAAATCTTCGAAATCAAATACTAATCTGTTCGAAACATTGTCTCCTGTTGTCAATTCTTGTTCAGTTTGATGTGGTTCATCCGATGGACGACTTACAAGGTGCAGATCATCATTTTCAACTTCATCTAACAACGAACTCTAAAGAAGAAGAAAAAGGTCGGACAAGAATATGATTTCTGATCCATTCTCTTCATACAAACCTTGGGATTAAACTTTCCTAGACCAAGTAAATCATCGTTAGGAAAAAGTGATTGCGCATAAGCTAACATTTGTAGATCGTCATCATTTGTTGGTAGAACTTCTTTCAATTTTTGTAGATATGCTCCATAGTCTTGAAACTTTTGATCATTAACAACAAAAAATAATGGCAATGGAACTGGTATAGGTATCGGTACGGGCACCGGACAATCGGTCGTACCTAAAGCTAACGGTAATGGTGTAACTAGTCCAACAGGTATTGGTAATAAACTGATCGGTCGTGTCTCATCATCTAGCAACGTTTGTGTTGCACGATTAAATGTTATTGGTGCGCATGTGACCGCTTTCGAACGTGTTATTGGTTTGCACAATGTCACTTTGTGATTCACATAGGCACATAATGTCGTCGGTGGTAAATTGTTTAAACGCAATGCTTCACGCTTATCCGGCAATGGATGTTGAATTGCTTGACTGCTACTTCGTGAAACAATGATTTCACCTTGGTTTTCATTTTCTTGATCAACGTTCGAATTGTATTCCGTAGATTTCTCTTCAGTTGTTTTATATAACATCTGAAACAAAATTTAGAAATTTTTCTCTTTTTTTTATTCGGCTTTTTTCTGTTCGCGATTTAATCGTCTGATACAGTTTATGTAATGAATCATTTCTCTTTCCTCTCGCCACGTCAAGAACAAAATTCCTAGACCTAGAACAGATCCAAAGCCGAAATGAAGCAATGAATTACTAAACCATCGTTCACTGTAAAAGCAAATAAAGGATGTAAAACATAGAATAAACAAGTAGTGAAGACTGAATTGAAATGGCTCGGACCATTGATTTCCACGGAAATATCGATAGATATGAAAGGAATTCGTTATTATACGTGCGGACATATTCAAACAATTAGCGATAATAATTCCGTGAACACCTAACAATTGTATTAATATGTAGAATACACCGAGATATACGATAGCAAACATAGCGATGCGATTCTTATATGTTTCCAATTCTTCGATAGACATGGTTGCTTGGGAGAATGCTTCGGTTATTCCATTGACGGCAAGAAATAAAATGTAAATACAATACAAACGAAGGAGTAACGGACCGGGACCTTCGGTTAAAGCTGTGCCACCGTAAAGATTGAGAAGAAACCGAGAATATGGCATACCGAATATGATCACTATGAATGATATGATTATCACACAGCGAAGTAGATAATTATAGAATGTAAACGCATTCTGTTTGATTGTTTGTTGTTCTAAAACGAGTTATCAAATTGTATATAGAGAATAGATTGGATTAGGTATCGACCTGTCGATGTAGGCGATGATGCAATAGTTGGTTCATCTTTTCTCGGATGTACTAACATCTCATCGTCTCGCACATGTTGATCGTTGACTGTCTTTGTTCTGGATAGCGTTTGTCGAAAATAAGCATAGGCACTTTCTTCTAATGTTGAAAAAATCAATCGGGGTAGAAGTGAGCCTAGATTGTTGATTATATCGAACACTCCTTGATCTTTGTACGATATCAGGTTGAATAAGGACATAACGTAGCGTTCACCTTCCGTTAAGATTTTCATCCATACACCTTGTTTAAAGAATGTTGTCGTTTCATTCCATACGCTTGAATCAACAAATGGAGACGTAGGTTTAATCATTAAGTCTTGTAACGATGTAATTAGAAATAAACGTTGACGATTTTGCTTCGTACGTGTTAAGAAATATAGATAATAAGTCGATGTTATCAATAATGCATAAACGATGTAACCTAAACCATAATAATAAAGTGCCGATTCTGAATGTCTATAGACTAAAAACGCTTGAATGGTAAATCCTACGAAAGACAATATGAGTACAGTTGAGCTTCACGGAAAGCAAATTTACCTAGAGTCGACGCGAACATTTCAATATAAATATTTATTTGATAATTAAGTGTAACAGTAGCTAGTAGATACAATGGCTCAGACAACAGTTCGATAAATGCTGCGAGTGCATAGTAGACGCATGCCTGATGATAGAATGGATATTTCTCTGCACTATCGGTTTTATAGTATAGAGTTATTGGCAACCAGATGAATGTCATTAATAATCCAGCTGGCAGAACTGCCCATATCAGATTGATGTAATGTTGAATTGAACGGATACTATTCAATTTCGGGACGGTTCGACGGAACGCTTCGCGTGATAGAAACAATATTGTTGTATAGAGTAATTGAAGGCGAACATTGGCAATTCCAAGTATGTTTCCATCGATTTGACGAAGAATAAGAGCATTGAGAAAAAAATGTAGGAAACGAAAGAAAAGTTTACAGATTAGATTCAATATTGTGCGTGCGCCGATCGCTGATAGAACGGTATTTTCGTCTGATGATGACATTTTTTTCAAAAAGAATGAAGTTCATTTGTGTTTTTTTCAAGCCATTGTTCCAACTGAATTGAAAGTTTATTGGTTTATTCATACCAATTAGAATTGCGCTTGTCATTATTTCATATTATTAAGCACACTTATCAAAAAGATAGATTTAAAAATTTTTCTGAATAGTTTTTACTAATTATTCTTATAAAAAAAGAAATTCTTTGAAGATTTTAGTGTAGAGAACGTTACTAGTGGCGACATCTTTTTCGTGCTATTGAAATATTCTTTTTGAAAATGGATTTATTATTTATAGATAAAAAATGTTTTTTTCAAAACAAATTTCCAATCGACTTGAACATATTTAGAAAATGCAATCGAATTCACAGATCATTGGTGGAAACGAAATGGAGTAGAAGAGTCATCTTATTTGCTTCATATGTTGTTTTCTGTAGATATCCATCATTTTGTTGAACAGTAAACGGACGAAAACTGTTGTTTGATTTCTAGATCGTTAACTTTCTCTATCGGGTATTCATCTAAACAATAAACATGGGTCCACGAAAAGGTCAACAAGTAGCTAAACAAGAACAAGTTAGTTTAGGTCCACAAATTGCTGAAGGTGAACTTAACTTTGGTGTTGCTCACATCTACGCCAGTTTTAATGACACTTTCGTCCACGTTACTGATCTCTCCGGAAAGTAAGAATCAATTGATTCTTGTCATCATTTTTGCATTGCATTCATTTGTTTAGAGAAACAATTGCTCGTGTCACAGGTGGAATGAAAGTCAAAGCTGATCGTGATGAAGCTTCGCCATACGCTGCTATGTTAGCTGCACAAGATGTAGCTGAACGTTGCCGAGGATTAGGTATCACCGCTTTACATGTTCGCCTTCGCGCAACTGGTGGAAACAAAACCAAATCACCCGGACCTGGTGCTCAATCAGCACTCCGTGCTCTTGCCCGTTCAGGTCTCAAGATCGGACGAATTGGTTCGTTATCCATATGTTTTTTGCTTCATGTAAACTAACGCAGAATCTTTGTTCTTCTAGAGGATGTTACACCAGTTCCTTCTGACAGCACGCGCCGCAAGGGTGGTCGTCGTGGTCGTCGTCTATAAAAATCATCCGATATATTACACACAATCAAACAATATTCTTCTGAATATTTTGTGTGTTTATTATTGTTTGGATTTTTTATGAAAATAAAATAAATAACAAAAAAGACATCAAACGAGAAAGAAAGAAGAATTCTAAAATCCGTTTTATTTTTCATCTTGATGATTTTCTTTTCTCACGGTAGGTTATTTCATTTCTAGATGTCTGTCCATGGACAAGTGAAAGTGCGAACATCGGCTGAGCAAAAAGCTGCACGCGAGCGTGAACGAGCAGAGAAACTTCACTTATACTTATCCGAATATGAAAATATTCTAACTAATCGACAAACGGCGGACCCATTGGTTCTTTTAAAATCAACTGAAAATGTTCTCAGTGAACATCCGGACTGTTTTACATTGTGGAATGTTCGCAGAGAAGCACTTCTGAAAATCGAACACGAGCAAGAGAAAGATTTGCTTGAGAAAGAACTCTCTGTCACACAGAGATGTTTGCAATCAAATCCCAAATCGTATTCGTGTTGGTATCAAAGGCAATGGTGTCTGAAACAGTTGAGAGAAAAATTCAATGTTAATCTTTATAAAAATGAATTGGGATTATGTAAAAAATATTTAGGTAAGTCTTCTGTAGAATGAATGAGAGAATCTTGGAATTGTGTTTTTCTAGAACTCGACGAACGAAATTTCCATTGTTGGGCATACCGATATTATCTTCTTGAACAACTTTGCCCGCCGACATCATCGAGTGATTTAGAACCATTCTTTGATCAAGAATTAGAATTTCTTCATGCAACCATCGGCCGTAACCTATCGAATTATTCGGCGTGGCATTATCGTTCGAAATATCTTGATAAACTTCTTGACCATTGTCCAACTCGTCGCTCAGCCGTTCTCTCATTAGAATGGGAATTGGTCTTGAATGCGGTTTATACCGATTGTTGGGATCAAGCTGCTTGGTTTTACCTTCGCTGGTTGTTATTTAAACAATTGGGTAGCGAAGCAATCAGTGAAGATAAACACATCAAACCGTTAGAAGAGTTGGATGAAGTCGAACCAAGAAATAGATGGTGTATGTTAGCACTATGTCAATTATGGAAAGAAAAGAAGGTTCGAGACGAGAAAAGAAAATGCTATTTAGAGCAATTGGCTAATGAGATCGATTGTGACCGAGCGCAGTTTTATCGAGATCAAATTTAATTTATATTTTTTATTTATTTGTTTAAGAACAGTGATTGTTCGAAAATGTTGTTATAATAAACGCGAAAACAAGTTCTCTTTCATTGATAGAAATCTTCTTTCGAAATGATCATATCTGTTTATCGATTTTCAGATGGCGAGTGCAAGTAACGTTGTAAAAACCATTCCTTCCGTCAATGATGACTTCTTCTTGTGCCGTGCTTTTGCCAGCGCAATTTCGTCTGATAAACTTCTTGAAATTATTGATCAACAGCCAGCATCATCGATCGAATTCAAGTAAATAGAACGAACTGTTTCTATAAATCTCTTTGTAGTGTTTCAGCAACTGATCCTGTTGAAATGGTCAATGATTCTCCATTGCCTGTCGAAACTGATCAATGGAAGGTTGGAGATTTATGTTTGTGTCCATATAGTGAAGATAATCTTTTGTACAAAGCAACAATTGTGACTATTGATGCGTCGTCATGTACGGTTTCTTTCGATGAATACGGCAATGAAGAAATTCACCTGCTAAGTGATCTTCAGATACGAACAGATGATGATCAACAAGACATATTGTCACCGATGGAAAAACAAGATGTGTCAACTTCTGTTTCATTACCGATACCGGCACCACCACCTCCTTCTCTGCCTCCGTTTCCCAATCTACCTTCGAATGAAGATAATGATAGTTTATCGGCAACGTTGATGTCGTGGTACTTAGCTGGCTATCATACCGGATTTTATCAAGCACTGAAAAAATCATAATTATCTATTCTTGTTTTTGGTCTACATAAATATATTTTTCACAAATGAATCAAACATTGTTCTGCTGTAGCACATGTTCCAATCACATTCATTATTTTGTCTTCGTTGTATGCATAGTTCTATGACGATAAGTAATTGATTATATTTGTGATCAAGAAAAAAACACATTCATGTATAAACTCGATATCTTACCTCAAATAAAAGAGATATGATGCAGACAAGAACGTTAAACTCTCGTACACGTGAATACTGTGCTCAAGTTGCTGTTTTTCTACTACGGATTTTATAATTCACTGAAAGTAGCCGACTCGGAATGAAACGAGCTTTAGCATTGATTTCAAATATTACAAGATCGGATGATGATATTTCCGAAGGAGTTAGATTTTATCCTCCTTTGTTATTAGAAACACTGATCTCTATATTTCACGAATGAATGAGATCATTCATTGCTAATCAAGTGTCATAGAAAAATAAGTGTACATTTTTTGCGTTTTGTTCACTTGGAAAAAGACATGTAGCAGAGGTCGTGCTCGAAATTTTGCTATCCCAAAAGTGTGACTGTTGGGCACTGATGGTCAAGAAACCAGTTTTTGTTAGTTGCTAATGATAAATCAAACAATGAGTATCAACAATTTTCCTGAAGCTTATGAGAGGAAAGCAGCGAGCGACATCTATGACAAAATTTGTATGATACAATTCAATGGGACGAAGATCGCGTCAATGAGAAAAAGAAAACGGATGCTATGCTATGGTATTCGTTTAGTGAATTTTTATATCTTTTGTCATAGCTTTGATTTCTGAAAATTTTTCATATTTCTTGGTCGATATAACGATGCTTTCATCAACATTTCGATTGTTAACACGGACTTCATCGTTCATACGACCCGTGATCGGCAGTCTTCCTCGTCGTTCGTTATTTCTCAAACCAACTCTTGTCAGTTTCAATGAGAAACATCGTCAACCGTCAATGATCATCAATCATATCCCAGTCCGTCAATCACATGTTCACTATACTTATCCAATGATCGAAAGTCGTGTGATGCTTGTCTTACGTCTCTTTGACAAAATCGATGGAAATGCTTTACAATTGGATTCTAAGTTTGCTCAAGATCTTGGTCTTGATTCATTGGACATTGTGGAAATAACAGCGGCGTTAGAAGATGAATTCTGGACGGAAATTCCTGATGTGGATTCAGATCATTTTGTAACACCTCGACATATCATTCAGTATTTATGCGACAAATATGATGTTTATGAACATGTGGAACCAGTGTCAGCTGGAAAGGAATATATGGAAGAAGCCAAAGCAGCTGCTGAACGTGCACATCATCATTAGATTAACATTTTCTTTTGTCCCATAGATTTTGTTGATAAACTATCCTATCTCTTTCACAGAAAAGAATTTTATGATTAAAAGCATGTCTGAAACATATTTAATCATTGCAAAGTCAACTGAAGACGTTCTCTTTAGTCTCATTTCGAGCGTAAAAGATAACGAATCGACTTATGAATAGATCATACAAAAGGCTAAAATGATGTATCCTAACAAAAAGAAAATATACAAGGTTTGTCTGCTCATCTTTCGACTATTTTGAAATGAACGAAGATAACTTTAGTTTAGAAAAGAAGCAAGTCATTAACTGTCCTTCCATGGATGAAGGTCTGCTGGGAGTACTCTGCTTGATTTTCACTCGCTCATTCTCGAGAAAGTAGTGGTATTGTTCAAATGCGTTGATAGCTAGCGAACCCTTTTTACACTGCTCTGAAAACATCCATGTTATATCAATGAATGAAATTATATTTACTATGGACGACGGGCTATGTAAAATATCGAAATCGAAACTAGAATATCAATTTCAGATCATGTTTCGTTCAACATGTTTTCAATGGGGATTTTATGATCCTCAAATGTCTGGTTCAATCGATGGAACAGATCTAGTGCCACATGATCGAGCGCTGGTTCGTGCTTATCAATCAAAATATAAGCGCCCACATCGCTCGCCATCCACTTTATTCATCGGACATATTCCACCAACTTGTACAGAAGATGATTTAGCAAAAATCTTTCCTACTGCATCTCAAATCGAACTTATACGTGATACTGTAACACGAGAATCGAAAGGTTATGCATTTCTCGACGGAAAAATTGATCGGAAGAAGGAATATCAATTCAATGGACATATCTTGTTAGTCGAAGATGTTGCTTCGAAGAAGCTCGTGGGTTGGAAACCAAGACGTTGTGGAGGTGGCTTTGGAGGTAGAAAAGAATCAGGACAATTGAGATTTGGAGGCAGTCAAAGACCATTTAAACAACCGTATCATGTCAATGATCAAGTTAAACAACGATGGAAATATTTAGAAAAACAGCGAGATGAATTCAAATAAGACGAGATTTACATAATTCAAATGATACTATACGAAATAAAGTCATTATTTCACTAACTCAAATTTTTTTTGTACGATCTTCACGAACCTGCATACAAAACACCTGACATTAACATATAGAAGATACACGAAAAACTTGACTCCAATGATAACTAGCGAACCCTTTTAATATCCAGTTTTCTTCACCTCTACTATGATGTATATCATCTGTCTGATAACCAGTCACACACGAACTAGAATGACTATTTTATTTTCTTAAACAATGCCGCGAAATGTTGAAATCAAAGCTCGAATCGATGGTACTCTTGATGAACTAATCAGCCGTATTCAACCGTTAGCAGACGGTCCTCCCCGTCACTTGACTCAGAGTGATACTTTTTTTGCTTGTCCGACTGGCGGCAGACTTAAACTACGAATTGAACAAGTACGATTTGGACTGAACTTGAATTAATGGAAGTTTTCTCATTTTGTACAGAATTCTCCTGCTCAATTGATCTACTACGAACGAAATGATGTTGCATCATTAGCGGTTCCAAAACTTTCCGACTATTCAATTGCGCCTATTTCTCATCCAGATGAGTTGAAAGTGAGAAATATTACGAAAACCAGCCGAACATCCATTGACGTAGAATGTGTTTTTGTATTCAGAAAGTTTTATCATTGGCAATGGGTGGAATTCGTGGTCAAATCGATAAAGACCGAACAGTGCTCTTAACTGGCCAGGGACAAACACGAATACATCTCGATCGGGTCAAAGGTCTTGAATCAACAATTTTTATTGAACTCGAAGTTGTCTTACGTGATGATCAAACAGCAGAACAAGGACAACTGATTGCCAAGGATTTATGTGAAAAAATAGGCATTGAAGAAAAAAATCATATAAAATGTGCTTATGTTGACTTACTATTAGAACAACAGAGTAAGCAGTAAAAAATATAACTTTGTCAACGTTTCCTAACTACAACTCTCTTCAAACGATTGGTTGATCTTGACTTTTAAAAAAACAGACTTATGATACATATTTATTTGATAGAAGAATATAGAGAAAACTAAACCGGTTTGTTTTTTTCCTCTAATATATGACTAATATGCTTATCAAGTTGTTTAGTGGTGGGTAATTTACCCAGGGAAGTTAATATATCAGTATAATATTGAATTTGAAGTTCTTGCTTTTCCATCGCTTGTTGTGTCTGTCGTTTTTCCTCTAGTAAAATATCTTTTGCTTCTTGAATTTTTTTCATTAGCAAGCGATTCTTCAAAGTTATCGAATGAGCAACAGCGTGAATAGCTCGAACGATCTTCCACAAGCGTAGAATAACAATAGCAGCTGCAGCACGTCCTGCTCTACCTATTTGACCATAATGAAAATATAGTTCCATCACAAACGATGCACATACGATTAGTCCATCGAGTAGATACAATGGATTTTTGAAATATCTCCATCCAAATCCATAGAACGAAATCAAAACTTCGGCGACAAATAAAGTCAATAGTAAAACAGAGAAGTAAAATAAAAACAAATCAGCGCGGACCAAACTATCCGAGTGTCCGAGTAAACATGTATCACGTTGTTCAGTTATATTGTACTCTTTCATTTCCTCGTCAGTCAAACATGGTGAAGACAATTGTGCTAAACAGAGTAATAGAGAATAGTTTGAATTGATGTTTTTTTTTTGGGTTTAATTGAACATACCGAGTATAAGATCGACGAGAACAACGATCAGATCTGTCACGACTAACAAAATAACAATGTAATGAAACGTTGGTTGTTGAAGATAATTTGTTATTCGTCGACGAAACGCTCTCAAAGAGTCTAGTGGAGATGTTATGAGCGCCTGTTCATCTTGCGAAGGCTCTTGTTCTTCCAAAGAAATTCTCTTCAGTTCATCGATGATACTATTTAATTTGATTTCGCCTTGTGATGTACGAGGTACAATTTGGCGATTAAGAGTTCTCACTTTTGCCCATTTACTCATCGGCTTTGCAGACGTACCTTCATTTTCATACGTATTAGGCACATCCTCGACATGTGCTGATGAATCTGTGAACGGCGTCGGAACGACATATATCGTTGATTCGTCGAGTTTCATATACTAGAAATCTAAGAAGAATCAATTCAGTAATTATTAGCAGCACATCATGTGGATAAGACTGATTTGAACTAACAAAGAGAATCATTTGAATCTGAATGGTTTCCACAAAAAGAAAAGATTTAAATGAGAATAATAGATGCGAAGTTTGCTGTACGAAATAAAAAAAAACAAGAGGTGTAAATAGTGGAGGACTTGTTGTATTGAATTGAGTTTTGTTTTTAATGATCTATCAACAGCTGATCTTTATTTCTCGGTAACTACAATCCAGAAAAACATCTCTATGATCACATTTTATCAATTCGATCAAGAGAAAATGATGCATCTATTATTTGCATTAGAAACTTCTCATGGGAAAGGAAAAAAATGCGATGACATTCAAAGTACATAGCTGCCGACCTGTAATATATATTTTAAAAAATCTACCTGCTTTCACGTTCTATTCTAACAAAATATTGTTTGTTTCTCATACTAGTTTACTCCATTTTGTGTTAGTTACGACTTTTTCTTTTACTTCCTCTTGTAAATACGGCATCAATTGTCAGAAATTTTTCTTCTTTTTGAATGCGAACACGTAATGGTTTTCTTCAATTTTCTTTTTTTTTTAAAGATCTTTCAATGAGACAAAGAAAAATTAATTTGGAACTGTTGCTTTCTGTTTATCAAAGAGAAAGAAAGTTCATTAGTGTGAAAATTTTTCTTTATTTTCTTATCAATGACTCATCTGAATAAAACATTCATGTCACTATTCGACGGTTTCATTGGACTACGGTCATTCAGGAACTCGATATCAATTATTAACTTCAAGTATTCGGTAGTTCCATTTAGAAAGTCATGTTAACAATGTAACGATTGTAAGAAACACGGGATATCTTTTAGTTCTTGTCCCAGTGGTTGTCCAGATAAGGATTCGAAAAGAATGGATCCACTAACATCAATCAACGTAAATAGAAAAACGAAAAGGCCTGACAACTCGAGGGAAAGGAAGAGAGAAAAGATAAGAAAATGCCAATGTATTCGAGAGAAGATCGAATCTTAATAAATTTATTCGACGTATGATCACGATTCCTCTCGTACGGAACATCATTGATCCCTAACCTATTCCCATCTCGCGCTATTACCACTTTTATTATGTGATCAGTTATAGTAAAAAGTATTGTCTAGTAAGAGTTTTATTATGTATCGCTTTTTACACAACCAGACATGAGGAAAGTAGAAGAACAAAATTATGCTTTTTCATTTTTACTTTATCACCTGAACTAATGACTAATTTAAATGCAAGTAGTTCTCGCTTCTCATATCATATGATTAATGCTGTAAGTTTGTCATCAATTTCTCCGTATGTTTTTCCTTCTCTGAGATCACACGAGAAATCGTAACACACATGTTAGCAACATTTAAATAGTAATGAATTAACTCTCAGGAAAAAATATGCATAAGAAGGAAGATTTGCTCGAACGTTACGAATAAAATGTTATTTGCATAACAAGAAGTACTTCATTCATTCATCAGCACGGTATCTCATTAGATAATTCTTGTTCCATTCGTTTTCGTTTTAATAGAAATATTGTTCGTATAGGACATCTTTTCCGCATAGAGAATATCCATCCCTACTGGACAATCTCTTATTGGTTCAATATTATGATATTGCTATGCCAATAAATTTTTTTCCTGTTCTGCCTTTGTCTATGTATTCATATATATACGACTAATTGTGAATTACAATCGGTAATGACTGACCAACGTTTGAAATTCTGTGGTGTTCCACCACCCGTCGCACCTCGTCGTAGTCGACAAAACAGTGCATGCAGTACACAAAGTAGCGTTCGCTATGCTGTGTAAGTATGATCATTGTTCCTGATTCTTTCATTATGTTTCTGTTTCATTTCGAAGATTCATGCCTCCATCACCTTTGCCATCAGCACCTGTTCGTCGCCGTCGTGTCATTGAATCTGTACATTTACATGTCGAACGAAAGTAAATGGAGTGTGCTGTTTCGGAATGATCTTATTATTTACATTTACTAATTATAGGAAGAAAACATTTGAGAAAATAGTAGATGCAATGAAAGGAATAAAACCTGTGACGATGCATGAATTAGGTTTAGAATTTCTTCGTGTTTACGATGGAAGATTCAACTATCGTGAAGGACATACAGTAAGCGAATACTGATCTAATCACTTACACATTATCTACGTCTGTTTTCATCTAGTTTGTAATGCCATACAGAAAGAAAACATGGTATTTAGTAATTGATAAGATCACATGTAAGTGAAAATCTTTCTGTTACTGTGTAAACGAAATTTTCTTTTTACAGGTGTTGATTGTCCGGTTGGTGAGGTTGGACCACGGTCAGTACTGATTCTCAATTATAAAAATCAATATACAAGTGTACATGTTTAATCAATTGAATTCACATTCACAATTCCATGTTGCTGAAAACGAAGCTACAAATCATTTCTTTTGTTTTTTTTTCTTCCTCAATAGAATTCGATATCTTGTTTGATTTCTACATGTAAATAATAGAAATAAAGTGTTAGAATGCATCTTTTCTCCTTCAATAGATACATATGCACCGATTTTCAAGACATCTATAGCACGAGCCACTTGAAAAAATCCGAATTTATGTCGTTTCATCGCACATTACAGTTTATGATAGAATTTTATTGATTGTGGAAAAAATGATCAATTAAAATCGAGTGTCCAATAATACCCATTTTGGACTTAGAAAAAAAAACTCGTAAAATAGTCTATGATCGTTGATTTGTATTTGATCATTTCCATCAAATAGATTCCAAATGATACTTCCCGTTGTTTGCAAACAGTTTTCCATACCGTAATGAAAAACTCTCTTGATTGAATAATAGAAAATTATGTACAGAGACACGAATCTATTTACATCGATAAAACGAAAACGGTTGTGTTTAGGAAAGAGTACATGTAGGTTTTGATCGATCTTTCCCTGCTGTATTCCCGTTCGACTTCCGATTGAAACCATTCCGAGATGATAATGGAGACGATGCGGGAGAGCTGTTTTCATTTGGACGCGTTTTGACTGAAGTTTCTTGAAGTTCATTGTCTGTCGGATCAATGTTATTCATCGACTGAATACATTTTTCGAACATCTTTTTCACGGCCTATTGAACAAGATTCAGAAAATAAATATCCAACATTCTTTGTTTACCTCAAGATCCATCGCCGATGCTTCGATATAGTGCACATTCCATGCACGAGCTAATGAACGACCTTCCTCCGTTGAGACAACTCTAAATTAAGATATTCATCGTGTTCAAAGATCGAAACTAAGCAATTCGGCTCTTACCGTTCATCTTTTCGATCGATTTTATTCCCCACCAGCACCACAGGTATGCTAAAAACGAGCAAGAATAAACATAGATGAACTATTCGAATCATCAAATATGGAAAAAGCTTTCATACCGAAGTGAAGCACTTGTTGAAATAATCTTATCTCGAATTTTCGATACCATTTCAAAACTAAATACAAGAACATATTTCGAAAACACTAGAAAATACAGATCTTCAACTAACCTTTGTCGATCATCGATCGCATAGATAAGTATATAAGCATCACTATTATCGAAATCACTATGATTTATTGAATATTGATCTGATCCAGCATTGTCAACAATGACTAAATCATATTGTTCACCTCCAATCACACACTGATGTTGAAGATCTAAAAAGCCAAACTTCGTTCGATGTTAACAAGTTATTGATCTTACTTGTTTTTATGTTTGGATCATATTCATTGTAAAATTGGCTGTAAACGAAATGATGAGCAATGGATGATTTGCCCACACCAGGATATCCCAGTAGAGCTATTTGTCTATGTCGACGCATAGTAGTTTGCTTTTGAAAAAGAAATCTTTGTTATCTACAACAAAATATTCAATTATCACTTAAAATGAACTAAAACACCACACAACAATATTCCGATTCTCAAATTCCTTGAATGTCGAATAAATATGCGAAAAAAAAAAGAATTGTTTTGATTAGCGATTTATAACAGAATGAAGCCAATAAATGGAAAAGTTGAGATTCAGAAAAATCAACAGTTTGTTTAGAGTTCATCACGAAATGAATAGCGTTGACGATTTGGTGATAAGCGGACAAAAACAGATTCAGGGGGTACTGATGGATCTGCACCGTGTTTCAGGAACTGATTGGCAGCATTGGCAGATGCCGATGCATCTGAACTTGTCTTTGGAATATGTTTACTTTTTGAATCTCCACTCTCCTAAAATAAATAGAAAAAAAAACGTTTGTATAAATACATCGATTGTTGGAGAAATCGTGATAAAACACGTCCGTCAGAATAGCGAAGGAGTGATTCATGGAATGAAATTGATCCATGTTCGATAGTGGGAAGAAAAAAAAGAGTATTGGAGAGAAGGTTTTACCCCAACGGATGGAACGGTCGTTGTTGGTTGCGTTGGCGGTGGCGGGTTATGAAAGTCACGATGAAGCTTTTCCGAGTGTAGATCTTTGACGAATTGTAATAATTTACCGTCTTTTCTGTAAAGAAAAACTCATCTATCGACTCGAGTTGTGCTTCGAATGAAAAACTTACGACATTTCATTGATGTCCGGAAAGAGGAACATATGTTTGAAGCTGTCGATTGCTAGTAAAGGTAAATCATTGAGCGATTTGCCTAGATGTTGAAGCGGATGAAGAAACTGAGCACCATCTGCATGTAAACAGTTGACACTCGCTAGAAAGAAAAAGGAACGAAATTAACTGAAAATCTCGTTTGAAACTAATCGTTTTTTTTTTACATCTTTCGCTCATCAATTGTTTGGCAACTTCGCGTTCGAATGCAACGACCGAATCATGATCGTCAGCTTTATGAAAAAGAATAAGAAATGGTAAGCCTTCGTCTGTTAATTCTTCAGCATTTGCGAATGTTATTTCACGAACTAATGGTACACATTTTTCACGAGACCATGTCAATAGTGATTCTTGTTGATTAATCAGACCAGTATAATATGTTTCTTTTTCGTTCAATGCTTGTACTGGACGATAATAAATGACATCATTTGATGGACGTTCATTTTTGAAATCATCCCTAAATATATCGATCGTTTCTATTGATCAGTATAAACATGAATGTGGTAAGATGAGAAGTTCGTATGTGAATGGAATTTCTATATAAGAGGACAACAGTTCTTTTCTTTTTGACAGATGATTCTATCCTCTCTCGAATCGTTTGACAGTTTCGATTGGATCCTTGTCGACTATCTCATAGCGGAAGACAACACGTAATTAACAGAACGCACCGTGTGAACTCGTGGCTCGATAGAACGGAATAAGTTCGTAAATTTATATTCGATAGAAAAATATTTATGTTGCAAATTAATAAGCTTCAGTGGAAATCGAGTAAAATCAACAAATAGAGATATAAAGAATGTCCTTGGTATGTCTGAGGGGAGCTGTTCTTTAGCGTATGTCAATTTTCTTTCATTCATAATTCGTCGATGCTTGGCAAGTCTCTCAAGTAACGAGTGTCATCATAGGTATTGTAATCTATTCTTACAGCTAGTGAACTTTTCGAACATACTTATTTGTCGATGCAACAAAGTTACATTCATCGCGAAGTAAGCTGGCGACTTTGATAAATGTTTTGTAATTTTCTGAATTCTCATCGTCGAAATGGCCAACAACATAACGTTTTTTCGAGTCTAATGTATATAGATCGCTTGGTGATGCTAATCTTGTAATCGATGTTTCAATTTGTTTTCTGAGAAAGTCCATAAAAGCATCAGCTTGTCTACAAAAGCAAACTATCATGCGACAGGTCTGTCAACATCGGAAGTTTCTCTTACCTTGCCCCACGATATTCTCGTTTCGTCATAACGCCGTGTCGATATAATTTCAATGTCGGGTATTTGTTCACGTGATATTTCACAGCAATTGCATTTTCAGCATCACAATCAACTTTTCCGATGGCAATGAGACCATGTTGCTAAAAATAATCACCGTCGATCATTTTTTGTCAGAAGAAAGAAAACGAAGCACATACAGGAAATTCTCTTGCTACTTTATCAGCTAATTCGTTATAGATCGGATCAAGCATTTGACTGAATCGACACCAATTTGCATAAAAATTAATAAATACTACTTCATATGATGCTAAATTACACGTTTCATTACAGATACATCTAGTCATTCATTTTCGGAGAACTTACAAAGAATCGAATCAATATTACTACTTGTTAATTGTATAGCACCACCATTCACAGAAGTCAGATAAACTAAAACCTAGAAAAATGATAAGATTGTTTATGTCAATATCTGCAAACAGTCGATTTTCGTTCGTTGTCTTACTAAGACAAAAATCGATCTCGATTGTTTATTCCACATTGGCAGAGCAGCTTAACAGGAGAACGAATAACGAGTATTTTAGAGATCTAAAACGAACGTTTTTGTTTTCAATTATAATTTATCGAAATCGTAACGAATCGAATCATCAGTCGCTATTTCGTCGTAGACAAAGGAAAACAATAATGCTGGCAAAATCCGTCATCCAATGAATACCGTGTCGCTAGTAGTCACGAACAAAACTTGTTTTGTTCTTTTTATTTGAAATTCTTTCATTTTTCTTAGTAAAATTTCCCATTTTTGACAATTTTCGAGCAAATGCATTAATGTGTCTTTTTTTCATTGGATTGAGAAGTTATCAATGTCGGAACACTCACGATTCTCTCATCTGTTCTAACTTCAATATTTATCTAGTCAAATCACTATGAGTACTGAAAAGTAAGCTACAATGAGAAAATGTGCAATCTCTAAAGTACAGTTTCTTACCTAGCACAATTCCAAATGACAGTGAATATGAGTCTGACGTTTCGTCGATAACGGATTCTTCGGCAGCAAACATTAATGAATCGAATTTGAGTTGTGAACATTTAGCAAAACGTATTGATTCGATAAGTCAAGAGAATCGTGTTCTCCAAGTCGAAGTTCAAACATACAAATTACGTTTGAAATCTGCCCAACAGGAAATAAAACAATTGAAACAGTTCGTTGCTCGACATGAATTTCTCGACGTATTCATATGTTGTGATTTCTAGTGCAAGTGTGAATATGCAAGTGAAGACTGAACAAGAAGAAGAGTTCATTTCGAATACATTGTTCAAGAAGATTCACGAACTAAAAAAAGAAAAAGAATCGTTAGCGAATAATTACGAACGCGAAGAGGAATTTCTCACCAATGATCTGACGAAGAAATTACAACAAATTCGAGATGAAAAGCAGTCTCTAGAACAATCATTAGCACACGAACAAGCTTCACAAATTAGTCAACTCATGAAACGAATCAATCGTTTAGAAGCCGAAACAACTAACAAGCAAAACACGCTAGTAAACCGTCTCTTATTCAATATTTTCAGTCTCATTCTCTTCTCTTCTCCTGATAGGAACAATTGAGACGCGAAAAAATCGAATTGGAAAATACACTTGAGAAAGAACAAGAGTCTCTAGTCAATCGTCTATGGAAACGAATGGAAAAACTGGAAACGGATAAAAAGTTACTTCAATCGCAAATCCAACACACGGTAAAGCTCTACTTCTCCTTTCCGAGAGCATTCATTGAGTAGAAATCATCTCAGATAACATTGTTACTCGAAAGGAATGTTGAGACAGATAACATTTTTCACGCATCGAAGTCAAAACTTGCACGTGAAAGTATGTTCGATGTTTTTAGACAGTTAATTCATCTTCTTCGATTGAGTTAACTTCGAATGAACAAATTCCATCGAATACAAATTATGCTGAGCAATTACGACATGAAGTCGAACAACTTCGTGCAGAATTAGTCAATCAACAAGAAAAGCATCAAGCGAAATTGAAAGAAATTCTTCAAGAAGAACAAAATGCTCGTGAAGAAAACTTACGGTTACAAAGAAAGCTACAAGTCGAAGTCGATCGTCGTGAACAACTTTATCGACAATTAAGTGAAAGCGAATCATCCTTGGAAATGGATGAAGAACGAGCTCTGAACACTAAAATCAAATCCAGTGCCAAACATGATCCGTTAAGAATAAGTTCGTCGTCGTCGTCATCATCTCAACATAATCTCGCACGGTCGCGAACAGCATCTAGTCCAGCATTTAGTCTTCATCAAAGTAACGAACATCTCCAGCGAACAAGACTGCCATCAAATAGTTTAGATACAAATAATAATGATAACAGCATGGAATGAAACAGCCTTTTTATTGTATATAACAGTGCGTGTTCTTTTCTTTTTGTTTCAATAAGAATAAACAGCAAGAGAATTTCGTCATCTATTCATATAAATATCTGTGATTATGAATCGATTTTGGACAATTCACAAGTGAGTGGATGAAATTTATCACATCTCATCTACTTGACACTTGCAAGATTCGAATGAAGACAGGCTTATCAGTCATGGTATCACTATTGATCGTTCTAGATGTGTGATATTTTGTTAATTGAAGCATTTTATGATGGTTCACATCGTTGTTTGATTGATCTTCTGCATCGAACGTTGTCACCTCGTTCCATTTTAGTGACATTGCCTGGTACAAAGTGGCCATGGCGTGCGCGATGTTCAGCATTGATTCTCGCGGATAAAATACCGCCGAATGAAACAGGTTCATTGAAGTATTTGTTTACTTCGTCGATTACCAATCTAAGTGAACTGCTTTCTCTCCGATCTGATCTTCGATTATTGAAAACGATTGTATATTTTCATGAGAACGAATTCGCTTATCCGAAACAGAATGAACAGCAAGAACAACGAGATTTTCAATATGGTTATAATCAAATATTAACAGCTCTGGTTGCTGACGTTTGTCTGTTCAATTCGTTTTATAATCTCAACACATTTCTCGAGAAACTTGGACCATTTCTAAATCGAATACCAGCGCCCAAAGCAAATATTCAGCACATTCGGCAAACAATCGAACACAAATCTCAAGTATTTCATTATCCATTAGACAAACCACTCATTCCGATTGAGGTAACACGACACAATTCATCTTTCATTTGAATAAAAAAAAGGAAACTTTCTAGAGAAATAACGATAAAACTGGTCCATTGTGTATCGTCTGGCCTCATCGTTGGGAACATGATAAAGATCCGGAAATGTTCTTCTCTGTGATTCTTGAACTTCATCAAACGTACGCCTTAGCGTTCACTTTAATCATTCTTGGTCAATCATACGGTGAACAACCTGTGATTTTCAATGAGATCCACTCGAAATTGCCGCCGGATTGTATTCGTCACTGGGGTTTTGCTCAATCGAAAGCTGATTATGAACAATTGTTGCTCGAAGGTGATGTGGTTGTGTCAACAGCTCAACATGAATTCTTCGGCGTCGCGATGTTGGAAGCCTGTCGAGCAGGATGCGTACCACTTGTCCCTGATCGGCTAGCCTATGTAGAACTTTATCCTAATGAACAGCATCGATATCGAACGCGAACGCAACTATTGAATAAATTAAAAGATTATTGTCAACATCCAGCGTATGTACGAAGTAAAGCACCGAAACAAGACACTTCTTGTTTTGAATGGGAAACAAATGAAAGTATTCGACAGAAGTATTTGCAGTTGTTTCAATAAAACAAGAATACGTATATTGAATTGTTTTTCATACCATTAAATAAAAGCAAAACATGACTCAATATCGTTTGTCAATTGCAACATATTGTCGATGTATAGTGTCCTCTATTGATTAATTTCTTATTAGTAGACTCGTTTCATAATCGATATTTCATTTGAAAAATCGACTTTTAGGAAGTCTTTCGAAAGTATATGATTCGTGTTTTATCAAAAGCAAAACCTATTTCGACAATGTCCACTAGTGCATTGAATTTTGAAGTTACTCATTCATGTAAGACGACCAAAGCTCGTGTTGGCCGTATAACATTTGGTCGAAATCATACATCTCGTGGTCCGATTGAAACTCCTGTGTTCATGCCTGTTGGTACACAAGGAACATTGAAAGGTCTTACACCTGAACAATTACATGAACTCAATTGTCGAATCATTCTCGGAAACACGTATCACTTAGGACATAGACCGGTAAGGTGTAATGTAGTTTCATTCTTGACTTTGATGTCTTTTTTCTTTGTTCAAGGGTCCTGAATTGTTGAAAGATATGGGTGGACTTCATTCGTTTATGCATTGGGATGGAGGACTTTTAACAGTAAATTGTTTCACTTTGAGTTTTATTGCATTGAAAAAGCGTTGTTCTAGGATTCAGGCGGTTTTCAAATGGTATCTCTTGTTAAACTCTCCGAAGTAACAGAAGATGGTGTGAAATTTCAATCGCCACACGATCAAAGTGAAATGTTATTGACACCGGAAAAATCCATTGAAATTCAAAATATTATCGGTAAGAAACACATGTCATGTCAAATAATAGCTAGACTAGAACAAGAAGTTTATTTAAATATAATCGTATGTAAAATTGTATCATTGATCTTTAAAACTTCGGTCATTTTTGTTTCATTGGCTTGTTCGACGAATGGATACACATCTTTGAGTTCATCACATTTGACTTGGACCTCCTGTTTTGATTCCTCTGTCCGATGATCCCAAAAATGGCCAGCACATTCAGTAGACCATTCGAATCGAAAAAATCGCTCTGGTTTTCTTGGTGACGGTAACCATAGTTGTCCAAGAGGTCTTAATATTAACGGAAAGACATGTTTCAATTTACTAACTGTGTCCGGATACTTGAGATTCCATAGATGCGTGTCATTTTGTGTATAGAAGAAAACGTCAACAAACGGAAAACTCCATTTATACCCTCCGGCACTTGGGCTACCCTTGAAAGATAATTTGTAATACTGCTTTTCTTTTGTGCTTCCACCGACTAGAACGAAACTTAATAAAGTACTGTTCATTTCGTATAATGTGTTGGTAAACAATTGTCGGTGTTCTTCAGACATCATAATATCTATATCGTCATCCCATGGTATAATATCATGATGTCTGATCGAACCTAATAATGTTCCTTCGCTCATAAAATAGGTAATCTTGAGTCGACGACACATTCGATCGATGATTATCAGTAAGTGCATGGCTAGATTGTGTTCACATGTTGTCAGTGCACGAGGAAGAGTAGTTGACGATTTCCAACTCGAGTAACGATGAGGAAAACGGAAAATTCGCGGCGTCTGAAATGTTGGTGAAAAGATTATTGGAGATTTGGGTAAATACTGTTCTTGATCAATGTAATCTGCCATATTTAAACATAGAATAGCTACATCGTCAGTAGACAAACTTCGATCTTCGATATTCAAGGATCGATTTGAGAATATGACCGGTCTTCTTGGTGGTTTCACCGGTTCGGGAGGCAAGACTTTCACTGTTTGGATAATTAATGATACACTGACTAAGATAGAAATGAAGAAAATCGGCATAATTGCACGTCGTGTTAACAACCAGAAAAACATTTTTTGTGTGTATCATTACAGTAATCGTTCTACGCGCCACAGATGTTCCATTCAGATATATGTTTTTGTAGAATAAAGAAATAATAGAAAACGATTAAAGAAAAACACTTGACTTTGAATACGCAAAAAAACCGTTCTTGTGAATGATCCCCAATGAATACAGTTAATCTCTAGCGTGAGGATGTTCGAACAGATAAATGGAACTGTTGAAACTCATCCATTGTTGAATAAGGTCAAAAATTTCTTTGAATGTAAGACTCATAAATGAGGAGTATATTTGTCGCTACGAAATGCAATCGAGTATAAATACATGTTTCTAGAGATAATCAAGTTTATCTTCAGTAAGAGTTCTCACTCTATGCATTCACTCTCTTTTTATCGGTACGAAAACCTGTTCGCTATAAGTTAACATGATACAAATTATTTTCAGGTGCTGATATCATCATGCAGCTAGACGACGTGGTATCAAGTACGATAAGTGGACCAAGAGTCGAAGAAGCAATGTGGAGGTTTGATTTGATACGATAATAGTTTAGAGCAAAATTTCATTGGGATCATCTAGATCATTGAGATGGCTTGATCGATGCATAGCCGCACATTCTCGTCCAAGTGAACAAAGTCTCTTCCCGATTGTACAAGGTGGTCTAGACGAAAAACTACGAGAACAAAGTGTTAAAGGTAGAAATTTTTTTGTTGAATTTCCAATCGAATTCAGTTGGGTTTTAGAAATTATCAAGCGAGATTGTCCGGGCTATGCCATCGGTGGTTTAAGTGGTGGAGAAGATAAAGATCATTTTTGGCGCATGGTAACACTTTCCACAGAGTATTTGCCAAATAATAAACCGAGATATCTCATGGGTGTTGGGTAAGACAATGAGGACTTTTAGCGAACGATTTCTTTCGATGAGTATTATTAGATTTGCTATCGATCTCGTTATTTGTTCAGCACTTGGCTGTGATATGTTTGATTGTGTATTTCCCACTCGAACAGCTGTATGTCAAATACAAATGTTCTTTTGGAAGAAAAATATCTGAACTATTTGCTTGTTTTCTTAAGCGTTTCGGATGTGCATTGGTTGACAGTGGACAATTGAATTTAAACAAACAAATCTACGAAAAAGATCACCGGGTGATCGATGAGAAATGTATCTGTCCTGTTTGTAAATCTGGTTACACAAGGTCATATTTGAATACGATCGTAACAAAAGAGACGACTGCTTGTCATTTATTAACCATTCATAATGTCGCCTATCAGGTATAATAATAAGAATACGAAAAAGAAAAATCGGAGGAAAAAATTGATTTGTTTAGATGAGATTGATGTCTCGTATTCGTCAAGCAATCATCGAAGAACGTTTTCCCGAATTTATCAAAGAATTCGTTGCAATCTATTTCCAAGACAAAGATATACCTGTCTGGATAACGAATTCTCTTAAATCAGTTAATATTGAATTATAAAAACCAACTAATTGTTGTTGTTTTTTCCGTTTCTATTTGTTATTCTCATTTCGAGAAACTATTTTTGACAATAAAAGTTACAGTACTTTTCCATCGAAAGGTAAATCATCAATCTGATTATTGTAGTTCCTTCCGTATATATCATAAATAGTTGGAAGTCACGTCAACAAGCAATTACTTGCTTACCTAGGCAAGCAAATCATAAAGGGTAGAAATACGTTTTTTTCCCCCTTTATCTGTATGACTATTTATTTGATTGCTTTGCAATAAGCGTGATATCAAAGAAAACAGACATAAAATATGCAATCAAAATGACTCATTGATTTTCGACTTCTTCCGTTTGATGATGTACAACATTTACCTTGCATAATTTATTTGCTCCTCATCGGTACTCGATTATGTAGAGAAGAAAACCATTACTTATGGGCGCAAAGTCATCCAAAAACCACCGAACACCGTTCCTTCAAAGCCATCATTATCATCAACATTTTTACCCACCGGTTAGCCAGCCTCATGTAGCATGGGACCATGGCATTGCTCAAGCGACTGATAATGCTCTTCGTTTTGCTAAGTTCAACAATTTACCGACACCTTCATCCGACGATGTTTTCTTTGAACAGCCTCCACCGTTCGTACCACCAAAGCACAATCATTCGAGCAGAAGAAAACATCACCATTCGTCATCGTCACATCACAAACAACTGGGCATCCGAAAAAGTCAATCGACTGGAAATTTAGCTAGTCCAACTTCTCCGATCACGCCCAATCAATTCTTCAATGATCAATCCAAACGAAGACATCGAAATAAATCTTCGTCATCTCAAACATCTGCACATTCATCACAAATCTCAAACATCTCGAAATCGACGTCGAAAACCAGCTGCTTGGATCATACACCTACGCCTACTTCCAGACAAAAACGAACAAAGACTTCTTACGATCCACCGATGACCTTCATCAATGCAAGCGACATCAAAGTATTGCTCGTTGTTCGGTATAGTCGATTCACTTCTCATTTCTTTGTGTAGACCATTCGCGAAATCGGCCGAGGTAATTTCGGTACAGTTTACTATGCTCTATACAAAAACTCTCAAGATGTCGCAGTCAAAACTCTCAATTCTACCGACGGAGCTTTTACAACAGGTGCAATGGGCCCAAATGAGGAAAGTATGAAAGAATTACTTCAGGAAGCGAAAATGATGATGCATTTAAAACACGCAAACGTTCTACATATCGTTGGTGTGACATTCTTTGGTGATCAGCAACAACTGAGTCTAGTAACAGACTTCATGAAAAACGGTTCGTTATTGGATTATTTAAAGAAACATCGAGAACTGTTTTTGAAATGGGCTGCACCTACAGTTATGAAGAAATTGAATAATTTCAGTCAACAGATTTATGCAGCAATGTCCTATCTAGAAGATCGAGAAATCGTTCATCGAGATTTAGCAGCGAGAAACTGTTTGATTGGTGAAAATGATACATTAAAAGTGGGAGATTTTGGTTTGACCAGGTGAGTTCATGCACAGATTGAAATTGTAGAAAATGAATGTAAAAATTCTAGATTGACTGATTTTGGTTTGTACCAAGCAACCAATACAGTTTGTGCACCGAGATGGACGGCGCCGGAAGCTTTGTTTTCATCAAAATATTCTTCACGTTCAGATGTATGGAGCTATGTAAGACGATTTTGCTTAAATTCAATCGTATTGATCGACTTCTTCGTTCTCATAGGGCATAACTCTTTGGGAAGTCTATAGTCTAGGCGACCGGCCGTATGGTAACGTTCATAATTCAGTTATTTACGACATTGTGAAAAACTCTTCGAACAGTATACCTCGTTATTTACCTAAACCTCGTCGATTTTGTTCTGACGAAGCCTACACGCATATCATTCTTCTTTGTTTAACACACAATGTGACAATGCGACCACGTTTTCGTGATTTGCAGCAGCGTATAGCAACTATCCTTGTTTAAAAGAAACTTAGCCAAGAAAAACACATCAATTTCATAATATGATTGTTGAAGTAGTATATAGTCTATGTTCGATGATTTTGAATAATTACTCTCAAGAAAAAATGAGACGAAATAAAACACGAGTGAAGTTATAATCTTACTCTTTTCATTTCGAATCAATGCTTTACGAGAAAGATACGCTTGGTCGAACTTAATGAATATTATTGTGAAAATGTGATTGCTGGTCTAAGCGAGAAAATATGTTTATTTTGTCAATATAAAAATGTCATTTGAAAAGAGAACGGGTGAAGTTAGTATAAATCATTGATTGAGTTGAAATTGAAATAACAACGATAGATTGTCTTTCGATGGAAAACGAACGAGAAAAAATTGTTGCCAGTTGGGTTATGTACAACCAACGTGGCCAAATGGAACCACCATCAAATAGAGCATTCGAAATTTACAGTAAATTGCTCTTTCGTATAGCAGGTGCTGATGGAGTATTGGCACCGACTGAACGAGAATGGATTATCGGTCAACGCGCAGCATTGGGTATGTAAAACTAAGACAATATGTCTAGAACGAATATCGGATGTACTATTATCTGGTTATTTTCCATCTTTTAGGTGCTCCGGATGAGTTGATTGACATGCTGAAGACTTACGAACCGTCAGATGACGATTGGAAAAGTCTTTTAGAACTTCAACGCTCGTTCATCGAATCAGCGAAGTATCCACTTATCTACGATGCGTTTCAAGCTGCTGCTGCCGATTCGGAATTGCACGCGGACGAGAGACGAGCAATCTCAGAACTTGGCCATGAACTGGGCGTTGATGAAGCCACCATTGAAAAGATTGCTCAGTTGTGTGAAGAAGAACGTGAAATCAAAAAACGGCGAATAGCTTTACTGTATCCACCTATTGTTAATGTAATTGAGAAGAAACTAGAACAGCAAACTTCGCTTTCTGACTACGATGAAGAATATTCGTTTTGAGCGCGTCCATGTCTGAATCGATTTTATTTTCAAATAGCTGAGCTTTCCAATTGCTGCACAAATTACAAAAAAACGAACGAACGAACAGACGTTTTGTACGTACAGCAAATTTTTAACAATAAAATAGTTGGAAACAAACAAAATCTCTATCTTAACCTATAGAGCGTGAAAATAAGCATGTTGAGATAGAATGTATTCGAATGAGTATAGTTTTTATTCAATACAAAGATAAAGTAATAAGAAGAATAAGTTGAGAGCTATCCGTTGTGAACATCATTGACAATTTCAAACTGTAAATGTTCTATCGGTCAAAGTCGTGAGAAAGAAGTCATTCGAATAAACATCATTGAAAGTAGAGATGTTGACAAAGACAAAATATGACTTCCGTTACAAAAATTATATTGACAACAATAAACGCGTACGTTCGCCGACGATTCGGATATACAGCTCCGGGTAAAACCCTTACTCACAAGGAGACGATTTGATCCAGCCACAGTCACTACCGTTTTCTATAGAACGTAAAAATCAATTTTTTTAATTCTAATAAAGAAGTATGGCGATACCATGCATTGACCAACATCTGGTGGTGTTATTGTAACCTGTGTAGGAACGTAAAAGAATGGTTCCGGACAATCACTACATGAGTAACATTGTAAATTTCGATCACCATAAGATACCAATGATTGACAATTCACTCCTGTGCAGATAGATACAAAAAGACGTCCATCAGGTCAATTCAGTCGAAATATTCCAACCTGTGATTAGCGAAGCTACAAACAACACAATAAGCATTGTGATGAAGAACACTTAAACTAATATGTATCAATTCACTCATGTATTATATTATATCTAGAAGTAATTATTGTATTTTCTTCGTTAAATATTTGTTTATCGGGACAAAAAATCATTATATTTCTTTACTTTTCATCGAGATAGTTTTCGTCTTTTTATTTTCGAATGAAATGTTCTGTCGGTATTGTAGGAACGTGAAAGAAAAACTTCTACTTTGCGTATTTATCTTCTTTTCTTTTTCCAAGATAAAGATAAGCAAAATGAAATGTCATCGTTTTACGGACTTCTGTTCTACTTTCATTATCTCATCATCATGACATATAGAAACTCTTCCATTCGATTTGACGATAGTCGAAATGAAGTCTATTTCTATTCTTCTTATTCTGTTATGTTTTCTAATTGATCAATATCAGACAACAAACTTATGTCCATCAGCCGAATTTCGTTGTATGGACGAAAATCGAATAAATTGTAACAGTTCACAGCTTGCTCCAAGTGATTTTCAGTGTTGTAATGGTTTACGATGTGTTCCAGCATTTATTTCCAAAACAGATACACAAGATGCATACAATACAACAATGTGTGTTTCGTCCTCATCGAAACGGCATCGAACAAGAGTACATGTTCCACCCGCAAAAACACCGCCTATTATGGCAACGTCCTGGTCAGCGGCAACAACATATTATAATATGTCCAATGGTGATACCGGTTGGGGCTATTTTTGGTACGATGCAACTCACCAAGCTATTCGTACGGATTTCTATCCAACGTGTCCATTTTTACAAATGTACGAAGCTGGTGTCGATGCGAACTATGTACCATGTAGTGTGCTTTTTTATGAAGGGCAGAATTATTATGTTTATCCGACGACAAAAATTTGTTGTAATTATTCATTTCCAGCTTGGCAACCGACTTGGATGTGTCAAAGTAATGCAACATATAATGGATCAGTTCTAATCGACGGACAAATGGCAGACTTTTGGACAATTGAATGGGTATGTTCGATGATTTCGATTTTATTAGATAGATGTTTTGTTTTTTTTCTAGTTTTCGAATTTCACCGGCGAAGGATCAGTACGAAATATTCGTAATATGTATACTCGAGCTGATTCCAATGTTCCCATCCGTTTTCGCGAAGATCTCGATACAGGCTATCTAGATTTTCACGATTACGTCGAAGGTCCAATTGATCAAAGCATTTTCACATCGATCATCAACGCTTATCAACCGTGCCATTACGGTCATGGTCACGATGGAAATACCGACAAGACATGCACTCGATATAACTCTCAAACACTACGCCGTTCATGGCCGTGTGATAATCCGACGTGTTCGTAGGAGAATAAATGTTCTTTAATCGAATAAAGCATTCTATACATACATAACAATCCAATATATCACAACAATGAGAAGTTAGTCACCGTATAGATGCAAAGGAGATGATTATGGTGTTAGTGGATAGAATACCAGCGCACTTTCATGACAATTATTAGGAGCTAGATATTCTTTGGCACAATACGGTTGGAGTGATACGTTGTATGTCGTGTGTTTTGTTGAGTTCCTCGTATCCAGTGGCGAGGAAGTAGAACAAAAATTAGTTCCCGGCGAAAACTCGGTGCCGTCAAAGTATATACCAAAAATGACCACTGAAAAAGAAGAGTTAAATAGATAGATTTAGTAATCTTCTTACTCCGTTGTAGCAGTAGTAAAAGAAACTTGCCAAAAGTGTATTGAGAAACGACTCTACAGATATTCGAAGTTGTGATTTGTTCGCTGTTGGCACGTTTTCAGTTAATGCTGCATACAAAACGTAAGACACATACGGTAGATTTGTTAAGAAATAAAGAAAAACTTGAGCAACAAGCATTCCAGTCAGTTGCATATCTTTGCCGGCGATAGTTATCTAACAAAACAAGAAAATCCTGAGTGATCACACCCCCTAATTCGTTGGACTTTCTCTCTCCCTTGGAGAAACTCAGGCCAATAAAAAGTTGCAGAGTCTGTCTCGCTTAACATCAAGTTGTTTCTCACTAAGAATAGTATGAGCGTACACAGCTCATTGAACGCCTTCTACTTACTTTCTCGCGTCCCACTCGTTTGGCATTTTGTTTCAAACGCTTTATGGTCAACCAACTCAGTATACTCATTGAGAGAACTGGGATTACGAATGTAAATAACCAAAAACTCGTCGTTTCATATATACGGGCACCTAGTGTCGTCGCCATACACGGAAGAAGTCCCTTTGTAGGTGCATATGTAATTAGCACATATACCGCAAGACACCCACTTATAAACGTTACCAACACGACTACTTTCTTTGCAACTCTTGCCCGGCATAGTTGTCGATGACGAACTGATGCCGAACAAAGAAAGAAGCGGTCTAAACATGCAAGAATTATGAATGCGCGACTTGCGAATTGAGCGAAATTGATCATGTAGAAACGAAATTTACAATAGAAAACATTGTACGACGCTGGATTATTGTTCGTCATGAAAGCCAGCATACTCGCCAAGACACCCCAACATAAACAAAATATATTCGCCCATGAACTCGCATGAAAATAGATAGCACATGAGTTTTGTCTCATTGATGGTCGGAGAAAAATGAGAATATTTAGAATACCACCAATCATTCCAACCGTAAAGAGTGTGGATTGTCCATAGCGTTGAATACCAGCGCGAGCAGTATTTAAATTAAGTACAAGTGAGTCAGTTGTGGTCGTTGATATGTTACTCATGTTATCTACATACAATACAAAATACAGAATTAAAATTAGCTACCGATATTGTCGCGTAATAAGAAAGTTTTCCTATATAAAAACAAAGTCTCCTTTTCTAAGAGGATTATAGGTTTTATATATACAGAGGAAACCTATCGCTAGAAGATCGAAAATTAGTCTATTTAATACTTCCAGACTATTCTGAATCCTTGTAAAAGTTTGTCTGATAAAGTTTAATCTAACTATAGCACTGCATTTTGATATGTACTTTCACCCACTTGAGTACTTTCCCTTCAGATTCCCGTCACTTCTAAAGCTCGAATAAGAATTTCTTTACTCATGTGATCAACAAGGAGGATGAATCTAAAACGAGAACTGCCAGTTATTCAAGGTTTTTTCCTCTTTAAACATAGCCGAACAAATGTGTAAGCTAGCAAAAAATATCGCGCCTTTCCTGGACATCTTTACTGTTAAAATAGCGGCTGTCAAAACCTTTTCTGAATATGTCTTTCACAGACAGATCAAACCTCGAGAAAATGTCGTAGTGAATGGAAAGTATTTTTGCACGCGTGTAATGTTCAAAGTATTATTGATTCGCATCAAGAAGGAAAGGCGAAACTATAAGATTTGAATACGTCACATACTTCATGGAGTAAATGAAATCTCACTCCATTCTTCGTGACTTGCGTGTACTCCAACGTTTCTTGATCTGTGAAAATGGTCTCATACATAAAGTAAACGAACGTTTCAAGTTGACGATGGTTTCTTCTTTCTCGATAAATTTTTTCTACAAAAGAAGCCGGATCTTTTGTTTTTGCATTTAGATAGCCTTATTAACCTGTACTAATAGCCACAATCAAACTAGAAAAGAATTAGTTAAAATTTGAAGAATATAACAAATCATATGACACAAATCGGTGTATTAATAAATAAAAAGGTAGAAATAAACTTCAACCATCAACATCGATGCTAACGCTCTGAAGGAACCCTTTTATTTGCACATCACCTTAATGAGAAAGTCCGACTATAATACTCTATCAAGAAGATTATCCTCAACATAGCAGAAACGGTGCAAATGAAATGAGTCTAAAAAATCAATCGATTTCATCTCGACGACGGCGATACAATATCATATTCTGGTTTCTTTTGACAACGATGGCAAGCAAACTAAATGCTATGATTTTGTTATCTATAAGGACAAAAACGAATTACGCCATTGCTTTCAACATCGTGTTGCGTATGTGTGTGACAGCACAATTAAAACCGATCAATCTTTCTCAGTCAAGAGAATGATTAAAAGTATAAAATAATCTGTTTTGCACAAGTTAAACTACATTTCCATTCAATGACGAACTTTGACTTTTTTACTAATCAAATATACTCTCCTGTCATGAATAGCGTGTAGTGTACAATGTTTGAAAGCGATTCCTTCGAAAACTAAACGCTCCTCCCACCTAAATAATAGTCTTTTATTCCTTTTGATTCAATGATGGTATTGTAAGCATCAATGCTATGAGTGTCATCGATGGAAAAGAAAAGAATCATAGTCGAAAAGTTATTTTTAATCGATGATATGAGGTGACAGACTTGACCCGCTGTTGTTCAATCTATTTAAATCTTCATTAACATCTCAACCAATCAATGTACTTTCTCCTTTTTGTCTTTTCAAAAGACACACAAATATCAACCGGCTCATTAATTTCTGTCCCATTCGTTGTCCGAATAGCACGACAATTATGTCACTGATTTACATCGAACGAACAAGCACAAAACATCCTTTCGCCAACGCATGCCTTATCTTGTTCATCATTGTTATTCTTTTTCTAGTTCAAGAAAAACGAATTGAACTCGTTCAAAAAGATTGCACCGACAACATTCAAAAGCGATTTTCGACAGCAAGATTAATGAACGTTCTCTCATCTTTTTCATGTTCTTTTCGAAATAAATTTGTATTGTACATAACAAGAAGATTAATCGTTCTTTTCCTTGTGAAAACAATACAATACGATTCGAAAATGTAACATATGAAAACTAATAAACATTAATGAATGAAATCAAATCATTGACGATGATGTCACAATCGGAATCGATGGAATGCAATTTTTCTGATTAAATGAATCCATTGTGTTGCTTGTCTTCCAATGACAACTTTCGAAGTCCGTTTTCTTTTGTCAATTGAATACAAGTCCATTCCTATTCATTGTGTTGGCTTTTATTCCGTTTCCTATTGTTCGCTTGTATACCAGATCAATCTTATTTCTGCTTGTCGACTTTTTTCTCTTTTCTTTTCTCTGGACCAATGAAGAAAAAGCGTCGAGAGAGAAAGTTAATGATTGGTTCCTGCAGTTGTATCGATGAAAAGAAGAAAAAAAAACTCGTTCTTATATTTTCTTTTATCGTATCCATTAAGTGATTTAATGGCTCATTTTCTGTCACAAGATTTTGCTTTCAGCTGTTTATCGTTCGATCTCGACGAAGAGTTCTTCAGTCATTAATTACATTTGATTCGAAAATCTTTTCTATCCAATTGAGTATCATCGTTAAGGAAAAAGAGAAAGAGAGCGAGCGAGGGAGAGAGTGAGTGAGCGAGAAAAAGAAAGCAGAGCAGAGAGAGAGAGAAAAACGATTATCTTTTGATTTGATCGTTCGATCAAGAGAAGAAAGATGAGTTCTATACATTCAATGAACAATCATTACAATTATGATGGTACAAATACGAATTATTCGAATCGACAACAGTTGTCTGATAATCATGTTAATGTAAATAATCCATCATGTCTTCTACAATCTCCTTTACTCGATTATTACGGACAAGAATCTTTTCATCAAGCATCAACAAGACATATTCCAATTTATAATAATAATCATCATCTCTATCAAGATAATTCTAATCAGTTTTATCGATATAATGCACTTGCAGCAAATCAACCAAGGTAAGAGGAGAAGATTTACAAAACTTTTGAAGAATTTCTTTCTAGTAGTAGTTCATGTGTATATACTTGTCAAAATGGTTTACTTGGAAACTATTCCGAAGAAAATCCGGCCAACGGACTTGCACCAACTGATATGGTGTCATCAATTCATCCGATGCCTCTTGATCTTTATGGTTTATCAATCACACCTCCTCCTCCGTCGGCCAATGCCGCAGGTGGATGTACATCGTCGCCAACAGCACCTTTATCAACCCAGCAAACTTCGCCGAATGATCCGAATTCGTCATCATTAAATAAACAAGAGGACACGTCTCCTGTGATCTATCCATGGATGCGCAAAGTCCATATCAACAATCCAGGTTAGTTGTAGATGGTTCATCATTTGAATATTTCTGATCTGTGTTGTTTATTTAACACTTGAGTGAGTGCGATTTCACCTGATGTACTTTTAACGACTATTGCAAATATCAACAAAACGAAAATGTCAAATATTCTTTCTTCCTTCTCAGCTTGACTCAACGAAACAGAGACGAGTATCGAATTCCCTGTAGAATAGAAATCTAACCTTTGCCATTCGAAGAAATGGATAAAAAAAAACAATACATCGTCTAAACATGAAACTTCATTTATCATAAATTTGACTAGAAAATGAACATGATAGTCTTATCATTGTCGATGACTACGTGACCTAACTATAAAAAGATAAATGTTATTTCAATGTCGACAGTTATTATTCTTGACTGTCATTCTCGACATGCAATGTTCTGTAACATTGAAGTAGAAGACGAGAGAAAGAAAAAAAAGACTATTTTCTTCTTTGACCATCTGCTTTACCAGACAGTTGAACTGAAATACAGATAGACGATTATCGACATTTGTTTGTTAACCAGCAGACCTCGACGAAAGACACGACAAATGTAACCGAACTTTGAAAATCAAGTCTTGTCTGTGTTTTATCTAGTTATTAACTATACAAGTGGAGAAACAAAACGAGCTCGTACGGCATACACTCGTCATCAAGTATTAGGTAAAAACCTCTCGAATTCGATGTGTTCATCATTGTATGAATTTGATTTTCTGTACTTGTATTAGAATTGGAAAAAGAATTCCACTTTTCCAAGTATTTAACTCGTCGAAGACGCATCGAAATTGCCCATTCACTTGTTCTCTCCGAACGGTAAGTCGAAATCCGTATGTATAACGTTCATTCATTCTTTCTATCGTAGACAAATTAAAATTTGGTTCCAAAACAGGTTCGTACTATCTATTTGATGATGAAATATCGACTAAATTACTCTGCTTTTCTTGTAGAAGAATGAAATGGAAGAAAGATCATAAGTTACCCAATACAAAATCGAAGTTACCCGAAACATTACCAGCAGCAACAACATCATCACCTCACGTTATAAAAAAAGAGGAGCAAGAACGTGAACTTGATCCAATGCTTGTCAATGATTTGATTAAAGAAGAATCATTCTCATCTGAATCATCAAATTGACATGTTTTCATTGTAAAACTTCTCTTCGCCAAGAGCCAAACGATTGAATCTCATTCGATACACAAACATAAACATATATACACATGATAAATGACAAATTGATTTTCCTTGATGTTTTTGTTAGATAGAAATCGTATTTGTGAATAAAACATACGGTGTGACATTTCATATTTTTCGTCCAACGGGATTGCGTTTGATCGACAACAGAAAACGAATCATTAATAATCTTTCCTTTTCTTTTCCTTTTCCTCTTGCTATTGTAACTAACGTATGTTTATAAGCGGCAAAAGATCATTTGTCTTCTTTGCCCGAACGGAGATTGTAATGAATTTTTCTTTTACTTGCTCGAGACATGCAAACGTACATGAACTCATTTATCTAAATAGTCTTCGTTGCTGTTGTTCTCTCTCTCTCTCTTTCCAACCAATACAGTCATTAGTCATTCAGGACAATGTTCTGCTCGTACATATGACATCCTTTGCTATTTTGAACACGCATATGGAAATCATGGACTTGCGCGTTTTCCCAAGCATTCCTTCTAATGGATTTGGCGATCGCGACAAAGATAGCAAATGTGAAAATGACTCGGGATTTTATTTCCAATAAAAAGACAAGGCTACTAAGAATAGTAGTGAAGTCAGAGTAATCTGCAACACCACATTCGATAATGTTAACGTTTAATTACAATTGGTGCCACGATAATATTAGGCCGTATTTTGAAAACTGTTTGTTTGAAATTTGACAGAATAGGCAGCGTGAAAAATGGTAATAATATCGGCACTAGGCTAGGGAGATACAGAAGATATTTGCTCTGCAAGTCCTTGAATCGCGCTGTTTGCGATAATGTACAAAGTACGCCATTAATTGTCAATGGAAACCAAAGAAGAATGTACAGGATTGCAACACTTAGAAGTTGAATTGCTAATTTCCGTTCCCGACGTATATCTCGACGACGGTTCCGTTTTTGAAACCATATTCGAATTATTATAGTGATATTCGCTAACATGATCAGCACAACTGGTACGACAATATTGATGATGAAATCGACTATTGCAACTGTTGATTGACTATACAAGTAGCATGATTGTAAACATAAAAACTGCAATTAAATATTCATCATTTAGTACTGTTAGAGACGTCCTGTCACTTACTTCTGTGTAAATCCATTGATTTTCGCATGAATTAAATATAATAGCACTGAGATAGAATGTCATTGGATACATCGTACACATAAACATAGGTATTAGATGAAACAAGATTCGTGTTCGTTTCCTTATAATAACTGAATTATGAAAAATAAGTAAATGACGATCAAGTGAACCCCAAGCCATTAGGAACAAAAGTAGACTACAAAGTGTATAATCCCACCAATTCCACCATAGACAAAAACTGTTCGATGCTGAAAATACTTCTCCGTAATGGTAGTAAATTATTGCGAATGGAATATCCGTCGTCAATTGTAAAGTTCCAAATATAGTTAACAAAAGGGTGAGATGTTGATGTGCTGAGAAATGGCGACGCTGCTTATAAAAATAGACGAGAATGAATACTGAACAGATGATCGACGGAATGTATGGAGCAGCGAGAAGCCAAAACTTGATTCTTATAAGCCATAACATGTCATTATCGGCCATATTTTTCAAAGCTAGATGCAGTTATATCTCTTACAGTTGAAACATATCGTTATGAGAAGAAGTAGATTAACTACGTTTAAACAGAATTGACGGATATTGTCTTAAGATTTCTGCAAGAAGAGTCAAAAGCTTTTGTCGGCTAGTTAAAATAGTTTTATATCGAGAGAACTAAATCAAGTTCTTTTAGCATAGTAAGGTAAAGAGAAGGAAGCAAGTTTCTTCGAATAACACGAAGACAAACGTGATGAAACGGAATGACTACTAACTCGTGATATACCACAAAGGAAATGATAACATCTCACGTAATTACAGCAAGAATTTTTTTTTTTCTATTTTCAAATGTCGGATGAAGAATGTAGTAGGAAACTAGAGCAAAGAAAATAAAAATGTGTATTTTCGTCACACGATTTGTAATATTAAAAAATAAGTAAATTGGCATCCTTTGTTCTTTGTGATGATTATGAAAGTTGAGAAATCCGAAGTAACCTTGCTCTTTCGTGTAATTAATCATCAAAAAGAGAAACAATTAACGATACTCTCGCTTTTTTTGAATACTTTTATGCTTCTATTTATATTAGCAAAACGTGCCAGTATTATCGATACATATTAAAATATAAATGAAATCATGTAGAAAGTTTCAATGGATAAGAGTTATTTATGCATAGTATGTAGTAATTTGTTCAACATAGATTTGAATTGGATTTTTTCGATTATCAATTCGTTGAACTTCGAACAAACACCCAGGTAATAATAAAACTTCCCGTTCATCTGGGCATTTCGAAAACTTTTCAACGTCAAGTGCAAATCGAGAGTCGACAATTTCATAGATCATAATCACGTTCGTTTCGCTTAATTTTGCCGGTGTTGTACCTGCATATTTCGCAGCTATTTCCCATGATGTTGATGTTGATTGAAAAGTTTTATTCGTAAAACGGTTGTCTACTTTGTACGATTTTTGTAGATTTTGAGTAAACATCGTCATACCGCGATAAACTATTCCTTTGTATCGATACAAATGTAAGGCAGGGTTTCTCATCAATAAACCGGCATAATAACCACTCCATTCTCGGCATAATTTATCATAAACTATTTTCGGACTACCAAAGATCATGAACGAATTAATCTTTTTATAGAAAACGGTGTTCAAGATGAATAATAACAAATACAGTGCATTGTTTTCATTTCGTGCCTCATTCAAATAGAATCTTAATAATTTATTATCTTCGGAGTCATCATGCGGAATGACATCGGCATCTTCCAGCTTTTGCACGGTTTTTGCTATACCACGATCTTTAACACAATCGTATTCAATCGCGCGCGCGTACGATGTAGCATGATGTTTACTGAATATCCAGTCGGGTGTGTTGTCCGAAACGTCGGATAAGTTATCGTTTGAACCCATGAGAAAAGCCAAGCCGTGCTTTAATCTTTTAATGACAGGTGTACGAGGAGATTCAACTACTTCACCGGATAGATCGCCAAGACTTGAAGATTTATGATACTTGCTGTCACACATCTTGATCAGAATTTCAAGAATGCGTTAGAAAGATGACTGACAAGTTTTTACCTATGTACACACTTATATAATTCACTTTCCTTTTGATAGTGTATATTTCATGTGAAGTGGGCGTTCGATTTTCTTCGAACAAAAAAATCGATGGAAGATTATTAATCGACGTACTGAAAAAGTATAATTTTTCTTCTGAAAGTCAGACACCGCATGATTTTTCGTGCCACGTTGTACGAAAAGATGTGTTTTTCTTTTGAGAACATGGTTAACACGTGGCGTCATCTATCCACATTAGTTTAATATATACCATTAAGAATTGATTTCAATAGTGCAACTCTCGACGAAGAATTTCAGACTTGAATCCTAAATATCATCAACAACGTCAGAATAAAAATTCTGTACTGGTTGCTATTGTTACCAATCATTATTGAAGAAAACATCATCACTCCTTATGGTATATGTCATTGACTGAAAGGCTTTTCCTTCACTCTATCTGATTGATATGTAAGAGTAATTAAATAGACATAGTTGATCGAAAGAAGTAAGATCTGATGTCTATAGCTTCACAGAAATAATGTCCTTCACTTGTATTTTCAGATGTCGTCTGTACTTTCCTATTACATCGTATTTATCTGCTTGTTGTTCGGTGTTAAAGGGGCTGAAAAGAAATATTCAGCGAAAGATAGCGTAAATTCGTTCGCGTATGACGAATCTCAAGATAATGCGATGTATTCGAGTTTTTAGGTAACAGTGTACGTAAACAAAGTTGGTCCATATGCGAACCCTCAAGAGACGTATCACTACTATTCGTTGCCTGTTTGTCGTCCAGCGAAAGTAAGAAGAGCTGCTCGTTGCGAGAAAAATCCAATCGTATTTTATCACTTGAGTAGATTGTTTCCAAAGATCTGACGCTTGGAGAAGTTCTTTCGGGTGATCGAATGGCTCAATCAATGTACGAAATTAAATTTAATGGTTTGTAATTTCGTAGGCAATGAAAACAGAGATTTCTTTTTCTCGTTAACAGAGGAGATCAGCAACAAACAATTATGTTCATTATCGTTGAACACAGAAGAACTGAATGCAGTGCGATTAGCTATTGAAGAACATTATTATTTCGAATTCGTCGTGGATGACATACCGATCCGTGGTTTTGTCGGCGAAGTCGAAGAAACAAATATATTTCCACATAGACATCATATATTAGTTTATACGCATTATCACTTTAATTTCTTCATTAACGACAATCAAGTAAGAATAGTTTGAAAAGAGAAGTGGACTATTCGATTGTTGTCATGTTAATTTAGATTGTCTATGTGAATATTAGTACCAAAGAGCATCCACCTGTATCTTTAGATGATGAATCGCTCTCATCCATCAAACTCGATTATACTTATTCGGCTAAATGGCATCGCACCGAGTGAGAATCTTAGTTAAATATCATTTCCATGCTCAATTTTTGATCTATATTGTAGAACATTGTATAAAGATCGAGCAAAATTCATTGCCAATACCGGTTTTTTTCCAAAAACTTTAGAAGTACATCTTCACAACTTGATTTCCTTGCCGAACTTTGCTTTTTTTTCTTCTTCGAAGGTACATTGGCTATCTGTAATCAATTCCATGGTTCTCGTCTTTCTTCTCATTGGTTTTGTTGTGATTATTCTTGTAAGTTTGCTTTGAAATCAACACACGAAAATCTATCGGATGTTTTTAGTCTCGTATCTTAAAAAACGATCTCAGTCGTATTGGCGATGACGATGATGATGGATCGGTCGAAGAAGAGAACGGATGGAAAATAATCCATACAGATGTTTTTCGTTTTCCTCATCATCGCGAACTATTCAGCTCAATCATTGGTGTGGGTTGTCAATTTCTATCGATTTTTTCCGGGATACTCTTCTTCGCTTTTTGCGGAATGTTTACAGTCCATCGTCATGGTTCTCTGATGGCATCAGGTGTTATTTTATATGCGTTTACATCATGCGTTGCTGGCTTTATGAGTGGGAAAATATACCGGCAATTGCAAGGTGAACATTGGACTTGGAACATTATCTTAACAGCCAACCTTTTTACCATTCCTTTTTTTGTTGTCTGGTGTGTGATTAACACCTTCGCATGGGCATATGGAACAACTCAAGCATTACCGTATACAACCGTTTTGATTCTTGTTTTCATGTGGCTTTTTGGTAAGCGCAGTTTGAACATCGAACGAGCTTAGGCATTTCGATTGTTTCTTTTAGTTGGATTTCCATTGACGGTTTTGGGTGGAATATTTGGAAAGAATTTTTCGTCGAATTTTGATGCTCCTTGTCGAACAAAGAATATTCCTCGTGAGATCCCTGATGTACCTTGGTATCGATCGAATTTCGCGCGAATGTTAATCGGCGGTTTCCTTCCATTTTCGGCCATTAGTGTCGAACTCTACTACATATTCTCAACATTTTGGGGCCGAGAACAATATATGTTATACGGCATCTTATCAATCGTTTTCTTAATACTTTTATCTGTCACAGCTTGTATCTCGATCGCATTAACATACTTTCAATTGGCATCCGAAGACTATCGATGGTGGTGGCAATCGATTATCAGTTCAGGGTAAATTGATCTTCTCGGATTTTTCTTCTGGTTAAATAAACGAATGTTCCTTTTTTTCCAGTTCAACTGGCCTATTTGTCTTCTTGTACGCGATATTCTTCTACGCATTTCGATCGAAAATGAATGGAACTTTGCAAACATTACAATTCTTTGGTTATTCATTAGTGGGATGTTATGTCTTTTTTCTGATGCTTGGCACAGTCGGATTCTTCTCTTCGCTACGCTTTATTCGGTATATTTATATAAATATTAAAATGGACTGAGTTCACTAACGATTTAATCATACATGAACAATTTGTCTTTCTTTTAAGTATTTTCCCGTAGGAAAACAATAAAGAAATCGTGATCAGTTTTTTTTTCTCAATATGTAATTCTTTGAATATCAATCTGCTATCGGAATATTTATTAACCCTTGTTTTTTTTTGTTTTTTGCTTATTAAGTATTGAAATAAAGATAAAAAGAAGAATTTGAATGATTCCGTATTTCAGTTGTTACTGTTCAAGAATCAGTTGAAATTAACGCGCTCTTACTTTCGCCGCGGTAGTATAATGGTAGTACATCCGGTTGTGGTCCGGATAACGCAGGTTCGATTCCTGCCCGTGGCATATGAATTTTTTTTTTCTTTTACATAGTCAGAACAGCAAAATGTTCTCTTTCTCGTCTCAAGAAAACAAGGACATCTATTCCATCGTATGTGAGTTTTACAGTCCTCGATAGAATCAGAAATGATTGGAATCCATATTTCTTTGATTATTAGGAGAAGATTTTTAAGAAACAGTACTAAATTGACAACAAATATTTGGTGTGAAAGGGTTATAAGTCGGCCGAACCAGTTTAATACAATGACGAGGAGACCAAATATTACTTGTACCACCGCATGCAAACGGTTTGCCTAGATTCGTTGGTGTACATGCACATTGAGCACTGTCTGTCGAATGAACTCGTCCAAAGTATCGACAACACTGACATTGACAGTTCAAAGCGTTTGTTAAAACCATTGATGATAACAGAAGTATTATGACGAGTAATTTCATCATCATTTTTCTATCAATAGAAAATTAGTGAGAAGATGTTTATTGTAATTGAGCACTGACAAGAAGATACTATTTCGACTAAGATTTTTCATGAGACAACTTCTTACCTGCTACGTTTCGTTTTTATTAATTGTTGATCAATGAAGATAACTATTCGAGCGTATGCTTATCTCAAGTGAATATATGTATTTGGTATGCTCTACGTTAGCTTTTGTCTCTCGATTTTCTTTTTGTGTTAAGTAAAAAAGCTTTTACAAGCTCTACATCCAAAATTCAGATTTCAATAAATGAGAAACTTAAACAAGTTCCATTCCGACTTCTTTATCAATAAAATATCGTTCCATTTTCATGAATATTCCAGGTATGTTCATACATCAAGACATCTACCATTAGTCTGAAAAGCATAATACATAAATAGTCCGACCATTTGATTGAGCATAGACATTCTGTTCATATCATAAAAACTAATATCCGTCGTTTATTTTTTTATTACTCTCACTTCTTTTTCTGAAAAACAATAACTGACGCTAAATATAATTTCATCAATTTATCATTTTCTGTCGCACAATTGAAACGTAGTATGTACTTTGCACAAATAATCATCTCCGACTATTTCTAAGTTCTCCTTTAGCAATTCCTCTCGTTGCAAAGATCGATGAATGACGTGATTAATCTATTCGCAAACAACATGAAATCAGTTGTTCATAGTCTTTCGTCGCCATTTGTCAGGCTTTGATGATGACCGACAAATTTCCATTGAGAAAATCATGTCTCGTTCGTCAACAAAAGCTCCTGTTAAGTTCGGCACTATTAACTACTAATTTTCCATATCAATCGGGAGAATCTCTTTTCAAAAGTTCCCGAACGAACTGAAAACTTCTAAGTTATAATGCGAATATGATGTAGCTTTACACAGGCAGATGACAATTTATTATTCTACTGTATAAACCCACTTCGTTTGCAAATACGCACAAGAGTTATCAAATGCATCTAATATGACAACATCATATGTTACCTACGCTTAGTTCGGGCAAGTGGGAGAACATCATGTATATTGACATAAAAGAAAATCAACAGTCGTCTGTAAAATTTCTCCTAATCAAAAAGGGTATTTGCATAAGCTTCTTTGAAAGGATTGACTGAGTCATCTAATGAAAAATCATGTTTTCTAGTAAACGTTACATCGACCTTTCTTTTGAAATGATGATTTTGTCAGGGATAAAACATTGTTCTCGAGATTGATCGAAAATCTGACAGTTGATTTAACATCATTTCAAGCCTACATAAGGTACTTTGCCGAACGTGTCAGCTGAAGCAAAGGATTACGTAAAGCAAGAACAGACTTATAAAATGATGTAAATTAATAAATTTTCTCTTTGCATAACTTGTTTATCAACTTTATACACAGTGAAAAAACATTGTCCTGGACAATTTAGACTCGTCTATCATTTTACATACTAACACGCACAAAATCTTTAATCATTTGATACTATCGTGCTCTCAAGTAGGTCTTTTTGTTCACATTAATGTAATGTCTAGTCTATCGACGAACTTCAACTGAAAAATCATATCTCGGTTTGTAATACTAATCGTCGTACGATGACAATGTGAAATCTGAACGACTACGACAGTTATTTATATAGGAGTAACAGGATCGAATGAAAACTTAATTAAGAATAACACATTTACAGATTGAACGGAAATTTACGTTCAGTTGATGCGAGGATTTATGTATTGGAGATATAAAAGAAGAAGAAAAGAAAAACTTGAAGTCAAACATTTCTCTCAAATTGACGTGTTTTCTTCGCCTTCTGACAATCTGTTGAAAGAATTTCTTGAATCTATATTTAATGAAAACAAATCCGGATTCGATAGACGAATCTACGCGAGCAATTATCAAAATGAATAACAACATTTTAACGCGTTATTTCATCTATGAACACCACCGAATATTTCCTTCGTTGTTTATTGATGAATCGAACTCGATGCTTTGTTTTTTCTGTTTAGATCGACCGAATAAGTAATAGATCGGCACACACGTGATCTTATTTATCAAAATTAGATCTAGTAAGTTATCACAGAATGTAGAACAATGAGTTGAGAAAAACAAGCGATCTTACCCCTGAACATTTCATCGCCAGTGGCAGTTGAGAAAAGCTTTTCGGCCGCTCAAAGCTTTTTCTTGTAAAATTTTTTTTTCAGTTCATAATCCTCTCGTTGGAAACTTTTGTTAAAAGGCATAGACGTCAAATTCATTCTATCGGCGTGTCATGTTTGACGTCATCTTCATTCTTTCCGTTTTTCATCAATGATAATCTCTTGTAGTTCACTTTTCTTTTGCATTTAATGTGTAATTACACAGATTTTATTTCACTACTGTTGTTTTTCCTTCCTTTTAGAACCTTAGAACTAATTTATACGATCACTTAATCGCTCTAATGTATATCTACACTGTTCTGTTTATTTTCTTAACACTACTAACCCAAAACGCCTGGTGCGAACGACTTGTATCTTCGACAAAAGAATCGTGTCATCGCGAACACAACGGTCAAAAATTACAAGAAGGTGATATCGTGGAAAAGAACGGCAAATTATACAAATTCGAAGATTGTGAGCTACATCGAGCGTATCACGTGTGTGGAACCCATATTATTCCGATGATTAGCATTGTTTGTCAAGCTTTATACAAAGAAAGAGCGGGTTCGCCGGCTGGTAAACGATATTCTCGATTTGTAAGACAAAAATTACTGACTGAAGCTTGCTGTCAGAGTTTTTGTACTGTTTCGGAAATGTCCCGCTATTGTCCTTGATGAAAAGAAACACGAAATAAACAGAATCTTTAATAATGTTATTCTTTTGAATTGATTTCAAAATATTTGTTCAATAAAAACTTATTTTTGTTTTACCTCTTCTATTCAGATGTTCAGTGACACGCGGTACGGACAAGCTTTCGTTCTTGCGAAGTGAACTATAAAAACGACTGATAGTGAAAGTGCAAAGTCACACTTGAAACATGTTTTGAAAGTTATTCGAGATCTAATCATAACTTGGTAGTAAGGTGTACTATTTCATGTCGCTTCGAATGAAGATTTCACGTTAATTAGCTGACAGGTCTTTAAAACCTTGCCTTCCATCTGAGGGTAATTGACTGGCAACATGTCAGGATATTAAATATTTATTAATAACAAGCACATCGGCGGGCCAGAGGGGGGGGGGGGGGGGGGGGGGGGCCGGGCGGGTAATTTCCCCCCCCCCCCCCTGAAAAATTTTTGAAAGGCCAATAAATTTTTTTCGCCACAGAAAAAACGAATGTCTGTGGTAATAATAACTGAAAAATTTTTTATTGCCCCCCCTGAAATTTTTTTGCCGGCTCGCCGATGAACAACCATTCACGAGTATGGATGAGAAAAAGAACGAAGAAAAAACTGTCAGAATATTCAACAATTAACTTCATCAATTGATTTCATTTCTGTTTTGATAAGTGATTTTCCCATCAATCACTCTCGACTGTGTGTGTGTGTGTGTGTATCATTGTTCTGTGCATGAGATGGGAAAAGTAACGTCTCAGACATTATCGCTAGACGAGAAAAAGAAGAGGATAGTGCACGTGTATTCTCATTAGGAAGGTTATCATAACAAATGAGACCTCAAAACAATATTTACCAAAGATATAATTTCCGAAGGACAAACGCGCTGAATTGCCGTGAGTTTTGGCTGACGTTGATATAATTTCTCAAAAGAAAATATGCACTGCATTTAGCTAATCGAATATTCAACATGCGTTGTTTTTTGGCCAAATTGAACATATTCAAGTTAAATATTGTCTTTTTTCATACGAAATGTATATGTATATATTTGGGTGATCTAATTAGATTTGTCGAAGTGTCTGACGAGTTATTGAAAAAGTAAATCAAAGAAAGAAAAACACATGTGAATTACCCGGTGACACTTGATTTTGATTTCTGTTTGTTTACACTTGACTACTAATCAAATTTTATTTACTGATCACTTCGACAACAGTACTCGATTGAGAACAAATACCTTTCCTATTGTTTCACTCAAGCAAACTTGTCTGTAATCAATGCAAATGACAACGACAATTTCCCTTCTGATTAGCATTTGCTCGAAACGAAGTAAATAAACTTGTTCGATGAACTGCTATGTAAATGATAAAAGGTAAGACTTCCTTCCGTATGCCAAACGAATTCCATTGGGATTAGATTTATTTGAGCATTAGAAAAGATATGCTAACCGATTTATTTATCTCGACGCATATGGAACATTGTCTTTCTCTCTCTCTCTCTTAACATGTTATTCTTTCGAATTCATGTAATTCTTCGCTGAGAAAATTGCCTTCTATAAATAAATCGATTCCGACCAGCTTGTCGTGATTTGTCATTGTCTTTTCCTTCGTTCGAACAAAATATCCATATCATGATGAGTTGCTTTTATCATCTTAACCTATCATCAGCTCTCGTTTGGATTTATTTATCTTAAAGTACTTCTTTGTTCTTTTTTTTATCAATAGAAACAGCAAAGAAGCTCAACTCCGGATGTGTTTATTCAACAAATCGACTTCCGTGAATGTTGAAGTGTTTATTGGAACGAAGGTTTCATTCCCTTTTGTTTGAAAATTCATCATGATGATTGGCATCTGTTCAAGACAGCATGATATCTTCAAATAGATAAAAATCAATTTGAAGATTTGATGATGCAATTGCCACGATAAGTTAATCCAGAGAATTGTAATATGAGATGATCTTGTTTTAAGAACAGATGTTTATACAGTAGCTCATTGAAAAGTGTTGAAGAATAAGATATATGTATCATTTGTTGATGAGGAACACAATATGCTCGTTAAAGGTCTCTCCATATCAATGATTTGTTCGACGACTATGACAAGAAATGACCGTTCGAACGTCCGGATAAAGAACATTTTAAATCAATATCACTCGCATTATGCTGATTATTGTTTATTAGAGAGTTGCCATATCAGACGGTAAAGAAGTCGACTCTTTTGACAAGTCACGCTAATTATTCTTAAATTTCTTCTTTAATAATTAGCAATTTTCACGCCTTTTGCTACGGATTCTACTTTCAAATATGCAAATGAAACATTTAACCTTCAACACGCCTCGAGCGCTCGATATCTGTTCGCAACGTCTGACTGCTAGCGAATCGACTTGGTATAGATGATCCTTCTGTTCAAGTGAATAAATGAAAGATTATTTTGTCTTTATTTCTATTAAACAAACAAACAAACAACCAGAGAGAAAAAAAGAGCAAAGAAGAAGAAGAAGAAGGAAAATGTTGATACGCGCTTAGATTTGTTTGATGATATAGCGTTTTTTTTATATGTATATATTTATGTATAGATATATGTATATATAGATTTCACTGTTTAACTTTATTTTTTTTTTCGATGTATATTTTTGTTGAAGTCTGGAATGAGCATATCTGACAGCAATGATTAGGTCTCATCATTTGAAAGGTTTAAATGCACCAATAGTTGATGTTGTTTGACTTGTCGTATTTTGTCTTTCTAAGAAGAGAAGAAAGAAAGAATAGAGAAGAAAATAACGACTTATTTGTATAAAGATTAAAGAGTTACTGACGTGATCAATTGGATATATTACACTTGACTGAGAGATGAATAGAAAAGCTTTAACAAATAAAAGAAAACAAACCTTGAAGAGATATTGAAGATGATCGAGGAGGATTTTTTTCTGCCATATCAGCAAGTGACCAGATTCCAGAGGATTTCTTTCTTTCGACTGGTTCGATGTCGTCTAATTTTCGTTTGCGCGATGGTGGTGATTCGTCTGAAACAACAAATTTCCTAATTGTCAGAGAAGTTGATTAGTAATTGAACGAACCTGTTGTTGTTGATGATGATGTGGTAGTAGTGTTCGATGACGAAGTGTTATTAGTCGTTTGTTGATGTTGAAGAACGATGACTGGAGCTGATGAATAATGATTTTGTGTTGTTATTCGTGCTGGTGGGGAACTGCATTCATCATCACTAACATCACTGTTGGAACCGGCGCCTTGTCGATCATCATCGTCGTCGTCGTTCGTACGATTTCGTGGTGACCAAGTCATTTTATTCTCTTTTTTCAAGCGTCGTCGTGCGTTCGCAAACCAAGTTGATACTTGTGTTAATGTCATTTTGGTCATAATAGCAAGATAAACTTTTTCGGATTTAGTTGGATAAGGATTCTTTCGATGTTCATATAACCAGGCTTTTAATGTCG